AATATGCCCAATGAGATTGGAATGGGATATGATAATGAAGAAATTCCGGAAGAAAAAAAAGGAATCATTGATTTATATCCAATTCAAATATCTGCTGAAATTGGGGATGAGTCGGGTACAAAGGCAGCATTGAGTACAAATTTTGATACGTATACATTGATATTGCAATTGGGAGCAATATTGACAACTGTTCCCAGATGGAAAAGGACACATCGATTAAGAATTGTTGTATTTGTTGAATATATCGAAGATGTCAAGGAAGAGTATAATAGGATTTCATCATTGTTAACGATTTTACGAATTAAAGCCGAGATTATTGTCTTAAGTTTTAAATCCGGAATGTTTGAAAGCTACAATTACATTTGTAAAGGAGATTTAAGCAATAGGGAAACAGTTGAGAGAATTAATTTTAAATTGAAAAACGATGAATGGTGGAGAAGTTTACAAAGACTACGAGATCCTGAGAGGTTTAATAAAAATAAAAGTAAAGATAGTGATAAAAATAAAGTTAAAAACAATGGCAATGGTAGTTTTAACGAAGAGAATGAGGATAATGGGGCTAAGTTGAAGGATGAATATGAAGAGAATTATGAAGAGAATATTATAATAGCGTCAAATAATATCAATAGGGTTCATTCTAAGAGAATATTCCGAAACCGAGTGAGAAATAAGAAAATGAGTTTACAAAAATTGCAAAAATTGGGAGTTAATTTCCATATGAGAACCAATAGAATATTAAATTCAGACATTGTGAATACAGTTGATCACTCTGATAGTGAAGATAGTGATTTAGAAGACAACGGTCACAATCAGAGTAATAACCACAGTAATAACCATAATAATAGAGGAAATAATAACAATAACAATAATAACAATAATAACAATAATAACAATAATAATAATAATAATAATAGTTTTTATGGATCATATGATAGTGATTCATCAGATGCTGCGTCGATTCATAGCAAGAAATCGATTAGTATTAAGAAAAATAGTTTCAATAAAGTCAGTAAACCGCGAAGAGATTTTTCAATTAACAATATGAGCAAAAATATTTTTGGAAACAAAAGCAATAGAATTAGTGTTGAGACACCGGATTTACGAAATATATTTAAAAGAAGACCATCATCAGGGTATGGGTTTAATCATGGGCATGGACACGGTAGTAATCCGAGTTTTGGATACAATTACAATGAACCAATTGTGATATCACCAGGACCAGCTCCAATATTGTCGAGAGAGAATAGTTTCCAATCGTTTGCCGGATCACTTCGAAAGGGTGGCAGACCTAATTTTTCATCGCAAGCCATGCCAAAATCTCAAGTTGTTGAAGATGCGAGCGGAAATGAGCCATCTATTTTGTTTATCCGAGATGATAACGAGTCAATAAGAGCGCCAAGTATCCGATCGATGAAAAGAAAAGTTATGGCGGAAAATAGTTTATCCATGAGCATTGGGTCGCCCGAAATGAGTAAAAGTGGACAGTCACCCAAGAAGGAGAGCAACCTGGATATTGAGCAAATTAACTTGAATGGAGATAATAATGAGAATTACGATGGTAATAATAGTAAATGCAGATTTAATAATAATGATGCTGGTAATGGGGGGTATGACAACAACAGCAATAACAATAGCAATAGCAATAGAAACAGCTACACAAACCTTAGCTTTGGTGGCAATCTCAGTCACAGCGATTTGGTTGAGATTGGAAATGGGGCTACCAAGGTGGAAAAAGACAGCAAGAAAAACAGCAGCGGGAACATAAGCGAGAGTGCCGAGATGGTCGGCGAAGAGGCAAGACAGGGGATGGAAGAAGAGGAAGATATTGATGTACACGACATGTCGTTCAACGACTTGCCTGGAAGAGCACAGCACTTGATCTTGAACGAGTTGATGCTCAAAACGTCGCAGGAGCAAACAAAGAGCTGTGTGATATTTTCCACGCTTCCCACGCCGGCAATCAACACGCACTTGAGCAAGAGAGAGTCGTTGGAGTACGTGGAAATGCTTGACCTCTGGTGCGACGGGCTCCCTCCTGTGTTGTTGATCAACTCGAGAAGCATGACGGTAACAACCGTGCTCTGAGCAGGCCGCAGAAGCCGCAGCGGGCTGCAGCCGTGTTCCCACAACGCTGGAACACGGCTGGAGCCAAGCGGCGGGCGTTTCAGACTCAAACCGCTGTTGCGCGGATCCGCCTGTGGTGCGTGTGGTGCGTGTGCTTCATCTGCATCCGCTGCTGGATCTGCTCGAACTCCAGCTGCTCGACTGCCTTCTTCGCTCGCTGTCTGCTCGAACTCGCCTCCTCCACTGCTCAGACTCCACAGTCCACACTTCGCAAGCGTCGCTCTGCTCGTCTTTCTATAGAACCCTCCTCTGCCTCCTCCACTCTGCTGCTTCTGCTGCCTCCTCTGCTCATTGTGCCTTCTTTGCTTCCTCTGCTTCCTCTGCTTCTTTTGTTGCCTCTGCCTCTTCCTCTGCTCATTGAGTTGGCTTCCATCCAGCAGAGTCGCCTGTTCTGCCTTTACTTTACGTTCTAAAAATAACGTTTTCGCTATTAATAAGTCTGCAAGTTTCAATCTTTTCAACCATATTTCTTATCCATATATTCTACATTTCTCAATTGATAACTTTCACCACCTTTTCTTTTCTCTCGCTTCTCCCAATATCCTCATTTTCCCTTTATTATACCTTCTCAATCTCCTCTTGCTTATCTCTCCCACCACTATACCTATCTCTTCCACTCTGCTTTTTCCTCAATGAATTTTCTACATCCTCAGACCATCACCTACACAAAATATAACCAAAGCACCAACAACAATCGTCACACTCACAATGATTCCATTCCCCAGACCCCATTTGACCTAAACTATGGCACTTCCATGCTACCAAGCAACTTGTTGCTCTCTTCTCCCTTTGTATCTTCGCCATCTGCTTCAAATCCAAATCCTTTCTACTTTCCGATTTCACCCCCTCCCTCCAATCACAAATCATCCAACAACAACACTAATAACAATAATAATAACAGTAATAACATTTCAAAAAATTCAAGTTATTTCATATCTCAAGCTGGCCCAAATCCTCCCATCATCGGTTTACCCCCAGATAGTGCTAAAAAAAGAGGTTTGAAATACATCAATTCAATTTCATCCCCATCCTCAAATCCATCTATACCCTCTTCTTTCCAAAATCAAAAGAAATCCTCTTTTATTAATACCAATAAATCAATCAAAATTAACAATAAAAATTACTCCAATAAAAACTATTCTATTAATAATTATTCCAATAAAAATAATAATCAAATAATTAATAATAACGACAATTGTAATAATAATACTAACCCTGGCACTAATAATAATAATAATAATAATAATAATAATAATAATAATAATAATAATAATAATAATAATAATCATAGTGATAACGCCGACGCTGACGCCAACACTGACACTAATGATGATAATAACAAAGATATTGATACCACTGAATCTAACAACAAAAACAACACTGATACCAATATTGAAATCAAAATTAACAACAACTCAAACTCAAATTCAATCCCAGAATCTTTCATCTTTAAAAAACACCTATCAAAAAAAGTTATTATCTTTCACCACATCCCATCCTCAGTACAATTATTTGAATTTCTAAATTTCCTAAAATTTGGTCCAATCCAATTTTGCTACGACATCACCAACAACAATAAACAAAAAAAATCGAAAAATGAAAAAAAAATCAAATTAAAATTCATCTACGAAAAATCTTTCATCAACTTTTTAAACTATTTCCATCTCTATAAATATACCTTTCAAAACGAATTCAAATCACAAAAAATATCCTACCACATTAGAGATTACACCTCAAATGATGATTACGACAATTCTCCGGTTTTTGCCTCAATTCCCTTATCAAAAAACTCCTCTTCCTTATCCTCTTCTTCATCTTCTTCCTCTTCCTCTTCCTCCTCAAATAAAACTTCCTTATTCACCTCAAAAAAGTTGTCTCAGCTTCAAATTTTTAACCAAATCATTGAAAATAACTCTTCTCGCTGTGTCACAATCAAAAAATTCTCTTCCATAAATTACTTGAATGATGATCTAGAAAATTTAGAAAAAAAACTAAAATTAGAATATGGTGAAATCGATCTAATCAACACAAACGACGATTTAAATGTCCTTAATATCCATTTTTTAAATTTAGTCTCCGCAATCAACTTATACAACGATTTGATCAACTCTTCCTCAACAAATCCTAATGAAAATCTTAAACATCAAGATTTAAAATCCTTAATATCTTATGCTCCCGATCGTTGTACCCAAATCGATGATGATAGATTCGAACAAAGGTACTCTCAAACAAACGAATATGACTCCGACTACGAAAACGATTCTCCTTATGAAAATGATGATTTATCTTCTAACAATCAATCCAAAACTGATACAACCAATCTTCAAAATGATTTTGATAACATGACAATCAATTCTTTTGTTGCTGACGATTATAATGAATACCGTAATATTAATAAAAATACCATTTCTAATGGCACTATGCCTAATAATATTGATAACAATAATCACTATGATAACCTCAATGAAAACTATAATTACAAACTTAATTCCAATCATACAAATAACTTCAATAACAGTTTCAATAACAGTTTCAATAACTTTAATAATTATGAAAATGATCATGATAATGATTATAATATGAATAGAAATCTCAACATTACTCACTCTGATAATAATGATTTTGTTAATAATTACAGCTTCACTAATAGTGATAATGTGAGTAACAGAAACAGCAACAGCAACAGCAATATCAACAATAATAATAATAATTATAAATATAAAAGTAATAATAATTTGTATCCTTACTCTATTAATGCATCTTCAAACACTGTCAACTCTTTAAATTCCTATAATTCTATTTCTCTTTCAACATTTATTCCTCCAAATTCAATTTTGCCTAGCATCAAAAATCCAATTAGCGACTTGAATAGCTTAAATAATTTTGAAAATAGGACCATTTATTTAGGTAATTTGCATCCTCAAACAACTGTTGAAGAGATTTGTAATGTTGTTAGAAGTGGTATTTTACAATCAGTCAAATTAATCAGTGAAAAAAATATTTGCTTTTTAGTTTTTATATATGCTAGTGCAGCAACTCATTTTTTTGCACAAAGCAACTTGAAGGGACTAGTAATTCATCATAGAAGAATTAGAATTGGTTGGGGCAAGAATCCTGGAGAATTACCAAACTCAATCGCCTTAGCAGTGACTGCTGGTGCAAGTAGGAATGTTTATATTGGCGTTATAGATGAGAATCATCATGACAATGATACTTATGCCAGAAATATAAATAATAATAACAAAAGAAAACCTTCAGTTCCAGAAGAATCAGTGTTAAGAAAAGATTTCTCAGAGTTTGGTAATATTGAGCAGATTAATTTCTTTTTAAACGGATTTTGTGCATTTGTTAATTTCATGAATATTTCATCTGCAATAAAAGCAGTTAATGAATTTAATGGAATTCATAAAGATGATATTCATAGACGATTTGATAATAGATATGTCAAGTATAGAATCCGATTTGCTAAAGATAGATGTGGAAACCCTCCAAAAGTTTATAATAATGATAAGCAAAACAGCAAAAATAAGTCTTCAAACTTTAATTTAAAGGGAAAAAATAACGATAATAAAAGGAAGCGAACTTCTAAAAGTAAGAATGATAATAATTCCAGTGATAATAGATATTTTCTTGCAGAAAATCAAGAATCATTTGAAAAATTAATGGAAAAACAAAAATTAATGGAAGTATTATCTAATAACAATAATGGACTTGTGAGTAATGATTTTTTGGATGAACAAGTTGATGACAATGTTATTGGTATTGATGATATTATTGTGAATGAAAACAATCGAAATGAGATGAACAGAAGAAAAGGTGATTATTACAACGATGACGAAGATAATGACGAGGATGATGGCGAGGATGAAGATGAAGATGATGACGATGAAGAAGAAGAAGAAGAAGAAGAAGAAGAAGAAGAAGAAGAAGAAGAAGAAGATGATGATGATGATGATGATGATGATGATGATGATGATGATGATGATGATGAAATTCACATTCAAATCGAAGCTGATCCTAATGAGACAGAAGAAAAAGAAATAGGGAATAAAGTTTACTATAGAAAGGAAAACAGAAAATTTAGCAGTGATGCTAGCAATATTACTAGTGCAAGTAACAGTAATAGTAACAGTTTTAATAATTTTTGCAATTTGAAAAATGATAAAAAGATAAATAAAAAGGAAAAGGAAATAAGTAAAGACGATGATAAGGAGATGAATAATAAGATTGGAAGTGCGTTTAAGATTGGAATTAAAGAAGAAAAAGACAAAAAAGAGATGAATAATGAAGGATGTATTAAAACAATAAAAGAAAGTGTAATGACAGGATTTGAAAGCGATGATTCATCGATTGAATCACTAGAAATATTGAATAAAGGAAAGTATAAGAAAAAAAAGTTTACTGGGACGGAAATAAATAATGATTTTAATAATGGAAATAGTTTTATTCCATCATCGCCAGGGTCAGTATCTTCATTTGGGTCTTTGGGATATATTCCTCAACTTCAGCAAACTCAGCAAGCGCAATTTCAGCAAATCCAGCAAATCCAACAGTTGCAGCAGATTCAATTGCAGCAATTGCAGCAATTGCAGCATTTCCATCAACTTCAGCAGATGCAACAGATTAAGAGCTTGGGAGTAAATCCTATGATATTAAATGAGTTGGGCAATAGTGAAGGTAATAGTATTAATATTAGTAGCAATATTAATGTAAATAATAATAATGATAAAAGCGTACAAACACCAAAGATACAGCCACAAGGACAGTTTTTAGGGTTTTCATCAATCACGCCCAAGAAAAGGGGAGGAACCAGTTCAATGGCATCGACGATGATAAACAATCGGTCATTTTCATCGCCGCAAATGATGGTTCAAGTGCCATTGGGGATGCCTGTGCTGGGAATGAGGCCAGAAATGAATTTAAGGTCGAGATCTGGATCAAAAACCTTTAATGGGGAACATTATAATGGTAGTGATAATGGTAATATTAATGGTAATATTAGTGGCAAAAATAATTTGGATAAAAGAAATCAGTACTCAATTCACAATAAGAAAAACACCACTAATTCAAATCGATCTGTCAGTTATCATTTTAGTAATGGTGATAAAAACAACAGGAGCCATAAGAATAGAAACAAAAAGAACAATAGAAATCCGGAAAAAAGCAATGACACCAATGCCAAAGGTTTTACCAAAAATAAGAACTACAAACACAAGAACGTGAATGATAGTAATTTTATTAGAAACGATAATCGATTTGCGACTTCAGGCTCTCAGGTGATGGCTCAATACTTGGCGGAAGCGCAACATGACAATATATTATATGCTGCTACTGTTTTAAATATCGAGGAAGAAGATAGCCCAAGGTGTGATTTAGACAGTAAAGAAACCGGGCTGGGTAGATAAACTAGATGACTATTATACTTTTTATCAATTTTATATTATTTTTTTATCAATTTGTTAAATTTAGGTTTGTTATTTATCTTTATATTTTACATTTATTTTTTGTTGGATATTACGAATTGATCACAACATAGCGAGTTTGGTCTCAGCGCCGGTGTGCTGGATAATAGCCGAATTGCCCAAGTCGGCGGATGTACAGGGCCCTGGTCGGAGTCTGCAGCTGGCAGAAGCAGCCTGCATAACCTGTGCAGCACGCACCTACCAGCCACCAATGCACTACACCGCTGTCTGTGCATGCGTCTACGCGCAGTGTTTGCTTGGGGACCGAGCGCACTGCTGTTTGCCAGGGGCGGGCACGCCCGACGGCCCAGCAGAGGACGCAGCGGCAGCAGAAGCAGCAGCAGCGGCAGCAGCGGCACAGACAGCGGTGTTTTCGGCGGCAGGGGCAGCAGTTGCAGCGGCGCAGGCTCCCCCGAGCAGCGTCCTGGCGGTTGTGACAGATTTCATCTGCTCACTATTGCAACTCTTTTATACTTGCTTGAATCTTATCTGGCTCGCACTTTGTTTTGCTGGTTCTCTTGTGCTAGGCAGTTGGGTTTTCAAAGTGGAAATTTGTGGGTTTTTGAGGAAATCAGTTGCTCCTTCTTCTTCGACACCACTGCCACCATGAACCAACCAAGCCAAAACGATGCTTCCAGTCTTCGGGCACAGACATCCGACGCTGGAGACAACAACTCTCATGCCAGTGCTGCCAATTTTCCTCCTGCTAATGCTCCCAATCCTGCAAATTCTGCTCTGATTCCAAATTCCAGTAACAACAATCTTAATCCCAATAATACCTTTGGCATCAACAATGTTGCTAACATGACCAATAACATCACCACAAACCAGCCTAATATACCTTCAAATCATACTACTATCAACAGCAGCTCCAATATAATGAACAACTCGAACAACCCCAATCCCTTAATAAATCATGTCAACCCTAATCCTTCAATACCGCCTATTCTTTTAAACCATTCTCTAGATTCTGCTTCAAAGATCAGCCCAATAAATATGATGAACGTCGCAACTGCTTCAATTACAAATCCAAACCTAACCAACAACTCTTCAAATCTAAATATATCAAATCTTAAGGCCTATGCTGAAAATTTATATCAAATTCAACCTCAAATTTTGAATAAAATACATAACAATAATAATACTAACAATAACAATAAAAATAACAATAACAATAATAACAACAATAATAGAATGGACCAAATGAACCAAATCAATCAGATGAACCAAATCAACCAGATAAGCCATATTAACCAAATAAACCAAATAAACCAAATGAACCAAATCAATCAAATGAACCAATTTAACCAAATGAACAAAGCGAACCAACTAAACCAAGCGAACCAAATAAGCCAGTTCAGTCCATTTAATCAAGTAAATCAAATGAGCCAAATAAACCAAATGAACCAAATGAACCAAATGAACCAAATGAACCAAATGAACCAAATGAACCAAATGAACCAAATGAACCAATTTGGCCAATTTGGCCAATTTAATCAAATAAACCATATAAATAATCTATCCCACTTGAATAATTCTCAGAAATTTCACCTAATTCAACACCAAAATCAACTTCATCAAAATAAATTAATTCAAAATCAATTATCTTACAATCATAATGACAAAATAAATCAATTCAACCAACCCAACCAATTAAATCACTTAAATCATTTAAACCCAAATAACTTCCCTCAATTCCAACAATTCCCACAGAACGTAAACATGAATTTACAACACCTTCAAAACCAAAACCAAAACCAAAATCAAAAAATCCCTGATCAAAATTTCCAATTTCAATTTCAAAACAAAAGTCTCACACCCCAAAACAATCTCATTAAAATTTCTTCTCAAAATCTTCAACTCCATGATTTATCCCCCAAACAAAATCCGGCTTTTTTCAATCTTCAAAATCAATCTCCTCAATTTTCTTTAAAAAACTCTCTCCAAAAATCAAATCAAAAACCTTCAAATAAATCTCCAAATAAATCTCCAAATAAATCTCCAAATAAATCTCTAAATAAATCTCTAAATAAATCTCTAAATAAATCTCTAAATAAATCTCTAAATAAATCTCTAAAGACATCTCAAAAGACATCTCAAAAGACATCTCAAAAGACATCTCCAAATAAATCTCAAAAGATATCTCCTCCAAAAATCACACAAGAATCCATGAAAAAAAACACACCTATAAAGACCATAACCTGTGAAAATGACCCCAACAAAACTTTTCAACCAAATCTTACTGAAAAATCTCCCAATTTAACTAAAATTCTTGATAACAATAACACTAATGATAATAACAATAATAACAATAATAACAATAATAACAATAATAACAATAATAATAATAATAATAATAATAATAATAATAATAATAATAACGCTGATAGCACATCAAAGAAATCTCCTGAAAAACTTGCAAAAAAAATCTCCATTTCTAACTCCAAAAAAAGTCCTGCTGAAAATTCAACTAAAAATCCAGCTGAAAATTCACTCAACTCAAATGAAGCTATCAATCAATCCCTAAAAAATGATCTTGACAAAAATATTCAATTTCAGTTAAATAGAAAAAATTCTCATAATGATTTACCCAAATTAAACAGGAAAAGTTTCTCGGCTTTTTCAACTCTATCAACTCTTTCAGAAAAATCAATCCCCCTGAAAACTACAAATCAAACCATCGTATTCAACCAGTCAAGAAGATTAAGCCAATTGAATCAATTATCTAAAGTAAAACGAAAAAATTCTCTATCTAGAACAAATTCACCCAATAAAAAATCGTCTTTTAAAATTTCCCTAAAAAAATCACAATCATCAAAGCAATCAGAAACCCATACTTCCTCTAATCTGCCTCAGATATCTCTTGCATCTTATGAGCTTCAAAAAAATCTCATTCCAAACCAGAAATCTTCAGAAATCTCTAACCCTCCTTTAATATCTTATGAAACACCTTTAACTCAATCGAACAGAGAGTTTCTGCAGCCTGGATATTCCCAGCAACAACTTCAACGAACATCTTCACAGCAGCTCGATCCTATACAACAAAACTTTTCATTTGAACAACTCCCCAACTATACATCCTTTGAAAATTCTCAGCAGTTTTCATTACAAAAATCTTTACAACCCCAAGAAACTTTTGAAAACCAAATCAAAAATGAAAAAAATTTAGCTCAAAATGTGCAGTTTTCAAATCAAGAATTTTCTCAACTTGAAAGCAATTTATCGTCCAAGTTACCTCAAAATATTTCTTTATCAATTGAAAAAAATTCTCGTGATTTTTCTGATAATCTTTTGAACGAAAATTTAGATTCACTTTTATCCGGAAATTCTCGCCCATTGCAAGATCAGGAAAATCCTCAAAATCAAGATCTTGATAAAAACATTTCTTCATTGAAAAATCAAGAATATCCAACAAAAAACTTTCAAAATAATGCCGAAATTATATCGCCACAAATACTCAAAGAGAATGGTGCTTTGGATCCATCTGAGATTTTGGAATTAAATTCTCAACAATTTTATCCTCAAAATTCTCAAACCGATCAAAATCAAATGGCTCCTCAGCTCAAAAAACAAGATCTGGTTCAGTCTCAATTTCAATCCGATTTTCAGCCTGATATAAGTATGAGCTTGCAATCAATATATAATGCATATTCCAACAATCAATTTCAACTAAAATTACAGCAACAAGCCACTGCATCAACATCATCTGCTGCATTAGTATCATCTGCTACGCTTATCAATCTTTACGTTACCAGACAAATCCATACTCAACAAGCTATCACCAACTATCTAAAGGTTATTGATATGATTTCATCATTGGATTCAACGAACTTGGATTTTAGTAGCCAACTTGAGACAAGTATAAACGAAATAATTAAAATTTATTTTGGTAACGAAGGTTGTATGAAAATATCCTTTGTTGATTATGATGAAAGAAAATCTTATAATGTCCCCAAATATTTTTTTCACTTTTTTTTTCAAGACATTTTTCAGGAAAAAGTCAAAAATTTGAAGTTAGTCTCAAATCAAATAAAGCCTCATTTTCTACCTAATAATAATATATATTTAGAGGTTTCAAAATTTGAGGTAATCTTGTACTATATAAATGGCATGACATTGAGGTTAAAGGGCTCTTTAAAATGCTGTTTTAATTGCTATTCAAAAATAGAGTTAGTTGAATTTTTGACTGATGATTATAAATATGACATGAATTGGACATTTTTTGAAAATTTGATTCAAGAGATATCCGGAAAAATGAATAATGAGGTATCCTTTACTAATCCTGCGCTTGAAACATTAGCTCATTTAAAAAAGACTCGTTTTGAAATGGATTCATCAATGAAATTTGGAATATCGAAAAATCTTCACTATAAATTACAAAATTATGATACTTTTTCACTCATGAGACCATTATTTTCTTATTCTGAAGTTAATGATATCCCTAGTGGCACAGAAGCATTGGAAAAATATATGGAATATATGAAAACAAAGGGTGAGTATGATTACCTAGTTAACGTTATTTCAAAAAGTAAAGATCAAGAATCAACTAATGGCTTGAAAAGAAAAAACTCTTATGATGATAAAGCAGATTCCCAGTCCAAACAAAGAAAAACCCAAGCCGTGCTTTCTGAACCTTCATTTCCCTTGCAAAATTTTGAATCACAGGCGCAAAATCAGGGTGCTCAAATGGAAAACACCTCAAATCAACTTCAATATCAGTATCATCCTCAAGCTCAGGCTCTAGATAGCTCTCAATTGCAATACCAGAATAATGTTCAAGATCAAAATTTACAAGAATTGCAATCTGCTGCAATGCCTAAAAATCAACTATTACAATACACAAAGTATAATTTAAATAAACACTCGGACTCTATTTCTCCAAAGCAAGTAGTGCAAGATCCAATGAACTATCCGATAAAAATATCCCCTAAGCGAACAGTCAAAAATCAGATGATTCATTCAATTGCCATTTCACCTAAACAAATATTGAAAAATCATATAAACCATTCAATTGCTCTTTCTCCTAAACAGGTGGTTATGGATTCAAATAAATATCAACCAAAAAGAAACAAACCCCGGAGTAATACTGAGACGTTATCTCCAAAGTCGATTCCACAAATTGAAAATGGTGACCTAATTTCAGAGTCCAGATCAAATTTTGATAGCGATAAAAATGACGGGAATTTAACCAACGACTTTATTCTTGATTCAAATTTTCTTCCAACGTTGGACGTTAACAAGTCCGAAATAATAAACAATAGTAAAAATAAACTAAAGATAACAAAACTTCCGGGTGAAAAATCTTTTCTAAATGGTTAATATCTGCATTTTTTTAATAATGATAATTTTTTGGGAAAAAAATTAAATGAACTAAAAAAGTTTTAATAATAGAGCAATATTGATTGCTTATAGTGGTTTGGAGTGCAAGAATATAATATTAAAATAACATGATTTGAAAAATATGTCAGATGTTGAAAAAAAATCCTAAAAAAAATAAGGTTATAGTAACAAAAAACATTTTAAAATTAAATTTAATATGCGAGAAAACAAAAATAAAGGAAATATTTTTGTGGGAATTAATACAATTTAGTTTCAAAAGCTGAATTAGAGCCAGGTTTTTATTTAACTATAAAACTCATATTGTTGTTTACTATCGTTAAAACATAAACAAAATTCTTAGGGATACCAAAAATATTACTCTTATTAATATTATTATGCTCATTACTATTACTATTATTTAAATTTTTATTATTATTATTGTTATTGTTATTGTTATTATTGTTATTATTGTTATTATTGTTATTATTGTTATTGTTATTATTGTTATTATCATCATCATCACATCATTATTACATTATTATTACATTATTATTACCAAATTGTTATTAATTTTTTTGTTCATTAGTTTTTTAATTTAATTTTTGATTTTATCCTTGTATTCTATATAATTTTTTTAATTTGCTGCAATTTTTTTTGTATTAAATTTTCTTAGAGATTCAAAATTTTTCAACTTTTTCTTCATTTAAATTTTTTAATGTTTTATTTTAATTTTTCAAATTTCTAATCTTCTAATCTAATTTTCTAATTTTTTAGTTTTTAAAGCATTTTTTTTCGTTTCATGAATTAGTATTTTTTGCTATTAATCATATATATTATATAATGATTCTCTTATATATTATACTTTGTTTTTCTTTATTCCCTCATAGATAATAAAATTTATTGATAAAAGTTTTTTGAAATGTTCATTCAGTAAATAATACCTTAATTAAATTTATCGGAACTTTAAACTTGTAAGTTTGATACTAATTTTAGTAGAAAAGCAGCGAAGTTTTGCCAAAAAAAAACAACCAACTTGTTGAAATTTATGCAATGCAGATTAAATTTTAGTTAAATTCTAAGATTTGCTGTTGATTTGCTCACCAGCTTTGTGTGAAATTATTTCACCTAATTTCGCATTTAAAAAAGATGAATAAAACCAAACTAAAAAACAAGAATGGGTCCAAAATACAATAGGAAACAAAGAAATGAATAAAGTAAAAAAGCAATTCTATAATATTATTATTGGTGTAATGGAACTAAATAGTGAATTGGATTGTTTAAAATTAATTATAAGAGTAATTTAGAAAAATAACTTGCTTTTAAACTTAAATACAAATTTCGAATCTCCAGAGATAAAACGAAACAATGTAGATAAAGTTTTATTTTATTATTTCCATATATTGGATAATATAGTTCAAGACTAAAATATATGCAATGAGAATGACAGAAATATGAAAGAGAATGAACAAGAGGATGAAAGAGAGAATGAAAGATTTGATTTAATTTAGAGCGTCAAAATATCTTTGGAATTATATTTTGTTGTTTAATTATTTTTGTTTCTATATTGTTGGAAATTAGAAATGAGATTATGATGGTATTACTGAATTAGGAAAGTTTGTTATTACAATATGGGGATAAAAAAATAATTGAAGAAATTTTATTTTTTAACAAGGGAAAGATGGTAAAATGATTAAATGATTAAGTTGGTAATTAAATAGATTAAAATAAAAAATAGATAACATAAAAATTGAATTACATAAAAAATCTAAATCAATTAAACATGAGAGTTTTAAAAAAAAAAAAAAAAAAAAATGAAAGGAAGAATATTTAAAGCCCAAATATAAAATAAACCAGCATTGATATTATGCTTATATCAAACAAATCATTCTAATCAAAACAAATGAAAAAAATAAAATGGAAGGTTTCATGATATAAGCATTGAAAAACCAAGAAAAAAAAGCTTGAAAAACCTAGGCAACAGTAACCGATTTGGCCAAGTTACGAGGAAAATCAACATCAATACCCTTTCCAACAGCCAACCAATAACTTGTTAATTGCAAAGGTATAATGTTGAGCAAGCCCTGTAGACAATCAACAGTTAATGGGACTTCCAAAGTAGCAGAAGTGTTACCATCTTTGACAAGATCGTCGCCTTCATTGCAAATGATAATTGGTTTACCAGATCTTGCAGTGACTTGAGCAATAGCGTTTTGAACTTCAGTGAATAAGGAGTCTCTTGTAGCAAAGATAATGATTGGAAGTTTATCGTCTACTAGAGCAAGAACACCATGTTTGAGTTCACCAGCCAAGACACCTTCAGAGTGCATGTAAGAAATTTCTTTAATTTTCAAAGCACCTTCTAAGGCGGAGGCAAATTGGGCACCTCTGCCTAGTAGTAATAGAGATCTTTGGTCATGTAAAACGGTTTCGCATAGTTTTTTGATTTTTTGTTCCAATTGCAAGACTTTTTTAATTTGTTGTGGAATATCTTTTAAACCGTCAATAATTTCTTTGTGACGATTTACGGCGGATATTCTGTCATCGGAAAGAGATAAGGCAATCATGACTAAAGCAATGTATTGAGAGGTGTAGGCCTTTGTTGAGGCAACGCCGATTTCGGGACCAGCATTGATGTGGACACCACAGTGAGTTTGTCTTGAGATAGAGGAACCGACAGAGTTGACGACACCAACAGTTAAGGCACCCTTTTCGATGCAGTATTTCAAGGCAGTCATGGTGTCAGCAGTTTCACCAGATTGGGAGACAAAGATGCAAGTGTCGTCTCTAAAGACAGGGGATCTTCTGTCGACAAAATCGGAGGCCAATTCGACGGTGACGGGGATTTCAGTTAGTTCTTCAAAGGTGGATCTTGTGGCTAGACAGGAGTGGTAGGAAGTACCACAGGCAATCATTATGATACGTCTGCAACGTCTGATAGTTGAGATCCATGATTTGACACCACCTAATTTGACGGTGTGGTTAATGAAATCAATTCTACCTCTCATTGTGTTGAAGGCGGATTCCGGTTGTTCAAAGATTTCCTTTGCCATAAAGTGTTTGTAGGGACCTTTCATGATTTCAGCCAATTCGATTTCTAGAGTTTGGATTGATCTGGTGGCGGAGGCGCCAATTTCCCTTGAAGCTCTGTGAATGTGTAGTTCACCATCGTAGATGTGGGCAATGTCGTCATCTTCTAAAAATAAGACTTTTTTTGTGTGTTGGACAACGGAAGAAGGATCAGAAGATAAGAAAAATTCGACTGGAAGAGGTTCGCCTTCATCGTTGACAAAAGATCTTGAGATTTGGCGACGCAAGTTTTCAGGAACGACAGGGAGGAGGTTTAAAGAGGAGTTCTTTTGAGAGTTGAGGGCTCTTCTTTGTGGAGGGTTAGGAGGGTTAGGAGTGCTTGAATTTGCATCTTGGGGGAACTCTACATCGACAAAATCGACTTTTAATTTTCTTTCAGTTTTAACACCGATTAAAAGAGGAGAACCCTTTCTAGTGGCTATGACTTCATCTGGGTAGTGAGAAGATTTTACTAATAGACCATACGAGCCTTCTAGTTCGAATAGGACTTGTTTGAAGAGGTGGTGAAAATCCAATTCAATACCGGAGGCAAGATTTGTGTCGTAGATGTGTTTAAATAGTTTTGCAATGCACTCGGTGTCAGTTTCACTGTCAAAGACAAAGCCTTTGCCTTGCAAAAGGATTTTGATATCTTTATAGTTTGTTATGATACCATTGTGGACGACAAGAAACTCGTTATTGAGGTCTGAGCTTTGGGGATGACAGTTGACAGGTTTTGGTTCACCATGGGTGGCCCATCTTGTGTGAGCAATACCGACGTGGTTGGAAAAGATCTTTGATCTGTTGATGTCAGCAGAGTCAATTTTGTTTCTCAAGGCGACGACTTTGCCAATTTCCTTGAAGACCAATTGGTCGTTGTTGTCACCATCCACAGCGAGACCTGCAGAATCGTAACCTCTATATTCCAATCTTTCTAGACCTTGGACGAGGGTTTCAAGAATTTCGCCTCTTGATTTTTCGACTAGATAGTTGCAGTAACCGAAAATTCCACACATTTGAAGATATTGAGTATTGTATGATTAAGCGATTGAATGGATGGGGAGGTAAAAGAGACAAGAGATGGAAAGTGGAAGATGTGTAAGGGTATATTATAGAGAATAGAGTAAACAATATTATAAATAATATTATAAATAATATTGTAAATAATATTGCAAAATAATAAACCAAGTATCAGAGAAGAGATGAAAAGAAAGGGAAGAGTTAAAGCAGAGAAAAAGTAAAAATAACAGGAAATCTGGCCAATATATATTGGAGGCAATAAGGTTACTGCTATTTGGCTTTTGCGTCGTGACAAATAAACAAGCACCGCTGGGTTTCGAGCTTCGACCCCAGGCGCGCCCACTGATTGGTTGTGCGTGCAGGGCGCCCAGCCCAGCCAGACCTATAAATAACCTCCTGCGCGCCGCGGCACAGGGTTGGGTTCTTGCTTCATTGCCTCTCCCCGTGATCAGGCTCTGGCGCGCACAGGTGCATGGTGCTGCCGCTGGTCTCACTCTGCTCGCGAACTTGGCTCGTCTCTGAGAGTGCTATTGGCGGGAGCAGCACCAAATCCACCACCACGGAGCCCCCATTTTCTCTGGTCGGCATTTTGCTGTGCATTTCTGGTCCTCAATAGTCCTTAGTGGTGGAATGGTACTGGTTGCCTAGGACAAAGCACACACAGTTCCGCTCTCTCTTCCGCTTCGAGGCAGAGCACGTGTGACACCGAAGCTCCACACAATCCAGTTCAAACGGGCAGAGAAACTTTCCAGATCGCAGCCCATGCATTATTTTGTACCGAGCAGGAAAAAAGAAATGACACTTGTGTTTTCGCCTCATCACAGCCAGATGTGTCACGTGATCACGCATGTGACTCTGTTTAAGGGATTTATTCCGGAAACTGCAGGTCCCAATCCCAGACACGGTAGAGATGAAAGAAAATCTGGCAGTGGGCTATAGCGCCAACGGATTTTCCTTTGCAATATTCCTTTTGATGGTAATTCTCGAAAATGACACTTTTTGTTGCTACCTACGATGAAAAGTCAACATCAAATACCAGCAAATGAAGCTAAGGGAAAGGCACACGTTACCAGATATTCAGGTTGCTGGTTGTAATTTATTTCATCCAGCACGAACAATAAAGAAAGCTGAGGTGTCTTGAAAATGTCTTGATCTGGCGTTTGTAATACCCTGACAAGCAGGACAAATACACGGGCCGCGGTGCCGATACTGCCAACTACCCCCGCAAAATCAGCACGGCAAATCCTGATAGGGTTGTGGTTGCGCAGACTACGCGGTGGCCAGCCCAGACGCGGTGCTGAGGCAGAAATCGATGGCGAGTCACAAAGATTGTTTGGGCATGTTTGAGCATGTTTGGGCATGTTTGGGTATTATTGTGTTCGAGACCGTGCTGGTTGTTCCGGCGTCGACACCAAAGGCACCGGTATTGCCTGTTGCAGCGGCCGGAACTGCGAGTGTGCTGTTTCTGCTGCGTGGACGACGGCTCTGGCAAGCTCTGCCGGGTTTCTGGGCCTGTGGGAGCGCTTGTCGGGCTTTTGTAGGACGAGAGAGCGCGGGGCCGGTGCGAGGGCGGGCCGGAATGCCTGGATTTTCGCAGATTGCAAAAGTTGTTTCTTCCTCATTTCAGTCTCGCTCTCAATAGATTCTACTGCTTGCACTCCTGCTGCTGTTTCCCACTGGCAACTTGCTAACAGCTTCTCACAACCTTATCTTCCACCATCGCTCACAATAACAAAAACACTCCCCAAACATGTAGCTGCTTCTTCTTCTCTTTTTATCTTTATTCATCCCTTTGATCTGCTAAATGATCTACTCATTGCTTATATTCCATTTAAAAATAGTAATTATTGTTTTTTCTCTCTTATTTCTTGCTCTCCAATGCCATTATACTAATATTCTTCAATATTTAACAACCTTCTCTTCTTTCATCACCTCCATCATCACCGCCATATCATTTCCACCATTTTCCTCTTTTCTTCTATTTTTTATATATATCTCCTTATTAAAAAGGCAATATTTCAAATAAAGTAATCCCAATATACTTTCTTCATTGCATATCATCTTCAATCACTTTCAACCATATTCAACCACTTTCAATTATATTATATTATACCATATTGGTCTGATTTATATTACATATAGACATATATATATAAATATATATATATATCAATATATATATATATCAATATATATCAATATATATATATATCAATATATATCAATATATGCTTGCTTCAATATCATATCTTCTTCATCTTTAATTACCACAATTATATTACTTCATTATTATGTTAATTAATACCACCATCTCTAATTCTTTCCTTAATTCTTTCCTCAATTAACTTTATCACCACTTCTACTAATAATACCTTCTACTCATTTCAATCACAAAATTCTTTTTTCTATCTTTCTCTCAATAATTTTTCTTTCTTAAAATTTTCTCATTTGGCTTGTTTTTTTTGTTAATTTGTTGTTGTTTGTCTCGTTTTTTTGATCTTTGATCTTTGATCTTCATCTGGTTTTCTTCAAAACTGTTCACTCGTTGATATAATTTTCTCAATTCTTTTCTTTTTTTTTTCTTGGTTTATCTTTGGTTTGGTTATATTCTCAAAATTAAATCAAAAAATCTTTAAAAATCTTTAAAAAAATTAAAAATTAAAAATTAAAAATTAAAAATTAAAAATAATCATTACACTCGTTTCTAAAATTCATCTCTAACTCATCTCCAACTATTCTCAATCATTATTAATAATTCCCAATAATTCTTATTCAAATCCTTTTCAACTATTTTCCTTATCAACTCGACAATTGAAATTCTTCACCAATATCACTAATATTACAAACCCTCCTTACTAAAAATTTTATAATGCAAATCCATGGTCTTGCTTCTCTACCGCACTTTGTAATATTTCTATTCTTCCTCATCTTCATCTTCAATATCACCAATGTTTTATCAATTCCCTCAATCGGCTTCCCCTTCCAACACCAGCTACCACCCATAGCAAGAGTAAACCAATATTACACATTCACCCTAAATAATCAAACCTTTATTCCCTCCTCCTCTTCTTCCCCCATCTTAAACTACTACATCGACCACCTACCCAATTGGCTCTCCTTCAACCAAAACAATTTCACCTTATCTGGAACCCCTTCTTCAAATCACGTCTCAGATAACATATTTTTCTCTTTAACTGCTTCAGATTCTACTGGCAACATTTCTCAATCTTGCTCAATTATAGTCTCTCAAAACTCTTCTCCCCAACTAAACTCTTCTTTATCAATTTCATCCCAATTATCAAACTATGGTCAAACAAATGGCCTTGATGGCTTAATTATAATACCAGGCCAATCTTTCTCACTTTCAATCGACCCCAATATTTTTTCTTCAAATTCATCCCTAACTTACTATGGCAGATATTCAATGAGAACTTCTCTCCCAAGCTTCATCAACTTTGATTCAGCCAATTTGACCTTCTATGGAACTGCCCCTTCAGTCAATTCCCAAATTGCCCCCAGTCTTGAATACCCTCTTGTTTTAATCGCATCAGATTATGAGGGCTTTTCTGCTCTCGAAACACAATTTAAATTAATCATTGGCGCCCACCAACTATCAACTTCAATCAACTCCATAATCAACATCCCCATATCCACAAACTATTCCTTCACCTACCCAATTCCCCTATCCGATATCTATCTTGATAACCAGCAAATATCCCATCAAAATATCTCTGCCATCACTTTGCCACCAGAAACTCCCACCTGGATTCAAATCGATACCGACTACAACATCCATGGAACTGTCCCCAATAACCAAACTGAAAATCTCGATTTCATCCTTTCGATTTACAACATCTACGACGACTATATCAATCTCCCTTTTCAATTAAATGTATCTAGCTTATATGATCATAACGATATCGATAACGATAACGATAACGACAACCAAGATGCTCTCAGCCGCCTCTTCACAGTCGATTCTCTCAACAACGTCACTGCCGTCCCCGGCTCTTTTTTCACACACGCCTTGAATGAATCTCTTTTCACCTCCCTCTCCCAAACCCTCGTCACTGCTGAATTTGCTTCTCATGCTGCCTGGTTATCTTTTCACTCTTCCAATTTGACTTTCAACGGAAATGTTCCCGACTCTTTTGAGTCTTTGCAAGTCCTGCTAATAGCATCGTTGAACACCAACTATTTCTATCATAAAAGAGATCTGTTCACCAATCAATTGTCTTTTACAATTATCAGCAATGGTCTGGATGTAGCCCCCATTTCCTCTGGAACTAACTCAGATACAAAAACATCCTCCTCAAATAGCTCAAGAAGAACATTGATAATAACTTTAAGTGTTGTGCTATCTTTTGTCCTGCTTTTAGCCATTGGGTTATTGATTTTTTTCTTATATCGCCATCATCATTCAAATGATAAAAATAATGAAAATAATAAAAACAATAAAAATGATACCGAAAAACAAATCAGTGACTACACTTCGAGTCCAGATACAAGCCATGATAAGACAATTACTTCATCTTCTTCAATACCCAAATTCCCTAAATGTATTTTAAATCAAAATTCTCATCAAAAAGAATCCCATCATCACAATAATATTATTAGTGGTAATGCCACTACTAGTGCTGCTACTGATAATAATAATAATAATGGAAATCAAAGTGGTAATTCAAATTCAAACACAGCACATGCCAAGTTGAATTCTGAGGTTTCTACATCTGATTCTGTAACACCCTCCGAGCTTGAAAATTCAAGAAAACTAGGAAATTTAAATGTTATGAAATTGGAACAAAAAAATTTCGGATTAAATAAGCAAAATGAAACTAATTCCAACTTAAACGATAAACAAATAAACAGGAAATTAACAAATAACTTTTCAAAAGAAATTTTTGACAAATCCATGACGCCTTTAAGAATAAATATTAGTTCAGAAACATTCAATTCCACGGCATCATCCACTCCAAAGGCATCATGGAGAAGAAACATCGAAACCACAAATAAAGAAAATGGAAGAGAATCAATGAATTCTCTAGCTACAGTGCCGACCAATGAATTATTTAGTGTGAGGTTAGTTGATGAAGCTAATGCAGGAAATATGCTCCTCAATAACGATGCAAATATAAACAGAAATACCAATACTCCTGGCAACAGGAACTCGGCTACCAGCTCCAAATACTCTGCTAACACAGATAGCATATTGTGCCGAGAAGATAGTGGAAATGTGAAAAGATTGGATTCTGACGGAAATGTGATTGGATCTGTGAGAAGCCAGGGAAGAAAGTACCATAACCAGTACCACCATTCAAGAGTTTCAACAATGACATCTTCTAATTTGGGAGTTGTTGAGGAAGAGGAAGGCGTACATACATCGCCATTAAAAATACGACACTATAAACAGTATTCGCAACCTCCATTGGACAGTTCTTCTCTGATCAATTCCAGATCAAGATCAGGGACACTATCATCCAGGTCGGGAGGCTCAGGAGGCTCAGGAAGATCGTCTATATCACATTCAGCTTCCAATTCCTTTGGATCATATCGTCACCGAAGATCCAGATCAATGGTGTATAATACAGATTTACAAAACTCTCAGTTTGAATCTGACAGTATGTTCACATTTGAAAGCGGAGAAAACTCTCAACCTGAACAGGCTGGATCATCGTCAGAATCTAATTTTCCTATTACTCATGTTCTCAACCATTTGCCAGAACTTGAAAATGAGAGTTTGTACGTCCAGGACGACACAGAAATATCAGAAAAAGAAACCAGGTTTGGAGAGTTGGAGAATGTGGGAGCAGTGGAAATCCAGTCAACTCCTGATTCTGGCAAGCGTCGGGAGCTTGAGGGTAAATCCGGGACCATTATTAACTACTAGAAATTGCCTTCTTCTTCAAACATTTAATGCTACATTTTTTCATTCTTTTACTTTTTCATTCTTTGAATCTTTTAATTTTTTAATGCTTGTTTTTCGTTCTCGTTGCTGTTTTTACTTTGCATTCATGAAAAGTACTAATGTGTAATCTACGCTGGGGTTTTGTTTTCTGGTTTTTTTTTCTATGTTTCTTATTCTGTATTGTTGTTTGTTTTGTTTTCTTCCAGGGCTCCAAGGCTACCCCTGAGCAATGCTATTGTGTCTATTGTTTTGTCTTTTGCTGTCTTTTGCTGTCTTTTGTTTTTTGGCCCTTTCTCGTTTCTGTGCTCTAATATCAAGCAACATTCGTTCAGCACCACTTCCGCACACTTCCGCGCACTTCCATACACTTCCGTACACTCCGCGCCTCATCCGCTTCTGCGGACCAAAGCATTACACGGCGGAGTGCACGTGTATTCCGGCCGCGGGCGCTAAGATCTTGGTGATTTGTCACCTACCGCTGTGGTATGTTTACTGATATAAGTTAGGCGGGAGCTGGAGATCTCGCTTTCTCACCTTCTTATATCTTCTTTTTGCCTGCCAGGTCTGATATTTATATATCTCTCTGTTTTGCTGTTTTTCCATCTCTTTCTGCAATCCATCTATTTCATCAATTACCATGAACAGACTTAAGGAAGTACGTACTAGCTACCCATCGCTCTCTTTTTGCTCTGGCTTTGTTTATTTTTGTGTGTTTTTCATTTTCTGTGCCATACTGAATTAAATAGGGACCAGCAAAAGGAAAACAAAAAAATAAAAAAAACCACTCAAGCACTCGAGATAGATCCACAGGATGTGTACACGACATTCAATTGGTCTTGTTTGTTTTTTTTTTCTTCATTTGCAAATATTAATAATCTATCTGCTTACTAACTTATTCTTTAATTCTTTTAGAAAATTGAAAGTTTAAAACTTGAAACCGTAAAATGGCAAGAAACTGCTGAACAATTACAAGAAAAGATCAAAGTCTTGGAACAAGAAAACCTTGAAAAGGACAATCAAATCCAATCTTTGACCGTCAAAAATGAAAGATTAGAAGGTGAAGCTGAAAAATTAGAAGGCCAACTTGCTAAATTAAAAGAAAGTGCTGAAGAATCAACTTCTTTAAAGACACATAACGATAACTTTACAAAGAAAAACCAAATGTTGGAAGATGAATTAGAAATCTCTGATAAAAACTTGAAAGAAACAACTCAAAAATTAAGAGAGACTGATATCAAAGCTGAGCAATTAGAGAAAAAAGTCAATAGTTTAGAAGACCAAAAAGAAGAATTGGAAAAGAAATACGAAGAATTAAAAGCTAAAAATAAAATTGTCGAAGACGAATTGGAAGCAATCTCTTCTCAACTTGATGCTCTATAATCTGATTCTGTCTAATTCTATCTGCTTGTTGAAAATTCTCTTTACCTTTTACTCTTTAAATTAATCATCCAATCGGTTAATTAACTATTTAATTAATTGATTGATTCTATTATTTAAATATATCATCTATATCACTTATATCATCTATATCATTTATATCATTTTCATTAAATGATCGCCCCTTTAATTGATTCTCATTGTTTTTGATTTATGTTTTTGACTACTTATTCCCTACTTTTCATTTGTTATTTACTATCAATAAATGTCCTTTTTTAACATTCTTTTTTTCTCTCTTAACTCTTTTCTTTCAATTTTTACTAACAAAAAGAAGTTGCTGTTTGCTATTTACATAGAAATTCTTTTGGTTTTCTTTTTCATTTATCTATCTCCAATCGCAAAAAATTCCTCTCAATCTCAAGAATTTCGTATTTCCACCTCAACTACATTCTTCGAATATAAAAGAACGAACTTCTAGTTCCATGCTTAAGGTTTGGTATGATTTCTAAGCTGTGTTGCAAAGATTATCTAATATTTAGGTAATCTGGATTATGTAAGTTTTCACGGTTTAACCCACGGAAAAAAATTTTACAGTTTAAATTTTTCATTATTTTTCAATTTTTTTTCTGGTGCATAAACATTGGAATAGATCTGAATATATATATCGGTTTATATCTGATTACACTGTTTTGCTAAAATCCTTCAATACTCAAGACTCAAGACTCTGTTGTAATATATCATATATCTCATTCAATTCATTCAATGACAGTCAAGTTCTCTACCTTGAAAACTCAGAGGCGTTTTCAAAATCCCCCAAAGAATAAATCTGCTTACCCTTTATTAACCGAAGCTGTTCAACCTCACATTGGCTCCTTCAATGGCTTGACTGAAGGTCCTGATGGTGGTATATTAAACTTGGCTGTAAAAGATATTGGCTCAATTACTGTTTATGACAACAATGATCCTTACAGAGTTGGAAACAAAATCAAAATTAGAGTAGATTCGGTTCAATTGGCCAAACCTGCTGTCACGCAAAATGATACCATTTCTCTTAACAGAAGAATATATCCTGTAGAATGTCGAGAAAGACATACAACTTATAGAAGTCGTCTACTACTAAAAGTTTGTTGGTCGGTTAATGATGGCGAAGAACTCTCTCAAACAAGAGAAGCCGGCCAAATTCCTATCATGGTCAAGTCAAATAGATGCCATTTAGAATCTCTTTCTCCAGATGAATTAGTAAAAGCTAAAGAAGAAAGTGATGAATTAGGTGGTTATTTTATCGTAAACGGTATTGAAAAAATTATTCGTATGTTAATTGTTCCTCGTCGTAACCATCCAATGGCTATAATACGTCCTTCTTTTCAAAATAGAGGAACTTCTTATTCAAAATTCGGTGTTTCTATAAGATCGGTTAGACCTGATCAATCTTCTCAATCAAACGTTTTACATTTTTTGAAAGATGGTAATGTAACTTTTAGATTTTCTTGGAGAAAAAACGAATACTTAATTCCAGTAATGATAATATTAAAAGCCTTGGTCGAAACGAATGATAGGCAGATTTTTGATGGTTTAGTTGGTTCTGATACTTCAAATTCCTTTTTAACCGATCGTCTTGAAATCTTATTAAGATCTTTTAAATTTTATAACTTGTTCACAAAAAATGAAACTTTATCCTATTTAGGTGATAAGTTTAGAGCAGTATTTGGGTTTTCAAAAGACGTTACTGATATTGAAGCAGGAGAACTGATCCTTCAAAAAATTGTTCTTGTTCATTTATCCAATAACAATGATAAATTCAAGTTGCTTCTATTCATGATTAGAAAATTATACACTTTGGCATCCTCAGAATGCTCTCCTGATAATCCAGATAGTGCTCAACATCAAGAAATATTGCTTGGTGGTTTTCTTTACGGTATGATCATCAAAGAAAAAATCGAAGAATATCTCAACAATTTTAGATTACAAATTCAAACAGATATAACTAGAGGTATTGCCATAAATTTTGAGGATAAAAAGTATATTTCTCGGTGTTTTCTGAGAATGAATGAAAATATAGGTCAAAAGTTGCAATATTTCCTCTCAACTGGTAACTTGATTTCTCATTCCGGTCTAGATTTACAGCAAGTTTCTGGCTATACTGTTGTTGCTGAAAAAATTAACTTTTACCGTTTTATCTCCCATTTTCGAATGGTTCATAGAGGTTCTTTTTTTGCTCAATTAAAGACTACAACAGTTCGTAAATTATTACCTGAATCTTGGGGTTTTCTCTGTCCTGTACATACTCCAGATGGTTCTCCCTGTGGTTTATTAAATCATTTGGCACATAAATGTATAATTGCAACTCAAGATTCCGATGTATCCAAGGTGCCCGAACTTTTATATTTATTGGGTGTTTCACCTTCTCATACTCATGCTGCAGGTCCTAATTTTAGTTGTGTACAACTAGATGGCAGAATTATAGGTTGGTGTACACATGAAGATGCTAGAATTATAGCAGACAGTTTAAGATATTGGAAAGTTGAAGGTAAACATAATATACCTTTAGATTTAGAAATCGGTTATGTTCCACAATCTGCAAAAGGTCAATATCCAGGATTGTTTTTATTTGGTGGAAGGTCTAGAATGATGAGACCTGTTCGTTATTTAGCAAATGATAAAAAGGATATTGTTGGACCATTTGAACAAGTCTATATGAATATTGCTGTTACTCCAGAAGAAATCATAAAAAACATACATACACATGTTGAATTTAAACCAACTAATATTTTATCAATCTTAGCAAACTTAACTCCCTTTTCCGATTTCAATCAATCACCGCGTAATATGTACCAATGTCAGATGGGTAAACAAACAATGGGTACACCAGGTACTGCTTTGGTTCATAGATCTGATAACAAATTATACAGATTACAATCTGGACAAACGCCAATTGTCAAATCAAAATTATATGATGAATATGGTATGGATAATTTCCCCAATGGTACAAATGCAGTTGTTGCTGTAATTGCCTACACTGGATATGATATGGATGATGCAATGATAGTTAATAAATCAGCAGATGAAAGGGGTTTTGCGTATGGTGTTGTTTATAAAGTCGAAAAAATTGATTTATCGCTCAGTAGAAGAAGGGGAGATCCAATTACTCAACATTTTGGATTTGGAACTGATCAATGGCCAGAAACTTGGAGAGAGAAATTGGATGCTGATGGGTTACCAATAATTGGTGTGATGGTCAATGAGGGCGATCCAGTTGTTGCATATTATGATGATACATTAGGAAAAACCAAATGCAAAACATACCATTCTTCTGAAGCAGCATATATTGAGGAAGTTAAATTAGTTGGAGATGATAATGTTGATCAAGAATCACAAATTATAACAATTAAATATAGAATACCACGTCATACTCAAATTGGTGACAAATTTTCATCAAGACATGGTCAAAAGGGAACATGTTCAAGAAGATGGCCTACGGTTGATATGCCATTTAGTGAAAGTGGTATTCAGCCGGACGTTATTATCAATCCTCATGCTTTCCCATCACGTATGACAATTGGTATGTTTGTTGAATCTCTTGCGGGTAAAGCTGGAGCACTACAGGGGATTGCACAAGATGCTACGCCATGGAAATTTGATGAAACAGATACACCAGCCGATTTCTTTGGTGAACAGTTACTAAAATCTGGATTTAATTATCATGGAAATGAACCAATGTATTCTGGAGTAACTGGGGAAGAAATGAGAGCTGACATATATATTGGAGTTGTTTATTATCAAAGATTGCGTCATATGGTTAACGATAAGTTTCAAGTTAGATCTACAGGGCCAGTTAATTCATTAACAATGCAACCTGTTAAGGGACGTAAAAGAAGTGGTGGTATTCGTGTTGGAGAAATGGAAAGAGATGCATTAATTGGGCATGGCACAGCATTTTTATTACAGGATAGATTATTGAATTGTTCAGATTACACACAAACATCTATTTGTCGTGAATGTGGATCGATTTTAACAACACAAGCTTCAGTACCAAGAATTGGAGCACAATCTACAGTGAGATGTAGACGTTGTTCAGTGAAAGTTGAATCAAATAAACTACCAAGTAGTTTGGGAGTTGATGATGCAAGTGTTTGGGAAGATGGGCAAGGAAATAGATTTCTTGGTGGACAAAATACAACTACAGTTGGTATACCATTTGTTTTAAAATATCTTGATTCTGAATTAGCTGCAATGGGTATCAGATTGCGTTATGAGGTTACACCTAAATAGATTATATTTATATTTTATATTTTATATTTCTGTGGTTTTTTTTTCAATTTGTAATTTTTTTTTTTTTTTTTCATTTATTATGCCATCATTTTTTTTCGATAATTTCTTTTTATATTATTTTCCTTTTTGGTATTCAAAACACTGAAATATTCATTTATAGAAAAAATAACGAAAGCCTAAAAAAAAAAATAGAGATATAGATATGTACATACAGATAATATTAAAGAATATAAACAATTCAGTTATATTGAATTGGATTGAATTTGAGTAAATTTGAGTAAATTTAATGTAATTCAGTGCAATTAGGTGGAATTAAGTTTTATAATTAATTGATTAATTTTAGCAATAATTTATTCAATGACGTTTCTTGGAGGCACTACTTGTTTAGAATTGAGAATTTTTTTGTTTTTATCAAAAGAAGACCATTCTTCACCCAATATTCCAGCTTTTTGAAATAATCTTATAACAGTTTTACTTGGTTGAGCACCAACACCTATCCAATATTTTGATTTTTCAAAATCTAGTTCAATATCCTTAACGAGTTTGACAGGCAAGTCTTCTTTGGGGGGAATTAAAGAAGAGGGATTTATTGGTCTTGGGATTGGATTATAAGTTCCTAGGACTTCAATTGGTTTACCATCTCTACGAGATCTAGATTTAGCAACCACAATATTGTATAGAGGAGAATTTCTTCTACCGAATCTTGCAAGTCTTATTCTAATACAAGGAGCCATTTTTATTTTGTTTTGTTTTTGTTTTTGGTTGTATTGGTTTATTAAAAAAGCTCCTGGAGATATAGGTTTGTTGTGAAGAGCAAAAAATTAATATTGAATATTTAAGATAATGAAAAAACTCGAAGAAATCATTATGAGATTGAAAATAATGTAAAGTTAAAAATAGCACGTGATGGAAAAAACGTGATTTGAGAGATTACATTGGGTAATATTGCTTGATAGCATTATTGGTATTAATTGAGTATTAGATTAGATAATATAAGGTATGAAGTTGTTAAGGGAGGTTTAGAAATATGTGAGAAAGTATCTAAACCTCATCCAAATGATTCATGGTTGAAAAAGATTGAAGAAGATTGAAGAAGATTGAAGATGATCGAAGATGATTTGATAATAATTCGATTTGAAAGTGCAATTAAATTATTCAATTGCAAATGGTGGTGGGAATATATATGTGAGAATATGCATTTGTATGCATAACTCCACGTAGCCACAACTGTGGGTGTGTTGGGAAGAAAAAAAAAGGAAGAAATATGAGGAGAAAGAAAGAAACCGAATTGAATTGAGTTGAATTGAATTGAAGTAGAGGAAAGTGGATGAAAGTGAATTGAAGTGAATAAAATGAATAAAAATTGATAAAAAAATAGACAAGTGAAATAAAAAAGTTAAAGAGTGAAAGAAATAGCAAATTGCACAGGGTTTCAGAAAAAGAAAAGCAGGGGTTTATAATGGACTAAAAGAAAGATAATAAATTCATTAAATTTAATGAATTTAGCGAGTTTAATGCAGAGAGCGATTTTGGCTTATATGAATTGTAAATTATAAAATCAATATGAGATTAGTTGACTAAATAGAAATTCGCCAAAATATGGGATAAAAACAAAGCATAATTAGTAAAGTTGAGTTGAGATGGGAAAAAAATGATTAAGTAGAAACTAAATTTTTAGATTTTTAGATTGCTATTTAGATTGTTTGTAAATGTTTAAACGAAATTGAATTTCTATAGATCATTAAATTCATAAATAACTTATTAAATTTTTTTGAACTTACTGAGTTTGGAATCAATTCCTTGGGAAATTTCTTGGGAAATTTCTTGTGGGTTTCTTGCGAATCTAGTAAAGCCAAATTAGTGAATAGAGTATCTTTAGAAGAATTGGACCAACCAGTGAAAAATTCCAATGCAATAGTCACCGCATTTGAGTAGAAAAACTCGAGGTGGTGTAGACGAATGAAATAAGATGGAATTTACTCAAATTTGGTTTGAAAAAGAAAAAGAGCAAGAAGATTAATGAATAAGGAGATGAACTCTCAGGAAAAAATATTCAGCTAGATGTTTCTTCGAAATGGTAATTATTGAAAATAGCAGTTATTACAAAGATTGTCGAACAAACCAATGTAACTTCAGTGAAGGTATTGCTTTATGAGTTGCTTTAATATTGATGGATGATATGGTCTTGTTTTAGAGGCTCCAGTACCAGCATAACGATTCCAGCAGCTGGATGTAAATACAATCACGCGCAGAAAAGTGGGTAAAAAACAGTCTGTTTGACACCCTCCGGATGAAAAAGTGGGATTCCTCAACAAAGAAGCAGAGGTTGGGAGAAAGCTGGGAAAGATCTTGGTACGCTGCGTGAGAGCTCCGGACCCAAACAAATCCCCTCTGACGGTGGGACTCAGGTCGTGGCAGGCACCATAAAGCGCGTGCACTCCACGTGGCTGCCCTGCTCTAATAAAGAAGGCTGATGCATAGTCTGCTACAAGTTTGAGAAAATGTTTGATTGTCTCTTGCTTGGCAACTATAACGTTTAGATTTTCCACTAGACGTTGGGGGATCAAAACCTTGCAGCAGGACCTGCTCTAACTGAGATTGTCCAACCCAACGTGCCCTAGTACTGGGAGCAGACCTACTGCTCCATAGAAGAAAAATCTGTTTTCAGGCTCTAACTGCTGGCGGACTGCGGATAGCTCTGTCTTGTTTTGCAATAAGCAATCCAAACAGTTTATGGAGAGAAAGCAAGCCCAAACAGTGGAAGATAAACTTCGATAAGCTTACACCTAAAAGTAGAAATTTAAAAGTTGAAGCGTCAAGGCTAGAATTATGGTTGAAACTAAATTTTAGATTGGAGCTTAAAAGTTAATGCACAAACGTGCAAAAGTGACCCAAACGGTGTTCGTTTTCTTGTTTCTGTTTCCTTGCTCAGAAGAAAAAACAAACGAACTGGCTCTTGTAACAGTGTTTTGACTGGAAGCTGTCTTCTAAACACATGGTGTACCCACAGTCACTGCTGAATCTGCCGATGGTGCAACAAACGGCTGCGAGAAAACAGCTGCGAGAAAACAGCTGCAAGAAAACCGCCGTCACCATCACAATCGTGGAAACGCCCACAGACCTGGATTGTAGGCGGTGTTCCCGGCAACAGCCCGCAGTCCGCTGCACAAAAAAACCGTATTGCACGTGATATGAGGGGTTGATGTACAAGCCGTGGTGTCTTGTGTCAAGTAACATGCGTATCTAGGCAAGCCACCGCTGTTGGACGCGCGCTTAGATTACACTATTGTGATTGCGTAACGGCCACAACAGAGGTGTGTACAACACCCGCAAAAACAGGCGTAACAAGACTGTGCTGACTCAGTAGTGACCAATAGGACTAGCAGAAATGCTCAACGGTGCAAGCGTTTCCTGCTTGAGAAAAGCTTATCCTGCGGCCCTATGCGGGTATTTCTGGTTTATGCCTTAGTTAGGGTTTACGCACACCAACGCAGTTCGCTTAGGGTTTTCTCAACTGTTCCAACTCTAACTGCTCTATTTTCCAGTTTAGCGATTTTGCTTCTTAGGTTTTTTTGCTATCTTTCTCGCCTATCTTTCAGAATCTCATATAAATATTATCATTTTCCATCTGCTTTCTCTTCTGCTCTTATGTGATTCTTTTCGAAGGATTTCTTGTGAGACTTTGCTTTTACTTCTTATAATTCTTGTTTCTTTTATAAACTTGCCAATTTTTTATTATATCTACTTGCTTTTCTCTCTCTCCACCACATATCAACCACACACCATATCTGTCTTATATACCTACCATACATTCTGGCCTATATATATACCCATATATATACACATATATACACCTCGTCATATACACATTTCAAAATGGCCTCATCTATTCCCAGAAGCATTCTGCAACCTAATTCTCAAATACAATGGAACTCTTCTTTCTTGTCAAACTCTTCATCTCTCTTTGACTCATACAACACAAACCCAACTTCACAGTCTGCCCCAAACTCTCCAATAACTTCAAATGACGACATCAAAATAACTCCAACTCTTGAAGAAATTCTATCTGAGCAATCCTCCTGTCCTTATTCCAAATTCGAATTTGCAAATTTTCTTAAAAAGACGTTTTGTTACGAAAATTTAAAATTCTTAATGGAGCTAGAAAATTTCATTAATCTATTAAACAACAATAATCAAGAAAACTTGAATTATCTAAAAGTATTCTGGCTAAATCTATCAAATGATTTTATAAAGGTAAATTCAGAAAATGAAATCAATTTATCTGCCACAAGAAGAAAACAATTATTATCCACTTTTGACAATAACAATAAAATTAAGCTTGATTGCTACAGCATTAAAGCTTGTCTCTACACTGATCCCAATTCATCCTTGAACATTCCTTCAAAAAAACTATTATCCGAAACAATTATTGACATCAAAGAATTACTAAGAGATGCCTACTTGGGCTTCTTAACCTCTGTCGAAAACAATGAAGATAATATCAATTACATTGGTGAATATGAAAACAATTATGATAACTTTACAAACTCTGTTAAAAATGGCAATTACATTGATTATTGGGATTCAAATTACTGCCTATCAAACTCGAATAACAATAAAGTCAATAACAATACTTTTCAATCATACGATGATTCTAATTTATCTCCCTTGGACACAATTTGTGTCTTGAATATTCAAAATACTTCTCCTACCATCACCACCACCACCACTACTACTACTACTAACAATAACAATAACAAAACAAAAAAGAAAACAATCACTCCCTCTAAACAAACATCTAATAATACTAACCCCAATCCTAGATCTTTAAACAGTAATTCCGCTTTAATACTGAGAATCACTTATCAACAACAACTAGAAATCGCTTCAATAATATCCGATGGCTCAAAAGTTAGATCAAAGTCTTCTAAACCTTCTAAATTATCCAAAGCTAAAAGAGGCTCGGTTTCAAGTGTATCTGGAAGAAGAAATTCAAACTTCAAACCTGAAGATGCTTCAAAATTACCAAACCATCTTCCTTCTTCCACCTATATTCAAAGAACTGCTAAACATAGAAAGTCGCTAATGTCTTTTAAAATTAACATGAACAACGACACTACTAATAGCAGTAATAATAACTCCCAATCTCAACCTCAAAATAATCTCGAATCTTGGAAGGAAAAACTTTTAAAGTGGAGAAGACCATCAGCTATTAAAGCCAAAGGTTTAGCTCGTTAACTTGTTTTGTATTTTGTTGTTTTATTTTGTTTTTTTATGTTGTTATATCGTGTTATTTGTTTTTTCAAATTCATTTTTCAAAATTTTTCAAAGAAAAAAATTACCTTGTTGCACTTCCTTTATTGCTCTTAATTTATCTTGAAAATTTTGTATTTTGTATTCTACATATATTTCCTAATTATCTTTTTATCATTCTTGTTGGTTAATGTTTTATCACACTCTTCATATTGCTAATTACGGATGTTCTAATGAATTTAATATTGAATCAATAATGTTGAAAAAAATTCCTTTTTTTTCTTTTATATTTTTGTCATCATTCATTTGGGGTTTTCAATTTTATATAATTACATGGTCATTGTAACTTCCATAGTTATCTTCATATTTATTTTTATTTTTATGTTGATATCTTTATATCACTTGCTAAAATTTCATTTTTTACTTTTTTTTTCCATCATACCTATATACTATAGTGCTCTTTTGATAAGTTTTTACTTCTTTTAGGGGGGTTTTCATGCTTTGTTTGGTGTTAAAATTTTAATGAAAATACAAATTTAACAATATATTTTATTTTTTTTTACTTTCTTACATTACTGTAAATCGTTTAGTTTACCAAATAAAAATCAAATTAAAACCAATATAAATACAAGAAAAGGCATTTGAATTGATAAATTTCTGATACAAAAAGCAAAGATCAAAAATCATAAAACAAAAAAAAAATTATCATTTAAAAATTAATAAACTGAATACAAAAGAATTAAAAAAAAAGAACTCTGTAGCAAATTGTGGTTTCTATGATCAATTTTTGTTCTGACTTAAAATGCTGCCAAACATTCAATGAAAATCTGCAAAGATCTATTAAATCTTAACCTCAATATCATTCAAATGATTCCAGCCTACAAAATCTGAAGAACCAAACTTCAAAAACCACAATTGCAAGTTATTGTAATCTATAGTACGATTTATTTACTTCCTGAACCAAAACTCAATTAGAATAACAGCCTGAAATGAAAATATAAAAATAGACAAAATTAAAAGCAAAAAAAAAAAAGAAAACAAAAAAATATTTGAATAATACTTTCAAACCCAAATTTAAACAAAACCCATATCTCTTAAACAGAAATCTTTTCTTGAGCTGTTCTTAGTAAAAGGCACCATGAAATAACTTGCAAACAAACTGTTTTCATAAACAAAGAAATGGAACATTAGTTGTTTGCTAGAATGGGGAAAACATATTTGTGATCCACTGATTTTGCATTCTTTTAATCAAATTCAGGTTTTAGCAGACTTTTCTATAGAAAAGGATAACTGTTACTGAAACTTTCGCAAACTTTGCATTTTGTTGTAAACAATATCATTCGCCAATGTGGCCAGGCTCAAATGTTGCTCCTGAATAACCACAGCATTTTATCTAGCTGCTTAACCACTAACAACTTGGAACAATTAAAAGCATACACCAAACCATTAAGTTCATACTGCTTTAATCCTAAATCAAAATTCTCCTGATATTTGCATCATCTTTCAAATTGAAAAATCGTTTCCAATGGCAAAGTTCTTCCTAGATTCAATTGCACTCGATTTGAGAATGGAAGGAGAGATAAAATAAAAATTAAACCAATGATTTTTAAATTGGAGAACTGGAGCCCAGGTCAATTTTTTGGTTTTTGAGCAAATCAGTTCATCAGAATTGTCTTAGGACATTGGAAACGTATATTGTTATATTGTTGTATTGTTATACCACAGATATGACGAATACCTGGGATTTTGATAGCGAGACTTATCTCAGGACTATCAGTTCTCAATAAAGCTAGTATCAACTTTGATTCTTACCTAAAGCAATGTACATTGATTGTATCAGAATCAGCAGATTTTGAAACATTATGGGTCGAAGCTGTTCAAATACGATTCATTCGCAACATAATATTATTCCATGAATCCAGGTTGGTTTCAACCTGCAAACCGATGGTAGTTGGAATTAATTGCTGGGTTTTGCTTATATTTCAATTTGAGCCAATGTGAATGTATCTGAAATCTCAACTTGAAGCCTTGGAAACATGTTGCTTTAGTTAACGATAACTAAGACGACAGAAAGTTGTTCAATGCTCTTGGAAAAAGTTGTGTTGCTGATCCAGAAAACATTCCACAAGATCTCGAAAGTTCTTCTGGCTTTCGATATGCTCATAATAAAAGTTATTCCTCTATGACAGTTGGGATTGGGTCCCAGTTACACATTTCCTGCTCCTTCTATTCACCTTTTCGCTTCCTGGTAGCAAATGTAATTTATGTTTATTAATGCCCTCCCCGAAGCTAGAATGTTAAAAACAGTAAAACAAAAAAAAAATTAGCAATGATGTATAGAGAAATAAAAACAAAAAAAAAGTTATTGGGTGTACCAATATATATATATATATATGTAAAACTATTAAATAACCATAGTCAAATGTCTTGCAACTAATTTCACCCAGTCTTGTAGAATTAAAAAATTTCATTTTGGATTTGAGCCTGCCCAGTTAAACAAACTACTATCAAAATTCATGTTCAGATCACTGTCGAAAAAAACACTCATATCGTGCAAAATGTTACTGTTCGAATCGTTGTTAGTGCTGTTATTATTAAGAGCACCTTGGTCGTTGTGATTGTTTGAATGTTGGTTATTATAAGTATTATGGCTGTTTGGGTTGAAGCTATTTTGATCAACTGTCTGATTATTTCGAAAAAACTCATTTTGATTATTCATAATTAAACTTCTACTATTTGGTCTAAGATTACCATTCATAGGAGTAATATTGTTATTTGTGCTAATACTGTAAGACTTATTTCCACTGGCTAAAACATTGTGATCATGATTTCCACTGTTGTTCGAATTTTGTGTGCTGGGTGTGTGTCCAACAGTGTTATATCCACTGTCTTTGAATTCAAAATTAAAATCAAAATCTAATAGAGGAGGCAAACCTAATGATCCATCGGCAGCGAATTCACCAAACAAGGTATGTTCAAAATCTGTGCTTATCCTATTGTTTGTTATATGGTTGTTGTTTCCATTGTTTCCATTGTTTCCATTGACGTTATTGTTGTTGGAATTATTACTACCATTATTGCTGCCACTATTGTTGCTAGAATTATTCTTATTGAATCCCATATTATTTTTGTTTTGGTTATAGTTTATATTATTTACATTGAAATTGTTAATGTTTTGGTTCATGCTATTAAAATTATTTCCAAATCCTTTTTTACTAGACAGCTGAAATTTCTCAGGATTTTGTGCAATGAACATGTTTTTCTGGTTATATGCATTAAAAATTTGACCTTGACCTTGGCTTTGACTTTGACTTTGACTTTGACTTTGACTTTGACTTTGACTTTGACTTTGATTTTGATTTTGACTTTGATTTTGACTAAATTGACTATTTAAAATACCATCACTATTGTAACTAGTGTATTTATTTTGATTTACATTCCGATTATTGTTATCAAAACTGTTTTGATTATTATTTCTGTTATCAAAAAATGAGGCATCAAATGAATTGAACATACCATTTACTGAACTATTAATATTCTCCGGTTTCTGACTATTAATTGAATTTGGTATAGGGTTACTATCACTGAGACTTGATGGGGACAAAGCAGGTTGATTATGAGAGGGAGGTTGGAATTTTCTTTGCTGCGAAATAGTAGTTTGCATTGGTGAAGGCGAAGGAGACGAGAAATTTTGAGATAAATTTCCTTCTAGTATTAAATGACTAGGCTGAGGAGAAGGAGGTGGTGCTTGTTGTGTTGGTATTGGGATGATATTAGCATTTTGCTGAATTATTTTGTTTTTTTCAAGATTTATGGGAATTGTTACATTGGTTTTTGGAGGCGCCATGATAGTAGTAACATCTATTGTCTTTCTAAGAGGTGATTTCTTCTTGACCAGTTTTGAGTTTCTATTATTATTATTAACAATGGAATTTATGTAATTACCAGCTGAAGCACTTTTTGGAGGTTGCAAAATTGCTTGAATTGCCTCATCCAAAAAGTTTATACAGTTATGGGATAAACAACCAGGTAAACCAATTGAGGTTTCTCTTCTTAAATCATTAATTACAGTGGTCAATAATGTCTTGCTTTCCTGGAATAAGTTACCACCTCTAGCATATTCCAAAGCTCCCTTTGCACCCATTAAACTCAATCTTGATCTTACTCTTGGTAAATTTACTGGAATTGGAGGAAAATAATTCTTTTGAGTACTAAGAAAATTGGTTATATTCAAAATGATGTTTGTGGATTGCTGAATTGTTATATAAGCTGCAGAGCCTCTTGAATTGTAGATTTCTGAAGCCAAGTTCGGAAGATAAATGAGCATTCTTGCTTCATAATATAGAATAATTAGACTTAGGATTTTAAAATTCAAGTTTTGGAATTCGTTGTTTTTGAGTAGGCCATTGACATCTAATTCGAATTTTAAAGTTGGGGGCAAATCGCGTCTCCAGTTATCAAGCAAGTTTTCATGAATAATACAAGTCTTATCCAAAGAACTTAAAGCAACACCACCTCTTTTGAATATGGTATCGACAATATTACCTAGAATTTTGGAAAATCTCATTACAGCCAATGCTAAATTGCAAACCTTTCCTACCAAGGGCAATTTACTATTGTTGATTATGAGGACATTAATATTATTGTCATCGTTAAGATCATCATTTGAAAATGGCAATGCACATTCTATTTCGTAATCTTTTAGTAGTCTAGGAACACCCAATTGCAAAGCAGAAAAGACATCTAGAGAATATATACACCAAAACAAGATTCTTCTTTCACTTTGTAGAAATTTTGAGACAGTTGAGCCATTTGTACCTAAAACAGCTGATGGACATCTATGCAATCTAAGCTGTTGAGCCATACTTATGACTTTACCTCTTAAAAGGTATGTGGAGTCAGCATCTCCAATGTTGACGCAGTATAATAAGGCTAGAGTTAATATTTGAAGGGATTGTATGGAACTAGACTTGACAATGGAGGAGCTAATAAACTGGTGAATTAAATTATCATAATATCTTAGCAGTTGAGCAGTTGAATCGTTTTCGTTGAGTTTGTTTGTATTTGATTGACTATTAATCGAGGAGTTTAGGAAATTGAGAGAGGAGTTAGGGCTTAGAGTGTTTGTTTCAATTTCTGGGTTATTTAGATTTGCAATTCCAGTGTTTATGAATTTTAAAGTAGAGGGTTTATTGTTATTGTTATTATTATTAAAAGCAGAGCCATTTGAAGAATTTTTAAGAGAATCATATTTGCTGTTGCTTCTTTTACCAAGCATCGCTAGACTTAAAACAAGGACTAGGATGGCACCAAATTTTTCATCGTGAAACATTGAATTATCATTAAATTTCATTTCAAGGGATTTTGTTAATTTTACATAATATTTAAGAAAATGGTTTTGATCAATGATGGATAGAATCATACCCCATTCTTGGAAATAAAAGGTGATTAGTTGATCTAGATCTATTCTTTTTGGTAGTTTTAGATTTGTGAAAAACAAGTATGATTCTGATTTTGTTATGTTATTGAAATTTATGTTTTTAATATTTATCATGTTGTGGTCATCATCATTGTTGTTATTGTTGTTGTTGTTGTTGTTGCTGCTGCCGCTGTTGCTGTTGTTGTTATTTGAAAAAGAGGTTGATTTGTACTGTTCTTTTAAAAGGGCTATTGATTTAGCGGCTAAGAAAGCTGGTTTTGAGTTTAGGCCATGGAAATCGCAGATTTTTGCAATTAAGGAAGGAATGAACAACGTTTCTTCAGTGGATCTTGGAATAGATAAAGCAACGAGATTGGTTAGGACATTTTTGGCATTATTTTTCTCAGATTTTGAAGAGCGAATGGCTAGAGCAGCTTCAATTCCTGGAGCTTCAGTTTGTTCGAAACTAATGTCGTGAAAGTTTGGAGGATTCAGTGAATTTTGAGAGGAGTTGGAGGAGATGAAATGGTTTTGTTTAAATCTGTGGTTATGAGAGAGGGAGTTGTGGTTGTGGTTGTTAAAGTTGCTTGAATCGGAAAAGGATATTAGGGAGGCAACATCATCAGCATCTTCTTCATCAGTGAGCATACCTGCATCGATATTGACAGAACCAGCGATTGAAACAGGTCTTTCGTGGACTGAATGGGGATAGGATGCACAGCAATTGCAGCCAGCATGGTGAGGTTCATGGCTATGAAGGAAACCTTTGCTTATTGCATCGCAAGGAGGGTTTGTTTTCTCTAGAAGATGAAGGTTTTTTGAGTTTAAAAGGTTTGTGTTGGTTTCATCGATTTCTTCTTTTATGGATGGGTTTTGGAGCACCGAATCTGAGGTACTGAGAGAGTTATTTATGTTGATGTTATTTGGTGTGATTATGTTATTGGAGGAAGAGATGTTATTTGAAATGTGATTTAGGGTATCATTTTGAGTATTAGGGAGGTTATTTTTGATATTCATGTTGTTATCGGAGTTATTGATTAGATTGTTTGAGTTGATATTAGGAATAGCGATTTGATTTGAGTTATTTATATTGTCTATGCCATTTATGTTGTTGTTATTATGATTATTATGATTATTATGATTATTATGATTATTATTATTATTATTATTATTATTATTATTATTATTATTATTATTATTATTATTATTATTGGTGGTGGTGGTGGTGTTTTTGTTTAAATTGTTTTGGTTATTATTTTGGTCAGCTTTGGCTAGGAGTTCCATTTGTTCGTCTCTTAGATCCAATAGGGCTAACAATTTTTTGTTTTCAGCTTCGAGTTCTCTTACTCTTTCTTCCAAGGTTTCTGTATAACCTCTAGGAAAGGCCCTTCTGGAGAGTCTATCAGAGATTTTGCATTCAAAACCGACGGCAGCACATTGGGAGCATTGGGGTCTTTTACCATCACATCTTGTTTTCTTTGATCTACATCGATCACAAGCTTGGGCGACTCGTTCAGTGTGAGAGCCTGGAGTCCTTATGACTTTGCACTTTTGGGGTTTTGAAGTCGAAGTTGATGTTGAGGTTTTGACTAGTTTACTCATGAATTAAGAAAGACGATAACATGAATTGATTTAAAAGGATTAAATAAAGATTGGGACGAACTGAGTGAAGTATAAGGAAATGAGAATGAAACTGGAGTAGATTGGAATAGAGTGGAATGGATTGAAATAGATTGAAATGGATTGGAATAGAATGTGAAAAGAAAAGAAAAAATATCCCAATAAGAAAAGAAGTAAATAATCACAATAATAGAAGAAAAAAAACAGTGAATAATGAGTCAAAGAGGAGCAAAAACAAGATTTGAGAAAGAGGGAAAAAACAAAAAAATCAAAAACCTGGGGTTACGGAGTATTTAAATGAAGCAAGTAGTTTGGAGATGGCCACTAGTAAAAGCAGTAAGCAATTTAAGATAATTTAAGATAATTTAAAGTAATGCGAGACAGGTTAAGGTTAGGTTTTGGAGCAGATTGGACAACAAAGAGAAAAGAGAAGAGAGAAAAGACAGAAAAGACAAAGAAGGAGATGAGGTATAAAAGAAATACCGTCGGTGATCCAGCGGAAGCACCACCGTCCGCTCTGGACACGGGACTGCCGCAGATGCTGGATGCACAAGCCCCCTCTTGACTTACAAGAAGCACCAGCCATACCAGCGGCGAATCACGCGCGTCCGATTGGCTCGCTCCTCGTCCTCGACTTGCTGCCACCGCCACAGCACAGACACATCCAGCATCTAGCGCGAGTCGTGCTCCAGGCCGGGTCAGCCCTCTCCGGCCAAGCCCTGCGCTGCTGCGTACACAAGCAAACTGCGCCTGTAAACGCAGCAAAACGCGTTCCCGGACAAAAAACAGCTTCCCGGTAGTGGTACTAGCCCAAAACACTGTTCGGAGTTTTCGAGGTGGGGGCTCCTTGAGCTGCGGGTTGTGTATACATATGCGGTGTTTCTGCGGACATGAGGTGACCCGCGCTATCGGCTTGAATAGTTTTGTATTATCGCCACATGAATTGATTAGCAGTTGAACCTCTGTGGAGAACGTTCTTTGACCTCAGTTGCCCTTGGAGTGGTCGCTCTTCAACTGACAGGCGTATTTCGCAGTGTCCTCAGCTCTTCGTCTGCCTTCAATGAACTCCATCATCTCGCTGTATGTTTGTGGGATCACTGTGCAGTATCCTGGAACGCCTGCCTTGTTTTCCTCCGAGTCTCTGGGAACGAAAAAAGAATAGATAAAGGACCCACTTTGTGTCTTTTCACTATCACCCAATCCTCTCACTGTGGTGTCCACTTTCACCTGAATAACTGTTCCTGGTCTTGATAAGAAGTCTGTTGGATCTGTAGTGAGAACATTTGCTGAGACCAAATCAAGATGTTTCAATTCTTTATTGATTACTTCATCATCCGTTTTTCCGGCTTCACTGGCACCACCAACACCAACACCACCACCACTTTCTTGTGAGGCCAAATCAGACTCATGGATATGTTCAGTATAGCAAACTGCTGAATTCATATACAACACCGACCCAACTGGAACTGGTGTTTTAAATGTAGTGCTATCTAACGAGATAAACCTTGGTGGAGCATGAGCAAATGCTGCTGCACAACAATATGCCAATTCAAAGGTTTGTCTTAGCAAATATCCACCAAATATCATATACGAATGTCTGTTTCTATACTGTGGTTGCATAAACAATGTTGATCCAACTTTAGTATCCCTCATGAATTTTATGTTTCCAATTTTCTTCTCTTTATTACCGTGAATATCAATGCTACCGCTGTCATATTCCTTTTCCAATTCTTTTGAAACTGACCATAATTTATGAATCAATGAAGACTCCTTTGGCGTGGGAATTGTCTTGTTCAAATTGGCTGTAGCCGCTCTTAGTTTCTTTTCTGAATTGTGTGATTCTGCTCTTCTAAAATCCACCCATTCTTCAGGCGTTAATGGCAAAAAATGATTCACTGCAAATGATTTATGTGTCTCTGGGTTTCTAGCAACAAAGGTGAAATTAGCTGTCAATATAACATCATCCTCTTTGATCATATCTTCGGTAATCTCGCCATTGAGCTCCAACGCTGCCTTGTGATCCAACGCCTTGATTGTAATCTCCATCGACGATCTACCAACCCATGTAACATATCCAGCTAATACAACATTAGTCTTGCTAATCTCATCAATTCTTTTGGTCATATAAATTCGGTCCACTGACGCTGTGACTATCATTGGCTCAGCTGGCGAACAATGCTTGTATGCAATTCTACCCGATAACGCATCTAAATCTTGAAACAACTGCCCAACTCTTAATCTGCCAAACGCATTGATGTACGCATCACAGAGATATGAATCGTCTTTGAAGGGCAAAACCAAATATGAAAATGAATCCTTTCTCGTTTTCTCTGATATTTTAAATGATCCAGCAGTCTTGTACGAAAACGAATCCAAAATCTTTCCCTTTGCCAATTGTCGTTTTCTTTCATTTAATGCTTCTAACCAGGTGGCTCTCTTGGGCAATGTGTTGATACGACGCTGTGCATCGATTATATCGGAGAGAATTGTGTTGGTTGCATCCACATTTTCTGATGCTCGATTTAAAAACTGGCTATCACTGTGGTCAACTGAGAAAAACCGTAAAATTGGCTGTCTGGTTTTGTATAAGACATTGATTGGTATTTTCAGATTTCGAGCCAACATATTAATAACGAAGACAGATGGTGTGAATATGGAGAATACGGAGAATGTGAAGAATATGAGGAGTATGGATATAAAGGCTATTTGTGATTGTAGAATTAACAAACTGTAGTTGAAATGAGAGATTATCAATACAATTTATAGGAAACCGCGATAAGGTTCGATCCAACTCATCCACACAAGGAATGGTTTTTCTGGTTGGTTTCAATTTTTTGACTCACAGTCTATATCCGATTATGCGCACCGAGCACTGAGCGATATGTGAAAGATAGCAAAATAGCAGGAGCTGCCAAATGACAAAACCAGCACTATCGTATTAAAAAAGACTGGTTTGCACAAGTAAAACAGCGCAATAGCCATAGATGTCGATAAAAGATGCCCCATCGAAAGAGAAGCAAAAAAGAGAAGCAAAAAAGAGACACAATCCCGTTCAGGCTTCCGACTCCGGATAGCACCGAGCAGGAGATATTTCGTAGCCGCACACGCCAGCACGGTTCGAAACCAAACCACCTGTTACGACACCGGTACGGCACATGCACACGGAGCACTCACGAAACGCCGAAAAAAACAGTATGTCTCTCTAAACGGGATACCCGTGCCAATCAGGAGTCATGCATCAGAATCAAGCCACATCATAGAAAAACCCTCTGCCGGCGGTCGCTGCTTCATTTCCCGATTGGGCGTGAAGACCTCTGCCACTACCCGGCCGTCGCCCCATGGATGATTTGCTGGAGAACGAAAGCAATATCCACTGAATAGATCCATCCTCCTTCCCAAACCTCCACTGGCAACTGTTCCATCAATGGATGAATAGACTGCTCTGCAAATTGATCTGGATACTCTTTGAATCATGCTCAACAGCCCTGCCTGCCATGTTAACACCTCGTTATTTGACAATGCTCCTGATGCCAACGGCAACACCACCACTCCAGCTGAGAATCCTGAAAAGATAAACAACAGCATCAACCATGGCATTAACCATAGTATTACTCACAATGTTAACCATAGTATTAACAATATTGCTAATAAAGACAACAGTTTGCCCATGGATCCTAACAAAAATATCGCTATCGCCAATAAGCCTGAGAACAATACCAAATCGGTTTCTATTGAGGAAAATTCAAATAATAAACCTAATAATAGGCTGAAGAATATAAATTCTAATTCACCCTCTCCAGAAAATCTAATTCGACAAAATGAACCTAATTCAAACAACAATGAAAACAAAACTACACTGCATTCAAATCTGAATAAATCTTCTAGCCAATTTGATTCTAATTTACTGCATCAAACTGAATCCGAACAGACTAATGACACTGAAAAGACTCAAAGCAATGAAAGTAATGAAAGTAATGAAAGTAACGAAAGTAATGAAGGCAATGAAAAGAGTGAAACAACTAAAAATGAAAAAAATGAGAAAAATGAGAAAAATATAGGAAATAATATTCAAAACGACAAAAAAATTCTTCAAAATGGCGATCATTTAAATAATCAAAATGGCGATCGTTTAAATCTTTCTATAACCCATGAAATCTCAAATAATCAAAATACCACTCAAACTGATCCCCAAAATAATCCTCAAAATAATATCAAAAATATACAAAAAGCCTCTCAAATCACAAATAATAAAATCACAAATGGAATAATATCCTTTAAGGATTCAAATATTGATATAAATACAACTTCAATTCAAGAAAATCTCCTCAATTCCCCTAAAGATAAAACCAATAACGAAAATAAAATTCATAATTCAAATCAAAATAATCAAAATAATCAAAATAAAAATCAATCTAAAAATGACATTAAAAGTGACATTAAGATAAACAATATAAATAAAAATAAAAATGAAAATGAAATTGAAAACAAAAACAAAAACAAATCTACAAACAAAGCAAAAAATGAAAACAAAAATGAAATTGAGAATGAAAATGAAAATAAAAATAAAAATAAAAATAAAAATAAAAATAAAAATAAAAATAAAAATGAATCTATAGAAAAAACAGAAAACGAAAAAAAAATCGATCACATACTGAATTTCGAACAAGATTCCAATAATTTAATATTCTCGGTTTCTTCGTTCTTCAATGAATCATCACCCTATTTCCAATTTTTATCTTACTCAATTTTATTAATATTAAAAAGGCTTTCCATCAAACCAGATTCAAACTATCCTCTTGAATTTCTAACTTCTTTAGCATCTACATATTTTGATAAACTATTCAAATCCTTACATAAAATAACTGAAGCTCAAAGACGACATAACCCCACTCTATCCGATCTAAAACTATGCTTAATCCAAAATGATATATCTATTAATAGCTTGTCAGAAGAAATCAACACAAGCAACCTTCTATTTTCCAAAATAAACAAAGATTTCTCAAATATAAACTCGATAGTCTCAAATTACTCAAATACTTTAACCTTAATACCAAATGTTACTCATCTGATTGATAAAAACTTTAGAAATGATTACCAGCAGACAATAAATTATTTATTAAAACCTGCAAGAAGGAAAAAAAGAAAAATATACATTCCAAAATATTTTCCTGATTTCCCTCCAGAATACACCTATAAATCAACTCCCCAATTTACCCCGTTTATTAAAGATGAAAAGACACTAAAAGAAAAATTAGTTGAAGAAAGTGACATTGGTTCAAAAACGTTGGGAAATTTTATAAAAAATATAAAATCCATAAAGAAACGTAGACGAAAAGGAAGCAAATTTAATTTCGAAGATGAATATGATTTGTTTTCTAATGAATCAGATTTAAATGATACTAATGACATTATAGATGTTGATGAAACCATCAAAAACATAAAAGACACACCAAAAATTGTTCAGTCTATTTCTGAAATTAAAGATTCTATTGTTAACACGGACTTGAATTCTAATTCTAATTCTAATCCAGACACCTCTGTAAAATTACAAAAAAACTCTTTACATGTTAAGCTTAAAATTGGTGCTACAACATTGGAAACCTCACAATCTTCAGCAATTTCTAATACCACAGAGGAAAAGCAGTTTCCTCCTATATTAATAAATCAGCAGATAAAACCTTTGGATATACAAAAATATGCTAAAGAACATTTATTAATTAAAGAAAGAAGAAAGTATAATCGACAGAAAGTAATATCACTGCATGAAAATAATCCATATATACGAATTGCCAGGATAATAGGGCCTACAATACAACGAAGGCCGGAAAAAAATACAACCACAAATATACTTCAGAATTTGTATAAAAAAGAAGTTAGCTCGATTTATAATAGTATTAAGGCTCAAAAGATTCACAAAAGAAGGAGAACTACTAAAAAAATTGAAGAAGAAAAAAGGAAAGCTGAAGAAGAAAAGAAAAGGCAAGAAGAAGAACAAAGAAAACAAAAAGAAATTGAGGCCAAATTTGACAATGGAATTGAATTTGATTTTGATGATACTATGATTGGCGGTAATACCAGTCATAAGACAACAGATGACATTGGCTTTAATTTTGAAAGTGATAGTAGTGATGATGAAAATTATTTAAATAAGCTATTAACTGACAATGCCGATTCCAAAATTAAAACTAGTTTAGTAGAAGAAAAAACAGATGATAGAATAAGCAATCCCATAGACACTAAGGATATCAGCAATTCCATGGATACTAAGGATATCAACAATTCTAATAATGAAAGTACTGTTATGGGGGACTCAAAGATTGAAAACTCATCAAAAGGTGAAATAATAGAATTTGATATTTCAGATCATGATTTTAATGAAGAAGAGGAAGAAGAGAGTGATTCTGAGCTTCAAAACATGATTAATTCTGAGATTAGACCAGAAAGTTTGAATACCATCTCTGAAGATTCAAAGATTTTAGATAATAAAACAGAAATTTCAAATACAATTAATCAAATCCTAGATAATAAACAAGCTACAAGTAACAAGGCTGGAGAACTTGAATTTCCCGATTTTGATCCTGATGCTTCTATAAAAGATGATGATGAGGATGAAGTTGATGACTGGGAAGATCTTTTGTAAAGATATTGTATTATTATTATTATTATTATTAAAAATTTTTGTAGATTAGCTTTGAGCATAGAATTATTGATTTGCATTAAAGGTAAAAGAAAATTCATTTAAAAAGTAAACAAAACAAAACAAAATAAAATATTTAACTAATATATATTTAATAAAGATCATTTAAGGTGTACTTATAAAATATTTAATAAAAATTATGATTGAAAGTATTTATGATTGAAAGTATTTAGGATAGAATTTTTAATAAACAATGAGGAAATGTCAAAAGCAAATTGAAAAAATAAAATGCATATAATTATAGTATGGAAATTGAATATTGGTAAGGAAAATAAAATAGGAATTGATAAAAAAAACAAAAAAAAACAACTCATTCTATGAAATGATGATATTAAAGACTATAAAGATTGATTGGGTATAGCAAAGAAAAAGAAAGAAAGAAAGAAAGAAAGAAAGAAAGAAAGAAAGAAAGAAAGAAAGAAAATGGGTAAAGATTTGATATTTTTATGTTAAATCCATTATTCCTTTCATATTTTCATATACTAAATAACTTATACTTACAGCTGGACAGACTTTAGCTAAGTTGGGCACTAAACCTTTGAATAGACCAGCATAACCTTCTCTCTTTATTGTTTGAACAAAAACATCACCTATACCAGTATATTTATAAGGATGAGCAAAAGTTCCTTGGGCTTGTAATCTTGTTCTTAATAAATTTACAGGATAAACAAAAGTTGCACCTACAGTACCAGAAAAGGCCCCCATAGGTAATACGATAAGATTACTTAATTTTACATCTTCTTCTGGAATGTTTAGTTTTATTGCTTCTCTCAGTATCATATATTTCTTAAGTGAAGAAAAAGTGCCTAAATCAATAGCAGCATAAGGGAAAATACCGGCGACTCCAACAATAACACCTCTATAAAACAATTTCAAACCTCCTTGGGAGTACATTTCTTTAGCAGTTGCAGTTAATAGTTGGAAGCCCTTGAGTTCAGTGTCCAATTTAGCACATTGAACTCTGTATTTGAGAGTATCAATTGGGTAAACAGCGAATTGGGATACTACACCACCAATTCCACCAGCCAAATAGGTTGAGACTCTTGATAAGTGAGAGGTGTCTTTTACACCTTCGATTTTTGCTAAAAAACGTTTTGTAGCTTCAAATGAACCGAATTTCATTGCAGCTTCAGGAAAGACTTTTAAGACGTTTAGGCCATTTCCAACATAAAAACCTCTCAAACCGCCTTGTCTATAGATGGAAGTTGCAGCTTTAACAAGAGGAGATTTGATTTTATCGATTGGAGGATGGTTTTTGCCTGTTTTAGCTATTTCTTCTTTGGAGTGTATTATTGTTGAGGACAAATCTGTTCTGGCGATTAAGAAAACTTTCAATCTATCAAATGGAGCAGTGCAGGTTCTGGAAACGACGCCAGCCATACCACCAGCTAAAAAGTAGCCAAACCCTCTTATAAAGTCATTGATGAGGGTCATATCACCTTCAGATGATAAATCTATGTCTTCATTGAAATAATGAAAAGCAGTTTTCAATCTTGAGCCGTAATTTCTGGGCATAAACAAAAGAAAATCTCTCCATTGATTATAAGTGATATAACCATGGTTATCTTTGTCTAACTTTTGGTAAAATTGGTTAATAATTTTATCATTGGCATTGATATTTAAAGTCTTGTGTAAATAAGATTGGATATCGAATTTGTTTAGTTTTCCATCGTTATCAGTATCCATTTTGGTGAATGCAGAGGAAATTTGGGATTCAGCATTATTTAAATAAATTTTAAAATCATCAAAGGAAATCGTGCTATCATTATTGGAGTCTATAATTTTAAAAATTGCTTCAATATGTTGGTTTGAATCCTTTAAAGGATGGTTTGAGGCTTCGAAAACTTTTTTAAAAGAAGTTAGATCAATTGAACCTTTATTTTCAGCATCAATTTGTCTGAAAAGATTTCCTAAACTCGACAATCTGGAACCATCGTTATTACTCATTTTTTGAATGTAATAGCAGAGTGAAGAAGCCAAAGGAGAGCAGTAAAAGCAGCAAAAACAATAAACAGAGAAGAAGCAATAACGTTATATGGAGACAGATAAATCTTATTGGAGTTGGGGCTGAAAAAAAATCGATGATGAAATTTAGTTTGGAGATGTTAGTGCTTTGTAAAAGTATGTATTTTATTGGAAGAAGATAAAGTTGGACCAGGAGAGAAAACGCAGGGAAAACAGCAAACGAGAAATACAACCGTTGTATAGAAGATGGAAAGACAGTATTATTTTTGTTATTGGCTAGCACTTTGTAATATAAACATTTCTGGTATCAAATCCTTCCATTATTTTCGTATCAGAAAGAAAAGAAAAGAAAAGAAAAAGATGGTTAAAACGATAGTCTGTAGGAGAGATTGCTTTTTCTCCATTAAGTTTTCGCTGTGAAAAATAAAAAAACTAATTCGATAAGACGGGAGGCATTACCCGGACGCACCTCCACCGAAAACACACCACAGCGGAAGCCCGGATTAGAAAACGCGTGATTGGCCGTTCTGCACACCACTGCGGAATCGCTGCGGTGTGTCGGTATACCACGGGAGCACCCGGAAGTCACATCTGCTTAGCTAAGCATTTATACACGTGTTTTCACAGGTTTTGTCACATGCAAACAAGCCAAGTTTGCCGTGCGCAAACCCTGCGTTTGTGAGCCGCTTGCAACAGGCCAAGCCATACAAAACGCAAGGAAAGCTTGTTTCTCCAGCTGCTTTCTGGGAATAACTCAAGTATCGAACATGGCAAACTTTATTTGGTGTCTTGACAGGTATAAAGCAACAATTTGTATTTACTTTTTTGCAAAAAATTGAATTCATATAAGAGCCTATTTTTTTCCTTGGGATGTTAATTCTGGACATGCAGTTAAACTAGTATCTTAATTGTCATTCATAAGCTTGAATACAAAGATTAATAGAGGAATATCAATAAAGGCGATGTCAAACCCGCCCATCAAAAAAGATGATTTTACTTCATCTTCCCAAGACCTTGAAAATGAAATAACATTTGCAACCGACGTCGAAAAAAATACAAAAGAGATCAATGTTGAATCAAAACATGCCGAAAATTCATTAAAGCGAGACCTCAAGGCTAGACACTTGTCAATGATTGCCATTTGTGGTGCTCTTGGTGTTGGTTTACTTATAGGAACAGGAAATGTACTCAAAAAAGCTGGCCCAGGCTCTCTTTTCATCAGTTATTCTTTGGTTGGTTTAATTGTTACCACCGTAATGACAGCCATTGGTGAAATGGCAACCTATCTCCCCATGCGTCAAAGTTACACAGGATTTTCTGCTCGTTATGTTGATCCATGCTTGGGTTTTGCTTTCGGTTGGATCGTTGCATGTGGTAGTTTATTAGGTCCAGCCAATGAATTTGTTGCTGGTGCTATGGTGATGAATTATTGGATTCCAACCGATAAAGTTAATGCTGGAGTATGGGTAGCAATAATGATTGTTTTTGCTACTTTAATCAACTATTTTGGTGTGAAGTGGTATGGAGAAATTGAATTCTGGTTATGTGCAATCAAAGTTGTTGTTATATTAGCCGTTATATTTATGATGCTTGTTTTAATGTTGGGAGGAGGCCCAGATCATGACAGAAAGGGCTTTCGTTATTGGAAGAATCCTGGTGCGTTTGCAGAGTATAAAAACAATAATGTGTTTATCAGTGGAAATACCGGCAGATTAGTGGCCTTTACTTCTTCAATTGTTAATGCTGTTTTTGCTTATGTTGGCATTGAAAATGTTGGAACTTTGGTTGGTGAATCCCAAAATCCAAGAAGAAACATTCCAAGAGCTGTTAAATTGGCTTTCTATCGCATAATCCTATTTTATGTCATCTGCACTTTGTTATTGGGCTGTAATGTTCCATTTAACAGTCCCTTATTAAAGAATGCTACAAGTGCCACAACTTCTGCTGCTGCTTCTCCATTTGTTGTTGCAATTAGACTTGCAAAAATTTCAGGTTTGGATCATGTTCTTAATGGTGCTCTTTTGATCTTCTGTTTTTCCTCTGGAAACACTGGTTTTTATAATTGCTCACGTACTTTGTACAGTTTGGCCAACAGAAATCAGGCTCCAAAACTTTTTCTCAAAACTAATAAAAAGGGTGTTCCAATCTATGCATTGGCCACAGCTGTTTTGTTCAGTATGACGGGTTTCATGTGTGTTTCTGAAAAGGCTGATGTTGTATTTGAATATTTTGTTTCATTTATTTCAAGTCTTGGTGTTATGAAGTGGATTTCTGTTCTTATTACTCATATTGCTTTTATGAATGCTTTGAAAGCTCAAGGAGTTAGTCGTGCAACTTTGGTATACAAATCTCCTTTCCAACCATATGCTAGTTATATTTCACTAGGTGTCTGCATTTTTGTTGCCTTGATTAAAAACTTTACTGTTTTTCTCAAGGGAAATTTTGACATTAAATTGTTCATTACAGGATACATTAACATTCCCTTATTTATCGGCTTAAACTTGGGTTACAAGCTCATTGCAAAATCAAAAAGACTCAAGTCATCAGAAGTCGACTTGGTAACTGGAAAAGATGTCATTGATAAAGAAGAAGATGAATTTCTCGCTGAGCAAGCACACAAAAAAGAACTTAGAGGCGACAAAAAAGACTGGAAATGGATTTATGAACATTCAATTGGTTATTTGTTCTGATCATTCCCATTTTGAGCCGAAAAAAAATATCGTTTGTTTTGAAATTCCGAACTGAATTTTTCATGCAAAAGTCATAAACATTTTACCATCCAAACAATTTTTATATTTAAATAAACGTAACCAATATATATATTATATCTCAACAATAAACAAATCTAAGCATGCCAATCGAAAAAGCTGTTCCTTTGGTTTTAACCAATCACTTTCTTCCAATAAACTACGCTTTGAATCTTGTTATTAACTACCAAAAAGCAAATTTTCAAGGTGAATTAGCCATTAACCTCACTAAAAATGAGAACAATCACTCAACACCTAAAGTTACTTCAATTACTTTAAATTGTTCAAATATAATTATCATATCTTCGGTTTTCAATTATAATGGCAAATCAGAAAAGGCTAATATAGCTTATGATAGGGATAATGAAAGAGTCACCCTATCAATTAACAATATCGTTCCAATTGATGAAAAATTTCAAATTCAAATCAAATATATGGGTAGAATTAGCAAAATCAAAACCTACCAAGATCCTACAAAAGGAATTTTTCAAACAAATTTTCTTGATGAAGAATCTGGCTTAGCCTCTAACCAGATCATTGCAACTCAGTCTCAAGCTTCTTTTGCAAGATTCATATTCCCATGTCTTGATGAACCTTCTCATAAGGCTTCCATTGAGCTATCAATAACAACTGACAAGAGATTTTTGTGTGCAAGCAGTATGAATCAATTGCAAAAAAATCTTGTCAGTGAGGACAATGTTAAACACATTTTTAAGAAAACTCCTTTGATCGCTACATCAGTTTTTGGTTTTGCATTGGGTGATTTTGATTATGTTGAAAAGTCATTAAAGCTATTAAACAATGAAAGTTTTCCTTTAAGAATCGTTATTCCCAAGGGCCAATTGAATGACTCGCATTATCCTCTTAATTTGACTTCAAAATCTTTGCCGATTTTGGAGAAGATGTTGGGATTCGATTTTCCTTTGCCAAAATTAGATATCGTATTTTTGCCATTTTTATCTGATGGTGCGATGGAGAACTGGGGATTAATTTTCATCCAGTCAACTTTATTAACACAATCTCAAGATCAGTTGGAACAAGTGATCATCCATGAACTAGTTCATCAATGGTTTGGAAACTTAGTAACTTTGGATGAATGGCACCATTTGTGGCTAAATGAGTCTTTTGCTACATGGATGGCAAATCAAGTGATTAACAAAATGAATAACAGCCTGAATATATGGACTGAAAAAATAGAGGAAATGGAATCTGTGATGGAGCAAGACTCTGTTTTCGAAAAAGATTTATCGATTAATAGCACTGTTTTTATGCTCAGCTCAAATTACAAAGAGATTAAATCTACTCAGGATATTTTTGAAAATTATTCGTATGAAAAAGGCATTTTTTTGCTTAGGATGTTATCAAATATATTTCAAAATGAGAATTTTTTAGATTCAGATATTAATAAATTTTATGAACATATAAAACTATTTTTGGAAAGGGAAAAATTTAAATCCTTTAAACCAATTGATCTCTGGAAATTTTTAAATCCATTTTCAGATTATGATATTCAAGGTTTTATGAATACTTGGACTAGATTACCTGGTATTCCAATTGTTTTAGTTGATTCATTAGAAGATGGTAAAATCAAGGTGGAACAACACCGCTATATCAAACCTACTGAACAAGTATCTTTAGATCAGCTAAAATTAACTGAAGATATTCCCTTTCATATTCCATTAGCAATTAAATTAAAAAACTCCAAATTCGATCGATCATTATTAACAGACCGAAAACTAGTATTGGATTTGAAAAAAGAGAAATTTTTGAAATTAAATGCAAATAAAATTGGATACTATAGGGTCAAGTATAATAATGTAAGTTTTTATGATTGCTTATCTGCGTCCATCAGTGAATTGAGCAGTTTGGATAATATTAATTTGCTTTTGGATATAGAGGAATTTTTGTTTAGCAATTCCCAATATATAAAAGAGAAAGATATTGAAATTAGAGGATTTTTTAAATTAATTAATTTTTATGTGAGACAAGAAAAATTTAAAGAAAAAGTTGATTATAAGGTTTTGAGCGTTTATTTAAGAATATTGCAAAATATCGACACTGCTATCAGATTTTATTCAACAAGAATCAATTTGAATGGATTTCAAAAATGGTTAGACGATATAATGTTAAAGTTGTATTTGAATATTGGGGAATGGCCAATCAATTATAATTTGAATATTAACTCATTGGCAGAGATTGAGAGTAGAAAGTTTATTATGATGTTAGGTGTAAATGTTGATGAAATTAATGGATATTGTAGAAAATTGTTTAAATCTTTGAACCATGGACCCAAAAATTCAGTTCCCAAAAATTTAGTTGCTCCAGTTTTAAATAATTTATCATTTAACTCAAATAGCGAGAAAGAATTCAAGAAGATTTTGCAATTGACTACAAGATCATCATCGATTCTTGTAAACAATATCAGTGAGTCTAATGCCAACGTATTAGATATTCAAAATTCTGCTATTGGATCTTTAGGATTCACTAAAGACCTCGATATTTTTGGGAAAAAGGTGTTAAACTTTGTTAAAACAAATTTCGATTCAAAAGGGATAGAGTTGGCACTCATTGGAACTAATTATAAGAAACAAAGCAAAAAAGTTGAAATCTTATGGAATTGGTTAAAATTAAACTATAAAGGATGGTACCCTAAAACATTGAGAGAAGGGTCAGAATCTGGTAAAGAAATAAGCATTAAGTTGAATAATATTATTGAAATTGTATTTAAAGCGAAGTATATGAATGGAAGCGTAAGTGATGTGGACGAGTTTATTAAGAGAGATAAAAGTAGCAAATTAAAAGAAATCTATAAAGAAATAAAAGAAAGCCAGAAAGATTTGGCTGAAATTGGAAAAAGCATAACTGGAGATTTTTGGAACTGATCAATCTGCAATCGTCTCGATAAAACTATCAAACACAAGTGGGCCTACACTAACTGGATATAGAGGCTCAATTGCAATTTTGCTCTTGTTTTTGTTATATATGGTATTAGTTTGGGGATTTACAATATTTTTTGAATAGTTTAATACCCAATTATTGTCATTTTTGTTGATATGTGCTTCACCTGTAGTTTCTAGAAATATTTCAAAAGTAGAGCTCTCATCTGCATTTGGGTCTCTTTTGTTCTTATCGTCTATCACTGATAACAACTGAAAAACATAGGCTCTAAAATTCTCATAAATAATATCCCAGGTTAAATTGAACTCCTTTGACAAAGTTTTCTTTATGATCTTCGGATCATTAACGACATAAAAATTATTCAAATCAATAACGAGTCGTTCGGTTATTTCCTTTTTTTCTCTGTTTTTGAAAATCACCAAAGAGAGTCGCTGGAAATTGTTTTTGTTTTTGGGGTCGTTGGGTGTTAAATTGACATTGATTAGATTTCTAATAAAGTTGAGAACAAAATCGTCCTGCCATTTAAGCACTTTGGGGTTTCGATTGACTGGAACCACTAGCCCCATATAGTTGTATTTGTTCAAGCTGAAGGAATGTTTGGGGTACAATCCCTTATAGAAGCATACGATGTTGAGCCAGTTTTTCAAAAAGTCGCCAAAAAGAACGTATAGATTGTAGGGGGTTAGAGGAAGACTCCCATCTTTATTTAGCTGTGGTTCCAAATCAACAAAGAGTGTTGTCGATGCCATTTGCTGGATATCTGTTGAAGTTGCACTTTTTCTTTTCTGAGTTTTTTCTCTTTTCGGTTTTTGATTCTGGACCCAGAAAGCCATTTATGAGGATCCAATGCAGTTACACGTCTTCACGCATTCATCCGCGTCTCTGGTTTGCTCTTTTCTCGCTTCTTTCTGTTTTCTTATCAAAGAGGGATAAGCAGCAGAAACAGGAGCACTCAGAGTAATCATGTCTGATCCACTGGTAGATTTCCTTATCCAACTAAATCAGGACAAGTTTAAGATTCCTTTGGAACTTTGCAAGAAGAACTTCAAAGATATCCAGAGAATCCAGGAAAAAGAGATCAGCACTATTGATAAAACCCAGCTAGAGTACAACAAAAAAAAAAAGAAGACCAAGAAAGGAAGCCACCTCCAGCTTCAAATTAATAATGTTGATAATTTAATTAGAAATCTTGAGAATTTTGAAAAAAAACTATCCAACAAACTAGTCTTTCAAAACGACTATATGAGCAGGATTGAGGCAAGAATTCAAAGTTTTAATGAATTAAAACAGATCAAAACAAACGAGCCAATATCTAAAAACTTAATCACTGGTGACAGCAAAGATTATCACTACAATTTCAACAAAGATTCTAACCCAAAGAAAGTAAATCTTGATAACAATTTGTTGTTGAACAATTGGTACAAAAACCAAATCAACATTCTAATTGCTGAGTACCTTTTAAAGACGTCCTCATTTACCAATCTACCCCCAAACTTTTTCAAGCAGCCATTTACTAGGGACTCTTATATCGGAGAACTTAAAGAGGATTTAAATCAAAATTTGGAAAATTTGGAAAATAAAAATGAGCATGAACATAAACATGAACATGAACATGAACAAGAAAATAAGAATGAACATAAACCTGAAAATGAAAATTCGGTTAATGCTGCCTTGTTATTTATAAGAGAGAAAAACCTCTTTGATCAAATCGATTACGATCCCATTATTAAAGTTAACTTAATTTCTAACGATATTTTAGTGAAAAGAAATTTAAAAAATTTACACATTTGGGTAAAAGAAAATAACAATTTTTTGAAGAAAATCAACTCCAATTTGAAATTTCAGTTATATTTTCAATTTTACATTGAAATCATAAAAAGCATTGCCACAAATTCAGATGAAACTTCGTCACTGGGAAATGACGTTTATAGAAGAGCAGTATCATTTTTAAATGCAGAGCTAATTCCAATAAATAATGAAAATTTTAACAAATTTTTTAACGAAATAAAATTGGCCGGTAGTTTAATGATCATCCCTCCCCAATTGATAAAAAATTTTATTATGTTTGAAAAAAATCAAGAAATTTCTTCTATAACTGCTGACATAAATCACAATTATTATTCAAGCTCTCATTATTTAAATTTCGAGAAAAACTTCAACTCTAATATTCAATCTGATGATATAAATTCATCAAATTTGCTTTCGAATTTAACTAAATTTTACAAATTGGTATCTTATAAAAGATACAACTATTTAAACGAATTGTTTATAAATAACTATAATCAACTATACGGCTTGTCAGATGATAATAATTTGCTAATATACCTTTCATTGGGTCTATCTGTTTTGAAAACAAGGTCCTGTATTAGCAACTCTGAACTAAAAAACTATCATCCTCATTCAAATCCTTACTTGAACTCTTTACAAGTTCATTCTGCCAGTCATCAAAAATCACCCAAAAAACCATTTCACCGTATCAATCAAGACGCTCAAAATCATAAACTTAGACTTCAAAAGTTGAAAAATATCGAACTAAAGTCAAAATGCAAAAATTGCCCTATCTGTTCCTCTTATCAAGTAATTAAGTTAGCAAAAAATCTTCCATATGCTCACAATATAAAATCCAACTTGGATTTTTTTTACAAAGATCCTATTAATTTACCTAACGGCAATATTTTCGATCAACCTAAATTGTTCAAATTTAATAATATCTTAGTTGACAAGTTTTTAAAAAAATTCAACCTATTAGAAGTCTTGAAAAATGACATAAAATTAAACTACAACCCTAAAATATTTGCAGCTAAATCCAATTCCAATATTGGTTCAACTATTCCCGGTATAGAATTCTCTATTGTTGGCTTTTTACATGAATGGTTTCAAAAAAATATTATTTCGATTAATAACTCAGAGCATAATGATTTTATTGAATCTCAAATAATCAGTTGGTTAGATTATTCCAATTCTGACTCAAACCCAAATTTAGTACATCTTCCTGAAATAAAGCATCTTCAACCAAAAGATAAAAATAACGATAAAGAAAAAGATAATGATGACAATGATGATACTGAAGATGAAGCATTAGAAGAAAAAAACAATAATGTGGAAACTCAAAAAAAAACTGTCGGTAATTATAATTTTTCTAGTGAGGATGTTGGAAAGCTGATTAAAAATTTTGCAAAGAAAGCCACGAAGGATCTTAGTTTGGTTGATATTGACGCCATTATCAGAGAGTATATTCTTAGTGGACACTTTGTTACCTGGACCTATCTTTTAATCATTGATCCCTTGACTGGAGAGAAGTTCAAAGGTGATTCTTATTCAAAAGTATTTCCGACTTAAAAATAATAATCAAACAGCCTCATATACAAATGCTAAGAATCCATATCTTTTTTTGTCTTTTGCTCTTCTCGTTTTTTTTGTTGGGAAAACTTTTCGTATATAAATTTATTTATTTTGATCATCATTTTATGAATGTTTTTTAGGAATCTAAACAATATACATATATTAATTTTCAATAATTAAGGTAAAAAAAAAACTGTAAATAAAAGAAAAGAAATTATGCATAGAATGATACGGATTTTGATTTTCTTGCTTGAACTTCACCAATTGCTTCAACAAAATCTTCATGCTTAATACTGTTTTGACCATTTCTTAAGGCAATCATCCCTGCTTCAACAGCAACAGCTTTTAATTGAGCGCCATTGAATTCATCAGTACTTCTTGCTAATTCTTTCCAATTTATCAAAGAGTCGCATTTCATTTTCCTGGCATGGATCTGCAAAATCTGTGATCTAGCTTCTTCAGTGGGCAAAGGAAATTCAATTTTTCTATCTAATCTACCAGATCTTAATAAAGCAGGATCAAGAACATCAACCCTATTTGTGGCTGCTAATACTTTGACTCTATCATCGGAACCAAAACCATCCAATTGATTCAATAACTCTAACATTGTTCTTTGAACTTCTCTATCACCAGATTTGTCAGAATCAAATCTTTTAGTACCGATAGCATCCAATTCATCTATGAATATAATAGTTGGAGCTTTTTCTTTGGCTAAAGCAAAGGCATCACGAACTAATTTTGCACCATCACCAATGTACATTTGAACCAACTGAGGAGCTGCTAATTTCAAAAAAGTAGCGTTTGATTGTGCAGCACAAGCTCTTGCTAGCAAAGTTTTTCCGGTACCTGGAGGACCATACATTAAAGCACCCTTTGGGGGTTTAATACCAATTGTTTTAAATTTATCAGCCTGTTGCATTGGTAACACTACGGCTTCTACTAATTCCTCAATTTGTTTGTCTAAACCACCAATGTCATTATAACTTTCCGTTGGCTTTTCATCGACTTCCATTGCTTTAACTCTTGAGTCATATTCTGCGGGTAAAGTATCTAATATCAAATAAGAGTCTTTATTGACACCTATTAAATCATTTGGTTTTAAAGTAGCAGGATCGACCAAACCAATCATTGGTAAGAACACAGTTTGTCTAGTTGTAGTTCTTATGACAGCAGATTTTCCTACTCTTGTAGAATCCAAATCGATATTTGCACCTTCAGTCTTAGCACTTTCATCTGCTTCCAAATCTAATAATTCAACAACATTTGCAACCAAGTATGGTAAAACTTTGTTATTAGAAATTTTCTCCTGGTTATCTTTAATTTTTTCAAGCATTGTTGACTTTTCATGATTCAATCTTTGAACTTCTGATTTCATTACTCTGATATCATTTTCCAAAAGCCTTGCTCTGTTTTTAATATCTGAAGCTGAAGAGTTTAATAATTCCCTTAATATTTCTTCATCTGGATCAACTTCTTCTTTTTTTGGAGTTTGTGAATTTTCATTGTTGTTAGAATTTACCAACGAGTCTAAATCTTCCAAAGTTGACATTGTGAGTTTAAAAAGTGGAAAAGTATTGATTGAGGTAGTAGTTACAAGCTGGATCCAGAATCAACTACAAATTGGCAAGGTAGTGCAAGATAGATTGCAAATATTGGAGTTGGTTAATGCTGATTGCCACTCTTTGACGAATTTCTTTGATTTTGAGATGAAATCTCTCTTTTTGTAGTACGGATTTTGCCAATCCGCGTGTGGAAAATCCGTGAGAAGATTAAAAGAAGTAAATGGATATAATATTAAGTGGGCCATTAGCAAGAAAATAAAAGAAATAAAAAATGAATTAGAGCTATGTAATTATTGACTAGAATGAGATCGTAAGAAGAGAGAAATTTTTTTTTTACAAATTGAGATTATTTTTTGGAAACCGGTTTTGTTTCGGGTTCTGCTTCATCTTCAGTGTCGGTATTTATATCAGACCAATCTTCTTCTTCTTCTTCTAGACTAGAATCTAAATCTGAATCTGAATCTGAATCTGAATCTGAGTCATTAGCGCTCTTTTTAACCTTTTCGCCCCTTAGTTGAGCCATTACACCAGCAAGTGAGTCCTCATCAGGATCTTCAATTTCATATTGATCTGTTTGTTCTTCTATTTTTGGTTCTTCGACAGTCATTATAACAGGGAAATCTAGATCGCAGCCAAAATAATCGGAATGGAAAATTCTTATTCTGAATTGGTAATTGCCAGGTTTGGGAGGAGTGGGTTGTGTGAGAGGAATCTTAAAAGTTCCTACTATTAGCTTGTTATTTTTATCTAGATCATTATTATCATTTAAAGCGTTGATTGAGGATTTGTATTCATCGAGGGATAATTCCAAGTTTTGTAAAGATAAGTTTTCATAAGTTGAAGCTGGATCGGCTAGTTTACCATCTTTTTGTAAAAGTAATAGAGCGATGTAGTTTGATTTTCTAGTTCCCGGGAAGAAGGGAGAATGAGCGGTTGGTAATTCAGGTTGAGATTTTGTTGATTTGTAAGGGTCTCTAAGAGAGTCCATTGTTTCAACTTCGTGTAATAAAGAAGATGGGAAATTTTGAGTGTTTGGGTTACCATGATGAGCAGGAGATTTGACAAGGACTTTTATGATTAAGTGAGAAGAGGCGTTTGGCGGAACCACAGATTCACCAGGCACCGCAAAATAGGCCTTTAACAATTTTAGGATGGGATATTCTTTGGAGATGAATTCGATTGTTGAATCAAGTTTTGCGTCATCAGAGATACCTAAAGTTATTTTTTGTTGGTCTTTTGGTAAGGATAGTAATTTGCCTAAAGTGTGAACATTTGACAGTTTGACAGACTCAAAATTGACGTTTGGAAGTTGCAATAATTGCTGTTTTTGAGTGTTTAGAATTGGAACAGCTTGAGAAATGGATTTTAAGATTGTGATAGAAGATACGACCATATCTGTTGATCTAACAATAGAGCCGATATCTATAAGACCGTTTAATAGGGTTGGTAATTTTGAGACGATTTTTAGTTTATTTAGTTCGTCAGTTTTATCGGTTGAGATTGATCTATCAAGGTAAGAATAAATTAAAGATTGTATTTTTGAGGGGGCTAATCTATTGTTGAACATTATTTTGAATTCTTCAGCATTTGATAACCAGGAGATTAGTAATTTGGGAGACATGAGAGTTAAGGGCTCATAGTTTAATATTTTTTTAACAAATAATTCAGCAGTCTTTGAGTGGATACCCTTTTTGGTGTAACTTTTGACGTTGCTCCACCATTTTGTTACTAGGAAGGGGATAATAAAACCAATTAGGAGAAAGTAAAAGATTAATAAAAGAAAACCTTGGGACTCGATTAAGAACTTAGGTAAAGCAATACCTCTTGAGACCGATATTATACCATCTGGATTACCATATTTTTCCAAATTTTCTTTGATGACATCATCAGTCAAGGCCTTGTAGGCGTTATTTATGTTGATGAAAGTTTGTTCGATTTTGTTGATTTCGTCTTGGGATAAGTTTGATTTGTCTACTTTATCTGGATGAAATTTCAAGGACAATTTTCTGTAGTGAGACTTGATTTGTTTTTCAGTTGATTTTGAGTCGATACCGAGGATTTCAAAAGGATCAAAGATACCGGAGGTGGTTGAGTCAGTGTTTGCTAATTTGAAATTGATGTACCTGATTAAAAAAAATATTAGGAAAATGCCAAATAGATTGAATAAGTTTTTGAGATTGAAATACAAGTTTTTTGAATTGAACTTGCTATTAAAACTTTGTAAATGATCATAATTGTACGGTTTGCTGAAGTTTTTAATTTGATCTAGTTTTTTTGCATTTTTTTGCAATTCTCTTTTTGAGGATTGATTGTGTTTAACAATTGAACGAATGGAGGATATGGTGGTGGGAATTACCACTAAAGCAGCCAAACTGAGGGCGAAATATGGCCACGTTTCTGAATTTTCATCATATGTATATTGAGAACTTGACATTATTCTGGTGAACCTGCTTCTCGTGAATCAAAGAAACCAAGTAGAAAAAATATATTATAATATAGAATAGGTTGGAGATTTAGAGGAAGAAAAAGGCTAGCAGGCTGAGGATTGTGAAAAATGAACCCGAAATATTTCCTGCTCATTTCATAACACGTATATTCAACAAAAACACCATGCAACTATACACGTGTTACACGCAATAACATGCGCACAGCACAGCCAGGTGCACTTGACGCAGAATGCACACTAAAGCTTAGTCAGCCATTGATCTGCATTAGACATGCATTAGAGCGCAACTCCAGTCGTGTGGTGCGGGCAGCAGAAGCTATATCCGCTGATGGCACTGGAGACGAGCCTTGTGTGCTGTCAACCGCCAGCTCCAGTCCAGAGCGTGGTGGTTGGAGGCGAGCGAACTGCCCTTGGCTCAACAGCGGCGACAGCAGCTCGGGTGCGCCCAAATAGCGGCGGTATCAGCGGCGGCAGCAGCAACACCAGCGTCGACAGTCGGCTGGAGAGAGCGAGCAGCGGTGGTGGGACTGGAAAGAGGGGCTGTCGAGGAGCCCTGTTCGCTTATGCACCGGTGTCAAAGCGCTATCTGCCCTTTTCCTTAGTTCCCTTATATTTCGTTCTCGCTCTCTCACTTTCTCTTTTTTTTCCTTCTCTTCAACTTCCAACACTTGTAGAACCTGGCCCTTTGATCACATAATCCAGCTCCATCCAATTGAGTTTCCTGGATTCATTTTCTTCCAAACTTTATCATCTTCTTGTTGGTGTTATTTTCCTTTTCGTATTTAACCTTTATATTTTCCATTTGTTGGTTCATTGTATCTCTTTTCTTTGTCCATCAATCTGCTCTTTACCATCTCATTATAATCTCATTAATCTTTTCATCCACACACTCATAACTCATACCATACTTACAGCACAGCACTCTCGTACTATACTCACACTAATACTGCACTTGTTTTCATCTCATACTCATTTCATACTTACAATGTTCAAACAATCTTTCAAATCAATTCCAATCAGAAGTTTCTCAACTTCAGGAGCTGCTAGAACCTATGCCGCCAGAACTTACGCTGACACTATTCCTAACTTGAAAATCACCAAGGATACTAAAGTGATCTTCCAAGGTTTTACAGGGAAACAAGCTAGTTTTCATGCCCAACAGGCTTTGGATTACGGCACAAAAATAGTTGGTGGAACCAATCCTAAAAAAGCTGGCCAAATTCATCTCGGCCAACCTGTTTTTGCCTCTGTTAAAGAAGCTAAAGCAGCTACTGGCTGCAACGCTACTGGTATCTTTGTTCCTCCTCCAATTGCTGCAAAGGCCATTGAAGAAGCCATTGAAGCTGAATTGGACTTGGCCGTTTGTATCACTGAAGGTATCCCACAACATGACATGTTAAGAGTCTCTCAAATCTTGCAAACTCAATCCAAAACCAGATTAGTTGGCCCAAACTGTCCTGGTATCATAGCTCCTGAACAGTGCAAAATCGGTATTATGCCTTCCATTATTCATAAAAGAGGGAGAGTTGGTATTGTCTCGAGATCTGGTACTTTAACTTATGAAGCTGTTGATCAAACTACTAAAGTTGGTTTAGGCCAATCTCTAGTCATTGGCATGGGTGGTGATCCATTCCCTGGAACAAATTTCATCGATGCTCTAACTCTATTCCTCAATGATCCAGAGACCGAAGGTATTATCTTAATTGGCGAAATTGGTGGTTCTGCTGAAGAAGACGCTTGTGAATTCTTGAAACAACACAACCTTACAAGAAAGGTTCCCAAACCCGTCGCTGCCTTTATTGCAGGTGTTTCTGCTCCTCCAGGTAGAAGAATGGGTCATGCTGGTGCAATTGTTGCTGGTGGTAAAGGTGACGCTAACTCAAAAATAGCTGCTTTGAAAAACGCTGGTGCCATCGTCGAAGCTTCTCCAGCTGGTTTAGGTGCTGCTCTATTCAACGAATTCAAAAATAGAAATTTATTATAGTCCCTCTATCCGAATACTATTCTACAATTATCTTATTTTAATTTTATTTACTTTAACTCGTTCTGCTTTTTATTTTCGTTTTTTTTTATATATAATATAACTGTCATAGAGTTTTAATTAATTTATTTTCATTTCATTTCATTTCACATAATTACCATTTCTTATTTTGATTTTTCATTACTTTCTTTTTCTCGCTTTCTTGATCTCTTTCAAATCAGTTCTCTCACTTAAAGTTCGATCAGGCTCCATCTCAATCAGAGCTAATTCAATTGTTTGTTTCTGTTGGAAATTAAATCCATCTCATTTGCCACTATTCTCCTAAGCAATCCCACTCAATTTGCGGATGCTATCAGGGAATTCCTAACAAAGCGATGCTCCAGAAAACACATCTCAAGTGGAGAAACTCTTGGATGGGGAAGCACCAGAAGAGGAGTAATCAACTTACACCAATCCTGAAAAATACAGGTCTAGAACGTGACAAATCACATGCTCAAAGTGTGTCAAAAACATTATTTGCTCCACAGTAACGGGTCTCACCCTGATTGGCTCTTGTTTTGATTGCCTTCATATATCTTGTTTTTTCCTCAACCTAAATCGACGATTATCCTCTTTAACACCCACATGCTGGCCCTTAATCAAGCACAAATGGATTTGATTTCATAACTCCTAATTAAAATTTTTTTTCTTTCTTTATAAATGTTTATTAATAGCGTGTATATACAAGATCAAAAAAAATGTTTTAAATGTTTCAATTTATTAAGTTGCATTAAATATTAGCATGATAGTACCTCAATTATTATGGATGTTTGTTTTCCATCGCTTCTATTTAATTTTATTTTTAATTTCAATTTCAATTTCAATTTCAATTGATTTCATTTTCAATTGATACGCTTAAGAATGTCCTCAATAACTTCCGTGGTCTTACTGGTTCCTCCTAAATCAGGGGAAATGATTTTATTTTCTATTAAATTAGCATCAACTGCTTCATATATTTTGGCAGCAGCTTTATCATATCCCAAAAATTCTAACATCATTGCCGTAGACCTAATGGTAGCAATTGGATTGGCAATGTTTTGCCCTTCAATATCAGGAGCCGACCCATGGCAGGGTTCACCGATGACAAAATTTTCACCAACATTACATGAAGGAATCAATCCCAAGGACCCGACCAATGCAGCTGCCCCATCACTTAATATATCACCATATAAGTTTGGACCAACAATAACATCAAAGTTTTCAGGCTCTCTAAACAACTTATAAACCATTGAATCAACAATTTGTTCTTTCAATTCGATACTTTCAAATTTATCCAAATGATTATCGTAAAAATTGCGAATGGTTTCTCTGAATAAACCATCAGTAAGACTTAAAACATTTGATTTGTGAGTGATTGTTACACTTGGAGAGCTGTGAATTGATTTCAATCCTAAATCTCTTAAAGCTTGCCTTCTTAAAGCAATTTCAAAAGCCATCTTACCGATTTTCTTTGAAGCGACTTCAGTGATTCTTTTAATGGCTTCAGCAACTTTAGTTCCATCAGGATTTTCGAATGTTTTTTCTTCTTTAACATACAAATCTTCAGTGTTTTCTCTAACAATAACTAAATCAACAGGTCTATCAATTCCATTATCGACAGATTTAACGGGTCTAACATTGGCGTATAAGTTTAATTTTTTTCTTAAAGCGACAATTGGAGAGGAGTAGCCCTCGACTTTAGTTGTAGGAGATGAAACTGCACCGAATAATGCACCTTGACATTCACTTCTTAAAGCTGATAATGTTTCTTCGGGTAATGCAGTTCCTGCGGCTTGAAAATGGTCAAACCCTGCTTTTAAGTCAATGAAATTGAACTTCAAACCATACGAAGATGGTAAGGCTTCTAGAACTTGTCTTCCAGCAGGAATGACTTCCTTTCCAATCCCATCACCTGGAATTAATCCAATAGTTAATGTTTTAGCAGCGGCAGAAGAATAACATCTAAGTGAGCTTCTAAAGGAGTTCTTAAAAGTAGCAGAAAGCATTTTCGCTTTGTGAAGAGATATGTGGATTTAAAAGAGTAATTCTATATATATAATAGTAATAAATATAATAGCAAAAAACTAAAATATATATGCCTCGTTTATTTTGTTTGATTGGATTAGATTAAAACTCCAAGTAATACAAAACCTGACAGATGATAAATAACCAGTTGCACACCAATTTTTTTTTTATTTAGTCGAATTGATCGCACCCTTTCTGTTCGTTCTCAGTCACTTGATTTTCTCCAAAGACAAATTTTCCTGTCCAACTCCGACAGCGGCCTACAAATCCGTGCAAAGCAGTACAGACTAAATCGTGCAGCTGTTTCCATTCCTGGAACGGTTATAAGATTATCTTTACAATCACTACATTAAATCCAGTTGCTGCAAAATATCTTGAAATCCAGTTCGGTACTACATTTCAATCATTTCAATCATTTCAATAGTTTTTCACCGAGTTTTAATTTGTTATATATATACAGCTTGATCAGCAAAATAAACGGTCGCCTAATAAAATGAAATATAATTATCACGTGCAAAATATATATTCTATTTTGGTGATCCATAAATTACTCATAAAACTAAAATATATAATATCGTAACGAATCCATGATATTGGTTAACGTCTCCTCAAGTTGTTTTTATAAGAAAGCAAAGGCTAGCAGAGTGCTCCCTTTTATAAGTGCTTGAGTTAAACCGGAAAGTAAACGTGACATACATATAGTTGCGGGAACATTTCAGTAGTTAGAGCGATCGGTATTTGTGGTTCCGTCCAACATCCAACATCCAACAGTTTCAACCATCATCCAGCATATTTTAATTAACAGCAAAGCTAGAGCCAAACTATGAATAGGATCTGGGCATTCATGTGACTAAATAGGCATTCAAGATAACCAACCAAGTGGTACTATACAGTGGTTTTGGTAAGAGTGTTAGTTGCACATAGCACTGCCTTGATTGAAATGATGATTGAGCCCTATTAGCAAAATTATTCTTTAGTTTAGTTTGTATTTGCTTTTCTTTTGCATCTTCTTTTACATCTTCTTTTGCATCTTTTCTTGCTACAACAACTTTCTATCGTGCTCAGAATCTCGTCTTCTATATCATGAACAACATCTCGACAAAATCAGAGAAAATCTGTATTATTGATTCCGTTATTGAATCTTCTGCAGCTGACGACAAGCCCTCAGAAGCAATCGAGGGCCAATTAGAGTTGAGTCTCTTATATCTATCCTCTGATGATATTAATGATAGGGAAATATCTTATTTATATATCAAATTTCCATCCAATGTTGAGGTTCCCATTCCAAAGGATTCGATAATAAACAACCCGTTAAACAAAATCTATTGTTTTCAACTTCTTGAATTATTAGATCATTCAATTAAATTGGATTTTAGGAATGTGTCAGATGAGCAAGTTGAGTACTTTGAATCAATTTTGATTAATCACACGTCTTTCAAGATTAACAAGTCGTTTCAACTGGCTCCTTCTTTGCCTGAAAGAAGTTTATCCAGTTTTAATGACGAGAAACACTTATCTAGTGCAAATTTTCAAGAACGAAAATTCACTGATCCTAATTATCTTAATAATGATGAGAGCTATAGTCAGGGTCAATTGATTCTTGTTGATAGTCAAACTGGAAATCAAATTGGTAAAATTTCCAATGTCCAAGGCAATGTTTCTTCTAATAAACTGGATGCCCCCGTTGAGATTGTTCTACCTGAGAATGACAGCAATAATTATTATTATACTAATAATCAAGATGAGCAAGCTGGTCAAACTAATAAACCTTTATATATCCAGCCCATAGATCCCAATGATAAGATCATATATACTTCAACGTTGATCTCAAATGGGTTAATTTACACGTCGTCTGCGGTATCTAATGCTTTACACGGTGCAGCTAGTTTTTATATTAATAATTCCAAACCAGCGGATGAACCAGTTCATTTTGATCCTTCAACAAAAAAAAGAGTTGAAACTTTTACAAATATCACGTCAACTGGTAGACAAATATCCTCAAAGGCTGTTAGTATAGTATCTAGTGCTGCTCATTCTTTAGGTGCCAAATTAAATGAAAAAGCCGGTGAAAGAGATATAAATAAGAAACCTGGCTTAATTAAAACCGGTTTGTTGGCGTTTTCAACCATTTTGGATGGTACTGATATTGCTTTGCAAAATTTATTACATGGGGCCTCAACATCAACAACTAGAGTCATTGACCATAAATATGGCAATGAGGCAAGGGATATCTCTGCTAATATCGGAAGGGGCGTTTCGAGTTGTGCCTTGATTTATGTTGATGTCAGGGGAATCAGTAGAAGAGCTATTATTAAATCTGTTGGAAAAGGTGCGATCATTGGAAATATAGGCGATAAAAAAGTCGTACTACAAGATTCTGCTCATGTTGAAATTCAAAATAAATCCGATAACAACAACAACAGTTCAAGTTCTGTAAATCTTTTAACTAATCACACCAATGAAACTGATAATAATAATAATATTAATAATAATATTATTATTAATAGTAAATCAATTAATCTATCTCCAAAAGATGAGGAGGATCTTTATTCTGCCCCCAAACCCTCAAAGGCTCCGGAATTACCCCCTAGAGAAAACTTCGACATTAAAAAGTACAACCAATATGACTATATTTAATCACTCACCACTTTTCTGCTCTATTTTTTCCATTTTTTTTCGTTTTTGTCGCTTTTATTTGAATCTTATCCATAAATTTTCACTTATACATTTTTTTAAATCCTCGTTCAGAACTTTTAGTTTTTTTTTAAGTTTTAAGTAATACGTAATTTCATAAATCAATTTTCTCACTAATAGTAGCTCTTGGGCTGATCAACAATAAAAATACCCAAAACTGCAATAGTATTTAAATCAATTGTGTGGTTATAAACAATTGGTGCTTAATGGAATAATCTTAATCGCCAACAGCTGCTCGAAAGTATTATTTAGCAAGTGCTAAATTGAGTATTCTCTTTTCTGTAGCAGCTCATTAGCGAATATTAGATTGTTTCTCAGATTTCAGAAGGTTCTGGTGCTGAGAAAACACTGGGAAAGAGGCTCTAAAGCAATAACTACGACCTCAAGCAATGCTGATACTCTTATCAAAGTCTATTTCGCTCTCTTGCTCAATTGGTCAATTTAGTTCCAGCAGCAACGTGACAAGACCCTGTTGCCATGGCACGTCTTGGCAGGAGCTTCCAATTGCGTGGTGTCTAAGTCGCGCAGAAGCACCGCAGAAACGGGACGCTCTCCAGCAGTAGATATAATAACCATCAAAGGTGTTTTGCCGATGAGCGACAAAAACGTTGATACAATAGAGTACAGTGGGAGTACAGTGGGAATGTGATGGAAACACAGCTGCAGTGCAATCGCAGATGAAAGAGGTGTCTTCGTGTTGTAGTCTCTGGGCTCCAGCTGGAGCTCTGTCTTGCTCTTAGTCTTGCTCTTTCTCCTTGCTTTTGCAGGCCTCCAGCTGTTAGAGCAGCACTGGCACCAGAAACTGGATACTCCAACAGTTGAGGAGCCTGCTTCTGAAACAGCTTCTCTCTTTTGCATGCAATCAGCACATTTGTTGTTTTTATTTCACAGATTCTATTCTTGGGCCAACTTTGGCTTGTCAAAAAGAGAAACTTTTTTAGATTACAACTTAAAGCAGTAACTACCAAAGTAGTATTTTGATATGCTAACAGTGGATCGTAATTCACAACTTTCTCAATTCATGTCTCATTTCTCAGAAAACATATTTAACTGTTTTATTTTGTTCTCTGTTCCCACCTCTTCTCTGTTTCCACTTCTCTTGCTATTCTAATCAGTTGTTAATTACTTGCTTTTTCCAATTTTTTAACAGATTTTTCAATAATTTACTGAGATGAGCGATTTCATAAAAGTATTTGCTAGAGATTTGGTAGAAAGGCATATTGTCTCTGCTTCTTCGGAGGAAGAGGAGCATGTCGAATGTGAGTCTGGTAACGATTATAATGATCAGTTTATGGGTATCAGAATTTCCTCAATTTTTGTCATTCTCGTCACTTCCACTTTTGCTGCCTTGTTTCCCGTTCTTTCTTCTAGATACTCCTTTATCAAATTACCAAGCTGGTGTTTCTTCATCTGCAAGTATTTCGGTACTGGTGTAATATTGGCAACAACTTTCATCCACTTATTAACTCCTGCTGTGGAATACTTGGGCCACGAATGTCTCGGTGGTACTTTTGCTGAATACCCATGGGCCTTTGCCATCACTTTCATGACTCTCGTCATCCTTTTTTTCATTGAAATGGTTATCTACCACTACATTAAAAACTTTTCAAATTCTTCTTCAGCCCCTGTTTCTCAACCTCTAATTGAATCAAACCAAGACTCAATCGATGAAGACAAAAAAGTCTCTCTTGATAAGGACTTGGAAAATTCAAAAATCGACCCAACTGACTTGGGCTCTTTTACTGGTCAATTAATCAGTATCTTTGTTTTGGAATTTGGTATTATCTTCCACTCTGTCTTTGTTGGTTTGGCTTTGGCCGTTTCTGGCGATGAATTCAAAACTTTGTATGTTGTTATTGTCTTCCATCAAGTGTTTGAAGGTCTTGGTTTAGGTGCAAGAATTGCCATCACTGACTGGCCAAAGGAAAAAAGATTTACTCCATATGTCTTAGCTCTTGGTTATGGTCTTTCAACCCCAATTTCTATTGCTATTGGTTTAGGTGTCAGAAACTCTTATTCTCCAGGCTCAAGAACTGCTTTGATTACAAATGGTATCTTTGACAGTATTTCTGCTGGTATCTTATTATATACCTCCATTGTTGAATTAATGGCCCACGAATTATTATTCACAGAAGAATTTGACAATAAACCAGAAGACGCTTCCCATAAAGGTACAAAGAAAATGTTTGCTGCTTATGGTTTACTTTGCCTTGGTGGTCTCTTAATGGCTTTACTTGGTAAATGGGCTTGATTTTTTTTTTTTCTTTTTTCTCACTATTTTTTGTATTTTTTTTTCTACTTTTTTCTCTTCCATGAATTTTAGTTTGTTTTGCTTTTTCTTTTTTAACTTATTGGAGATTCTCTTTATTAATATAAACTACGTATAGATTTTTCACTCGATGTTTGTATTTATTTCATATTCTTCAATAAGAAATAAGAGATAAGAAATGCATTTCCATATTTTTACGTAAGAAAACACGGAATTTTTGGAGAACCAAAACAATTGTAAAAATTTTAAATTTCAATATCCAAATATTTTTTTATCTTTTTTTTCCCACCTTCATCATCTTCACCTCGATGCTATCTTCTAGAATGGGATCTCAATAACTTTCAATAAGAGCTACATACTAGATAATGCTACAGAGAAAACTTCAATACCACTTGTTAAATTCCCTTCTACGTTATAAGAATCTATTTTTCTTCAAAACTTTCTCTACTATTAGCGAATCAAATTCCATACCTTATTCAAATCTGAAAATAAAAAATCAACCTGAAAATACTCTAAGTCTAGAAGACTATATCAATTCAAAATTACACACTAATAAAAATAAAAATACAAGTATAAATACAAATTTAAAGGAACATGATATTATTGATAATGATTTGATTACATTTTTTGATTTTATTACTGCTCAACCCACTGAAGATCCCCATAAAATTAATAATTTTCGTCGAAGAATAGCAGAACTATTTCAATCAAATAACAGAACCTTACCCCTAACATCATTTGACCTATTGTTTAAATATTTTGACTTATATAAACAAGTGTTTTCAAATTATGAAAATTATAAAATTTTAAAAAATTCTTTCAAATTTAATAATAAAGATCATAAAAACCTTATGAATGTCGCTGTAAACTCTTTAACTAATCATAATGCCACCTTTAAACTTCGATATTTGCTTGATGATAGTAATTTTCAAGTGAAAAACAGACAAATACTACAAGAAAGAAATGGTTATATTGAAAATGAAATGCTAAAAGCTTCCGATAATCAACAAGTTTATTCTCAGTTTATTTCACAGTTGTATTCAACTAAAGAAAAGGAATTGATAAGAATCCAAAAGCTTTATGATTTGTATCTTCAGTTTCCGAAACCGAGACCATTAAATTTTTTCCCCAATCATTTCAATGATTTCTTATTACTATTTTCAAATTTAAATTTAGATAATTTTAAATATCAATTTAAATTACAAGAAACAATGTCAAGAAGACTTATGATAGAAATAAATAAAAGGAAAACTCTAAGTGAACGCTTATTAGAAAAAGAAGAGCGAAAAAAACAAAAAAAACACAAGAAGATGGAAGTAATTGACAATGTTACAATTATTCGAGATATTTATTCACAAATAATAGCAGACATGCTAGAATTCAATATTCCGGTTACCCTTAAGGAGATGTCAAGATTAATTGAACTAAATTTAGCTTTTAATAAAGGATTGACTGAAAACGAGACTAAATTACTTTTAAAAATGTGCCATACATGTTTAAGTACGAATAATAATGATGATGATAACGATGTCTATAAGAAAAATTCTGATAAAAGTTTAGTTGAAAGTCTGATCAAAAAAAATTATGGTGTCGGGATAATTAGTTTAATGTTGAAGTATTCAATGAAATCTAGGAATACACAACTAACTAAAGATATAATTAAAACCATTTATTTTGAAAAGTGTAATTTATTAGATATCTTACCGGATAAGGGATCAAATCTTTTATTTTTAGACTTTTTGATTGTGACTAACAATAAAGCCAACTTTTTCAGATTTTTATGGAGTATGTTTATTAAAGAAAAAAGAATAAATGTTTTCACTATCGACATTGTGTTTTTATTTAAAATACTAAAAGGATTAGCAAAATTTCAGGAAACTGAGCTTACAAATTTAATATTAGGTCGAATTATAAATTTGAATTTAATTAAAGAAATGGGGAAGGGCGTCAATTCAGAAGAAAAAACAGGATTATTTGAGAATTTTGATGAAGACAATGAAATAGAGTTTGATGAAAATAATAGCAAAGATATTGATAAAGATTTTCATGATAAAAATGATATCAGAGTTGCTCGTCATAGAATTAAAATTATAGATACAATGAAAACTAGAATCCGTTGTGTTTTAAAATATAAAAAAAAGAAAAAAAATAAATATCAAAACTTAACACCTTTTGAGGAGCAAGTGTTGGAGGAAATAGAGAAAAATCAAGTTGATTATTGTGTTTCAATCAATAGCGAACTATTTGCAAAAATATTGGATATTTCATTACAAAATCCTAAATATTCATTTTTTGCAATTAAGAAATCATTTGAATTTGCTGAAAAAATAAACATCACATTAAATAATTTTATTTTCAATAGGGTGATGTTCAAAATTCGATTCCATTTACAAAATGATGAAGTGGTAGATGAAAGCTGGAGAAGCTTTGAAAACATGAAATACTTATTGGAAAAAGTTATGGATTTCATAAGAAACCAGTATCTACTCAATCCAAACCCAGCATATTACAAATCAAAAAACTTTCAGCCTGATTTTTTTGTGCTTCCCAACATTATCAAGACATACAGAGTGCTATTGGAAAAAACAACCAACTCTGCAAGGGACCATAAGTTTCTCAATGAACTCGAAAAGGAGAATCTAGCAACAGAAGGAGTTGTAGGAGGAATGCCAGCAGATATCAACATGCAACACATCTTCCACAGAAAGTACTTGCTCTTGCAAAAATTGATGAGCCATGAGTTCCAAACACACCAGTAGTTGGGCACATTGCTGTTCGGCCAATCAGCGGGCGTCTTTCGGAGTGCGGTGAGTACCTCCAGGGTGCTTTTACACAGCTTATTTATTATAATTACTTTATGCCGGAGTTTCCTCTTTTGAAATATGCATGTATATAAATATGTATGTATAGTGTATGTATAGTGTAGCCATGTTGGCCGTATCTTGGTCGGAAGACATCCAACCTCTGCATGTGGCTATGTACACATCCAGCATCCTTACAAACACAATCGGCGCCATTTCCACCATCCAAGATTAATCTTCGATATCTGAATCCTCTTCTAAATCAACAGGAGCCAACCCAGGTGTTAGCCCAGGATAGGCATGAGACTTATTTTTGGTGCTTGGTTTTCTGATTTTGCTTCTGAACAATTTTTTTTTCTTTGACTTCTTGCTTTTTTTACTGTACGAACTGTTCATTGCACTCATTATTTCTTTCTGAAGTTCCTTTACTTTTTCATCTTCATGTTGTGATTTCACCAACTTTTTAATTATATCTTTTTTAGAACGATTCTCCTTGGCTCTTTCGTATAATCTCTCTCTTTCTTTGCTTCGCTTGGCAATCTTGCTTCTTCTTATTTTTTTCTCCTTCTTTACTTTATCAGCATCTGGAAACAATGACGATAGTAGTTGGTTAACTGTGGATTCTGAGGACTGCAACTTCAAATTTTTCAAACCACCCATTGTAGCCAGCTATAATAGAAACGTAAAATACAAAATACAAATTTAAAACAGTATAGGGTATAGATAATCAACCCAAGACGATGACAATAATGATTAAATGATTAAAGGAAAACTGCATTTTATGTTTTAATTTTTTAATTTTTTAATTTTTCGTTTCAAATTGCTTTGTAGCCAACTTTGTGGGTCCACTTGGCAAATTTTTTTTTTTGAAATTTCACTTTTTTTTAACTGATAAACTTTTATTTTAGAAATATCTTCACAAATCAATATAATCAATACAATTAATAAAAAACAATGAAAAATATAAAAATTGATGGTGCTATTCATCTTCTTAATAATCAAGAATTTGAAGATGAGGAAATCACAAGTTCTGAAGACGAAATAAGCGATAATGAATCAGTTAAATCATTTGATGAAAATGAATTAGTTACTTTAGATAAAATATTTGATCAACCTGATTTTTCGGATGAAGAATATGAAGAATATGATAATAGTACAAAATCATTTAAATTGGATGATAATGATCTTTCAAGTTCAGAATCTGAAAATGATTTGGAATCAGAATCGGAATCGGAATTAGAATCTAATTTTGAGGAAGATGAAGATGAAGATGAAGATGATGATATATTTAAAAACTCAGATGATGATGAAAATAATGATGATAATAACGAAGTATCTTTAAAACAGACCATAAAAAATTTGAAAGCAAGTCAAAACAAGTTTTTGGAAAAATCAAAAAAAAAACTTGAAAATATAAATACTTCAAAGGCTAATGATTTCAATTTACTGTCATCTAATACTTTATCTATTTCTGATATGTTATCAGCAATTGATTCTAAAACTGCTCTAAATGATGCTATTCTTTTAAAAGACCAAAAGGATAAACTCACTTCTCAGAAAAAAAACGATGATACAAAAACATTGGATATACCATTACCTTTAAGAATAAAACAAAGATTTGAAAGAAATGCTGCCTTTGAGATAACAAAAAATGTATTAGATGAATGGGAAAAGGATCACCCTGAAGGATTAGATTTATTGAAAATTAAAAAACAAAATGAAATAAAAATTACTCCTTCTACTTTTGCTCCTGTTATTAAACCTGCAAATGATTTGGAGTCTAAAATTAAAAACGTATTAAAGAAATCGTATCTTGAAGATGATAAAAAGGCTTCTACTTTTGAACAAATAGCAACCGCTAAATTATCTGTAAATGACTTAAGAAAAAAGCAAAATCAACTAAGGATGATGAGAGAATTAATGTTTAGGGAAGAAATTAAAGCAAGGAGGTTAAAAAAAATAAAAAGTAAAAAATTCAGAAAGATTAGAAAGAAAGACTTATTAAAAAACAAAAGTTTAGTAGAAGATCAAGAAAGTGACGAAGAAGAGGATGAAAATGACGCTCATTTAAAGAGGGCTTCTTCAAGAATGACGTTAAAACATCAAAACAATAAGTGGGCTAAAGAAATGTCAAAATTTGGAATGTCAAAAGATAGAGAAACTCGTATGGAAATCGAGGAAGCCGCTAAACGAAACCAAGAATTAACAAAAAGAATTCAAAATCAAAATAACCGTCAAAGTGATTCTGATAGTAATCTTGAAGATTCAGAATCCGAAGATGAGAAAGAATTAGAATCAAAAAGAAAAAATCTCAGCAAATCTGGATTTCTTAATATGAAATTTATGAAAGATGCAGAAAAAAAATTGAAAATGAAAAATAAAGAGGACATACAAAAATTGCGAGATTTGGAAAATGGGTTAGATATCAAAGAATTTGATGAAGACAAAGTGGAAAATGTAAAAGTTGCACTAAACAATGGGAGAAGAATATACACTCCTTCAGCATCCAATGCTGGTAAGGAGGCTAAGTTACAGAATCAAAAAATTAGAGAAGATGAAGATATTGAAAACTCCAAACTATTGAGTAATAGACTATTAAACAAGATTCAAAACCAAAATAAAGATACCAAATCTAAAATTAAAGATACTAAAAACAAAGCCAAAAAAGATGAAAATAAATCTAATGATAATAATAATAATAATAATAATAATAATAATAATCATAATACGGAAAGTAAGAACCAGAAAAAAGTTTCCTTTGATAAAAAATCTGAAAATAAAACCTTGGAAGCACTATCTAAAATTGATAAATCAGTGGAGTCCAATCCATGGCTTGCTGATTTGGATAGTAAAAATACAAAAAGTAATGTTTTGAAATCCCAAAAATTAACCATTGTAGACAAAAAGTCCACAAAAGCTGCAAAGCAAAATTATAAACTTAAAAAGGCTACAGTTAAAAGTACATCAAAATCTAATAAAAAAAGGAAAGAAAACGAAGTGTACATTGATGGTAATGAAACTTTGTATATTGATGATGTATATGGTTCTGGAGATGATGAATCTAAACAAAAAATTGAAAACAATAAGTTTATGTTTAAAGATAAAAAATTGATTGCAGAAGCATTTGCCAGCGATGATGTTATCAAAGAGTTTAAAAAAGAGAGGCAGCAGTTACTAAAAGAAGAGAGAAGGAAAAATAATCCAAAAAGCAGTAAAATGGCAGTTCCAGGTTGGGGGTCATGGGCTGGAGGGCCTGAAACTAAAAAACGAAAGAAAAATAATAAGCTGAATCCAAAATCTGTCAAAGCCTAAAGGCAAAAAAAGTGTTATTTTGAGTTTAATAACTAGTATACAGAACTACATTACAAGTTATTTCTTTCCAATCCCAATAACCGTTCTATTCTATTTAAAAAAAAATATACATATATGTAAAAAAACAAGGAAAAAATAAAAATGAAAATAAAAATAAAAATACAAAAAAAAGGAGAAAAAAGGAGAAAAAACTGAACTAAATTATTTTTCTTTATCATTCTTAGTTTCATTTGTATTTGTAAACTGATCTAAAGCCTTTTTTTTCAACAATTCTAACTCATGATTACTTTTTTGTAAATTTTTTTCGAAAATCAAATTTTTTAGTAGATTATTTTCCATTGTTAAATTTTTTATTTTTATTTCTAGAGTAGAAGATAATTCTTTCAATTCTTTTAAATTTCTTTCCAATTGTTGTTCTTTTAATTTCTTTTTTATACGGAATCTGGCCGAAGCAGCAGTGTTTCTTCTGCGTTTATCTAAGTCAGCAGCAACTTTGGCAGTGGAATAATTCGAGTTTGTATAAGTTTTAGAAATATTATTTAAATTTGAAAAAGTTGAATCACTGTCGTCATCGTTTTTGAGAAGTATAGTGGATTCCTTTTTAATATTTGGCTTTAATAAAGGTAACTGAAAGGCAGAATTAGAGTTGGAGTTGGGAGTTGAAGATAAATTAGAGATATTATTATTATTAGAAGAGGATATATTGGGAGAGTTATTGGTAATGTCATTAGTAGTGTTATTATTATTATTGTTATTATTATTGTTAGTAATAGTATTGTTAGTAATATTTTTGTTAAGTATACTGTTATTGTTTATATTCATATCGTTCATGTCAGTGGAACTAGTATTTCTATTATTAAAACCTAAAGGACTAGAAGCAGAGTTTGAAGATGGTGAGGAGGAGGAATCACCTGGTACTATTTGTTGAGCTTTATGCTGAGCTATCAAAGCTGCTAAGGCGTCAATTTGTTCATTTGTAAGCCCAGCTTTCTCCAAGGAAGATTTTGCTCCTGGAGGAACTGAAACTTTATTATAATTTCCCAAGGATATAAGATTTGTATTCAAAGACTGTTGCGAAAACATTTGATTATTGTTATTTTGATTCAAGTTCGTGAGGTTATTAATACTGTTAATACTATGAATGTTATTAACATTATCGTTGGGTTGAGAATTTAATAATTGTTTCATTGATAATTGAAACTGTTGAGATGAGTCGCCTATGTTAATTAGATTATTATTATTATTATTATTGTTATGATTACTATCATTATTATTGTTATTATTAGGATCATTAGTATTTACTAATGGATTTATCATGTTGACTATACTGCCTAGACTACTTGAATTAATATTACTATTTTTATTATGATGATCGAGAGTATTGTTAACATTGTTATTTGTGTTAGAAAAATTCAAAAATTGAGAATTGTTATGGTGGTTATTGGGGTTTATGATATTAGATATATCAAAGGGACTAGTGGTATTGCTATGGTTATTTAGATTCTGATTTAAATTCAGATGCAAATTCTGGTTTAAATTATTTGGGATATTCTTTGGAGAACTTAAAAGCGAAGTTGACAATGGGGAATACTGGGGGCTGAACACTTCATCTTTGTTGTTTAATTGGCCCATATTTTGGGCATTGAAATTGCCATAGTCGTTGATGTTATTCAAGTTTCTCAAGTTGTTGACACTGAGTGAGTTATTATCGCTATTACTAATAGTGTTATTAAGGTTATTGTTAAGATTATTGTTAAGATTATTGTCATTGTTACCGTTGCCGTTGTTGTGGTGTGACTTTTCCTCATCAGCAAAGATAAAGGACTCGTTAGCAAAGGCAGCTAATTCAGCAGCCAACGTCTCATTCAATCCTTCGCCATCGTTCTCAGCCAAGTCTGGAAGCATGTAGTCAACATAGGCCAACTGCTCCAACAAGGCAGAAGGGGTCGATTCGGTGGAGTTGGAAAGAGCGATCTGGCTGGTGTTGACATTGGCACTGGAACCGGATTTGTTGTTGTTGTTGGAGCTGCTGACGTTGGAGCTGTTGGTGGGCTGGGGGTCTTTGTCTGTGAGCATGGTGGAAAGCAGAACAAAACAGGCTGGGAAGCAGAAGAAGCACAGAAGCAAGGAAAACTCGCACATAAATACCCAACCTGAGACTGAAATACCCATCAGGGCTCACTCCACAGTTCTCGCTCGGAGAAGGTCACGTGTGTTGCTACAACACCACGTGTGGTTGCCCAATTGGAGCCACAGCGACGGAGCACCGCAAGTGTACTGCTGACTTCTGCCTGATAATGCTTGTAGTCGCATGTTGACAGCTGTGGGACACCGCAGCTTTGTGTGTGTGCCAGAGTAGCGGTACGCTATCGGCACTTCGTCGGCATGTCTTCGGCAATTTTTGGCAACACACCAAAGCTCAGATTAATTATTAATTCCAGCAAAAGCTACAAAACCAGCAGTAATTATACAGCTAAATATACAACAGGCCGAAAATACGCAAGATTAAAAGTCGACCTCCATTACACTAAATCCAGACGAGCTGTCACCCTCTTCGAAAGAAAGATTGCCTGTGTTCTTTTCCTTCTTTTCACCTCCACCTGAAATCGCCAAAAGTTCGACATATGTTTGGCAAATTTGTTGACACACACCAACTGAATTTGTATTCCCCATTAGATCTTGGTACTCAAATTTCATCTCAGCATGGTGATTTTTCGGTGTCTGCTTTAAATCTTTATCCAATCCCTTAGACGGCTGAAATTCTCTCAATTTATCCTCTGATAAACTGTATTTCTTTATCACATAGTCTCTATATTTGAGTAAAATCCCAAATATCGATGATAGATTTGCCACAAGTTTCCAGTCTTTTAACGTTTGAGAATTTTCTGAATTCTTTATTTTTTCAATCTCATACGATAGATTAACTCCTTCTTTGGATAACAATCGACCAATTCCATAACAGATTAAATACAATTCTTCTATGCTACTCAATTCAACATATGTTAAATTAATCATTATGAATAGAATAAAATCCCTTTCTTCTTCGAGTTTTCCCATAATCTCTTCATTTTGATCCAGATAATTGGTTAATTCAATTCCAAATGATCTGTTTAACGATAAAAAAAACCTCTTTCGCGATGATCTTGACGTATTAATAATCCCATAGAACGTTCTTAAAAACCCACTGTCCTCAAATGCTAATTCATTATCAATCAAATGTTTTCTAAAAATAACCCCTTCTTTCAATCCATCAATATAACTGGAATCAATTAATGACTCATGTTTATCATGTAATTCTCTGTGCATCTCAATTGCCATGTTTTTTATATGATCATTTGGTGAGAATTCTAATGCAATTATTGTACAAATACACAATTTGGGATTTGCAAATCCCTGTCTAACAACTGTTTCTAAAAACCTAACCGAAGAATATGAATGCAATCCACCATCAATTAAACACAACTTTAATATATATCCAATATACCTTTGAACCAATGATGCGCATATTCCATCATTCACATATGAGGATGAATTACCATGAAATACATCAACGTCAAGCTTAGTAGACTTTGATGATTTTGCTCCCAATCCCGATCTTTTTACAGATGCCTTTTCCTCTTGAATTAAAAAATTATTAATACCTTGAATTATCACTTCTTTTATATTGATATCTACCAAATCCTTCTTTTCAAATTCATTATCAAATATTTTTAAAATAGATTCTAATAAAAATAATTTCACATGATTTGAACAAATATCAATCAAATTCCTAATTGCCACTCTTTGAATCTGAGGATTTTCAAGTTTTTCATTGCAAAATATTAAAACATATTTAGTCAATAAACTTGTTATACTTTCATTCTCTTTTAATCCAAGATTCGCTTTCAAAAATATCTCTCGGTGCTTATCAAATTCACAATATTTTCCAAAATTCCCTATTAAATACAAAAGTCGAATAATTTTAGGATCTGACGTTTTAAAAAATTCAAAATCTTTCTCCTTGCCAGTTAATTTATCAACTGAAGGCTTTATCAATTTTAAACAAGAACAACACGCATTTGATATCTTTATAGTATTGCCCCTCATATTGGAAATTAACCACAAACAAGGAATTGCTTCTCCTAATTCTCTCACATTAAATTTAGATAACCTTCTTAATAAAGAAAATTCAGCATCTTCTAAAAATTTGGGTCTTAATGCTTTAGTCTCAGGTAATGTGTTTTTAAAAATTTCTAATGTGTAAAAACATATGGCATCTCCAATAGATGACTCATCTGTTAAATACGGCTGTAGAGACATTAATTGATCTTGACTAATAAGATTTCCTCCACATTTACTAAATACAGCTAGCAACCCAATAAATTTTTCAACTTTGTTTTGAATCGACAAACTTGCATCTTTATTGCCATCTTTATCAACAATTAAATCTGTTTCATTTTTTTCAATCACAAAATCCAATGTTTTCTCAATTATTAGTTTCAATGTTTTCAAAATTTCTTGGCGATTTATTGGTAGATTCGAGTTTCCAGCAAAGCTTGTCTTAATACTTTTTACATCTTTATTTTTTTCCTCAAATAAAACATATTTTGTTAAGAAATTTTCAAATAAATCCCAATTTTTTTCATTTTTGTTTATTACTTCAACCATAACTTCAACTCTTTCTATTGCCATTCTTCCAATTAATTCCTGATCAACAACCCTTTTATTAATTTCTGTAGTTAAAGATACAAACCATATAACCAATAAATTATTTCTTACAAGCTCGATAATAGAATCTTCTTCATCATTAAGACCTTTCAACAAAGTTTCAACAATCAAGATTTTTAACTCAAGACTTTCACTATTATTATAAATTTGATTAATTAATTTTAAGATCCTTTTTCTAACAGCTAAAGAATGATCGTTTATTCTTTCAATAATGTTGGGATAAAATTCTTTAATAACTTCTGAATTTTTAAAAATATACTGGCTAAGTAAATCAATTATAGAATCCCTTACCAATGGAGATACATCATTTAGTCTTGAGGAAACAGAATTTTTGATTTTAGGAACTTTTAGTAAAGATGGATCTTTTTTAATAATTGAAGATAAATTTTTTATTGCTCTTGTCCTTGATTTAATTTTAGGATGACTTAAAGAATTAACCACGAGATTTAAAAAGCTATCGTATAAATTTAATAAAGGTTGAGATAGTAGGACAATACTATAATTGGTAACAGAATCCCATTCTGATATCTCTATATTTGATATATGAGAAACTTCCATAAATATTTTAAGTTCATTTGAGTTCAAATCTTCTAATAACTTATCATAAACATCCTTTAATTTAATAAATAAAGGAGAAGAGTTTAACATGAACTTTTCAACTTTTCTTTGTTCCTTTAATTTAAGTAATTTCTCTTCTTCATTATCATCGTGTTCGATCTGAAAATTGTTTTGATTTTTATCTTGTTCAGAGCTAGCATTTTCTGCAAAACTAGTTAAAAACTTTTGAGATAAAGTCTCTAAATTAAATAACCATTTTAAATAAAGAAAGTGAAAATTAAATTTTTTATTATAAACATATTTTAAAGATTTCTTATAGCTTTCTATAACAATATCAAAATCCTGAATTAGCATATTAGGTTGTAACATTAGAAAGGTGGAATTATAAAAATTGCCATTAGAATCAGCATTGTTTCTGTCCTTTAATAGACTGTTTTCCTTTTTAAATGTTAAAATCTCAGTTCCTATTAGTCCAATCATTTCAAGACAAAAGGTTTCAACTAAAGAAGAATAATTTGAAGATTGAAAAACAAACATCATTGTGCTCATTAAAGATAATAGCAAAGTTTCAGATCCAGCCCACTCTGGAAATCTTAATAGTTTTAAGAGATCTTCTAAAAAGATTTCAAATAAATGCTTATTAGTCAGGTCAGTCTGATTTGAAATTTTGTTAATAATAAAAGAGGAGATTTGGTTGCAAATATGATCTAAAGATTTGTAAGAATCTGATAAATAAGTTTTAAAAGACAATAATTGGTCGAGGTAGTTTTTTTTATCGTCTTTTTTAGCTTTTTTATTCATTTGAGAATAAGATGATTGATCTTTTTTGTAATTCCATATTGGGTATTTAAACCTATAGGTGCTAATGTCGAAGGTTTGAATTATTTTTAGGATGAGTACGGTGAACAATTGAACGGTGATTGATCTATTGGGGATTTTAAATTGCCTTGCTATATTTTTATTATTTATCATTTTATTTACATCAAAGTTAGTTAGAATTTCGTTAAGAATGAAATCTTTCTGATCTGGCATTTCCTTGAAGATTGAAACTAGAATATCGATTGAACAATTTTTCAAGAGCTGGATACTATTTGGAGATATAATACAATTATTTAGGTTTGATATATTTGAGGTATTTTCCGAACCATTTAATGGAGAGGTAAATATTAGTAGGTTTGATAGGTATTCTAGTTTTGTAATCAAATAATCATTGACAGTAATATTTTGAGAATTGTCTTGATTTATTTGATTGTTGTGATATAAAAGAATGTAATCATTTAGTTGAGAGAAAATCTTAACTAAGAAATTTAAGATGCCATCGAAAATCTTTTTTAAGTTTTTAAAAGTGTTGTGATTATAATAATTTTTTACGATTGATATGTTTAAACTTAGGGGTAGAATTAGATTTTCAATTAACACATAGATGAAGTTTATTATTGGTTTTAGAAAATCTTCTAGATATAACTTTATTTCTTTTCTTTTTGATAAAAAGATTAATAGAATTACGGAACTAGCTCTTAATGCATTACTACACAATTTAAGAGTGTATAAATTTTTGTCATTAAAGTTAAAAATCATGTTATTTCTGTTATTGTGTGAATTTTTATTTATTTTTTTGGGGTTGTTGTTGTTGTTGTTGTTTTTGTTATAATTCAAAGTTAGTAAGCCCTCCCATTGAATTTCTAGAGAATATTTGATTGATTTTAGACATAAATTTTCGATTCTTGATAAATATGAGAAGTTTAGTAGATCGTTATTTGGTAATTTGAAGGATGGGTTGTTGAAATTGTCAAAAAAGGATTTTCTTAATAATTCATCAAGTTTTATTAGAACGTAATCGGATAAGCAATAATTGTTGTGATCTAGGATGTCAATATTGATATCTATATTGATATCTATATTGAGATTGAAATTGGAGATATTGTTTGTATTTTCGCTTATTTGATCGTTGTGAATGGGATGAAATAAGGGTAGCCAAAAATCTTTATGATCTTCAAGCTCAATGTCAGAATCAGTTAAACCAAGGCGATTTATCAATCTTTTTATGGAGGAGATTGCGGATAGTTGTAATTTATCTAATTCAGTGCATGAATTGATGTTTTGTTTTTTGGTTGGAGAAGAATTTATGTCATTTTCAATTAAAATGAAATCTGCACTAGAATTATGAACATTATCGTTATGATTATGATTATTGTTATGAGTATCGCTATTATTAATATTAGTATTATTAGTATTAATATTAGTATTATTAGTACTATTAGTATTATTAGTATTAATATTAGTATTATTAGTATTATTAGTATTATTAGTATTAATATTAGTATTATTAGTATTATTAGTATTATTAGTATTATTAGTATTATTAGTATTATTAGTATTATTAACATGAATATCGTCTTTTTTAGGTTTTTTCAAAGAGTTATCAAGTTGACTTGAAAGTGAAACGGATCTTTTGGATGGTTTGTTGTAGTTGTTATTAGGGTGATTATCATCATCATCATTATCATCATCATCAGATATATCAATAACGATTGAACTGTTTTGTAATTGATTATGATTTTGATTTTGATTTTGACTTTGATTGTAGTTTTTCTTTAGAGTGTGATTATGATTATTATAATTTTTGTTGGTGATGTCAGTGTTATTGAGTAGAGAAGAAGATATATAGACCTGGTTATCATTAATATGAGGTAAAGAAGCCTGTAGGACTTTTTGGTTAAGATAGGGCAAATCATTTGGTATAATGGAGGTATTGTTGTTATCTGTGTTGTTATTGTGATTGTTTTGATTATTTTTGTTAGCGCCAACAAAATTTTGGTTGTGATCATACAAAGCAAAGGGTTTTTTGAATTTTATGTTGGATAGATTGAGATTTTCGCGAGCATTGTAGGAGACTAGCTGGGAAATGTGGTCAACAAAAGGGTCTAGAGTGCTGTTTTGGCAGTTTAATTGGTTTCTGAATTGGTTCAAAGAGGAATTGGGATCAGAATCGAGAGAGATAAACAAGTTTGACATGTTGAGCACCGAAGGAGTCGTCAAGGGAGTGACTGGAGCAGAGATGAGGTTAGTAGAGGTCAATGGTGGTAGCACAGGCAGCACAGGCAGCAGAGTTGGCAAAACTTACCATCTTGGGTAGGAATTAAGTACTTGAGAGGAGTGTAGCCTAGCGCCTGCTCGACAGTCTTGGGCAAAGGCTTGTTGGTGTGAGAATCGGAGGCGTTGTTGGCCATGGCAGGAGTAGATAGGCAGCAGAAGAGGAAGCAGAGGAAGCAGAAGAAGCAGAAGAAGCAGCAGCAGCAGAAGAAGAATAGAACCACCACCACGGGATCACACATCGGGATGCGACCCGTAACACTGGCGACGCGTTTGATTTGGGTTTTGTGCTTCTTCTTCCTCTGTTTGTGGTGCTTCTTCTGCTTCCTCTGCTTCCTCCTCCTCCTGCTGCCATGCTCCGCTGTGCTTGTGTGCCCTCGAGAGTCTTCCACAGGCTCTTTTCCATCTCGTCTAGTGTTCCTGTGTGCCACGTCGCCATTGTGGGTGCTGGGCCTGCTGGTTTCTATGCTGCTTTGCGACTCGCCAAAAAGCAGAGCTCGCTTTCCTTCAAGATCAAAATCACCATCTTCGAAAAGTTGCCTGTTCCCTTTGGTCTAGCCAGATATGGTGTTGCTCCTGATCATCCTGAGGTCAAAAACTGCCAGGATACCTTCACTGCCCTAATGGACGAGTCCCCAGCTTCCCCAGAAGATTCTATCAAGTTTTTTGGCAACGTCAACATCGGCAACGACATATCCATTTCCAATCTAATCAACAGCTACAACGCCATCTTCTTTGCCTATGGCTCAGCTGCTGAAAGGAACCTCGATATCCCTGGTGCTGACCATCCTGCTGTCATTTCTTCAAAGAAATTCGTCGAATGGTACAACTCGTACCCCTCTTCTTCCACCTCGAACCAAGAAAACTCTCCCTTTTCTTCCTTCTCTCTAAAGGATGTCCAAAATGTCACAATAGTAGGCAATGGAAATGTAGCACTAGACATTGCAAGAGTCCTATTACTTCCACCTTCCTATTGGGAAAAGACTGATATCTCTCCTAAGGCCCTCAGCATTCTCAAGGAGAGCTCCGTAAAAAGAGTGAACATAATCGCAAGAAGAGGCCTCATTGAGAGCAAGTTCTCAAACAAAGAACTAAGAGAACTACTACAGCTCTCCTACAATAAAAAAAACTTGACCTCCAACATCAAATTCCTTCCTCTTAACAACAACTACATCAAGTCCCTAACACCCTTTGTCTCCCAAATGTCAAGAGCCATCCAGCGTCGTTTCCAATTGATAGAAAACTTCAATGTTTTTCCCTTTCCTGAAAACGTCCACTTTCAGAGAGAATGGAACCTAGACTTTCTAAAATCCCCCATTAAAATAAACAAAAACCCTCAAAACGAAAACCTACTAGAATCAACCGATTTCGCTGTCAATAAACTACTCGAAGCTTCTCCAATCTTTAAGAAAACAAAATTATTCCAAACTGACGAAATCGTCAATGTCAAAAACGATCTCCTAATATCGAGTATAGGCTACAAAGGCATCCCTCTTCCTTCTTGCAAACAAAACGACTTGTCCTTTAACAACGAGTTTTTTCTGAATATTGATGGCAGAATCAAACAATCTGATGGCACTGTCAAACCAGGCTTGTACTGTCTAGGCTGGATCAAAAACAACTCAAATGGCGCAATCGCCTCAACAATGATCGACTCCTTCAACGTAGCTGATTCGATGATCTCGGATTATTTCATCAACTCGAAAACCTTGCCTATCATCAAACTAGGTGACGAGGGCATCAAACACTCTTTAAAGAATATCAACTATACAACTTGGGATAACTGGAAAAAAATTGATCGCATTGAAAAACAAAAAGGTAAGCAAATTGGTGTTGAAAGAGTTAAATTTGACAACGTTCACCAAATGCTAAAATCAATTAATAAACTATAATCAATTATAATCAATTGTACTCAATTGTACTCAATTATATAACACTTATAGATAAATACTGTAAATGCTCCCCAAAACAATAAATTACAAAAACGGCTCAAACCTTATTTCCCTTAGTATCCATTTTTCATTTTCTCTCTCAATATATACACTTTTTGATTCTGATTCTTATTCTTATTCCTATTCTTATTCTCATCCTTTCTTTACTAACTTCTGCTCTCTTCTACTCTGTTCTGCTATCCATTTCCTTATCTTAAAGTCTATTATACTATACATGTGTTGTTTGCAATCTTTCACCACCATACCAGCCCCATAAAAAATAAAAAACCCTCCCCAATTATTGGTCAAATGCTGTTCTTTCTCTTTTCTCGAAACAAAATATCTTCAAATACAACACCTCTTCTTCATCCACAAAGATTACTAAATCTCTTTACTTTCATAACAATTGTCACCTCTCTCTTAATTGCCTATGTTTTAAACACAAATTTAAATGGCCCTGATTGCCAATCTTGTAGAATGTCCTATATGATACCTGCTTACGCAAAATTAAATGCCTTTGATTCATCTCACACAAGATTTGCTTCAAAATACTCGTTATACCTCTATCGTGAACAGTATAAAGATACCAATCCCAATGATAACACACTGTTTTTAAATGGTATTCCTGTTCTTTTCATCCCCGGTAATGCTGGCAGCTACAAACAAGCGAGAGCCTTAGCTGCTGAAGCTGCAACACAATACTATACAACCAAAAAAGATCTCTTAAATTTAAACAAAAATATCCAAAATTTGGACTTTTTCACTGCTGATTTTAATGAAGACTTTACTGCCTTTCATGGAAGAACTTTGCTAGACCAAGCTGAATATTTAAATGATGCCATTAAATTCATACTATCCTTATACAACCACCCACACAACTACAAACAATCTGTTATAATCGTCGCTCATTCCATGGGTGGAATTGTCGCTAGAGCAATGCTATCATTGCCAAACTATAAGAAAAAATCAATAAATACTATAATAACTCTAGCCACGCCCCATTCAATTCCACCTGCTACCTTCGATGGCGATATCATAAAAGTTTACTCTGCAGTAGATAAATTTTGGAGATACAATTTTTTAAATCTTTCTAAAACCCACTCAAAAAACATCTATGATAATCCCCTAAAAAACGTTTCTCTCATATCAATAACAGGTGGAAGATCTGATACAACTCTACCTGCTGACTATACATCGTTGGCAAGCCTTGTGCCAAAATCAAATGGTTTTACTGTATTCACAACTGGAATTCCTGGTGTTTGGACACCTATTGACCACTTAGCAATTGTCTGGTGTGATCAATTAAGAAAAGTTCTATCAAAAACTCTATTCCAATTAATCAATTCCAATTCACCAACTGGTACCTATGGCCTAAATAAAAGAATGGAAATATTTAAAAGAAATCTTCTAAGTGGTTTTGATTCTTATACCTATCCGGATTCTTTAAATTTCACTCATAAATTAAAAATAAATAATGATCAAATTACTTGGGTTTTAAATGATTCCCCTAAAACTATCCCAATTAATAATTTGGAATCAAAGAAAAGCGAAAATAAAATTACTCCTGATTTCACAGTTTTTAATATACCAAATGACGAAAAATATGAATTCACAATACTAAGTTCTTTACCATTTGAGCAAATTAAAAAATTTAAATCATCTACAAAATCATCAGTATTGATATGCAAAAATTCAACTGATACCGAAAAAAATTCAAATTTACCCTTGAAATTAATTGACTATTCAAAACCTTACAACAACCATAAAAATCAAAATCTGCAAATTCAATTGAATTGTATAGATGTTTCTCACCATTACCAAATAATTCCAAAATCTACAAATAAAATAAAATCACCTCTAGAATCATCAATTGGCGATAAAGAACTGCCTTTCAATATCATTCAATTGTATTATAAAACATTGACTTGTTTTGACTATATTTTAGTATCACAACCCATAATACCCAAAAAATCTCATAATGATAATGATTTTTTACTTGCCAATCTTGTTAAATCAACTTTTTCAAATATTCAAATCAATTCAAACTTTTTAAATATTTTATTTAAAGGAGTCACAGTTAAATTGAGCAATACAAGATCAATTTCTGTTAATATTAATTTTAAAGATATCTGGGATAGCATTTTTGCATACAAAATGACAGTAAAACAATACCCGCTTGATCTGAAGAAATTTACAATAAAAAATGACCAAAATTTTGCAATGGTTTTTAGACAATGGATCCAGCAAAATTATGAAAGCAAATGGTTATTTGACTTTAATAACAATCAAAAACAACATATATCTTTTCACTCAATTGCCCCTTTTATTCCATTCAAATTACCTGTTGGTTCTAAGGAAAACTCTCTTAATTTTCAAGTACTATCGGATTCGATATCTAATAATGATACCATTGAAATTAACTTAAAACTAGATTTATTACAAAGCCTAAGAAGTTTCGCTTTAAGGTTTAGACTAGCTCTTGCATCATTTCCTTTAGCTATCGTTTATATGGTGTTAACAATCCAGTTTCATCATTATTCTAACACCGGTACATTTCCAAAATTTGATAATTCTCTAATGAAACTATGCGAAGTTAATAAAATATTACCTACTTTTTTAGTTTTATTAGTTTTTACACCAATAATGTCAAATTTTTCAATTCAAAGGGTTTTAAGATATTTTGATTTTGTGGGGTATTTAAGTAATATAGATGATATTAATTTAATTGAAGACGATATACATGTGAATAATTATTTTTTAGGACTTGAAAATGGACTTAATTTGTTATTGGGTCCATTTTTTCACATATTGTCGATTGGAATAGTTTATTTATTTTATCATGTTTTATTTTTAATAATTCAATTTTTGGTTTTGATAAGAAAAACTATTGGCTTTGGGAAAAATGTGGAAAAATTCAGAAATGATAAAACAAGTGGTAAAATAATAAACTCAAAACGTCGTCTTATTGGAAACGTTGTTTTATTAATATTGATTGGGTTTTATGTTCCATTTCAATTTGCGTTTATAATATGTTGTGGAGTACAATTTGTTACTTGTTTTAAAATGATGGAAAATATTAAGAGTGAAAGATTGAGGATAAATCATAAAGATGGTTATAATGTGAATGATATTGGGAATGATAATATTGATTTTAAAAGAGAAAACAAAAAAGAAGAAATGATATTAAATAGGCTTAATTATAATATTTCATTTCTTATGTTAATTTTATGGACATTACCTATTAATATTACTATAATAATTGTTTTTATTCATAATTTTGCAGTAAATTGGAGAACAGGGTTTTCTTCTCATCATAATTTTGTATCAATTATTGCCATTCTTTTGTTGGTTGAAAGAAATTCGAATAAGGTGATGATAAACCAAAATAAGAGCAAGATAATGAAAGATGTGACCAATTTAATATTGGTTTTGAGTGTAATTTATAGTGGAATATATGGAATGAGGAATAGTTGGTGGTTACATCATTTATTCAATATAAATTGTGGATGGTTTTTAATAACCAATTTTGAGAAAAAGGGATTATTCTCTAAAGAAGAGATAGAGATAGAAGATAGAAGATAGACAAAATATGATAAATAAAACTATATTGACCGATGAAAAAGGGTGAAAAAAAAATAAAATTCAATAGAACTTCAACAAATAGATTTATTAATAAATTAACAAATAAGTAAATAAAAATAAGGACTCAGGTTAAAATTACAAGTAGGAATTAATGTTGAATATAAGTTAAAAAAACAATTAAAATAATTCGTGCAGAATATGATAAAAAAAAAAATAAAACAAAATAAAACAAAACAAAGTAAAGTAAAGTCAAGTGAAATGAATAAAATAAAAAAACCAAAATAAAAAATAGATTACAAAAATTAAATAATCAAATAATTAAATAATTAAAAAAGTGATGCTGATCAAATGAACTTGAGTAATTGAATAGTTGGCTAATTAGCCAACTAGTGAATTGCTCAATTTGCTATATAGTTAAGTAAAATGTCGAGTTTTTTATCTAATAAATTTAATTTTTCATTGATTGAAGATATCGATAAGGAGTTTTGTTTCGTTGCTTTTTCAAGATCAGATATTCTATCAAGCAAGTTATAACTATTTTGTTTATTGTAGTAAGGGATATTACTGTTTTGGGAGATAGGGTCCTGGTTGTGATTATGATCTTGGTTATGAAAAGCATTTAAATCGTCATTTGAGGAATCAATTGAATGAGGTAGCTGGGGATTGTGATTAGACGAGATCATCAATTGAGGGGGATTGGGGTTATAAATCTGGTTATGGATTTGGCCATCATTGGTATTATTATTAATATTGTTGTTAATATTACTATTATTGTTGATATTGTTATCAAGATTATAATTTTGAAGAGAGATCGAATTTAGTTTTTCTCTTTTAATAGAATTATCATCAGTGGTATTAATGTCATTTGAGATGGAGGAAGCATAGAAACTTCTTTTTCTCTTTTGTTTGCCATTTATATTCTTATGAACACCATCATATAGGTTTTCTTGCTCAATTATACTATCTAAAATTGAGGTGATTTCGTCAGATGAAAGAGAGGGGTTTTTCATGTTCTCGTTATTGGCATAGATGGTGATGGGATCCTGATCGTTATTCTTTGTGTATTCCCTTTTGGCAATGTGGTTTTTGTAGGCCTTTTTAAACTGAGACTGGATAGTCCTAATCTGATGAACATCGACATTAAACCTTTGATTGAAGTTGGTGAGAATCTCTTGCCATCGCTCGACTTTTTTATTGTAGTTTCTGATATCAGGCAAAGCAGACTGGTATTGCTGGACAATGAACTTGATTTTAGCATCGTCCCAGTTTATAGCTGGAGCCATTATGGTATGTAGAAAATAAATGCTCTGTGTTCTGCTGTTGTCGTGCTTCTTCAGAGTCGTGCTTCTTCAGAGACTGTGGCACTTCTGCAAAACGACTCTCCTCCACCAGAAACAGCATAGGCCCAGCTGGGAGCACGCGTTTCCGCTGCGTGTGGTCTGCGTTTCGCCGTCGTTGATCGGAGTGCGTTCCTTTTCGCGCACTCCCAGGCAGACAGCCGCATACTATGTGCAATTGTACGATGGAGCGCGCAGACGCGCACTCTTGTTCTTTGCACCATTTTGATGGTGCGTTTGACAACGGGCTGTCGCTGCCGTCATATGATTGGTCAGCTCATGCAGCTGTACACAGCACATCAGACCTGCCGTAGCATGCATGCTTGTTTGCGTTGTGACCTTCGATAACCGATTTCCGACCGTTCGTTACGAGCTAATACACTTTCGAGCATTTGTTCTAGTCGTTCAAATCCGGATGCAACATTCGATTCAATTAACTCAACTCTTTGATTTAATCCATTGATTTTGGAAGCCATTGGTGGAGTATCAAGTTCCCTTTCGTTATCACTATCAGTGTTTTTGACTTGGATGCTGTCAGGTTGACAGTCGTCGAAGGAACGATAGAGATTTCTTCTAGTGCTCATGACTTAGTAGACTTCTCTTTCCTTTTTCTCTTTTGTTTTATTTTATTTCTATCTAGCTATTTAGTGATCATATTTATATTGTTTGGATTGCAATCTTCATCAAGGTATTTTTGAATTAAATGTTTTTTGCGGAAACACAATTTTCGTTTCGTAAGTGGTTAAGTCTTGTGTATTTCGTTTGGGGCAACGGACCATAATTGCTTCACGAACGTCCGAGTTCGGATTGTGTTTTCCGACCACACCTCGTGCAACAGTTTGCTAGCGTAATCTCCCGCAAATTGGAACGTGCATCTGATTAGCAAAGCACACGTGGCGTTGCATTTATCCTGATAGTAGAGATTGGCGAGTTTTCCTTTAACTCACAAACAGAGTTCCGGTTTTCTCTTTCCTCGGCGTACACGTGTGTTTTTTAGAGATTCTCGAAATGGACGGCCCTGAGCAAATTTCTGTTTTTGCAATAAAATTTTCTTTTTCAAAACAAAAAAACAAGAGATAAATTTTTTTTTCAACTTTTCATTTTCTGTTGATCCACTTTTATTATGCTTTTTCATTAATTTCATATTTTGTCAGATTTTAATATTTAATTTCTATCTCAAGACTAGTTCCTCTTTTCTTATAGTTTATTTATTACATTTATTCAAATAGACATAATCTTGTTTCTTCAATTTATTGTACGCATTTTGTTTTATCTATATATTCTATCTACTTAATTTTTTTTTATCCAAAAATTCCATTTTATTTCCACTAATTTGCACATTCAATTTTTAGTTTTCCTTCTTCTTTTGATTTGGTATTGTCTCATTTAAAATTATTATAATATATCTACTTATTCTATATTCTTTCCTAATTTCCTTCTTTTTCTTATTTTGAACCTCTCATGGCTAATAAATTATTATTCAATATTGATTCAAATTCAAATTCAAATACAAATTCAAACTCAAAATCAAAGTCAAATTCTAATTCAAACCCTTTAATCGAAAGAAATCATTCTGTTCAAAAAAACTATTTTAACAATTTATTATCTGATCCTTTAATTTTTATCCCAGCAAAACACACTGATATTTCAACTTTGAAACCTTCTTCTTATATTTTGATTTCTAATCAAATTACTCCAAAAAATATTCCACAAAGTATTCCACAAAGTATTCCACAAAATAACCAAAAAAACAATACTATCACTGAAAATTCCCAAAACAATTTAACCTCATTCAATAAAAATCCTAATAAAAACAAACCTTTAACTTTTTCAAAAAAACCAACTTCAATGGCTGAAGCAATCGCTCTATACACTAGGTCAAAATCTTTAAAAAAAACTCCTGATAAAAATCACACTCATTCAAATAATATTGATAAACTTAATGAAATACTCTCAACCGATGATTCTCAAGACGATCAATCTCAAAATAACTCAATTATCGACCAATTTCCTTCAACCTTCCAAAAAAGCAGCACCAATCATACTGGTAATGACGATGAAGATGAAGATGAAAACGACGATGACGATGATGATGAAGATGAGGACTATATAGAAAATGAATCAGATCATATGAATACAGAATCAAGTGATTCTAGCGATCCTAATGATACTAATGAATCTAATGAATATGAACTCGGTGGTAAAATATTAATTAAAAATGTAAATGATGAAAATTTCAATAAAATGTTAAACCAATTGGACTCTTTAATAGACTCAAGTGATTTAGATATAAATAAACTAGACAAGTTTAATTCTTTAAACAATGAAATTTTTAATCATGAAACAGAAGAAACGAAGCAAGAAAATGAAAATGAAAATGAAAACCAAGAAGATGATGATGATGATGATGACGACGACGATGATGATGATGATGATGATTACGATCTAGATTCCGAAGATGAAGACACGACTATAAATAGGATTAAAAATAAAGAAAATGAAAAAAGATTACAAGAAAAATTGGAATTGAAAAAAGATTTAGGAGTTGATTTAAAATTATTAAATGAAGAATATCTAAGTAGTCAAAATAATTTATCCACAACGCCACCTTTATTAGATAGTGATAAATATAATAATGATGCTACTAATCCTAATAACAAAAACACTAATCTTCATGATGATAATAAAAAGTTTAAAAACTCTGACAATTTTAGTGTTAATAATAAAATTATTATTCAAAATAGTGATCATAATGAAAATATCAATGATCATAATGAGAACGGTAATGACAACAACAACAACAATAATAATAATAATAATAATAATAATAATAGTTATTATTATAGTAGTAATGATGAAGATGAGATTGAAGAATATGGAATGATTGGAAAATTATTTAATAATAACGATTTTTATGAGATTAATGAAAAAAATTATGATAATGGATCTAATGGGTCTCAAAAAATCAATAAATGTTGGGGTAAAGAATTAATTAATTTAAAACCAGTTGGACTATTAAATAACGGTGTAACATGCTATATGAATTCAGCTATTCAAGCGATGATTCATATTCCTGCTCTTCAACATTACTTAATCGATATACATAATAAGAAATACGATGAAATACTAGATAAAACATCAGTTAGTAAGGTATTTGCCGATGTAGCCTATAAAATGTGGTCATTAGATTTATTAGAAAATAACAACAGTAACAATAACAACAGTAACAATAACAACAACAATAACAATAACAATAACAATAGAAAATTGAGAAATAGAAAGAAAAAAATGAAAAAAATGAAAAAAGAAAGATCGCATGTTAATCCAAAGAGATTAATTAATAGATTAGGGGATATCAACTGTATGATGAATGTTTGGCAACAAGAAGATTCACATGAATATTTCATGTCATTAATGAGCCGATTACAAGAAGATGGCACACCCAAGGGACACAAATTAAACGAAAGTATAATATATGATATATTTGGTGGGCTATTACATCAAGAGGTTGTTTGTAAGAATTGTTCATATGTTTCAAAAACTAAGCAGGAGTTTTATGATTTGAGTTTAAATTTAGAATCTCGAAAAAGGAAAAGCAATAAGAGCAAGAGCAAAAACAAGAGTAAGAGTAAGAGTAAGAACAATAATACTGCTAATGGGGTTTTAAATGGAGATTTGCGAACAGATTTAAAGGGAAAAAACAATAAAAACGAAGACGATAATAAAAGGAATGATTTATTAATTAGGGTGAATGGAACAGATAGTAACCATAATGGTAATAATGATAACAATAATAATAATAATAATAATGATAATAATAATAATGATAATAATAATAATGATAATAATAATAATGATAATAATAATAATAATAGAGATGACCAGACAAATAATGATGTTAGTCATACCAATAATAACAACCATAATAATGGTGATAATAACAGCACTACTGCTAGTAGTAGTGCTACGACTACGACTACGGCTACGATTACCATTAATAATAATAATAATAATAATAATAATAATAATAATAATAATAATAATAATAATAATAATAATGGTGAAAAAGTCAAGAGAGAGAAATACAATATGAATAACTCATTGAAAGATTTTTTCTCTCCTGAACTAATTAAAATGGATAAGAAGGATAAGAGTGTGGGATATGTTTGCGAAAAGTGCAAGCAAAGAACCAATGCAATTAAGTTGAATTTGATTGAACGAGCCCCAGAGACATTGGCAATCCATATCAAGAGATTTCGATACGATGGAAACTCCAATTCGTCATCTAAGGTCAAGCATTGTGTGAAATACCCATTGTACTTGGATCTAAGCGACTACCAAATCAAGAACCACAGAAAAATTGAGAAAATCAACCGAAAGGAAATGGAGGAAAATGAGCTCAGCAAAAGAGATGTGGATGCTCTCAGGTACCAGTTGATCTCTGTGGTGAACCACGAAGGCAGGTCCATTTCGTCTGGACACTACAGATCGTACTGCCGACAGCCAGATGGTGAGTGGTACTCGTACGACGACGAGTACATCAACAAGATCTCCGAAAAGGAGGTGCTTCGAGAGGGAAACGCCTACTACTTGATCTACACAAGGTTGAGAAGCAAGAGCAGCAAGCGCGAGAGCGAGGTAGCAGAGGCAACAAGCCACAAGCGCCAGAGAGTATAGAGGCAGGAGCAGCAGAGGCAGCACGAGCCACGCAGGCAGCCCTATTGCGAGCCCTATCCGTCCGCACGCCTGGAAAAAAGCTCGGCCGCTGCCCCGTCCTTGTAACCGCATTACATAATCACGCTACTGCAATATACGGTTAGACTGCGCAGAACCAACCGTGTGGGCGTGAGCATGGACGGTTCTGGAAAACGTCGGCCGGCACGCGGAGGGTGCGGTGGCCCTTGTTCGGGCCTTTGTGTGGTGGAGTGGTGCTGGAGTGGTGCTGCGTGGGATTCTCTCTGGCGTATCCGGTGCTCAATTCTTTTCATATATAAACCATCCCATCTCCCTGTTTGCTTCTCTTCTGCTTCCTTGTTCATCTTCATCATCTGGTGTCAATTATTTCCTAGATTTGTCTCAATTCCTCTCAATTACTTTCTAATCTCAATTACTCTCCATCAATCTTATAATTCATAATGGCTATTACTGTAGGTATTAACGGTTTCGGCAGAATTGGTCGTTTAGTTTTAAGAGTTGCTCTTTCCAGACCAGAAGCTATCAAGGTTGTCGCCATCAATGATCCTTTCATTGGTACTGAATATGCTGCTTACATGTTTAAATACGACTCTACTCACGGTAAATACAAAGGTGAAGTCAAGGCTGTTGATGGTGCCATCAAAATTGACGATTCTGTTATCAAGGTCTTTGGTGAAAGAGACCCATCTAATATTCCATGGGGTGCTGAAGGTGTTGATTTCGTAATTGACTCAACCGGTGTCTTCAAAGAATTGGACACTGCCCAAAAACACATCGATGCTGGTGCCAAAAAAGTTCTTATCACTGCTCCATCAAAGACTGCTCCAATGTTTGTTGTTGGTGTCAATGAAGACAAATATACCTCTGACTTGAACATTATCTCCAATGCTTCTTGTACAACCAATTGTTTGGCTCCTTTAGCCAAAGTTATCAATGATAACTTTGGTATCAAAGATGGTTTAATGACAACTGTCCACTCCATCACTGCTACACAAAAGACTGTCGATGGTCCATCCCAAAAGGACTGGAGAGGTGGTAGAACTGCTTCTGGTAACATTATCCCATCATCCACTGGTGCTGCTAAGGCTGTCGGTAAGGTTATTCCAGAATTAAATGGTAAATTGACTGGTATGTCTCTCAGAGTTCCAACCGTTGATGTCTCCGTTGTTGATTTAACTGTCAACTTGGAAAAACCAACCTCAATTGCAGAAATCAATGCTACCGTCAAAGCTGCTTCCGAAGGCAAATTAAAGGGCGTCTTAGGTTACACTGAAGATGACGTTGTTTCTTCTGATTTCTTGACTGATTCCAGATCTTCCATCTACGATGCTAAAGCTGGTATCTTATTAACTCCAACTTTTGTTAAATTAATCTCATGGTATGATAATGAATACGGTTACTCTACCAGAGTTATTGATTTATTAGAACATGTTGCTAAAGTCTCCGGTTACTAGTTGATTTAAAATAATTTCAAGTTTTTTTGCATTTATGTCTTTACGATTTTCTTACAATTATAAATATATACTACCCAATATACAAGTTTGACTCAATTCCATCTGTAACGTCTTAAATAATTCTGAAATCTTCCACACTATCCATCTAAACACATAAACATTTCTATCAAATTCCAACCGTCTTCTATCCCTCTTCTATCCCTCTTCTGATTGCGATTTGTTTGTTAATGCATTGGCCTTTAGTTTTTTGACAGAAATCTTCCCATATTTGTGTATGCACATAAAGTTTATTTCCAGATCTTGCAGCCAAAAAAGACCCTCCCACACTGCTGGTCACACATGCCTCAGATCTCGAAACCTTATTTTGACAGCAATTAACTAATGAGCAATGATCGAAAAATGTCCCTTGCTTTAGTTTTTATCACCAGCTAGATGATTGACTGATTGACTGACTGACTGTTCTTGGTTTAAATTGTATTATATATATTTATTAGCCCATTTGTACCAAATGGATCTATATAATATCAACCCACTCGATTCTAACCACTTTCCACTGTTTTCGAAATCGCTCACTCTCCAATCAAATGAGTTTACTTCTTTACTACCTTCAACCAAAAAAGTCAATGAACAAAGGAAAAGGAGAGGTTCCTTGCCAACATTGACAAACTTTCCTCTATTTCAGTCTAATGATTTGAACATTTTAAATAATAATTACCAAAATAATAAATACCACGACAATTGTCATGATAATTGTAATGATAATTGTCATGAAAGTTACCAGGAAAATTATCATGAAACCCATCATGAAACCCATCATGAAACCCATCATGACAATCATCGTAAAAATCATCATAACAATCATCACGATGATTGCTCAATTCCAAATGAAACCTCCCTCTTGGGCTCAATATCTGCTGGTGGGAGAAATCAACTAAATACTATTAAAAATCTAAATGATTTTAAAAATTATATCAATTTAAATTTGTCGAGATTTCAAAACATAAACGAAATGAGACCCAAAAGATTAATTGGAAATAAAACCTCCCACCAATTAATTAATTGGTCAATTTTTGAAAAAGATAATGAAAAAATCAATCAGATCAAAAATAAAAACTTGAAAAAATATTACATCCATCAAAATAAATTGATTAATAAATATTTAATTGTCGATAAGATTTTAGATTCTGGTCTTCAAATTTCAATGCTCAATCACTATGCCAGTGATAGATCTGAAATTGACAATTTAAATTATAATCTAAACTATAATTCTGTTAATTCTGTTAATTCTGTTAATTCTCTCCACTCTTCCAAATCTGTTCAGTTCAGATCAAGAGGATTGTCAAGTAGAAAAAACAAAGTTCCAGCAGATATTGATTTAGAAATCAGCTCAATTTTAGGAAATTCATACCAAGAAAATTCAACTGCTATATTGCTTGCAATTTTGGTTAATTATATTATTAACATTGTACTTTTAATAGGCAAGATATTTGTAACAGTTTTAACTTCTTCTTTGTCTATTACTGCATCATTAGTCGACTCATGTCTAGATTTTCTTTCAACAACTATTATTTATATTACAAATAAATTATCGACATCATCGGATTGGAAATCCAGAATAAAATACCCAATTGGAAGAGCAAGATTAGAGCCCATTGGTGTCTTGGTTTTCTCAATAATAATTATAATCTCATTTTTAGAGGTTATCAGAGAATCTCTTGTTAGCTTGTTTAATAATAAGAATAAAAATCCAATTGAAATCGGAAAATCATCAGTTTTAATCATGGGATCAACAATTCTAATTAAATTTTTATGTTGGTTATATTGTAAAAGTATCAAATCCTCTTCAATTGAGGCATTGACACAAGATGCAATGACCGATGTAATATTTAACAGTTTTTCACTACTCATGCCATTAATTGGCTCCAAGTTAAATATTTGGTGGGTGGATCCAATTTCTGCCTTATTTTTAAGTGTTTACATTGTAATCGCCTGGTCACTAACAGCATTGAACCACATTAACAATTTAACTGGATCAAAAGCATCTAAATTCGATGAATTCCAGATACTATATCTAGTTTTAAGATTTGCAGACACCATTGAAAGAATAACCAAGATCAACTGCTATCATGTTGGCGATAATATCAATGTGGAAATCGATATTATGCTAAATCCAGACCTAAATTTAAAAGATAGCCATGACATTGGAGAAGCAGTCCAGTATGCGATAGAAACATTGCCAACGATTGAGCGATGTTTTGTGCATTTGGACTATCGAGCTGGAAACTACGATGGCCATATAAACAAAAGTTTGAGATTTTAATAAAATACCCTTTGAAATTAGCAAATCTCTGTATAATTCAACCTTTTCAAGCAAATAAAAGACTAAGGTGTCGAATTGTCAAAATATTTGTTTATTTATTTATTTTTTTTTCTATGACCACAGAACCAGCCTAAAAGGACATATATAGAGACACCATTTCCCAACCAATAAAGCGAACTTGTTAACTCCCAAAGAGATCTCGAGTTCGAATCTCGGATAGATCAGTTCTGCCTCTTTTTATCTTTTTTTTCTGGCTCCAGAGCTTGGAGGAATTGTTTATTCAGACCTATATACAGTTATCGACAAAGCAAACCACTCCATTGCATCACATCTTAGAGAAAAAATTCTTCTGTTTGATGTTTTCAATGTTTTTTTTTCTGATTATTTTCTTTTTGTATTTAATTGGATTAGAGGCTAGAATTTCTGCCTGAGCCTTTTGATCAAGCAACTTCCACAACCAGTCTGGATATTCACTATCTTCTTTTGCAATAGGCTCGCTGCTGGCTTTCTTATAAACCTTCAAGTTCAATGGCGTTCCAGCCTTGCAATACGAAACTGCTTGTGGTTGGGCCTGTTCGGCTGGAGCATCAGCTGGAGCTGGAGCTTCATTGAAAGCACTGATGCCACTTGAGAAAGATCTGGCGTTCAAAGCCACTAGTGTCTGGAACCTGCCTAAGACTATACCCTTGGGCATTAATGCAACACTCGACTTAAACATGTCTTGCTGTGTATTAGTGTATCTAGATAAACTATTGAACTGGGGAACAAGCCTCTGCTGATGTTTAGCAGTCTGGAGCTGTTTCGACTGTAAAAAGTAAAAGCAGAAAATTAAACAAATGCCACACAAACACAGTCGAATGCGGCAACAAAATACCGTATCTAGTAATTCTGGTCCTATGTTATAAAATGCTAAAAACTACTTAACTACCTCTTAATAAATCTTTGAATTTGGAATTAAAATCTTTCTTTTGATTTTTTGGGGATTTTGAGTTATGTCCTTTCAATATGGTCTCTGCTATTTTTGCATCAAGAAATTTGTCAGCTCCTAGCCTTTGGAATTTCTCATCGTCTATTTTGGTGTCATCCTCCTTAGCTGAAGCTATATCTGTCAAATCGTTCAACGCTTTCACCTTAATTTTGGATAAATCAAGCCTTTTTGTGTTTACCCCAGCTTTATTTTCACGAGTGTATTTTGTGGGGCTACTGAGCAACAGATCCACTTTTAATCTGGTTGGAATAGCCCTTCGAAAATTTGACGGAAGCCCTTTAAATGGCGATGATGTTGGTATTGGAGATGGGTGAAACTCTTTAAATTTACTTTTATCAATTTTTCCAATTTTTGGTGTTTTGGCCTTCTTTGTTGATGTTTCCTTATCTGTAGAATTCCGCTTGTTTTTGATTGGAGATGATATTTCCGGTTTTGAATTTTTTTTATTCGCTTTATTTATTGTATTTGGAAAACTAATGGGTTTCTTTGAAATTTTTTGAATTTTTGTAAATATCTTTTTATCTCCTTTAGAATCTGCTAACTGGTTTTCTAGTTTTTCATTCATTTTATCATTGAATTTGGGAAGAGGATACTTATCCAATTTAATTTTTAACTTATTAGGCGACACTTCAACAGAATTATTGGCTTTAGAATTTTCACAATCAACAAACAGCATATAAAAATTTTTCAACATCTTTTCATTGGCTTTTTCTGCTACAATTCTTGAAACATCACTTAAAGCCATGTTCTCATTAAAGCTTAAAAAGTGGTTCTGTTCTTTTAAACTGCTTTCATTACCATCATTTAATTCTAATTCAAAAGTTTTATTGCTAATTTTGTTTTTAGATTTTTCACTTAATGTGTCTTCCATCAAATTGTCACTCGAAAATGAGTCGGAAAACGATATATCAATATCATTCGAACTATCATCATTTTTACCCAGATTTAAACCTTTGCTTGGACTATCGAGGTTTTTATTCAATACATTTACATCCGGTGCCTTCTGAGGAGAAGAGGAATAAAATGGCAAAGAAAAGGTAGAGTAGTTTAAATAATCAAGTCGAGTATCTGCAAAGGGCATTGCATTTATAAAATTTTGAGGATTTCTCATCTGCCTGCTTTTGTTTTCAAGTTGTTTTTTCTTTAGATTTAAATTAGATTGAAGATTATTTATTGGAAGTGGGCTTTTTGTGTTTAAAGTATCAACTTTTTTTTTACTTTTATTGAGAACTTCTTTTTTTATTGGAGATGATTTTTTAGCTTTTTCTTTAGTGCGTAGTTTTTTAGTTAAAGTAGTGTCGGAACCAATTGTATTAGTTTTTTGTTTCGTTTTGGCAGAAGGCTCAACTGACTTTTCATGAGTTGTAGTCTTGGACTCTATTTTTGTGGATTTTGCCCTGGTCAATCTTTTTGGTGCTTTAATTTTGTCAATTGATTTTTCTTGAGAGGAAACATCAATTGAAATATCATTATTCCTTTCAGTTATCTGATTATCACTCATACTTTTTTTCATATTCTTAGTTTTTGTATTATTTACGGTTTTTTTATTATTGGTAATTTTTTTTGTTGTTTTAGGCTTATTTATTTTCTTAGCCATTTCGATATTAATATTTTCTTTGGTGGTTTTAGTATGATCATTATTCGCTATCTTTTTGGTATTTTTGCTTTGCTCAAGGTTTTTGATATCATTGTAGGTATTAGGTTTTGATGGTTTTTCAATCTCTTTTTCTTTTTTAATCTTATTTTCTCTTTCAATCTTGTTTTCTTTTTCGGCCTTATTTTCCTTTTCTAAATTTTCAATATTATTAGTATTATTAGTATTATTGATATTATTATTGATATTATTTTTGGTATTATTTTTCTTGGTTTTCTGATTTATATTGTTTTGCTTTAGATCTTTAGTATTATCAATTTTTTTTTCTATATTATTAATGTTTTTTTCAGGTTGATTTTGAGTTAAACTTCGGACAGATTTATCATTCTTTTTAGGAATAATTTCTTTTAAAGAACTAGTTAGATTATCCATTTTATTTTTCTCATTTGGGTTTTCTGGAATTGAGATTTTTTCTAAATTATTCGATTTATTTGATTCATTTTTGATTGTATCCTTTTGGTGTAAAGATTTTAGTTTTGAGTTTGAAAGATCATTTGCAATAGATAATGCTGAATTGTCTCTTGATGAGATCTTTTTAATAAAAATGGGAGAATCGTCAGATTTTTTTTGTTTTTTATTTCTTGAAATTGAATTATTAATATTATGCAGTGATTTATTTTCAAATTCAACATTATTTGAAAAAGAAACCAATTTTTTCTGGTTTGATGCAGGTAATAACAGCTTTGATTGGTTATTTGGAACTGCAGCGTTTTCATTCAAGTAGTCTTGAAGTAGATTTGATGAATTTTTTGGCAGTTCAGATGAGTCTGTTTTCTCTTCAGATGAGTCTGTTATCTTTTCAGATGAATCTGTTATCTTTTCAGATGAATCTGTTATCTTTTCAGATGAATCTGTTACTTGCTCGAAATATTTTCTTTTCAATGACAAATTTGATTCGTTCGGCCCATTAGTGTTGGGAGAAGGCTGAATAGATCTAGGATCGATGGATTGTAGCTCATTATTCAAAATGATCTGGATTATATTATTATTGCCAAAGATTTGATTTACACTATAATCAGGATCGATGTCATTGGATTGAACATCTCTCACAGTGTGGATTGAAAATTCCTTATCACTGGGGTATAATTTAAAGAATCTTTCTCTGATTTCGAATATTAGCCGCAACACAGAATTGTATGAGTTGGTTAGGTGAAGAAACTTTCTGTAAACTTTTATACTAGAATCAGGCCAATGAGAAATAGCAGGCCTCTGACGATTAGCCACTGATAGAAGATGGTTTTTTCCTGAAGGAAGAAGTGCATTGTAAAGATGGACCAGAGAATGGTTATAGGAGCTCTTTTGAATGGAGTCGTTGAGGCTCGATGATATCTGCTGAGGATCGGAGAAAGCATTGGAAGGAATGACAATTACCTGTAGCCTGAACATAAGCGCCAAATCAGTACTGGTGGTTAATCAGTGGTTGAGAGAGAATCTCTTCATCGAGTATTATATATCTATTCAACAACCATCCAGAAACAAAACAAAACTGCCTCCAAAATTTCAGCGGATAGCACCGCACAGCTGGTCTCAATCGAATTTCGTTCACGAGCATGCACGGACCGGTCAACGGATCGGCTTTAGCTAATCACTGAGTTAATCATCGCATTATGGTCTCTCCATCAGCATCTGCAGAGCTCTGACCAGGAATATCGCCATGCTCATTGTCCTTGCTGTCCAGCTGCTCCCCTGTGTTGTAGCTGCTTCCCACAAATAGCTTGGTGGCCAAATCGATCCCATCGTTTATGTTGGTGAAGAAAAACCTGCCTTTTCGATACTCATCAATTACATTGTCATTAGGGTAGCTACCAAGCTGCTTATATTTTCTGATTTCGCTGGGATTATACTTCATTATTTTGCACAAATCTTTGTTGGAAAATTCCTGCTCTGGAAACTCATCTTCACTAAAATAATCACATAAATTTATATTCGGATCGACTTGGTAATAAGGTAGAGCATAATAACTAAAGTAGTGCTCTTCACGAGGACCTTTGACAAAATGTCTCAATGCTTTCGGTTCAGTAGGTGGCTTTGTAATAACACTGCTTCTTCTGGTGTATTGTGAACGATTCAATTTCTGATTTGAAATTGGAGCTTTTCGAGGCCCAACGCTTCTTGAGATTACTGGTTTTTCAATTTTATTATTCACTGCAACACCTTTTCCATTATCTTTTTCATTCAATAATTTTTTTTTTTTATTTTTTCGCCATTCTACCTCATTTCTTTTAGCATCATCTACATTCATAACAACTTTCTTTGATTGCCTATTGTCGTTTTCCATCACAGAGATTTTGTTGTTTTGAGCTCTTTCAACACTACTCACCACGTATTTGCCCTTCCCGACTACTTTTTTTACTTCAAAAGAAACAATATTCTTTGATGACTCTCCAACAGTCCCATTTTTTCTACTTGCCCCATGATCTTGAATACCAGTAATTTGTTCTTTTTTTCTTTGCCCTATTTTGTCTACTTTTATCCCAAATTCATTTTCATTTATTCTGCTTATTTCTTCTATTTTCTCTGATATATTTTTCTTTAATTCGGATACTTTTTTTTCTTTTATTTCTACTTGTTTTGTTTTCCTTAACTCTATTTCATTCTTAGAAAGTAGTATTGATGGAGAGAGTGTTATTTTATCATTTTTGATTATTTTTTCCGTTTCTTGAACTTGAACTTCTTGAGCTTCTTGGTCTTTTTGGCTTTTTAAAAGTTCTTGATCCTTTTGACCTCTTAGAAGCTCTTGATTGTCTTGAAATGTTTGCACTTTTTGAACTTCTTGATTTCTTAAAATTTCTTCTATAAGTGAAATTCCACGCTTATTACTTTTATTATTTATAAAAGCTGCTGGTTTAACTATCTCTTTCTTTGGTTTTTCTATTTTCTCTATTTTCTCTTCACTTTCAGTCTTGAAGTTTAAATTAGAATCTTCAAAGTGATAATTTAGACGATTAATATCATTAATATCATTATTATCACTACCATGGTTTTTATTATCATTTCTATTTTTATTACTTTCACTTTCACTTTCACTTTGATTTTCACTTTCACTTTGATTTTCACTTTCACTTTCATTTCCTGATTCTTCACTTTCAGAAAATTCACTTTCAACATCAATATCATCAATAATCGCCTCAATGTCTATTTTTGTTTTATTAGTCTTGGAAGGATGCTCAATTATCTCTAAAACATCCTCATCTAAATCTGATTCATTATTTTCTTCATTTGATTCTAACACTTTTGGGAATAGCCCATCTAAATCATCAGTTAAAAATGCAATTAATTTGTTATTTGCTTGTTTGAAATCTTTTAAAATTAATAATGCATCATTTGATGAAATCCATGCTCCATTTAAATCTTTTTGGTTTGTTTTATTGGTAAAAATATAATTCACATCTTTTAATGTTATAAAAAAATCTAGATAATATAAAATATTTTCAACTTGTAATTGTGGATCACTTGTTTTCTTATTTAATTTACTTATTGAATCAAAGACTATATATTGTATAAATTTTGTACCATTAACAAACCCATCGGAATATCTTCTATTAATAACAAATTGTCTTGTTGATTTTAAATTATCTTTGACTTTTCCAATGAATCTTAAAGTGATCATATTTCTTGATGGCTTTGATATACTTGCAGTTAATTTAAAACGAACTTTTACTTTTAATAAAAGTTCTATTGGGCATTTAAACTCAATTGGAAAATTTTTAAAAAAATCATGACTTTTAGAGAGTTTTTGATAGAATCTATAAGAGACAGGAACTGATTTTGATTGATTAGGATCGTCCTCTAGTAATAATAAATAACCAATGTCTTTTAATAAATCAAATTTTGTAGCAAACTCAATTGCTATTTTTAAAGTTATCCATACACCAGATAAAACAGTTTTATCATTACAATAATTTAACTGATTTGAAGCTTCAGCTTTTCTTATGACCTCTCTTCTGATTTTTCTATAACCCTGATTATACTTGGCCTCAAAAACATAACATAACTGATTTAAATTGATAATACAACAATCATCTTCATTTTCGCCTGAATCAACGATTTTTCTTAGCAATCGAATTGATTCGAAAAACATTTCAAAACATTTAGTGCCACAATAAGAGGTTACAAAAACACGTTTAAACAGCAAAAAATGCGAAAGATTATCATAAATTTCATATTTTTTCGCTAATACAACCGAATTCTTTAAGGATAAAAATGAATTTGGACTCTTCTTTTCAGCCTTAAGAGGAAAGTATTTTGACAATGCTTTTTTGAATTCAGGTTTCTGTTTTTCTGGGAGGAAGTTAACAAAACAGGAGGCATTAATCCATGAACCAACTTTTTTTCGAATAAGAGAAACGTCTGATTGTTTAGATTCAATGTGTTTGTTGTAGATATAGACCTCGCTGTTGTATTGATCAGACAAAATTTGAGTTTCAAAGACAATTATATTTTGGTGTTTCGAGGCATTTCTAGAGCCCGGGACAGTGATTGGAGAAACATCTTTTTCCTTCTTCACAGCAGATATGGCACTGTCTGGTTGTGGTCTGTACATTAAGAAGATTGGACAAGATACTACAGGAAAGATGGCTATTTATTCGAGGTGGATGGATATAAACTATTTACAGTAAATGTGGGAACGGGCATGTAAATCAGGGCACTAACTATTTTCGGGTGTTTCAGAAAGGGCTTTTTTGGGCTCACCAACGAACTTGTCTCTGAAGACAGCAATCAAGCTCACAACGATGGTGGAGACAAAGACGACATTGGTCAAGGGGTTGGTGTTCTGTCTTCGTCTGTAGTCGTTGCACTCCCGCAAGTTGACTTTCTTGAGTCTTCTCACCACAGCTCTGCTGGGGTCTCTCTTTTGGTGAGGTTTGAAAGGGATGTCTTCCGGTGGCTCCAACGATGAGTATTTTTGAAAGCCTTCTCTGGGGCCCCAGTTGCCATATGATAGCCAGTACAAGAATTTCTTTTCAGGAATGGTCAAGGTGCTCCATGAGCCCTCTTGCCTGGTGGATAGCTCGCTTTTGACGAAGTTTTGTTCAAACACGTTCAACTTCATGTATAGCTCTGGTTTATTGATAACAGCATTGAAATTCATGTTTTGGGAATTGTTCTCTAGTTCTTCGTCCTGGTTGTCCATCGAAAATGGAGACTGGAAGACATCCTTCACCGACGCCAACCCAATATCTTTATCTGTGTTTGGCCCCAACAGTTTGAACTGGACTTTAGAAGCGTCAGTTATGGGTTGGTTACTGTTTACCAGAGGTGTCTTTTGGGATACATTGTTTTGAAGTTTTGTAAAACCAGAGGTGAATAGCCTGGAGGGTGTTTTGAATTTGAGATTCTTAAGATCCTTGAGACCCTTGAGATTCCTGATTTTGTCTAGCTTGTTGAGTTTATTCATCATCGACCTGGGGCGACAGTGTTCCAATATTCCAATACAAATGGAGAAGTTTTTATTTACCTATTCAAAGAATCAGTTCAATTTTCTTGAGGAAGCTTAAACCGGAAATCGGTTTTCTCCCGTTGAAATTTGAAAATAATTTTTCAGTGTATATTGTTAAAAAAAAAAAATTATATATACATTGACATCTGGAAAAGGTTCAATACTAATAATAAAATACAAATTTTGAACAGTGGATATTGAAGATAATTAATAAAAATGCGTCAAAAAAGAGCCAAGGCATATAGAAAAAACATGCTTGTTTATAACCATACATTCAAATTCAGAGAACCTTATCAAGTCATAATCGACGATCAAGTTATATTGAAAGCCATTAATGCTAAATTTGATTTGGTAAAGGTATTGAAAAAGACGATTCAAGCTGAAATTAAGCCAAGTATGTTTTTTTGTTGTTTTATTCTTATTTCAGTTTAGATTCAAGGGCTGATTGACTAACAGTGATATTATGAAAAAATAGTGATAACTCAATGCTGCATTCAGGTATTATATAGAACCAAAAACCAAGAAGCAATTGAATTAGCCAAAAAATTCGAGAGACGTCGTTGTGGACATCTTCCAAAGGAACCTGAAACTCCTCATAAATGTATACTATCCATTACAAATGTCAATAATAACAACAAATTTCGTTATATTATTGTGACCCAGAACGAAGTATTAAGAAAAGAACTACGAAAAGTTCCTGGTGTGCCACTAATTTATATAAATAAAACAGGAGTACTAGTTATGGAACCACTAAGCGATATGACAGAAAAGGCTCGAAAGATTTATGAAAAAAGCAAATTAAGTGAAGGTTTAAACAATGCCAAAACTGCTGGAATCAGAGAGCAGAAATCCACAGAAGGAGAAGACGATTCCAAGCCAAAGAAAAAAAGAAAAAGAGGACCCAAAGAACCCAATCCACTCAGTATCAAAAAGAAGAAAACGCAGAAACCACCTACGAATGGCACAGCAAAGGATCTTGCTGAGCAGGATACAGAGAAGAAGAAAAGAAAAAGAAAGCACAAAAAAACAAGCAAAAACGAGCCTGCTCTGACACACCAAGATAGCGCAAAGGCAGATAGCTCTGGTGGCTCCAGTGTATAGTTTGTATGTTTTCTAATACAGGTCAAATCGCCATGCTCCTCCATCTCCAGTGCTTCCCACTGTTGGAGCTGTTGATGGAGCAGCATTTCGGTGTTTTTCAGGTTTTTCCGAGTGACGCTCTGTTCCGAAGACACCTTCACTATGTTTTAAAAGGTTCCAGCATCTCAGCAATGGGCAACCAGAGCAAGACCAGCACCAGACCAACGCCAACTGGATGAACTAACAGACTGCCCTGATACGTTTGCCCTGTTCTATTACACTTTTGAAATGTCAAACAAACACAAAGACGAATATACACAAACATATGCCATTCCAGTCAACGGCAAAGAGCAACATCTGGGAAATGTCGCCAATGGCAGTACTAAACACACCAATGAATCCAATAATGAACATGGCGAAACTAGCGAAAATGCAGAGGAGGATCCAATTATAACCATCCATGATATCGAAACTGCCTATAGTATAGAGGATATAAACAATGAGCTAGAATTGCAAGACGAGGAAGATATTCAAAATGAAGAAAACAATATGGGACATTATAACTCAAAATATTTAACCAAAATTTCAAATACGCCATTATTGAAAATTGTTCCACCCTTGAATTTTTGTCCTGTTGAAAGATTTCTTTATAGATCAGGACAGCCAACTTCAATAAATTTCCCATTTTTGAAAGAATTAAAATTGAAAAACATTGTTTGGCTTGCTTCAGAAGACCCAAATGACAATTTTATTGAATTTGCTGAAGATAACAACATAAACCTATACTATGTTGGAATCAACGCCGATGGCTATAATAATAATCCATGGGATGGGCTTAGTGAAACCTCCATTAAAGAAGCCATTGAAATAATCGTGAATAAAAACAACTATCCTTTATTAATTTGTTGTGGAATGGGCAGGCATAGAACTGGTACAGTGATTGGTTGCTTAAGACGATTACAAGGCTGGAATCTTGCCAGTGTTTCTGAAGAATACAGAAGGTTTACTGGCTCAAGAGGTGGAAGAATATTAGTAGAGTTATTGATTGAAAAGTTTGATGTAGACTCGATCAAAATCAACCCCAACCTAGCCCCAGATTGGCTCATGGGTTAGTACTTGTTACTAAATTGTCTTATATAGAAATGAAAATAATGGAAATGTCTAAAAGTAGCAGAAATCAATTCGTTATATCTGAAAAAAACGCTTCCAAAAAGAGCCTTTTATTGGTCAAACTTTTAATGAATCATGATTTACTCAACTTATAAAGTTTGGTTTTATTTCACCTTCTATTTCCCAAAAAAAAAAAAATGTGTAAAATAATAGTTTAATTTAAACACTTTTCATATTATTATTCCCACCTTTTCATGACTCTCCATCCTTGATCTTCTTCTATATAGCAGCTTTTAACAAGAAATGTCCCAAACTAATGAATATAAGCCCAAAAAGTCTGCTTCTCAGCAAATTTCCCTTTTATCTGGTTTCTTAGCTGGTGGGCTTGCTTCTTGTGGAGCTGTAACATTCACTAATCCTATTGAATTAGTGAAAACAAGAATGCAACTTCAAGGTGAATTGCTCAAAAGAGCTCAAGTTAAAACCATTCCATATCATAATCCTGTTCAAGCTTTATACGTGATATACAAAAATGAAGGTCTTCGAGGTCTTCAAAAAGGATTATTTTGTGCTTATATTTATCAAATCGCTCTAAATGGTTGCAGATATGGGCTATATGAACCTATTCGAAAAAACTTTAACCAAATATTTTATCCAAATCAAGATCCACATATTATTCAAAAGGTTCCCATCAATATCCTTTCCGGTGCTTTATCTGGTATGGCTGGAGCTGCTTTAGGTTCTCCATTATATCTTATCAAAACAAGAATGCAATCGTACACAGCTTCTTCTACTATCCAGGTTGGCCAGCAAACTCATTACAATAATTTTTATCAAGGATTAATAAACATTTATAAAAACGAGAATGGAATTAAAGGTTTGTTTAGAGGTGTCGATGCTGCTGTATTTAGAACAGGAGTTGGTTCAGCAGTTCAGTTGCCATCATATTATCTTTTCAAACATAAATTGCTAGATTCAAGATACTTTAATGGTTCAGACTCTTTTGCGCTTCATTTATCAGCGAGTACATTAGCAGGAGTATTAGTTAGTATTGTTATGAATCCATTTGATGTTGTTTTAACCAGAATTTATAACCAAAAGGGAAATTTATATCGAAATCCTATCGATTGTTTTATTAAAACAATAAAAACCGAAGGGTTTGGAGCATTGTATAAAGGATTATTTGCACAAATGTTTAGAATGGCTCCTCATTCAATTTTATGTTTAATATTCATGGAACAAACTATGAGAGCCGCTAAAAAATTAGAAGACTCTTTTAGTATTACGTTTGAAGACAATCAATTTTTTTCATAATGTTCTTATAAATCCAATTCCCATTTTAATTAGATTTTTATTCTAAAACATATATATACTTAATTATAGACCAAAATAGATTACCTCACTTATGGACCATTAATAAGTTTGATTCTCATTTATTGAAAATTAACCACAAAACTTTTATTTACAATTGAAGTGAAAAAAAAACATTGAAAAACATTAATATAAAGGGGTTTTAAAACTTGGAAAATTATAATCATAGTAGAACTCCAATTTGTTAAAACTCAATTAAACCATTATTGCACTTTTGATACCGAATCAATAAAGGATTGACCGGTCAATCCTTTTCCATCTTTAATTCTGAATATAGATGATCTCAATATTCTTGGGTCGAGTTTCAATGATCTCAATATTTCTTTTTGGACACCAATGGAACTATCAAACAAAATAGAAAAGGCTGCACCTTGAAAGTACCATTCTTGGTTCTTTCTCATACGTTTTGGCAACGAACCAACACCGAGAGAATACACATCTCTGACAACACCTCTATTTTTTATAATCAAAGACCCCAAGTTGAAGGCAACACTAGTAACACACACAGAAACGGTTTTGTTAGTGCTATTCAATCTCCAGAAGGTGCCAGGCAAAAACACAAGACATGAAATATCACTTACTCTTTGGCGTCTTTATAGGAAGCAGCAGTGTAGTATGGTGAGGTGGAACGAGCCAAAGCCACTAATTCATAAAGCATCACAAGAGACTATCAAAATACAGAAGTGTAGTTACAGTAAAGCTGCTGTTTCTGCTGCTGTTTTTGCTACTTTTGCTGTTTCTCCTGCACTTTTCTCCCATCTCCAAAATTTTCGTTTGCCGGCTCAAATCCGACTAAGATTCCTGTTTATCACATGACATCCGGTCTTAGATCTGGATCTACCGTTTTCGTGGAGCTTAGTTGTTAATTTTCTCAATTCCATCCATTATCTATGTATCAAGACACTGATTCAACAGAGTAGCGATTTGGTGATTAGAGTGTTTTGTTCTCTAGTTGACGTATTTTTGTTTTAATACTGTGGGACTTATTTTTTGGAGCCGGCAGAAGTACACTTTATAAAACTGTTGCAAAATAAGAGAGAAAGATCGTCAAAATGTCACTTGAAAGAAAAATAAGAGCAATGTTTCAAGCGCCTACCAAAGGTGAAAGTTTTGAATTCAGAACTGCGTTGGTTTCCCAGTATCCAGAGGAGAGAAAGGATGGTATTAAGAGAGTAATCAAGGCCATGACTGTTGGAAAGGACGTCAGCGCATTGTTCCCTGACGTCTTGAAGAATATTGCAACCAGAGATTTAGAACAGAAAAAATTGGTTTATCTTTACTTGATGAACTATGCCAAATCTCACCCAGAATTGTGTATTCTTGCCGTCAATACATTTGTTCAAGACACTGAAGACCCCAATCCTTTGGTGAGAGCACTAGCCATACGAACAATGGGCTGTATCAGAGTTGACAAAATGGTCGATTATATGCACATACCCCTAACAAGAACACTTAAGGATGACAATCCATATGTTAGAAAGACTGCTGCAATTTGTGTTGCAAAACTATATGATTTGAATTCTCAAATGTGTATTGAACAAGGATTCTTGGACATTTTAAAAAAATTAATCGATGATTCAAATCCAATGGTTGTCGCTAATGCAATCAATGCTCTAATTGAAATCGACGACATTAATCCAAATGAAAAGGCTTTACAGATCACTTCTATAACTTTAAAGAAAATATTAATGGCACTAAATGAATGCACTGAGTGGGGTAGAATTACAATTTTAACTGCAATATCCAATTATGATTCAGTGTCATCTGTGGAAGCTTCTCATATTATTGAAAGAGTTATACCACAACTACAACATGCAAATTCTGCTGTTGTCTTGGGCTCAATAAAAGCAATTTTGCAACATATCGATACTATTGAACAAGAATCTTATAGAAATACCTTGTTTAACAAATTATCATCACCACTAATTTCACTAATCTCAAATAATCCAGAAATTCAATTTGTTTCATTAAGAAATATTAGAATTATTTTGGAAAAATACCCAAATTTATTATCAAAAGAACTAAGAATTTTTTATTGTAAATATAATGATCCACTATATCTTAAATTGGAAAAATTAGAGATTATGGTAAGATTGGCAAACATTCAAAATTTCAAAATTTTACTATCTGAATTAAAAGAATATTCAATGGAAATAGATACTGAATTTGTTAAAAGAAGCATTAAAGCAATTGGCCAAGTTGCTGTCAAATTGGGAGATGTTCCAGCGTTAAAATCTACTGAAATATTAATACAATTATTTAGAGAAAGATCATCTTTAGTTATCAACGATGTTGCTATTGCATTAAAGGACATATTAAGAAGATTTCCCAACAATAAAAAGTTTCTTGATTTAATTATTCCTTTATATTTCAGTAGTTATGAAGATTTAACAAACCCTGAATCAATTTCATGTTTTATTTGGGTTTTAGGGCAATATCCAAGAAGATTTAATAACTTAGAAAAAATATTAAAGAAATTTTGTGACACAGATGAAGACAATGGAAATAACAATGATGAAGATGAATACAACGATTTTAATTTTATTGACGAAGATTATCAAGTCCAGTTACAGCTATTAACTACAATTGTAAGAATAAATGTTCTGAAACCAACAAAAACGACTCAGAAATATTTGCAAAATATTTTAAATATTGCCACTACCAGGTGTGATAATGCTGATATAAGAGACCGGGCATTTATTTATTGGAGGCTATTATCAAGTTCATCTAATGAGACATTAAGAAAAATTATTTTAAAACCATTACCAATTATATCATCGACTATTCCCAAATTTTCTGCTTCTTTGGCTAATCAATTGATCAAGGAGTTATCTACTTTAGCATCTGTTTACCATTTACCGTCATCAAGTTTTCAATCTGCTGGTAACACAAGCTCTAACAATAGTTCTAGATATAAAAATGGTAAAATTGGAGTTCAAAATAAAAATATTGAAGAATTGCAACAAATTGCCAAGAATGAAATAGTCAATAAATCTAAAGCAGAAAACTTGTTGAATTTTGATGATGATGATATCGATGATAGTAATACCAATACCAATTCAAATAATAATTTGAACAGTAGTAACATATTGACAGACTTGAATGATTTATTTGGAATTAGTAGCCCTTCAAGCAATAATAACAGCAATAATAGCACAAAACCTTCAAAAACTCCAAGTTTGAACAATGATATTTTGAATTTATTTAATTCTCCAGCTCCTTCGACAGCTAGTAATAATTATAATAATAATATTTTAACAGGGATAAATACGTTGAATTTAAATAATTCAAATCCAAACAACAACAACAACAACAATAATAATAATAATAATAGTAATAGTAATAAGCCAAGTGATGATTTATTAGGATTGTTTTAATGTTATAAAAAAGAGTTGGTTAATCAGAACATGGGTACAAATGTTTTTAGTTTGTATTTTTAATTTTATAATTTTATAATCTTTCATAGTTTTACTTTAGTTTTTTAATTTAGTTTTAATTATTATTTTCTCTTTCCTTTTAGATATACATTGTAATATCATAAGATATTGAAAAGAAGAATTTGTAATTTGAAAGGAGAAGTTTTAAAGTTTGAATTTGCGAAACAGTGTCAATAAAAAACAACCCAAAAAAAAACTTAATGGTAAGGAAAGAAAGAAAGTATTTGAAACGGTAGATCTAATATATACATTGAATTAAAAGAACAAGGGAATAAACAAAGTAAAGTAAAGTAGAAATGTCCAATATATTAAAGATAATAAATCCTCCAGAGTCAAGGGATCTTACAGATGAAGAAGTTAAAGATTGTGTTCCATGCCAGATAATGGCATCGTTTACAGGTATTTTAGGAGGAGCATATTTTGCGAGTGGACGAGTTTTTAAGGGAGAAAAGCTCAATTCCAATCCTGGATGGTGGAAGATTTTTGTAAGAAGCTTTGGAGCTGGAATGATTGGATTTGGAGTATATAGAGGAGGACAAGGGTGGTTATGGGATTTGAATCATGAATATAAAAAAGTTGAGTATGGGTATAAAGAGAGTAGTAGGTTGAAAGGCATTGGTGAGATATTCCAAAAGGGTAAGAATGAAAAGGAAGATTAGAAAAGAAATTTCTAAGATTTGGTAGAATATTATGTCATAAGAGTATTGATAGAATAGTATATGATAACAGTATTGATAGTTGATAGTTGATAATTATTGATTATGAAATAATTGTAAATTGAATAATTGTATATAGAATTGATGCAATTAGTGCTGGTTTTTGCACATGCGTAAATCTGAGTCCTAAGTAGGAAATGAAAAATTTAAGATATATATATAAATTCATTTTATTTTGGAGAATGAAGTAAAAAATTGGAAGGATAAGGGATATTAGAATGCCGATAGATTTAAGTCTTCAGCGAGTTGTGAAGTTGTTGGGAAAGTTAGGAAATCCTCACTTGTCTAATTTTTTTACAATTCATATTGCAGGAACCAATGGGAAAGGATCAGTTTGTTCGTATTTAAGCAGTATATTGAAGGAGAATAAATTTCGAATTGGAAAGTTTACATCGCCTTTTTTAATTAATCGGTATGATTGTATAAGCATTAACAATGAGCCGGTTAATGAGATTTTTTTTTTGGAGATTGAGAAGACGATTAATCGAATAAATTTGGAGTGTAATATAAGGGCTACCGAGTTTGAGATTTTAACGGTGATTGCATTTAAGATATTTGAGTTGAAAAAAATCAATTTTGCGATATTGGAAGTTGGATTGGGAGGAAAATTGGATGCTACAAATGTTATTCCAAGTTGTTTTGTGCAGAATGGTTCTGAGAATAGTGATAATGGATACGAGTTGGTGAATGGAGGAGTGATTTTAACAGGAATTACAAAAATTGATTATGATCATGAGAATATATTAGGAAAAACATTGAGTGAAATCAGTGAACAAAAAGCTGGTATTATCAAGGAAAAAGTCAAATGCGTTCTTGATGGAAGTAATAAGGAGGAAGTGATTAAGAAAGTAAGAGAAATTAGTGAGAGCCAAGGTAGCAAGTTATATATTACAAATAATGACAATGGTGACAGGATGGAGGATACGGTGATAAAAACAGAGAACTTTGGAGAAATACCATTTAAGATTACACCATTGTTGGGAAGATATCAGTATCAAAATTTATCTATAAGTTTAAAGATAATTGACTTGTTATATCCATATATTTCGCGATTAAGATTTGGAAATGGTTTTACAAGTGATTGCAAGATTAAACGAGAGCAGATAATTGAAGGAATCAAGAAAGTGAAGTGGCCAGCAAGATTGCAGACGTTGGATCTTTGTATCAACAAAGAAGGGGAAAGAATGAGGGTGTTGGTAGATGGAGCGCACAATGGGTCTGCAGCAGTTGAGTTGGGGCAGTTTATCGACAAACAGTACAGACAAAAGGGCAAGAAGATTGTATTTGTTATGAGTGTGACTAACAGCAAGAAGATCGAGAGCTTGGTGATGCCGTTGTTTCAGAGGGAAGACCGGGTTTTTTTGACGAGGTTTGACTACAAAGATGGCGTGGACCAGATGCCCTGGATCAGCTCGTACAAATGCAGTGTTTTGAAGCAGAAGATCGAGAGAGTGTACAAAAAGAAGGGCGCTGTGATACCGGAGATGGCGGTGGAAGAGAACTTGGAGAAGCTCTTGGAGCAGATGCAGTGGGACCGGGAGAGGGAGGTTGTGGTGGTGTGTGGAAGTTTGTACTTGGCCTCTGCGCTCTTCCGGATCCACCTCGAGCACTGCAGCGACGGAACCAAGGACATATTCTAGGACTTCTTCCTCTTCTTCCTCTTCCTCTTCCTCTTCCTCCTCCCACCCTTCAGGCTCAATCAGGCAACTCGTGGCATTATATCGTACGCCCAAAACGGCAGCACCGCGTTTGTGCACGTGATGCGCTGAACAACTCGCTTTTCATTTGCCTCCCCTGAAAGGAGAAACACCTTTCTCTGTTTCTATCCACCACTGAGATCTGTCTTCCCACCCACTGTCATCTCTCGCCTCTCTGTTCTGTTCTTTCACAACCATCCTTCTCCTGCCTCTGTGTTTCTGCTCTACAACTTCCTTCTTGTCCTGCTCTCCTGCCTCCAATTGCCATCTTTATCCAACCTTCCCACAGGCTCCCTTATTTCCTTTCTTCCCTATTTGTTTCTTACTGCCTACTTTTAAACTATTTTTTCTCACTTTTTTTCTCTTCAACACAGTCATATAATCAATTACAGAAATGTCTGAAGCGTATGTTAGCCTGTTTTCTCACTTCTTTGCAATCTAATTTGCTCATTTCAGAACCCTTTACTAACGTTTTTTTTTCCTTGTTTTTTTTAACAAAAATTTTACCAGTGATTGGAAATCGAAACTTAATTTACCCAAAAAAGACACTCGTCCACAAACAGAAGATGTTCTTAATACAAACGGCTCTTCTTTTGAAGACTTTCAATTAAAAAGAGAACTATTAATGGGAATATTTGAAGCCGGTTTTGAAAGCCCCTCTCCTATCCAAGAAGTTGCAATCCCTGTCGCAATAACCGGTAGAGACATTCTTGCTAGAGCCAAAAACGGTACCGGTAAAACTGCTGCTTTCATTATTCCTACTCTACAAAAGATAAAGCCAAAAGTAAACAAAATCCAAGCTCTAATCTTGGTTCCAACAAGAGAATTAGCTTTACAAACTTCTCAAGTTTGTAGAACCTTAGGTAAACATCTTAACTTAAAATGTATGGTAACAACTGGTGGTACTTCCCTTAGAGACGATATCCTTAGATTACATGACCCTGTCCATGTCTTAGTTGGTACTCCCGGTAGAGTTCTTGATCTATGTTCACGAAAAGTCGCTGATTTATCTGAATGCCCTCTCTTCATAATGGATGAAGCTGATAAAATGCTATCAAGAGAATTCAAAGAAATCATTGAAAAAATCTTAAAATTCTTTCCAAAAGATCGTCAATCTCTTTTATTTTCTGCCACTTTCCCTCTAACTGTCAAATCCTTTATGGATGACCATCTCTCCAAACCTTACGAAATCAATTTGATGGATGAATTAACCCTCAGAGGTATCACCCAATATTACGCCTTCGTCGAAGAACGCTCAAAATTACACTGTCTAAACACCCTATTCTCAAAATTAAGAATCAACCAATCAATCATCTTCTGCAATTCAACTAATAGAGTCGAATTATTAGCTAAAAAGATCACTGACCTAGGCTATTCCTGCTACTTTTCTCATGCAAGAATGCCTCAAGCTGATAGAAACAAAGTCTTCCATGAATTTAGACAAGGTAAAGTCAGAAATCTAGTTTGCTCAGATTTATTAACAAGAGGTATAGATATTCAAGCTGTTAACGTTGTTATTAATTTTGATTTCCCAAAGACCGCTGAAACTTACTTGCATCGTATTGGTAGATCTGGTAGATACGGTCATTTAGGTCTAGCTGTAAATTTAATCAACTGGAATGATCGATACAGTTTATTTAAAATTGAACAAGAATTAGACACAGAAATTAAACCAATCCCGGCTGAAATTGATACTAAATTATATGTCGCTGATAATGAAGAATCTGTTCCAAGACCTATTCCAATTGAATCCCTCCCAAATGCAAACGTTAGAAATTATTCTCGTCAAAACTATAATCATAACAATAATAACAACATTTCTCAAAATTATAACCAAACCAACAATTTTAATCAAGACTCACAAAAAAATAGAGATCTTCAGAATCAACAAAATCAACAAAATCAACAACAAATACCTCAACCATCTCAGCCATCTCAAAACCAATCCCAACTATCCCAACCATCTCAACCACCCCAACAACAAACCCAACCACCCCAACAACAAATCCAATCTCAAAACCAACCACAACAATCCCAACCTCCAATACAATCCCAACCTCCAATACAACCTCAACCTCAACCTCAACCTCAATCCCCATCTCAATCCCAGCCTCAACCTCAACTCCAAGATAACCAGCAACCTCAATTACAACAACCTCAACAACAAACCCCTGAAATTAAACCAAAAATTTATCCTCAACCTCCACAATCTCAAATGCAACCTCAACCTGTTTATCCACCAAGAATGAACCAGATACCTTATGGATATCAACAAAATTTCATGCCTCTTCCTCAGAATTATCCCGGTTATCCTCCAAGAGGCTACCCTTCTCAATTTCAAATGCCTTATCAAGGGGGTTATCCACCTCAATAAACTAACTATTAATCAATTTAAATTAGTTTTTTTTTTTACTAATTTTTTTTTTTTTATTAACTTTTTTTATTTTTTTTTATTTTCAAAGCTTATATACAAAAAAAAAAATTTAGCCTATCTTTCATTTTATCCAAAATTTATTTATTTTCTTTTAATCTTGTGCCATAGTATTTATTTTTTAAAAAAAATGGAAAAAATATTTAACATCTTATACATAGAATTAAACATTTTATTTGTTCAATATCAATAAAAGAAACAAACAAACAAAAAAAAATTCCAAAATTTAAAATAATTTAAAAAATTTAAAAAAGATCCAAAAATATAAATCTTACACTCAATATACAAACAATAAAATGAAGTTTTTTTTTATAAACTATCAATAAATTAACAATAATTTCATTATGAAAAAATTCAAGGCTCAAAAACTTTAGAAAATTGTTATCTACCTTTATGGATTTTACATTGGCTAGATTTTGATAATTTATCATTTATAGTTAATAATTTTTATTCAACTTTTTTTATTTCATTTATTCTATTCCTTTTTTTTTTTTTTATTTATAAAAAAATACTTTTTATCTATGTTGATATTGTGTTTTTACCCTTGATTGGATTTCAGGATTTTTAAAATTTCTTCTATTCAATTTATATTTATTTTTCTTTTGTTTTTATTGATGCTTTAAATGTTTTTTTCTTTTTTCATGTTACAATAATTTCTTTTATTTTTTTTTGTGTAATTTTTATAACCCAATATTTCTTTTTTTGTCAACTTTTTTTTAATCTCCAAATTACAAATATTATTTTCGATCACACTATAATATTAAATATCCAAAAAATTAATATTTCCAAAAATTCCAAAAAAAATTTTTATTCTTATTTTTTGATTTTAATGAAAGGTGAAATGAACATCAAAAAGAAATTACTTACATTAATCATTAATATTATAATGTCCATCAATAACAATCATAGATTATTCTACATCAATAGAAAATTAATTAAAAAATTTCAAATTTCAAATGGAAAAAATTCACTTAGTTATTTACTTAACGTTTTTGGTTTATTGATAATATTTTATTTTTTTTTCATTATGTTGTATTAATTAAAGAAAATAGTTCTTGTCTTTTTTATTATAATTTTTTTTTTTTTATTTGGTTCATTTTACTCCAAGAGCTTTTTTTTCTTTCTTTTATTATTTTTCTCATTCGTTTTTAAAAAAGAATGGTGTGAATTTATTTCATTTTATTTGGTTTTAAGATTTTATTTTTTATTTGAATTTCTATTCTTTTTTAATCTATTTCTGTTATTGATATTTTCATATGTTTAAGGTTCTCCTTATATCAATTATTTTTCACTTTAATACTCTCTTATTTCTCAATTTTCTCCATCCATCTTTATTCATTATCATCTGCACAAACAATGGTTAATATATAATAATTATATAACAAACTTCCCTCACCCCCTTTTTTTTTTTTTTGCAATTTAATTTATCAATTCATCTTCAATCAGTTGGTGGAAAATAAATAATTGTTTTTTTTAAAATTATAAAATTATAAGCTATTTTTGTTTTATTTTTGGTTGATTTCAAAAAATTAGCAAAGTTGAATCAAGAAAATAAAACTTTTTCAGTAATATATCATTGATATAATCTACATACAATAAATAAAAGATAAAAGATAGATAGCTGAGTATATTATGTGTTGGTGAAATAAAACTATGAAACATTGATTGATTTATTAATTGATTATTTCAAAACAGTAAAAATATCTAATTTATCATAAAGTAGATAAAACCCGCAAAAGTAAATATATATGAATTAAATAAAAAATTAATGCAAGAATGTTTTATTATCTTTTAATTTTAGAATTGAAGATGTTGGTGAAATTAAAAAAAAAATTATATATATAGTTATCAAAATAATAAATAAAAATGAAGAAAAATATTCTTAGGTTGATGTTTAGCAGAATATGAGACTTTAAAAATAATAAAAATAAAAGATAAATTTATTGAAAAACAGCCAAATAATTATTCAGTAGCACTAGTAAGATTTTTTGGTTTTGCAACCTTTTTAACTCTTTTGCACCAGCTTTTTATATCTTTTTTCAATAATTTAGCATCCTTTTGATTTAAGCTGTCTCTATAGTTTGTGACAAAACTATGTTTAAGTAAATCTTGTGGACTCCTTCTTCTTTGTTCGTCTTTAATTAAACATAAATCAATCAATTCACAAAACTCATTTGAATAAGGGAAATCTGAAGTTTGTTTAGTTAATTTTGAGTTAGCGTCAGGTAATAAAGGAGAATTATTTGAACGGGAAGTTAAAGGAGGATCTTCAATATAATCTAATTGAGATGGAAATAGTTTTTTATGAAATTTTGGAGATTGAAATTCTGGATGTTTATCAAAGAAGAATTTATTAAAATTCTTTAAACTTGGAGGAGGTTCATTAACAATTCTTTGTAATAAATCTAATATACCTTCTGGGGCAACATTTTTATTATCACCAAAAGGGAAAAAGCCATTTGCTAATTCAACTAGCATTAAACCAAGAGACCAAATGTCGCCCTTAACAGAGTATTTACCACCTTGAATTCTTTCTGGAGACATGTAAGTTGAAGTTCCAACAAAAGTGTCTGCAATTGAATTAATCAATTCTCTTGATACACCAAAATCACATAATTTAACTTCACCTTTTGAGTTTAATAGAACATTTGAGGGTTTAATATCTCTGTGAATGATTTTATGGTTTTCGTATAAATAGGTCAAACCTGAACAAACAGAATTAGCAACATGAGATATAATATACTCTGGAAATGGGCCATTAATTTTTAAGACGTTGTCTAAAGAACCAATGTCCATATTTTCCATGCAAATAATTACGCTACCTTCATTTAAGAAGGAGCCATAAAATTGGATGATGAAGTTTGAGTTACATTCGCTCATAATTTTCAATTCTCGACGGATTTGCAATTTTACAGCAGGTTTATCCTCAATATAAATTGATTTTTTAGCCATTGTCTTTTGAGTTGGGACATGTAGGACTTTTAAAACAGTTCCAGAATTTCCGGAGCCCAAATTTTTAAGAACGACAAAATCTGAGTTATTTAAGTTATTAAATTGGAAGCCTGAATCGTCATTTTGGGAATCGATTTGATTGTGGCTGTTATCATAATTTTGGTTGTAATTATTATGATTTCTATTATTGTTATTATTGTTACTATTATTGTTATTTGTGAATAGTATTGTTGTCTTTGTAGTTCTTGGGATATTTCTTGAGTTAGTTGTTGATAGGGATAAATCATCAAATTTCTGTATAACTTGAGAAGTAATGTTATTATTTGTGGTAGAGATGTTAGTTGAATTTTTAAGGGCTAAAGATAATTTTGGAGATGAAGTTGTTGGGGAATCATTATTTGACAGCAAAGTTAATTTTTTCATGTTTTTTCTTTTAAGGGATTTTATTGGTAAAATGTTATTGCTGTTATTGCTGTTATTATTGTTATTATTGTTGATATTATCGTTATTAAAGTTATTTATCGAGGGAGTTGAAGTTGAGATTGGAGTTGAATTTGAGCTTGAAGGAGAATTAATTTGATTTAAATTTAGGTTTAGATTCAATTTTAATTTTTGAGGGTTTCTACTGGTATTAATAATATTGTTATTTGTTCTCTCATTTTGTATATTATTTAGATGATTCTTACGAAGAAGAATATGATTTGAGTTAATGGAATTATTAGAATTGTTTGGATTATTTGGATTATTTGGATTATTTGGATTATTTGGATTATTTGGATTGTTTGAATTTAAAGATAAGTTTAAAGGAGGGAGTGGTTTGTTTATTCTGCTTAGATTATTTTTAAGAGATCTTGGTTTAAATCTCGAATAAGGATCACTAGTAGCATTATTAATGTTGTTAATATTATTTGTATTGTTGCTGAGATTATTATTATTATTATTATTATTGTTGTTGTTGTTGTTGTTGGTGGTGGTGGTGGTGGTGATATTGTTATATTGGCTTTGATTTTGACTTTGTCTTAAATTAGGACTATGGTATTGATGGATATTCCTGTTAGGATTATGAGTGAGATTGGGATTGAGATTAGAATTAATATTAAGATTAGGATTAGAATTATAATTGTTATGAATTATACGTTGATTCTGACTTTGATTCTGACTTTGGTTTTGATGTAGATTTTGATGAGGTTCAGATTGCATGTTCGACAAAAATAAAAGCAAGGAGGAGAATGTGTAAAGTTGTATGAGTTTGCAAACAATTCAACAAAGATCAGAAAAGTGATTAAGAGTGTGAGAATGAGAATGAGAATGGCAATAGTTGCTGGAGAGATAAAGACTATCTTTATGAGTAAAACGCAGCAGAGAATGGAAGTGGTTCAAGCAAAAAGACTTGCAGTGGGAAAAGGAAGGAGAAGGGCAATTTGAAACGTGTTTGGAAGCGCAGACACCAGAGTGAAGGAACAGCACACAGTAGCAATTGGAGGAAAAACAGCAGAGGAGGAAGCAAAGGAGGAAGCAGCAGAAGAAGCAGAGGAAGCAGAAACAGCACAGAAAAAACACAACTGAAAGGTGGAAGAAATGGGACCCTCGTTTGGGGGTTGAAAGGTGGACAGGGTTTGTAATAAGGGTCTACCACAAGGGTTTATTTCAAGGGTCTGCTGCAAGGGTCTGGCTCATCGCAGAAAACCCTCCTGTTGAGATTTGCTGCTTCTGCTGCTTCTGCTGCTTCTGCTTCTGCTTCTTCTGCTGCTTCATGGACTCTTTCCAAGGCTTTTCACCTGTGCGGGCTATTTTATTTTCAACTTTTCATCCGGAAGAGGGTCCCAAGATCCTCTACCAGGTGCCTGAGCACTTTGTCCGAACTGCCTCCTGTGCTTCCTGTGCTGCTGATGCTGATAGTGTTTTCGATGCTCATTCACAGTTTGATTCCAACGACACCTCTGACGGGCACTCCTTCCATGCCGACGACTTGCTCCACTACACTTCGTTGATTCACCAATACAACGACGATGATACTGAGTATATTGACCAAAGACACCAATTGAACTTCGATGACATTAAGAACTTTGTCATTCCAAAGCATGAATTGTTGTTCAACAAGCTAATCACAATTCGAAGTGGGAAGAATTTGAAATTGCTTTCGTACCCAGTTCAATTGCAATCAGACATATATTTTAGAAACTACTTTATATTCAGCTTTTGCTTTGTCTTCGATGCATACAGTGATTCAACACCATACGAACCAATTCTAAAAAGGTTGGCCACAATGTTCACTATATTACAGGACCAGTCAAACATCCTATCAAGAGCTGCTAATGCCTTTGAAAACTCAAATGTTTATTACAAGTCCAACAAGTCAAAAAAAAACTTGGATTCAAAAAATATCATTAAATGCAGAAACAAAAATATAACTATCCAAAATACAAGATCTAATTTAATCAATACTACCAATATCTATAACGACAGTAATAACAAGAATAACTCAACCTCTCTTACAAATAAATCTTCTAACAATAATATCGTCAACAGCAGTGCCCACGAAAATGATAGCAATACTAATGATACTGATACTGATAATTTAAATAAGGATTTTTATAAAACCTTAACTGACTTTAAAAAATTTAATGATTCTAACTTAATGCCAAACTGTACTCCAAATAATGTTGAGAAGTCCAATAATGATAACGATATCAACAATAGCAATATCGATAATGAAAAAGATAATGAAAAAGATAGCGAAAAAGATAATGAAAAAGATAGCGAAAAAGATAATGAAAAAGATAGCGAAAAAGATAATGAAAAAGATAGCGAAAAAGATAATGAAAAAGATAACGAAAACTCTAATGAGGAGATTGATAATAATGATAATAATGAAATTAGTGATAATAACGTTCAAATGGAAAGAGAGAAAAAAATGAAAAAAATTAAAAGCTTTAAAAATACTAAAAACTTTTCAATCGAAAATTTAATTCAACAAATGTTTCAAGATTTAAACAATTACTCTGAATGTTTAATTCCCATTGATGAAGCAAATTCTGTCAACATCAAATTATTTCCATTATTACCGCCACCTCCTTCTTCTTCATCAATTAAATACTCTGATGTTCCGGTCTTGAACTTGAAACTATTATCCTTAATCGATGTCAATTGGGATCCAACAATGGTTGAAATTTGTAACCATATCGACGGTATAAAACCAATTTATAAACTAGCCAAATTAACAAAATCTGGTCTAGATTATACAATCGAATGTATAAAACACTTATTATACTATAAATGCATTGTATTAATAGATTTGTTCCAATATTCAAATATTTATTCTCCCACTTCAAAAATCGGTAGCTTCTTAGATGGTTCAATTGATTTCAATAACCAATTAGCTAAATATTTGACTTTTCCTGAGAAAAATTTAAATCCATTCTATCTTTTACCCTTGGACACTAATACTAATACCAATGATAAAAATAAGAACACCAGTAATCCGAGTTTAATGAGATCAAATTCAATGGTAAATTCAAATAACTCATCATCAAATTCAAACCCAAATTCAAACCCAAACTCAAATCCAAATTCCAATCCAAATTCCAACCCAACCTCCTTGGAACATTCAATTGAATTAAAACCTAGCAAAGTTAATCAAAATAATCAAAATAATCAAAATAATCAAAATAATCAAAATAATCAACATAATCAAACTAACCAAAACAAAATAAATAATCGCAATAATCGGAATAGTAAAAGAAATCAGAATGATCAAAACAAAATTGAAGGTAATTTACCATCACAAGTCCAGTTATTTGAATTATATTCATCATTAAGACAAGGATTAACTTTAAAAGATTGGTTTAAAGAAAATTATGACACTTTAATTAATTTAAATATTGATATTAGAAGATTTATTCAATTTGGTGTATTAAATAATTTAATATATAGAATCCATCAGTATCCGATTTTAACGGACTACAGTAATGATAATAACTGGTTGGATAGTTATAATATTAAATATCTATATTATTCACGAGAAAAGTTGATAACGTTATCAAAATTATTAGATAATTTAGATCAAAACCAATTTAGACCAATAATGCCTGGCCATAGTATTGATTATGGTAATCATAGTTATAAAGATAAAAAGGATAAAAGAGATAAAGAAGATAATAAAAACAATGCAATCAATAGAATTAACAAGATTAATAAGATTACTAATTTTACTAATTTTACTAATTTTACTAATTTTAATAGTGCTCATAACTTTCGAACTAAGGAGATTCCATTAGAGGTTAAAGAAAAGGAATTAGTTAAAACTATTAGATTGATGAATAATAATGAGTATTGCTTAAAAAAATTTAATAAAACGGATATAATGCATTTTAAAAATTCTAATTTAATTGAAGATACGGATTATACATTTGATTTCTATAATAAGAATTCCTTTGAATTAAATAAAGTTTTTCATAACAAAAATGCGGATTCCGAGAAAAATCAAGAAGAAAATGAGAATAAAAATGATGAATTTGATGATGATTATGATGATGAGGGCGAAGAGAATGGTATCGATAATGAAAAAAATGGATATGGGTATGGATATGACCGAGGTAAAAAAGGAAACAAAAATGTAATATTGAATGTAAATAGAATTAAAGATTATAAAAGAGGTAAAAGAACGATCATTCAACAAAATGAAATTAAGAAAAATAAGAGTGAACAAGAAAATAAAAGTAATATAATTAGAAATAGGAATAGGAATGAAAATGAGGGAAACAATAAAATTAATGGGGAGAGACATTATTATCTATATATAATTGAAGGGAAAAAAGAGAATTATTATTCTTTAGAGAGTATTAAGAAAATCAGAGAGATGGTATATAAAGTGAATGATTTTGATGAGCTTTGTATTATATTTAATGAGAATCAAGAGAAGATACGGGGTATATTGGATGAATTTTGGGATTGGACGTGTATAAATAAGTGAAATAGATAGAATGAGTGATTTGATTCAAGTTAAATCTATGATTTCGATTTTATTGTTTTTATTATTGAATTTATTGAAAAAAAGTTTTCTTTTTTTTGAAGGCAAGTTTTCATTTATTTTAGGATCTAAATCGTTGTGAATATCATCATAATCGTAATCATAATCATTATCATAATCAGCATCATCATCGATGAGGATCATGTTATTGTCTGTATTTGATATTGTGTGTATAGATTGAAATTGAGTATTAGGTTTGTGGTTAGATTTATTGTTTGATTTAAATTTTAGTTTTTCTTTCTGTTTCTGTTTCTGTTTTTGTTTTTGTTTGTTTGTTTGTATTTGATTATCAATATTATTATCAATATTATTATCAATATTATTATCAATATTATTATCAATATTATTATCAATATTATTATAATTATTATTATAATTATTATTATTACTAATACTATTATTATCGTCATCGTTATCAATGATAATGAATTCTAGTTCTTTTATATCAGGTATTTCTGAGAGGTTGATATTATTAGAGTGATTATCAGAGATATTGTCTATAAGAGAACAGGATTTTGAGTCATTGAATCTTTTTTCAGTTGCTTCTCTTAGTAGGTTTCTTGAAGGTTTATTATTATTATTATTATTATTATTATTAGTAGTAGTAGTAGTAATAGTAGTTGTTGTTGTTGTTTTTGTTGTTGTTGTAGCGGTGTGATCATGATTTGAGGAAATGGAGAGATTACCTAGTTTTCTTGATTCAGGTTTAAATTTCTGAGTATTTTTGAATTTATTTAGTCTATTTAGTTTGATTGAATGAATTGAGTGGATTGGGGAGCTATTTGAGCTGGAAGAAGAATGTTGGGAACTACTCAATTTATTGATTTCGTTAAAGTAGCCAGTAGCTTGATAAGAACCTAATTTTTGGATTTGATAGAGTCTTTCATTTAGATGAGATAAAAAGTTGTAGAATTTGTTATCATGGGGCCCATGAAAATTGTGGGATAATTCGTGCAACAAAGTTGACAAGATTTCAGTAAAGTGTAGAAAAGTATTTTCATCAAATGGAGATCTCAAACGCAAACAGATTTTCTGGCCACTATTGTAGTTTAAACCTAGAAGGGATTTGTTGTTGGGGTAGAATTCAGTTAGAAGAGTAATTTTGAGGTTGCTTTCTTTCATTAAAGGAGCTACTGCTGAGGATAGGTCCTTTAGGATATTGTAAGCATTGATACTATTTTTCTTTCTAGATAGGAAGGCGATTTTTTGAATGAATTTAGTTGGGTTGTGAGTGTTTAAAGAGCCAGATGAGATGTTTGAAGTGTGAGCCAGATTTGTGGTGTTGTTTGAGCTCAAGGAACAAGCAGGAGCCGCTGAGGAAAGAGGCATTAATGAAAGTGAAGAAGAAGAAGAGAAGGAAGAAGAAGGAGAAAAAGCAGAAGAAACAGAAGAAACAGAAGAAACAAAAGATAAAGGGTTTCAAGAGAGGACGCTTAATCAGAAAAAGTAGATGCTTAGTCAGAAAAAGCAAATGTTTAGTCAGCAAAGAGATTTTTTTTTGGGTACGGTGATTTTGATTGTGATTTTGATCTGAAGGAGATTGTGGTCAAAGTGAGAATAAAGTGAGATACAGCGTTGTTTACGAGAGAAGATTAAAGATGACAGACCAGAGAAAGACGCTATATGGACAATCGTTGATTCGGAACGCCAGCTCGTTTTCTGTGAATGGCAATGGCAGCAAGAGAAAGATCAGTGGCAGTGGAAATCTTAAGAACATCAAGAGCAGCGGAATCACCAAGAACAGTGGCTCGATACCCAGGGAGAGATACTGGAGAAGGTCGTATATGTCGCCCCGAAAGCCCTTCCAGGACTTGTCGGTAGATGGTAAGGGCAATGGCGGGGGCAAGAGCAGCAGTGGAAGTGGGAGTGACAACAAGCCCAGCCAGCAGTACAGTTTCAAGCTACGGTCGTGGGTACTCGAAGAGTGCAATGATGGAATTGAGGCAGAGACCCCAGGAACAGAAGAATACTGCTTTGATGTGCCGGAGGACAGCGAGCTCGTGGAGTTAGAGGAGTATGTTTTTGTGAAGCGAAAGGTGGACAAACTGGAGCAGCGGGCCAGCAGAGGCATGGCCAGTGGAGGTGACGAGGAGGACGACGGTTTGACAGCAGAAGACATCAGGGGAGCTGTGGGAGGAGAATTGATCTCAGGCTTCTCTGGCTCGGACGTGCAAGCGAAGAAGGAGGGCGAGCAGCAGACGCAGCCCGAGGCAGAGCCTGCAGAGCCCACAGCTCCTACAGAAAGCGTGAAAAAGGACGAAAGTACCGACGGCGACGTGGTGATGGGCGAGTGAGACGCACAGGAAGCACGGGATGCATGTGCTTTTTGTGTTTTCCTGGAGCGCGTCGGTTTGTTTTGTGGTTTCCTTTTTGGGCATGCAACTGTAAACAAAGCTGTGTTTACCATTTTGACGCTGGATATAAGGTAGATGATGTAGGATAGATGTGATATATATACTCTTCTCACCAGTCTCACATCTCCAGCATCCTCAGCATCCTCAGCGTCGTCAAGATGAGCATGCTTGTCCCAGATCTCCCAAAGGACTCTCTCCATCAGGACTTGTTCAGCTACTCCAACACCAACTCCAGTCCTAATGCAAATGTCGATTTAAATCTCGACCCAACCACTGATATAAACGCTGATTCAAACCAGATTTTTAATACTAATTCGATGCACAACTCAAACATAAACCTCATCAACAACTCAAAGTATATTCTCAACCCAGATTTCAATCTCAACAAGAAATCCTCAAGTTTCGATCCAAATGGCTCCAATATCCAGTACTTCGATGACACCTCTATCAATAACCAGTCTTTTTTAATCTCAAATAGCCATCTTCCCAATAATGTAGACAATCAAAGTATAAACAATCAAATCGTAATCACTACTCCTGACAATAATACCAATACCAATACCAATACCAATATCAATACCAATACGAATACGAATAATATTGATAATATCACTAATAGTGCTAATATCACTAATAATAATAATAATAATAATAATAATAATAATAATAATAATGAAATCGATAACCAAAATATTAACAACCTAAATATACAAATACCAATCCCACTAAACAACATCTCAACAAAACTACTAGATCTAAATCTAGATTCAAATGAAGGAACTGTCATTAAAAACTCTTCAAACCCAATAAATTTTTTTACTCAAACAATAAATAACAATAACAACGCCAATAATAGCAACACCAATAATAATATTAATAATAATAATAATAATAATAATAATAATAATAATGATAATGATAACAACAACAACAACAACAACAACCTAGAAATTAATACTCCTCTTTTTAACAAAATTGCTAACCAAAACCTAGACTCTTCTTTACCTCCTCCAAAATTAAAACTAATTGGCCAAATCAACACAATAAAACCAATCAGCCCCAACCCAATAACACTCAAAATCAACCAACTAAATCAATTTCAAAATCTTTCAAACTTATCAAACGTCCCCAGACTATCCAACTCAACAAATACAGTCTCTTCAACAACAAGATCCTTTTCAAACTCAAACTCAAACTCAAACACAACCTCCTCAAGAACAATCTCAACAAACTCTTCAAACTCTTCAAACTACGACTCAATTAAAACAAACCAATCAAGATTCCCTTCTTCAAATTTACCTTTAACCTCTCAATCTCCCTTGAAATTGTTTGGTAACGATTACAACACCTACACCCAAGAAAAATTCAACGGCCTAATCAATCAATCCAATAACACAAACATCAATATCATCAACGATAACGACTACACAAACGATTTTATCCTAGACGATAATACAAATCTTAACAATACAATAAATAAATACCATTTATCTAACATCCTTGAATCTCCTTTCAACAACAAAAACAGCAAAAACAATAACAATAACAACAACTCAAATGACAATATCAACGATAATGAAAATTACATACTCTATGCTAACGATGTCTTTGACGATGTCATCAAAAGAAATCAACCTCTAAATAACAATAACCTAATCAATGATTCAACAACCGATGAAAACTTTACATCTGATGATTATTCACACTACAATCAATCTAACAACAACAACAACAATAAAAACTTGCTAAATAACAATTTAATAAATAAAAACTTGCTAAACAACCACCCTCTTCCAAATAACCCTGCAAATGATTCAGAATATCTGACATACAACACAATAATCACAAACATCAAACCTCTACCTCAGAATAACCAACCAAACATCGATCACTCTTTTTACTCAAATAACTCTTCAATCATAAATCCTCCCTTCCAACCAACAATAAAACCTTTTGATCAATCAATTCCACAAAAAAATAAAAACTCTCTAATAAATAAAACTTACAACACAGACGACATTCAAAACGTTCAGAATATCCAAAACACAAATATCATTAAAATTAATATGAAAAATCAAAATGAAAAGAGAAATCATATAAAATTATTCACCCCAAAAGAAGTTACCGTTCCTAATAAAATGAGTGGCATGATTTTTGATGAAAAACGTAAAATCTGGATAAAAGATTCAAATCAATCTCAATCTCAATCTCAAAATCAAAATCAAAAATCAAAATCAAAATCAAAACAAAGTTCAAAATCAAAGCAAAAATCAAAACACAACTTAAATCATGTTCAAAAAGAAAATGACATTGAAACTCTAAATGAAACTGGAATTGAAAAACAAAAACAAAGAATAAAATCAAACTCCAGCTCAAATTTAAACACAAAAGCAAATCTGTTGTTCAATTCAATTTCGAATTCAATACTACATTCCACTGTAAATTCAAATATAAAACATGCTCTCAAAATAAAAAGAGATATTAAAAATGAGGCTATTCTGAAAAAAAATTCACTTAAAAATCCAAGTAATAAAGCAAATTTAACTACTGAAACAATTAACACCACTTCAAATTCAACAAATAACGATGAATTTGCTGCATTGAATGCTATTGCTGATTTATCAACTGCGAGTCAAAACTTCCTGAATAATGATTTAAATAACACGTTATCAAGTATCAGTACAACAATTCACTCTGATTCGGAAATTAAATATTCAACTTATCCAACTAATCAAAATATTTCTGGGTTTGGATCTATTTTGAAAAATGGTCCTAAAAATCGTGATTTTCGCAATTATAATGAAAATGAAAGTGATAGCGGTAGTGAAAATGATAATGATAATGATAGTGAAGATGAAGATGAAGACGAAAGCGAAGATGAAAGTGAAGATGAAAGTGAAGATGAAAATGAAAATCAAACACTACCTTATAACATTTTACCAAAGAATGTTAGGCCAGAGGTTTCATTTAAACTTCCAGATGACCACATTGATACACAATCGATAAATAAATCCATAATATCAATTAATAGTGAAAATTCATCAGATGGTGCTAAATATAATAAATTGACGTTAAACTCAATACCCAATGTAACTGAAATCTCTCAGATCGATATCAGTTTTTCTATTAATAAAAAAAATCTTGTGTCATCAATAACCGACAGGATTTATGATAAAAAAAGCTGGGATTTAATAAGTGATATTGATTTGAGTGGAAAGGAGCTAGTTTCATTGAATGATCTAATGAATTTATTGCCAAATCTCCGGACGTTGAATATCTCTAACAATATGATAAGGTTTTTGGATGGGTGTCCGAAAAAGATAGATTCGATTATTGGTGTAAATAATAAATTTGATGGAACATGTTCATTTTCTAAATATAGAGATTTGGAGTATTTGAATTTGATGAGAAATTCATTAGAAAATTTGATGAGTTTCAAGCAATTGATTCATTTGAAGGAGTTAAATGTTCGATATAATAAGATTAATGATTTATCAGGAATAGGGTATATTCAGAATTTGATTAAAGTTGATTTGAGAAACAATCGGATTAAAGAAGGTATCAATTTTAAGAAATGGAGACGATTGATTCATTTAGAGCAGATAGATTTGTCTAATAATAGAATTTTGGAAATCAAGGGGACAAAATATTTGAAAAAACTAAGGATATTAAAAGCCGATAATAATAGAATTGAAAAAGTCGAAAATGGGAGTGATAACGATAGCGATAGAGATGATGATAAAGAAACAAGATATTTGGGGAATAAGAATTTGAAGAAACTTAGTTTAAGGAATAACGAGATAAAACGAATTGACTGTGATAAATTTAGAAATTTAAGAGTGATTCGAATCAATGGGAATGTCAGACTTGAAAACAGTGAGAAACTTAAGAATTTAGAGGAGTTAGAGATCAATAATAGATATTATAGTATTGATAGTAATGGAAAAAAAGAAAAAGAAAAAGAAAAAGAAAAAGAAAAAGAGAAAGAGAAAGAGAAGGAAAAGGAAAAGGAAAATGAAAATAAATGGAATGGAATCGATACGATTTTGAATAAGATTGTTTATTTGAATACATCGATTAAGATATTGAATATTAGCAATACACTGATTGAAAGGCTTCCAGAGAAGTTTAATGAAAAGTATCCCAATATTGAAGCACTTTATTGTGTTTTCAATGAGATTCAAAGTTTTCAAGAGTTGACAAAGAGTGGGTTAAAGAATTGTAAATATTTGAAGAAGATTGATTTTCGATTCAATCCATTGAGTAAAGGGATATATTTGAATGAAGCCGAGAGGTTGTTGAAGATAAACTGCAATGCGTCGGATGATTCTGTTAAGAGCGATGAAAGTGAAGAGGGCGAAGAAGGTGGTACATGTGATAAAATTACAAGTATATATAAGGGAAAATACCAAAAAGAATGGGAAGTGAAAGATAAGGATTTCATAGAAAGACTAAGAAAACGAGATATTGAAATGTATAAGAAACGAGTTTACTACATGGGATGGATGTTTACACTGTATCCACGTCTAAAGTATTTGGATGGAATTTATGTTGATAATGATAAGCGGAAAGAAATCATGAAGGAATTTAAAAGACATTTCATTTAAAGAGGAGTAAACTCAAAAAGACAACCAAAGAAAAAAACCCAAAAAAGAAAAGAAAAGAAAAAAAAGAAAAAAAAGAAAAAAAAGAAAAAGAAAAAAAAAAAAGAAGCAATGCTAACTGTATAGAAATTCATAGACAATCCAAGAGAAAATAGTTTGAAAAGCAAGCTCAAACGTAGAATATGGGATAAGGAAAGAGTTAAGGAAACCAAGAGAGCCGTTGTAACGCAACTTTATCGAGGTGTTATTGTTGCTAAAAAGCAAGACAATCGCAAAGCAAAATGAAACTGAATCCGAGCGAAATCATCCTAAAGTACAGCCAACGCTAGCCAACTCAAAAGTAGGGCAAAAGCAGAGCAAAAACAGAGCAAACGAAGCAGTTTGGGACAAAAATGGTGCGCGGACTAGAATGCGCACTCCCAGCACAACCGGCCGGTGCTGAACGGAAGGCGCGTGTGTGTGAGCACAGAACGGGACAAAGCCGGCGCTGGAGGGGTGCTGACAGGTGTGGAGGGTGTGGAGGACAATAGAAGCCCCGTCGAAACAGAAAGAAATGGTAGGCGGGGCACGGAAGTGTTTGCGGAAACGAAACAATGCTGCATGGTCAGGTGCTGTGGTGGACACTGGCAGACGCGGAAGGGGGCCGGTGTTGAGAGTAAAACAAGCGCAGAGCAAGGGCAAGAAAAGAGCAGAAGGAGAAACAGCATGAGGCACAAGTGGTGCACCAAAGCATGGAGCACAATTTGTATAAATTGCTTATATTTTCCCTTTTCCTCTGCATTCTTCTCTTTCTCGATCGCTACTGTAATCTTCTTATCCTCAGACTGGATTATTAATAGAAATCATTACGAAACTTGTTTAAGATCAATTGGTTAGCAGGTTTGCTCTGATTCTATATTTAAACTTCAACGCATTTGAAATCGTATAAAATTTAGCATATTCCTCTTCAACATCAGAAACTCTTGGTTCATTATAAGCAGTCATTTTGATTCTTATACCGCTACATCTACTGGATCGATATATTCTCATACTACTTGATCGTTTACACCCATTCTCAATGGCAGGAAAGGTTTATGGTGTCTCCAACGGAAACATTTGGGATTGCTGCAAATGTGGAGTTAAGGACTATAACTTCTTCAAGGTTGGAGCTACATGTTTGAACTGTAACCACGATTGTTGTCCAAAGTGCCCAAGCAGACTAGGTACCGAGAAGTTGTACTATGATATCAATGACCTTTAGCAACCAGTAACCAGGTTTGGCTAGATATTGGTTCAATTGCTGATTCAAATACTAACTGGACTTTGGTTGATGTGTTTAAATGTTGCTTGGAAACAGTTCCAATTGTTTTATAATATAACGAATCATCTCAATTATGGGCAAGTCATGTTACATTAGTATTATCTGTTTATCTCGCTTTGTCGGCGACTCCTTTTGTTTTTGTTAGGTTTTTTGATGAGTTTAAGTATTGTATTATAAACTGCCCCTCTTTACTCCTATAATTGTTTCTTTCATATTTTTTTTTGTGTCTCATAGTGTTTTCTCTCATAGTTTTTTAGTTTTTTTTATAGTTTATTTCATATTATTCCTCTTATGTTTTCCGCATTTTGCGTTCATTTGCTAAACCCACTGTTTCTGCTTGCAAATCTGAAACAAAGCGCCGATTCGCCGTCCTGGACCTCTATTCACCGCTTTCTGCGCAGTTGTGTACTCACTTCTGCGTACACACGCATAACAAGCAACTGCTCCTTTAGGAAACCACCCTGCTGACCCATTGCACGTGTGATGACATAATCCATGTCCAGCGTCGCTACTCACCTCGCTCTTTATCGCACCGACCACTCTGCTGAATCTGCTGCTTGCTCCAAGACTCCACCACTCCATGGGCTCTTCTTTTCGTTTTTTTCCTGCTTCTGCTGAATCTGCTTCCTGCTTCCTCCTTCCTGCCTCCTGGACTTTCCTCTCCTTCAAATCTGCTCAATTTGTTTCTTTTCGACAAAAGGGTCTTTTTCCTGCCTTTTTTTTCTGCCTCTCAACTTAACCGCTGAAGCTCCAAATCATTTCCCCAATCCTCACTCAACTGACACTCTTTAATCCTACCAATTCTCCTTGCTTTTGATCATTTTAATCTTCTTGGTCAATTCTTTACAACTCTTATCACATTCACCACATTCACCTGTTTACTCACCACATTTCTTAGTCCCCAAGTTTCACATTTTATCTTTCCATATTTTTTTTGGTTTGAGTTTTTTTTTCAAATTACCTTCAAACCAATTTTAGATCATTTTCATATCATCTCTTATTATATCTTATCATATATTATTATATTATAATATTGTTATATTGTTATATTATATTATATTATATTATATCCTACTATAATATAACATTTTATAATATAACATTTTATAATATAATATAATATAATATAATATAATATAATATAATATAATATAATATAATATAATATAAAATAAAATATCACATCCGTATTCACATAAAATCATTCCCAACCTACTACAAAAATCATATCAAATCAAATTAAACCATATCAGTTTTTATCAACTTTGGAAAACGAATGGATAATGGTTGTATTTCAAGAGCTCCTTTACAAGAAGCAAGTCTAAATAACATCAACAATAATAACACAAATATTAAAAATATCAACACCAACAATAACAATATCAATGTCGGTATCAATATAAACAATGACAATATAAACAATAATTTATCACTCAATACTACTACTACTATTAATAACAACAACAACAACAACAACAACAACAATAATAATAATAATGAAAACATTGATAATACCAATAACTTCAACACTATTAATAAGAGTAATAACGACAATATAAAAAATATAAAAATTAAAGATTCCTACTTTAAATCCATTCACCAATTAAACCATTCAATCCCACCATTCCAATACCATTTCTCTTCAAAAAATTTAAAAAATCCAAAATATTCAAAATCTCATTCAACTAAAGTATTCCAAGATAACATTAATAATAATATTAGCAATAATAACCAAATCCAAAAAATTTATAATTCCTATAAATCCCAATCTCAATTTCAATCCCATGTTAACGCCAATATTAACGCTATTACTACCACTAACGCCGACACTCAGCAGGAAAAATACAATTCAGTTAGACTCCATGGTGAAGAACTAAAAGAATGGCAAAACCAATGGAAAGAAATCATGAGCCATTCAATAATCTACTTTGATACATCCAACCTTAAATCGATTTCTTCAAATTTCGAAAGAAAAATGTTGAACAAAAAAAGGGAAATAATCAAATTGCACTTCTTAAAATTAGGCTCCAAAATTAATGAATTTTTTGACTTAAACTATGTCACAATCATAATAACAACAAGAGACTACCAAAAAAACTCAATTTATCCTAAAACTGATATCTTCCACCATGCCTCAAAAATGAAAGTTTGGAATCTTGAAAAATCATTTAGATTCTTGAAAAATTTGAGTGAAATTCCTTCAAATTTTAAATCTTTCTACGACTATATCACTTCAAAATCTCAAAACTATTTGAAAAATTTACAATTATCTTCCTTATTGAAAAATGAAAATCTCTTAACAAATAACAACCCAAATAATACTATAACTAACAACAACAATAACAATAACAAAAACAAAAACGATAATCCTTCAACCAACAATAATTTTCATTTTTTCTCTTGCCCTTTCATTTTTTCTTATGACTTAAAACATAGATTTAGACCAATAATAATAAGAGAATGGAATGATGAGTTTAACGATGATAAAGAAAAAGAAACTAGAACCAATGAAAAAATTTCAAAAACTGAAAACGAAAACAATAATAATAACAATAATCAAAATCAAGATGATAACGGTGATAATGATGACAACGAAAAGACTGATCCTTGGCCAAAGCTTTATGCTTCAACTAATGGTAGATCCCCTTTTTTACCGGATCCCTCTTCCACATATTCAATTAAAAGACAAAAAGAAAGAAAAAGACAAATGATCTTAAAAAGAGAATATAGACAAAAATTAGTTCAAGTTAGTAATTTCGATTATATTCCCTCTACTATTTTTAGTGAAATTCTGTCCAATTTGTCCAACTTCGATTCAAACATAGTAACTATTTTATCCACTGAAGATTCAGAAAACTCAATTTTAATTCAAATTCAAAATCAAAATCAAAATCAAAATTCAGATAAAAATGTTAATTTTCATCTTAACACTAATATTAACCCTAATATTGTTTCTGATTCTAACACAAATCCAGATAGTAACTCTGGTGCTAATTCAAACGCTAAAATCAACTCAAATTCTATTTTAATTAAAAACAAAATCTTATCAAAAACAAATGATAAAGTTACAAATCAATATAATGCTTCAAATCTTTCTGGATCAAATTCAAACATCTCAAATAGCTCAATACCTAGAAAGAGAAGCAGAGATGAAAACTTAAAAGAAAGTATTAAAAATGAACTGAAACAACACATCAAGCTAACTCCTTCAAAAATATCAAAAATATCAAACCAAGATTTAAACTTAACTCAAAATTTTAAAAAACACTCTTTCTTTGAAATTGCTGAATCTGGTGTAAATCAATCAACGAGCACTATAAGAATCTCAACAAACACTTCAACTCAACAACCTAACACTAATAATCCTTATTCTTATAAAGTTGGCAATGGCTTAGGTCCAAATGTTTCCCAGGTTCAATCAAAAGAATTTAATTCTTTAAAAAGAAAATTATTTGAGAAAAAAAGGGTTAAAGAATTAAAAAATGATAAAAAAGCAATTAAAAAACAGGAAACAAATATTTCTAAAGAAAATATTTTTAATCAAATCATTCATAATAATAAATGCAAAATTGATAACAACGATGCGGCTGTTGTATTAACTAAAGACAACAAAACTGCAGAAGTTAATAATCCTAATGAAAATATAGATTCAAAAGAAATTAAAAATAAAACCAATAAAACCAATAGTACAAACAACAAAAATGTTAATATTAATAATAACAATAACAATAATTCTAAACCTAATGCTAAAATAACTAAAACTCAAGGGAAGGGTGGTGGTACTAATAAGAGAGATGGATATTGTGAAAATTGTCGAGTTAAATATGACGATTTTGAGGAACATATAAGTACTTCAAATCATAAAAAATTTGCTGAAAACGACAAAAATTTTAATGATATTGATTCTTTAATTGATCATCTTAGAAGAAAGCAAATGGTTTTAATATAACCTAAGTTAATTATTTTTTTTTAATTAAACAAACATATTTTTATACTTTCAAATATCTTTTATTGTCAGTTGTTTTTTGCACTAATTCTGGAAGGGGAATAAAAAAGAAAAAAAATAGAAAGAGTTAAAGAAAAAATATTTTTTATTACAAAAAATTATAAAACTACGAGGGTAATATCACAAAAACGAAAAAAATTTTCTTAGTATATAATATATAAAAGTTCCAAAGGAATTTTAAGGAAACATCTATATGAATTATATAGCTATCCTAATTTTTAATTTAATCTTTAATCTTTCTAATTTTTTTAATCATTCTAATCTTTTTTTTTGATTTTTGTATTTTTAATATTTATTTGTATTTATTGTATTTTTTATATTATTTTGTGTTTCGGATTTCTTTTATGAAGTGTCTTTCTTGAGCCGGTATGGAATATTGAGTATATTGAATGTAAGAATATAGATAATTGGATTGAAAAAAGCTGTTTGAAAAAATGGGATTAAACTTTTATATTTTTATGTTTATTTTTATTTCTGAGGAAAAGAATCAACCTTAATAATTTGATAAACAATAATTCAAACTGATCTTTAAACATGAATAGGAAGCCTTGAACTATAACAGCTTTTGATAACTGTGGTCCAATACCTTTCCATAAGCCTTTTAAGCCTTCAGAAGCATATAAAAAGGATAAACATTGTTGAAAGTTTTTGAAAACAAATTTTTTCTTTTTTGGAATGGTTACAGTGTTGCCATTTGAATCAGTTTTCTGTTCATTGAGGAGAACAGTAATTTCCTTTTTTTGAATCATTGCTTTTGAGACAATTAAAGGCTGGGTTATAACAGTTGCAATTAATTTGGCTAACATACCCAAAAATAAACTTTGAAGAGGTTTTAAATTTTTTTTTTTGGGGAAAAAAAGGGTTTTGGCTTTCTTATAAGATGAATAGGTTATTGAAGGATTTAATGTTAAAACCAAGGAGACTTTTAACCCAGACCAAAGACCAGTTATTCCATCATTTTTAACAATATGATTGGCTATTTTAAAAAAGGAGTTATTAACAGTTTCTTTGGATTTGGGTGTGGATTTATTGGTATCAATGTCAATATCAGCATTTTGCTTTTGACAGGTAGAGGGGTCATCAGACACAGTCGTTTGCTGCTTTGTCGATATTGTGGTGATTGGAGTAACTACCAACTGGCAAATAGCAGCAGCTAATATACCCAACAATAGCTCGATTGAAACAGAATTGATTTTACCATTGTGGCTTCTTTTATAGTTGTATAAAAGTTGGTGATAAACTTTCTTGATGATTGAGTACCAGAAAAAATAAACAAAGTTCATCGAGGCAGTGCTTAACAAAGAAGGGACTATGCCATAGTACAAGCTCCAGATGGAGTTGTTTTTGATATAAATCTTCTTGATACAATCTAGGGTGTCTCGATAGTAGTTCAAGTCATCATCTAGCAATTTCTTTGCTTCTTTGTCTTTGGGGTCATATTTTCTCTTTGGCTGGGTCTGGATCAAGGTTTTGGACAAATCCAAAGGATAAACGAGAGTGCTGGCAGTGACCGACGCAAGAGCACCAATGGCAGCCTTTTGAAAGGAGGAAAGCTTGTGGTTTGCAGCAGAAGATGTGGGCATGGTGATGGTTGTATCGAGGCTTTCTCAGCTCCAAGAGGCCTACGCTAGGAGAAAGCATTTTATATATCGTTATCAATGGGTGTGATAATATTCCCACATGAAGAAGCAAAAGTTGGAGAGCAGAAATACCGAGTGTGGAGGTGGCCCTCAAATGCAGCAAATACACACCGCATATTTGTGCAGGAGAACCGCAGATGTAGTACATATATATTGCATGGGCTGTGCATGAAGAGTGCATCTGCAGAAGAACTCCGGGGGCGCACATAATGCCGTTTTAGGTCAACCGTGGCGCATGAAAGGGCCCTCTGGGGCGCTCAAAGCAAAGGTCAGGTGCTGGCGCGGTGGTTGCGAGCGCTCAGAGCAGAGGAATACTGTTTCCACAGGGATTTCTCGCCACTAGCAGGGAGAAAAACTGGGAGCATTTCAAACAATTTTTCTGTGGTTCCTGTTTTGTTTTTCTGTTTTGTTATTCTTTTTCCTTTTTCCTTTTCTTTCTGCTTTCGTTTTCTGTTCAGTATCCAATTGTTGCTGCTGGCAGAATTTTCACTTTTATTTCGTAGTTTTATCTCTTTGCTTGTTTCTTTCCTGAAACTGTCAATCAATATCATAGTTAATATTGAACTTGTTGTTAATAACTAATATCCCAATCCCTCAATACATTTTCCCATACTTATACACAAAAATGGATGCCGATTCAACTAACAGATTTGTACCTGAACATCGTCGTACTCAATTCAAAAACAGTGGTAGATTTGGTTCTGAAGAATTACGTCGTCGTCGTGAAAATCAACAAGTCGAATTAAGAAAGCTCAAAAGAGATGAAACTTTAGCCAAAAGACGTAATTTACCTGAGCTTGCTTCAAATAATGAGTTTGTAGATTCTGACGATGATTCCGATAATGAAAACAATAATAATTTAACTGCCGCCAATAATGGCAACGATAACGATGACCAAGTCTTTTTGTTTGAATTGGATAAGGAATTACCAAAAATGATGGAACAAATTCGTTCTGATAACTTTGATTCTCAATTAGCTGCTACAACAAAATTTAGACAAATCTTATCAAGAGAAAATAATCCTCCAATTGATTTAGTTATTGATACTCAAGTGGTTCCAATCTTAGTTGGTTTCATGCGTGACCAGCCAGAAATGCTTCAATTAGAAGCTGCTTGGGCTTTAACCAATATTGCTTCTGGTACCTCAGAACAAACTAAAGTTGTTGTTGAAAATGGCGCTGTTCCTTTATTTGTCCAATTATTATACTCAAGCTCTTTAGACGTCAAAGAACAAGCCATTTGGGCTTTAGGTAACGTTGCTGGTGATTCCGCTAATTACAGAGATTTTGTTCTTAGTTGCAACGCAATGCCCCCTGTTTTAGCTTTATTTGATATCTCAAAGAATACTCTTACAAGAACCGCAACTTGGACTCTTTCAAATCTTTGTAGAGGCAAAAACCCTCAACCCAATTGGTCTTTTGTATCTGCAGCCTTACCAACCTTAGCTAAATTGATCTACTCTTTAGATGTTGAAACTCTTATTGATGCTTGTTGGGCAATCTCTTATCTATCTGATGGTCCAAGTGAAGCAATTCAAGCTGTTATCGATGCAAGAATCCCAACTAGACTAGTTCAATTACTAAACCATGAATCTCCTTTAGTTCAAACTCCAGCTTTAAGAGCTGTTGGTAACATCGTCACTGGTGATGATAAACAAACTCAAGTTGTCATCAATTGTGGTGTCTTGGATGCTCTTTTACCTCTTTTGTCCTCTCCAAAGGAATCCATTAGAAAAGAAGCCTGTTGGACAATTTCAAATATCACTGCTGGAAATACTGACCAAATTCAAGCCGTTATTGACGCCAATTTAATTCCTCCTTTAATCAAATTATTAGACTCCTCTGGTGATTATAAAACAAGAAAAGAAGCTTGTTGGGCTATATCAAATGCCTCTTCTGGTGGTTTAACCAAACCCGATCAAATCCGTTACTTAGTATCTCAAGGTTGTATTAAACCATTATGTGATTTGTTAGCTATAGCTGATAATAAGATCATAGAAGTCACTTTAGATGCCTTAGAAAACATCCTTAGAATGGGCGAAATGGATAAAGAAGCCTCGGGTGAGTCAATAAATAGATTCTCAGTTTTCATCGAAGATGCTGGTGGAATGAATAAAATCTTTGAATGTCAAAGAAACGAAAACGAAAAGATTTACCGAAAAGCTTATGACATAATCGATAAATATTTCCATGACGATGATGCTGTTGAGCTTAATAATGAATTAAGTCCCCAAGTCCAAGGTGACACCTTTGCCTTTGGTACTAATAAACCCGCTCAAGGTTTTGGCTTTTAATCGGTTAACTTAAATTAAGAGAAAAAGAAGAAGAAAACAAAAAAAATAAAAAATAAAAAATAAAAAATAAAAAATAAAAAATAAGAAATAAAAAATAAAAAATAACTGCCATACTCACCTTTAATTTTTTCTCTTTTGATATTAACAATAAATAATTTATTTCTATCAATCAATGAAATCACTTCTCATTAATTCAAAGAAAAAGATAAACTAAGATCAAAAAATTTATTCTATTTTGCTCATAATATCAACTTTCATAACCATTATCTGTTTGTTATCCATACTAAATTTATTATTTCCCTATACCTCTTTATCAAAAAAATTTTACTTATATTTGCAAAACTTTTATTAATAAAAACTCATTTGTTTGTTTTTATGATGTCAGTTCCTCCGTTTTAAAGAAGAGAGTCGTTTAGCAGGTTTTTCTGTTTTTAATTAATTTTTTATTACTTTTTGTCAAATTTTCCTGATTTCTATTTTAATTTTATTATTTATCTCATAACATTTTTTAATTTTTTGGTCATGTTATTTTCCCTTTTTTTTAACATTAGTTCATTTTTCAATTTTCTTTGAATTACATTTTTTTATGTCCTCATTTTTAGTTTCCTTTTAATTATTTTATTATATATATATCCCTTTATTATTTTATTAATCTACATTTTTCTTTAAGCTTAATTATCATCCATCTCTAATACCTTTTTTTTTCTCCTTTCTTTTATTTTTTGATTCATGTAACAGTTCGGTTATCTTTATTTTTTTTTTTTGAGTTCTTTAAAAGTTGGAAAAATTTTGTTTTATTATTTTATTTTATCATAATTTATTTGATAATTGAATTTTCTAATTGTTAATTGTTAATTAATAACTAAATAATTATCAAATAAAATAGGAAAAATCACAAAAAATCACAAAAAAAATGCAAAAAATACTTAAATGCACTTTTAGTTTTTAATTTTACTTCTTGATATATTGCGACTTTATAATGATTAATTAATGATTAGTTATAAAATTTGAGTAATAATAGAAAGATCAAAAACTCTAAATACTGTATATTTAAAAAAACATGAGAGAAACAAATAAAAAATAATGAAATCAAAGATATTAATGATTAATGAAAAATGATCAAGATGGTTATAAAAAAAAACACTGTGATTCAACTTATTTAAAATTTTTAGATTTTCTTCAAATCTTTTCAAGGCAACTTAAAAGAGTGGAAAAGTTTTCTCCATTTCTGCCACAGATTTTTCCAAATTCTCTTTATCAATTAATATCAAACTCAAATGAGGTTCAACACCGTAATTTGTGAAAACCCTTCTGGAATCAACTTCTTGTAAAACAGTGTCATAACTGTAAATTCCTTTTTTCAAGGCATATTTTTCTAAAATTATATCTTCATAATGAAAATATTCAAATTCTTGTTGATTTGCAGAATTCTTTTTTGTCTTTTTATGCTTCGATTTTGATTTTGACTTTGGTTTACTGGTAACAGAAGAATCCATCTCTATATCAGAATCAGAATCAGAATCATCAGATATCGCTGAATCAACCATCTTATATACTTTTGATAATATTATAAAGTATTTTAAATCAGAATCGTTTGTATTAGTTTCCTTAAGAAGAAACTTGAAAGCTGGAGTCATCACTTCAACAGGTAAATTAATCAATCTTTCATTTATAACTAGAGCAATAGTTTTAGAATCGTTTATCTGCAAAATTTTTTGAAATAGAATTAAAAATTCAGGACTCTTAATTGAGTTTTGCAACTTATTAATAATATATTCAACAACAGTCTTTAATGAAGGTTTGCTGGTATAATTTTTTAAATTTATTAAAGTTAATATTGCAAAGGGATCACTATCTGCTCCATCAGTCTTTATGGTTGTTCCGATGTTTGAATTTGAAGGGTCTAATATTATATCACTCAAGGAAGACAAGTCAAAATATTTATAATCGTCGCCAAATAGCTGTTTTAAAAAAGTTCTGACAGCATGAAAGTCAATCTTAGGATTCAAATTAAAGAAATCAAAGTCAACATTGACAATCTCTTCACCATTTGCATTTCTTTCAACATCTTGGTCGTCATCTGCAGACAGCTCATCTGAGGAGTCCAAATCAATACCAGAGCTGCTGTCTTCAGATATTTGCTCTTCTTCTTTGCGTTTGTTTCTGGATCTCTTGGGCATCTTTAAATATAACTATCGATATCTGCTTCTGATTTCAACCACCAAATCCAAATCAACTCAAAAAAATTGCAAAAAGCAAAAAATATTTTTTTCTCCAAGAACCAGAACAACGGCTCTCTCCGCGAAAGTAACTTTTGAGTATCGCACTTAAAATTACCATAAAAACGTGATATATCACGTGTTTGATTTTTCAATAGAAAAAAATCACAGTTTTTTTTTCATCTTTTTCTTCAGAATTTGAAGAAAAAACAGCTCCACCACTGTTTTTGATCACAGAACAATCTTTAAGATGAAAAGCGATATCTTGCACTTGGTAAAGCCTAGTTCTTTGGCCTCTACTGCTTTGTCTCCTTTGACTGTCAATGTCGTTATACAACCAACTGCGCTATTCTCGATATTTGAGGCTTCTTTACGTATTCAAGAAGGCAATTCAAGAGTGATTGGGACTTTATTGGGTTCACGTTCTGATGATAATTCTAACATTGATATCCGGGATGCTTATATTGTGCAACACAATGAACAAGGTGATAATGTTACAGTCAATGAATATAACCACAAGACTTTTTTGAACATATATAAAAAGACAAGTCCAAAAATTATGATTGTCGGATGGTTTTCCACTATTTCATCTTTAGACATTTATTCATCATTAATTAACAATTTCTATTTAGATGGCAATTACTCAATTCCAATTGTTCATTTAACTTTAGACTCAATTGATCCTTCGAGTAACCTACCAAGCGTTCCAAAATTTGATACTTATATTTCAACAATGGTTGGTAAATCTGCTGTAAATGATCAAAATTCAACTGTTTTTGTTCCAATTCCTCATACTTTAAACTACTCTTCTCAAGAAAAAAATTTATTATCTTGGGTATCAAAGGCAAAGGATCAATCAAATAGCTCTGTTCTTTTGCCATCAGGCCAATCAACTGAATTAATCAACTTATCAAACGATTTAAAAGATGTTGATGATTTAATAGACAAGGTTTCTAATTATGTATCACAAGTTGTTAATGGTGAAATCGAAGGAGATGATGAAGTTGGAAAATATCTCCTAAGTAATATACCTGCTTCCCCAAATAACCTAGGAATCAGTAAAATTGAACATCTATTCAATTCTCATATCCAAGATACTCTTATGCTTGAATATCTCGCTAGTTCTATTAAAACCCAAATTGAATTATCTGCTAAACTCACCACTGTCGTTTAATATTTTTGATTACATCTCTCTTCTTTCTTTTCTTTTCTTTTATCTTTATTTTTTTATTATTTATTTTTTTCTCATTTCCTCTATCGGGATAGGTTGCTTATACAGTATAATAAATTTTAATCTATATCGAAATTGTTACCCAAATTGTAATAGAAGATATAAATAAAAAATTAAAATATATAAATATAAGATTAGAATATATACATACATGTGTGTGTTCATTGAAGAATGCTCAATCCCATGATTTCATTCAGCTTGGAATGGTTTTTCTCTCATTAATAGTTTTAAATCGTTTTCAATAGAATTATAAACAATAAAAGTAATACCTCCACTCGTACTCACCTTAAGAAATCTTGGAAACCATCCACTCCAAAACTTTTTAGCCCCTTCTTCTGTAAATATTTTATAACAGCAATCTAATGAGTTTCGGTATAATATTCCAGCTCCATTTTTACTTTGTAACCTAGTTTTAATCACATCAAGGGGTTGAGTGATTCCAACAACTGCACCTGATGATATAACTCCAATTGCAAATGCTGCATGGCTAGATAGGCTTTCATTTGGATTGGGTAAAATTAACTGTTGTAACATATGATATGTTCCAAAACGAACTGCTGAATTAGCACATTGTCTCAATAATGTTATTCCTGAAGCTCTGGTGAAACCCCTAAGACCTTTAACTTGATATAACTCTTGAACAGCTGTGTAAAACAATCTAGATGGATTTTTATTCCATTTTTTAATCGCCGTGTTGTATGAATTATTCAGTTTAAGTATGTCATTTATATTTATTTCAGATTTTTTGGAATTAAAAATAATTTGATTACTTTTAGAAGCTGGATTTGAATTTTTTGATGCTTGTTTTATTTTTAAATTCTTAACTTCAGCTTCAATTTTATTAAATTTGATAGATTTATTGGTTTTATTAGCTTTATTCGCTAATTGATCTTGTTCCCTTTGATTTAAAACCACTGCATTTTCAACCATCAATGTCTTAATATTTTCAAAAGGAATTATCCATAAACTTTCAATAAATCCAGTCATCATCCCAGCAACGACTACTCTGGGTGCAGTCGTTTTCCCATTATCGTTAGCCATAAATTTACTAGCTGAGTTGAAAACAATAAAACGAGAACTTGCCTTTAAAGCATTTCCAAGATTTAATGCACCTAAACCAGCAAAATAATACTGGATCTTGGAAGGGTATTCGCATGCTAAAGAGGTTGGAGTTGATTTATGAAGTTGTTGTATTGTTTTAAGTGACTCAAATGGATCTATTTTTTAATTTAATGTTAGTCCAGAGGTCAAATTTAAGATAGAAGAATTTTCATTTCTATTGAAACATAAATTGTGAACTTACAGGTAAGTGTTGTTTGACCAATAGAAGCACCAACTCCAGCAATTATAGCAGTGATTAGATTTGATTCAATTTGCTGGAAAAGAAGCGGTTTAGTATAGTTAGTATATAGCTTTTCTTTTCATTAGCCAATAACATTAACACTAACATTAACATTATTAATTTAATCCTATAACTCATACCAAATCTCGACTTGGGGGACCATGTCCCAAACCCTTTGAATGCTTTCTATGAGGGTAGCTGTGAGAAGAAGATTCGTCTGACATTTTGATTATGGAGATATGCTTTTACTTTTAGTTGATGAGAGATTCGAAAGATCTCCAATGTAATTTGATTGAGCTAAAAAGTGCGGCAACAAAAGAGAAAAGCCCAAAGCGGAGCAACGTTCGTTTTGCTTTGTATTATTTTTCTTTACATTGCGCTACAACAAAAAACTACAATATTGCAATATTGAAAAGTGATCAAGTTATTTATTGAAATAACTATGTAGATTCTTTATGATTAAACACTAATACCTAGAGCCGATATTAGAATTAAAAGAATCAGTAAACTTGACTATATTCTATGAATTTTCCAAATGTTTTGCTCTAATTAATCAAGATACTTGATGAATATTCATTAGCTGAAAACTAAGAATATAAAAAGCATTGTATGCTTTATATCCCCCCAGAACCCAATATCCCTCGAAAGACAACTCAAACCCCTCAGAAGACACTAAAACCATCAGACAAAACGAAACTCAAAAAAAATGAAAATAAAAATCCAGATGGCACCAGTCTTTGCTTTTATTATCTCTGTAATAGTGGGATAATTATAAACTTTAAACCAAAAATAAGACTAAAAAAAAGTAAATCAGCCAATCAAAACCAACTAGGATACAAAAAATATCCCTAACTCCAAAAAAAAACATTTCAACCTAGTTTTTTCTGAGCATAAAACCACCAAAGTAAATTATATCACCAGTTCTTGGAATAAACCTCATTATATAAAAGTAAACTTGAGACAAACAGTTGAAATGATTCATTTGAGCTGCAGTATGGTTTTAACCGATTGTTTTAATTTTTTTTAGATAAATTTAATCTAAAGCTTATTGTATTATCCGACCATTATAACAAATTTCATTATATCTTCTATTACTTCTGTTTCTGTTGACTCTTTTAAATTAAAAATCCCATTAAAATTGCTGTCACTTTAAATTAAGAACTATTGCGTTAATGATAAAATTATCTCCATTATTGCCGTTTCATTGTTCTAATTACCATTATTAATATTGTTATCACCAAGTTAATTATCATCATTAGCTTTAATATTAAAGGCATTTTAATAACTATATAATACTATTGATATATTCTTTAACCATTAGTTGAGATCATTAATGTTTACCATTGAGCTTTAATACTTTTTTTTTATCTTAGCATCATATATAATAAACTTAACTTCGATATTGAATTCCTAACACCCTTATTATAGTTGACTATTTAAAATATTTAATATATCTTATGACTATGACTATGAGTATGAGTATAAATATGAGTATGAATATGAAGAGGAATTATTTATTTGAGACTCATTGATTTGAATAAAAAATTGTTGATATTGAAGATTTTTATAATTTTATAATTGGATAAATTTTTGATATAAATACAAATATTTTGAAAGATTGAATAGAGCTGACAAATTTTAACTATCTTTAATAGTTTTTTTTTTAAAAATCCTTTATAATTGAATTTGATATTTAAAATAAACAGATAAATGGATGAATAAATGGATAGAAATGAAAACAAATAAATGATATAGTAATTTAACTAAACAAAAATTGAAAGCAACAAGGAATTGAGAAGGAAATCAAACAGTGCATTGTGAGCACAATAGCTCTGATAAAACAAAACAAAGGGAAAAAAATGACATTTAACAAATACTTGGACTTCAAATTAAATTAAGGCAACCTGAAATTAGTGCTAAAATCAAAACTTGACAAGACAAAAAATTAAACTTTAATACAAACGGAAGAGAATGTCATTGACATAACAAGATACTATTGAGCTTGAGCAGAAAGACTTAAACTGCGGATTCAAAAGGGTTAAGCGCTACCATGTCTTTTTTGATCCTTCTATATGCTGATCTATTTGACTTCTAACTCATATTGATATTGCAGTACTAAAACAGTAATATATTCTGGAATTCGACTAATTGTTTTCTTACTTTAATTGCACATTTTCTTAAGCTTTTTCTTATATTTTTATTGAATGATTCAATATGACGGATCAAAACATTTTTAGTAAGCTTTTTACAAAAAAACAGACATACGTGTGTGGAGTAAATAAAATAGCTCCAAGTTATTTCTCATAGACAATTGGACTAGATTTGTGGAAGGAAAAAGGAAAAAGGAAAAAGCTGGACAAGACTGAAGGGAAAAGAACGCGATTTGGATAGGACTAAACCGAGAATATGACAAGAATGGTTTGGTGGACTATGCTGAACAATCTTTCATACATGTATGTGTTGAAGGTGGACTCAGAGGCTACTTTGCTATTTCATGGTGGATGAATTAGCGCTGAGATGGACGAGAAGAAAAGATAAGAAGGAAAGATAGGAAAGTAGGGGATGAAAGAGTATTTATATTGGTGGCAAGTGACTCCGTGCGGCACAGGGTAACCACAGACAGAACCATCTCTGTGGAACGCACACCGATTGTCCCACGTGATGTAATATGCGAACCAGACAGGTGGCTCTGAGCCAAGCGTGTGAGTTGCAGGGAAACAAGTACCAGGGGGGACGGTGAAGGAGGCGCGACAAAAACGGGGGAGAAGCGTGAGCAACAGAGGTCAAATATAGAAGCCTGGAGGCTGTCGCTGGACTTTTCTGTGGAGGAGGCTGTTGATTGACTTGTGCCCGTGCTTTTCGGTGCGCTGCGGCCGGTTGTTTCGGCTTGCCGTTTAGTGTGTGCTCGCAGTGTACTCGGCACCGGCGGACGGGCTGTTTCAGCAGGTTATCCAGTGTGTCCGAAGAGAAACTGCCTTCGAGCAGTGTGTCCGAGAGTGTCTCACAGGTCTATGTCGATCCGGAAGGTTCACACCCAGATTGTAGGAACACTCAATTTTATTTTTTTCCTATTATCAGAGATCAGAAAGTTGAGAAATGTGAGAAATCTGGGAGCTAATATAAAAAACTGTTTTTTTTCCTGATTGTCTTCAATTTTCTCTTTTTCCATTTTTTCAACTTATTTCATCCACCAATTGCTTATTTTCATATATAATAGCTTGGTTTTCTTTCACTTTTTGATTGGACTTTTCTTACCACCTGTCACTCCTCTCTATACTGTCCTTTATCTAACTGGGTAAAAGTTAACACAAGTCACTAGTCGATATAAACCACAAACCATAAACCACAGTTTATAATTTTACAAGTTGTGTTTATTTCTCCCCGATTTGAAAATTCACCCAAAATCAAATAAAATCAATAAAAAAATAAAAAATATTACTTGAAAAATTGCTCTTTCTTTTTTTTCTACTGCTTTTGATTGAAAATGGATTCTAAACACCAAAAACTCCATGATGATGACGATGATGATATATTCAACAACTATATAAACCCAAATCAACAACAACAAAATTTAATCAACAACCCAATTCAACCTCCTTCAAACACCTACCAGCAACAGTCCACTTCCTATAACGATCCTAACACCAACTACTCAAACGATAACTATAACTCTTTTTATGATCCTCCTCAAAATTCCTACAATGAACAGGTTATTCCATTAAGAGACCTTAATGATAAACCTGCTGTTCATAGTCTTTCTGAAAATATACCTCTTTCAAACCAAAATACTTTAAACCCAACTAACCAAAATCAAAACGTTTTTCAACCAACTTCCCAATCAAATACTTTAGTAAATCCCTTTGACTCAAACAACTCTTTTGCTTATACCAATAACAATTCCTTCAATAACTCTTTTCTTGATCAAAATCAAAATACTGCTTACATCTCTCCCTTCGATACTAACAATACCATTAATAACAACAACCCCAATCAACAATCTCCTTTTAACCAATCAATTGACTCATATCCTCCTCCTCCTCCTCCTCCTTCCTCTTTACCTTCTCAACAAACTGATGGCTTCCTACAAAATTTATTCTACTCAAATAATAATAACTCATCCTTCTTAGACGACGTTAACAATGATCCTGATTTTCAAGTCCAATTCCCCGTCCAAGGTGATTCCTACGAATTGTATAAGCCAATCACTGTATCTCAAAATCAAAACTTATTACCTGATCAAACCGGTTATATCCCACCAAATAATAATGCCAATGGTGAAGGCAATAGTGATGATGATGATGATAATAACGATGATGATAATGATGATAACGATGACGACGACGAAAACGATCAAGAAAAGAAAAATACTTTTGTTAGAACATTTTTAGGTAATTTCGTTTTAGATTGTCCAGTTCCATCCAATTTATTGAAAAATTATAAACATGAGCACTCAGAAAGAGAATTTTGTTACATGAGATATTCTGCTGCAACTTGCGACCCTCATAATTTCACTAGAAATAAATTTAGTTTAAGACAAACCTTTTTTCAACCAAGAAGACCAACAGAATTATTAATTGTAGTCACAATGTATAACGAAGAAGATCACCTTTTAGGCAGAACTTTAAGAGGTGTCATGAACAACATTAAATACATTTGCAACAAAGGTGAAAAAGATACTTGGGGCCCCGATGGTTGGAAAAAAATTGTAGTTTGTGTCGTCAGTGATGGTAGAACTAAAATCAATAAAAGATCTAAAGCTTTATTATCAACTCTAGGCTGTTACCAAGAAGGTTTTGCTAGAAGTAGAGTTAATGAAAAGGACGTCACTGCTCATCTTTATGAATATACTTCTTTAGTTGGTATTAAAACTGTCAAAGATGGCGTGGTCCAGTTTGATAACCAAAATGCCATTCCTGTTCAATTTCTATTTTGTTTAAAAGAAAATAACCAAAAAAAGATTAACTCTCATAGATGGTGTTTTGAAGCCTTTTGTCCAATTCTTGATCCTGAAGTCGTGGTCCTATTGGATGCTGGAACTGAACCTTCTGATAAGTCAATTTACCACCTTTGGAAATGCTTTAAATATAACCCTCAAGTCGGTGGTGCTTGTGGTGAAATTAAAGCTCTTTTAGGTCCAAAGGGTAAATACCTACTAAATCCTTTAGTTGCTGGTCAGAATTTCGAATATAAAATGTCAAATATCTTAGATAAACCAACTGAATCTGTCTTTGGTTTTATCTCTGTTTTACCTGGTGCTTTTAGTGCCTATAGACTTAACGCCGTTAGAAATAATGAACTTGGTGAAGGGCCATTAAAAGAATATTTTAAAGGTGAAACTTTACATAACGAACCAACCGCTGGTATCTTTACTAAAAACATGTATTTAGCTGAAGATCGTATTTTATGTTTTGAAATTGTTAGCAAAAAAAGAAGTAACTGGGTTTTAAGATATGTTAAATCCGCTTCTGCTAAAACTGATGTTCCTGATCAACTTGATGAATTTATCCTACAAAGAAGACGTTGGTTAAATGGTTCATTTTTTGCTGCGGTTTACTCTGTCTTTCACTTCCATAGAATTTACACTTCTGGTCATTCAATTCCCAGAAAATTCTTACTAACAATTGAAGGATTGTATAACTTGGTTAACTTGATTCTTTCTTGGTTTTCTTTAGGTTGTTATTTTCTTGTTTTCAGAATTTTAACATTAGCATTAGCTGATCCTGATATCAACTTTGCTCCTGGTAATGTTCTTGCTTTAATATTTTTATGGTTATATGTTGCTTCTACTGTTTCTGTTTTTGTCTGTGCTTTTGGTAATACTCCAAAGGGTACCAAAAAAATGTATATTACAATTGTTGTCTTTTATGCCATTTTAATGATTTACATGTTTTTTGCTGCCATATTTTTGAGTGTTAAATCTGTTCAGCTGCTTATTAATGAACAGGAGGATGGTCACGTCTCATTTACAGATATTGTAAATAATTCAACTGTTAGAAATTTGGTCATTTCGTTATTATCCACATATGTGCTTTATTTCCTTGCTTCGTTTTTGTATGCCGAACCATGGCACATGTTTACCTCATTTTTACAATATATTCTATTATCCCCATCTTATATTAATGTTTTGAATATTTATGCATTCTGTAATATTCATGATATTTCTTGGGGTACAAAAGGTGATGATGGACATAAAGAAGATTTGGGAGCTGTTAAAGTCAATGAAAATGGTGTTTTTGAATTGGTGCTTCCTACAACTGATGAACAAATAAACGCTTCGTATTCTGAACAAGCAAGAATCATAGCAGAAAAAGAAATAATAGTTGAAAGAGTTAAAACAGATGAAGAAAAATCAAAAGATGACTATGCATTTTATAGAACTGCTGTTGTCTTGTTATGGATGGCTACAAACTTTATTATTATTGCAGTTGTCTTGAATACGGGTGGTATCTCAGAATTAAATGAAATTGACACCTCTAGTAGAAAATTGATTAAACGTGGCTTTAACTTGTTTAGGAGAATGGCAGCAGATACTGCTACTGACACTGCTACTGCTGATACTACTGACACCGCTGACACTACTGCTACCGAAACAACTACTACAACTGAGGCAACATTAAGTATTACAGACAAAAATTCTCAAATATTTTTAGGTATTATTTTATGGCTTGTTGCATTTATGGCTGCGTTCAGGTTTGTTGGTTGTTTTATTTATTTGATATTACATTACAGTGGAAGATAAATTGTTTAAATTCTTTTTATAGACTTTTTTTATCAGACTGATTTTTTGTTATCTTTTTGTTACCTTTTTGTCATTGTTTTTTTTTTGCATTACTGCTTGTTTTATTGAATGTGTTTTAATATTTATTTTAGGAATTGATTTGTAACATTTATTTTATATCTATGGATTTCTATTTTTTTTCTTGTTATTCAATAGTAAAATGCGTAAAGATATAAAACGAAGTTTAATTATAAGATGATCTTCTAACATCTTTAGAGGTTGAGTTTATTCGATGGAATAAGCTCCCACCAGAAAACCTTCGACTTGAAAACTTTGATTTGTTCTTTTTAGAGTTTATATCATTTAATGTTGGAGTTTTTAGGATTCCTTGTAGAGGTTTTACTTTCAAAATTCCCAGTCGATTTCTATCAATGGGTGAAAGACTGTTCTTATTGATATTGCTATTATTGATGGAGCTTGTGCTATGTATATTATGGTTTATGGGAGTTGGTAAAGTCGAATCAGTGTTACCATTTATCGGTATTAGGGTCATTGGTGGTCTATGATCTTTAGAGAAACTCAAGCTCTCAGTGTTGGTATTAGAAATGCTTGGGTTTGTGCTGGAGAATCGATCTCTCAGACTCAGTAAAGTGTTGATCATACTGTTAAGTTTATTATTGATATTAGCATCAAAATCCAATTGATTGTTTTTCAAAAATTCAGTTGAGAATCTTATGTTTTCAATGTTTAGCTCTCTTATATGTTGGTTTATTTGGTTATCATTGAATTCAATTTCATCTAATAGATCGTTTATCTGGGAGGATTTAATTTTGAAATCCTTTTCAAATGATTCTTTAATCTTGTAATGTTTTAATTCTCTCAAATGTATTTCGTATTTTAGTTTGCTGTGAATTTCGGTGTATTTTGATCTGATGGCAATTATTTGTTTAAATCTTTCATCAATTGTCAATGGATTATTTCTGTTTATATCTAAAGAATCTAATTGACTGTTTAAGGTGTTTTGTTCTTTAGATAGAATTTTGGGGAGATTTTTGTTAATATCATCAGATAAGTTGTTTAATTCAATATTCCAATGATTTTGGAAGTTTTGAAAAATTGAATCTAGTATAGAAGTCTTTTGTTTGATTTCATTGATTATAGTCAAAATCTCACTTAATTTGGAATTTAAACTGTTATTCTTGTCTTGAAAAAATTTCAAATTTTGACCAATATTGTTTAGATTTAGATTTTTGATAAAGATTTCGTTATCGAGCAAATTATTTTGTTCTATTAGGAATTGATTCTCAACTTGGTATTTATGGTACTTGTCATATAGCTTTCCGAATTTTTCATTCAAGCAATACTTTTCGACTTTTAACTCGTCGATTTTGGATTTCAAGTCATTGATAATCTGATCATTTTTAACTGCCTTGTCGTTTTCCAATGCGATTGAGGTTTTTATCTCACTCAATTGAGCAATCTTCTGGTTGAGGTTTTGTTTGAGGTTCTTAGAATCTATAGATTTTGTGTTTATTTCAGTCATTAGCTTTATTATTAGCTGGTTCTTCTCGTTCAAATTTCTTTTTTTGTTATTAATCTGGTTTTCAATGATCTTGCATTTTTGCTCAAACTGGCTAATCTTGATGGAGTATTCATCGCTTATGCCCCTGGCTATACTTGAAGACCTCTCCTGAAACTTTCTGTTGAGCAGAGATTCCTGGGATATGAAAAACAAGAACAACATCAAAATTATAAACAAAAAGGTTTCTATCATCTTTGGATGCAATAGCAGTTAGGAAAGTTTGACAATCTGCAGATAGAGTAGCAATAGCAATAGCAGAACAATGCGATTATGTGGACGTGTTGGAGCTCAATAGTGTGGATAAACAAGCAGCAGTGACAGTAAGTGCTGAGGAAGCATTGCTCAAAGTCAGTCTCCCTCACAAAGTTTCTCCAGCCAATAACAGCTACCTCTACCAGTATCCCATTAAGGCCTTGGGGTTGCTTAAAAAGACTCATGAAATTTTGCTCTTTCTTCCCAGTTGACTCAAAAAGTGGACAGAAACCAACACAAGGCTTCGTGGTTCAGATGCTAGACATTTCTGTGACAACTGCACTCACACAGTCCTACAGTCCTACAGTCCTACAGGCGAGGTTTAGACGAGGTGAATAGTTTGTTTTGCTCAAGTATTGATCTGGTTCATTAGGTTAGAACAGAACAAACCTTAACGGCGAAGAGAAAGTGTATATTTAGATTTTAAGGCAGGAGCTGTATTGAGATATATTTTGACTTGTATCAGCAGCTGTCTATGGTTCTTGCTTATTTCTTGTTTCTTCTCATTTCTTCTCATTTCTTCTCATTTTTTCTCATTTCTTCTCATTTCTTCTTTCTGGGAGCTCTTCTGGTCGTAGAACTGCCTTTTGTTGTCTTGGTGGCTCGTGGTTTGGCTGCTGATGCCTTTGTCTTGACTGCCTTGGGCTTTTTGGCTTTGATTAGCTTGTCCTTTGTAATGTCCTCATCCTTCTTGTTGTCGTCGTCGTCGTCTGCTTTGTCCTCAACAGTGTCGTCCTCAACAACATCTTCCAAGTCTGGTTGTACTGAAGAGATATCACCTTTTCCAGCAGTGGTCAAGCCTGGTCTGTTGATTGCCACTGGGTGTTTCGCCAGATTGTACTTCCTAGTAAATCCTGATTTCACTTGTGTTGGTAACTGTTTTGCTACTGTCTCTGCTTTATATGGGTTGTTTCCCATAGAAAACTCCAAGATGTTCTCCCAGTCTTCCTTTGATAGGTAATAGTTGTCTAACAATTCAATAACCTCCTCTATGCCCCCAGATCCATCTTCAAGTAGCGGTTTGCACATTTTTCCACTCATCAATTGAAAATAATCCAATCGTAAATCAAACTTTTTGGTTAGTGTTCGTAATTTGCAATGATAGTTGATTTCTTGTAATAACCGTAAATACTTATTAGTCTTTGAATTATTACCCAACCAGCTAGTAAATTTAATTCTCCCAGCTATCTGTCCATTGATAATCGAACTGGGTCTGATTGATGACATAATCCCATGCAATGGCATCAAACTCCATAGCTGTTCAGAGCTGTGAATCTTAGAATCAATTATATCTGCCTCAGACATAGAATCGGCTGCCTTTGAAACCAACTCCAAATGACTCAATTGGGTGTTTTGTGGCCTGGTGTTGAGATAGTTTTCTTGAACCATTAATGGTGTGAAATCATGATCATCAAAATAATATTCAATTTTTTTATTTAAATCAACATCGGAATTAGGTGACCATATAGACCCACTTAGATATTTCCCAACTATATCAAATGATTTTAATGCAACATTTTTTTTCCAAGCATCTGATATCTTTGCTCTATTAGAATTGTCAATCGTCTTTTCAGTTCTTGATATTGTTGACAAAAGATTGATTATCTGTCTAATATCATTTCTTGTACATTCAACTAATTGCTCAATAGAATTTGGATCCAATTTCAATTTTTCCCTGTAAGCAATTGTCATTAATCGTGATTTCATTTCTATTGCTGATGGTCTTCTGAATGGGATATCAAGACAAACTTTATCAAATGGTCTCATCTTTGGAGATGACTTATCATTACATATTAAAATAATTGGAATAGATGTCTTGCGACAAAAACTACTCAAAGCACCAACACCTCCTCTATCTCCACTTGACATACCATCAACTTCATCCATAATTAAACAAAACTTCTTTTTTTCCATCTCGCTTACTCGATTTCCACGCAAATCAAAATAACCCATCAAGGAATTATTATTCAATATATTTTTAATCCCATCATTTAAAAGTTTTTTAGATCTCACATCAGATGCATTTCTTTCCAAAATATCATAATTTAATGTTTTAGCTACTAGATGTGCAGCTGTTGTCTTTCCAATCCCTGGAGGTCCCGATATAAGAACAGCGGGAAAGAGATCACCATAAAATTTAAATCCTTTACGTTTATTTTGATCCCAATTTTGCAACCACTGATTTAACTTATTAACTCCACCTTTATTACCACATATCTGTTGAAGATTGGTTGGAGCGTATTTATCTGTCCATAGTTTTTCATCATCGGGTTTCATTGAGGGCTTGACGTAGTTATCATTAATTTGATTATTAGTATTATTATTAGTGTTATTTTCGGCATTTATTTTAGCTCTTTTTTTTTTCAATTCTTTTTCTCTTTGAATGGCTTCTTCTTCTTCTTTTTTGGCGGCCTCAATTATTTTTTCTTCCTCCAATTTTCTTTTTTCTATAGCCTTTTTGGCTAATTCGTTATCACTACCACCAGCTTCAGGCAGGCCATTAACTAATTGACAAAACCCATCTTCCGTGGTAGTTTTTATGTTAAGATCCATAATTTTTTTAACTTTGGATGGTCCAGCATCAGAACCAAGCACAACAAGAGAAGTCTTTTTCGATATTGATTTAGTGACCTTAGCACCGTATCTTTTAGCTAAATTTTCTGCATCTGATCTATTCAAATGAGGGAAAACACCTGTAAAAACAATTGTTAAACCAGCAAGACAATCAGGTTTTCCAATTGGTGGTTCAAAACTCAAATCTGATTCTTGATTTTGTTTGCCAGCATTGGCAGCAAAAAAATTAAAAGTCTTTGGATCATAATCAGATACATCAGGTAATTCGGCATCAGGGATTTTTTTGAGTAAGTTTAATACACTATTTGTCAGCGATTGTTCATCTTTTTTAACAGTTTTTTTACTTTTTGCTTGTGAAGTTGTAGAAGCTTTTTTTGAAGAGCTCCTTGGTTTAGTTTCTGCTATTGGTTTTGAAATTGGCTTTAAATAATTCAACTCTGCAAGTTCAGCTTTGAGAGATTCTTTTTTGCTTTCAGTTTTTCTTTGAGCAGGCTTTCTGGTTCTGCTGGTTACTTGCACAAAGTCTTCATCATCGTTGTTAAAATCATCTTCATTATCATCAAAATCATCAAAATCATCAAAATCATCATCGGAAATTGTATCAATGACCTTCTTTTTGAGTTTAGGTTGTGCTCTAGTTCTCAATCTAGTACTATTTATTTTAAAATAATCCAAAGATTCAATTGGAGTTAATTTTTCTTTTGTTTCTGAGACATTTCTCTTGACTCTTTTTTTTGGGGGTTGTACAACTTCAGCAGCTTCATTTTCGTTTTTTTCATCTTCATCTTCATCTTCATCAATGTTAATTACGCGAGCTCTTCTTCTTGATGGTTTTTTTGCTGAGATAGCTTTGGAAGCATTGGAACGCTATTTACAAACAGGAAAAATCAAATCGAAAATAGAAAATTAATAATTGCTGTTAGTTATTTGATTTAGACCAGATAATTCAAAAATTGAGTTGGGCAAAATTTAGGAAATTAACATACTGAGGAACGCGTTCCTGAGGGAGAGAAAAAAGAAGTGATGTCTACCATATAGAATCAATAATAATTTTCAGAATAAAGATCCACGTTGACAGTGAAATGATATTGCTTTTGTATGAAATGAATATAGATAATTGAATCTCCTTAAGTGATAATGCGATGCTGAACCATTTGTTTGAATCAAATGGACAAAAAAAAGGCTCTGAAAATCTGAACGGGATCGAAAATTACATTTTGGTACAAAATAAAGATAAATTACAGACAAAATGGAAATCAATTAAATCAATTATGGATTAATTGTAAATATACAAATTACAGGTAAATTACATCTCAAATACATGAGATGGAAAGCAGAAACTGTCATATTTTGAATCTCTTCTTCAAATGCTCGTTATATGACATCAGTGTTCTTTTGAAGTCGTTCTCCCAAAATTTATCATTGTATGGCTGATTGAATGAATGGCTATCTGGAGGAAAAAACCAGTAATTGATGGCCACATGAATGTTATTTGAAGGATGGTAAATAGAAAGCCCATCCTTTCTCTCTTCTCCAGAAGAAGATACCTCATGAAACCAACCACAGGGAAGAAACAACATCTGCCCTGGTTTGAGAGTAACTTCTACTGGAATTGCTTTGAAAAATCTGGGATATTTTGTAGAAGCTGCTTTCACCAAGTTTTTGTGATTAGAAATATTCTCTAAATGTAATAGTATGGGAGGGATCTTTGAAAAGGATGGTGGATCCAATTTCTTTGAAGCATTTTCATTGCAATTGCTCAGGTTGATTTCAATTATTGCTCCATCACTTCTAACTTTTTGCCAACTAGGTGCGTTATTATTTGTTTTATAATCAATTACGCCCGATTCATATATTATATCAACATCACCAACAGTGTAAAGATTTTCAGCCTCACTTGGTGCAAATATTGTAAATCTTTTGGTTCCAGTTATTGGAATATACAAATTATCTGCATGGTCATGGTGTAGGCCTGATGAGGTTCCACCAGTTGGTAAAAGCTTGCCAAAGCCTAGGTCATCTTTTTTTATATCTAGTTTGTCTAAACTAAATGATTTTATACCGGATGATGAAGATCCAACCCACAAGTTTATTTGTTGAGATACTAGATTCAAAAATGATGGTCTGATAGGAAGACTGATTTCGTGTTGTAAAGAGTATGTTAATGGTGTCTGAAATAGTTGAAACAATCTTGTACGAGCTTCCAGTAAATACAAAGGATCTTTTTCAAATTCCTTGCTGATTAAAAGATCTTTATATTTATTATTTTCAGAGTTTTCGCTCTCATTACCAACACTTTCCGTTTCACTGTTGTTCATTTCATCAAAGTCATCATGCATATTTTCAATATCAAAATCAAAATCATCTAGTGAATCATCATCATCATCATCATCATCATCATCATCATTAATAACATTATTACCAGAAGAATTTGGCTCATAACTTTGAAAATCATTAAAATCTAAAATCCCTTGATTTTCATCTTCATTTTCATCGGAGCTTTCTTCAATGTTGTTATTTTCATGAGACTCTTCATTATAATATTGGGTTGTCAAATAAAGGTCTTCATTGCCAACATAGAGTGCTTCAATAAAATCTTGAAAACCCATTTTTGTTTTAGCAATTCCTGAACCAAAACCTCCTTGGAATTTTTTTTCAATTTGCAAAACTGGGGAGTTGTTATCATCCTTTTTCAAAAAGTCAACAATGTTTTCAGGTTGAAATTGCTGAAATAAATAATTTCCATTTTCTTTGAACTCATTCAAAATATCATCAATTACAACTGGAGTCCTAGTTCTAACATATTTTTCGTAAAACTCTGATGAAGAAATGGAACTTAATTTGATTGAGTCTAATTTTTGTTTTCTTTGCAAAGGCTTGAAACCCTTGTATCTATTGATGATTGTGTCTTCTTTCATTATTGTAGCTGTAAAACTGGTCTGTTGTTTTTTGGAAAGAGAAATTAAGAGGTCTAGCTCCTACTCTATGCACTGTTGTATACCATAAAAACAAATTCGAAATGGCTATATCTTAAATCAAGATAACAAGAAAATGTGTGTTTGTTGTTTATCGCTATCAAAAAAAACCGGGAATCGAATCGGAGACTGGCGCCAACAGGACGGGACGTCTTTTCATTGGCCAATGAAAGGCAGCAGAGCAACATCTCAAGAAATGGGGAGAAAGTGGTAGTAAAAAAAAGAATTGGATAGTTGCAATCTGTTTCTGGGAGGATTCTGGTTATTCTGGTTATTAATTGGTTGATCTTTCCGAAAAAATGCCTTCTACACCAACTCCAAGAGTGATTTTTATTCGTCATGGCCAAACAGCATGGTCCAAGTCTGGTCAATACACTTCATTTACTGACCTATCTCTTACTGACTATGGGGTCAAGCAGATGAAGGCAACAGGAAAAGCAGTTGTTAATACAATTATACTCCCCGAAAATGTTACAAAGATAATTTGCTCTCCAAGAAAGAGGGCTAAAGAGTCGATCGATATTATTATGGACTATATCTCAGAATCTGAGAAATCGCATATTGTGTTTGAAGTCAATGAAAACATCAGGGAATGGGAGTATGGTGATTATGAAGGATTGTTAACAAAAGAAATCATCCAGTTGAGAAAATCAAGAGGATTAGACGATGGTGGAAAAACTATTTGGAATATTTGGGAACATGGGTGCGAAAATGGGGAGTCAGCAATTGAAGTTGAGACTAGATTGAAAAATCTAGCTCAAGAAATTCGAGAAATTCATGCGATTGCATTCAAGGAGAAAAAACCTTGTGATATTATTGTTGTTGCTCATGGTCATATTTTAAGGTCATTCACCAATGTCTGGTTGGGCAAACCGATCAATAGAAACCCTCAGTACATTTTGAATAGTGGAGGTATTGGGGTTTTGAGTTACCAACACAACGATATTAACGAGCCAGCGTTGGAATTGGCTGGAGCATTTTACGTCCCAGTTGAAGAAGAGGCACAACACACAATAAACTAGAGGAACTGGAGGAACTAGGAGAACTAGAGCGAAAAAAGCACTTGTTTTACTTTTAAATATAGATAATGGTGAATATAAATATCAAATTTTGTTTTATTAGAAAAAAAGTGTATATAAATATATAAAGAATATGGATAAATTTCGTAATTTAATTAATAACTTAATAAAATAAAATCGTGAATATCATTAAGAATAAATAGAAAAAATATATTTTTTTTTTCTCAACTTTAATGCTTGCTATATTCGTTTTTAAAGGTATCAGCAGATTTATAAACAGCATTCTTGAAGTGGTCTAACTCATACTTTGCGTTGTTGTAAACATTTTCAGCATATTCATATTGTTTTTGTGCTTTTTGCTTAGCATTTTCATCGACTTTTCTGCCAAATTGGTACCAATGGGTAGTGAAAGAATCCAATTCTTTTTTGGCAGAATCAAAATCTTCCTTGGCTTTTTCAACTTGCTGATTTATTAAATCTTCAGTGTTTGCTTTTGTTTCATAGTATTTGTTTTTGGTTTTTTGAAGCAAGTCGGAAGCGTCTGAAAATTGCTCTTCAGCAAAAAATTGAGCGTTTTCACCAAAACCAGATAATGAATGTTTCAATCTTTTATCCAACTCTTGCTTTCTTAATTCAGGGTCATCTTTGTTGGAAGTTGTCCAGCTTAACCATGATGACTTGACTTCTTGTGATTTATCCTCGACGGCGTTTTTAGAGTCTTTGTAAGAAGCCTCAGCAGTATTCTTTGCATCATTATATGTTGATTGGACTGAATCCTTTGCATTGTTGTATTTTGATTCTACCGTATCCTTAGATTGTTCAATAGTGGAGTCAACAGTATCCTTAGCATCTTTAACCTTCGAATCAATAGCTTCCTTGGAATTATCGATAGTTGACTTGAACGAGTCTCTTGCATCGTTGATGGTAGATTTGAGCGAGTCAGCAGTGTAATCCTTGGTGTGGATCAATGCGCTTTTTGTCGAATCGGTTGCTTGTCTAGCCTTATTGAAAGCAGCCTTTGAAACATCAGAAAACTTTTCATCATATTCATCACGCAATTGAGCAACGAGGGTCTTTTGAGCAGTCTTTTGGTAAGAGTACGCTAAGAAACCACCGGCAGCAGCACCACCGAGAAAGTATTTATATGTTAATGGAAGAGTAGACATAATTGACGAACAGAAGGACAGGAATTAAAAAAGTAGATAATTTTTTAAAGACGAGTAACCAATAAATGAACTAAAAAGCTTGAATCTGAGTGGAAAAAATTAATCAGATACCAACAATCGAAACAAACTAGGGAGTTTATATATTTGCCATTTTGAAATAGTTGGGTTGAGAGGTGAGTGGAAACAAATGGAATCTTGCTAATGAAGATTGCTACCGATGATTAACACATATGAGCAGAGAGGGATGATTGCTTTGACGTGGGAGAAAATGCACAAGAACCTGCACACCAAATCCCAACCATAAACGCTAAATCCCAATCTGCGCTGGTGTTGCGAATATCTTGCGCTGTATACATATGCATGAACATGCACTGAGCTGACATAATATCCGCGATTATGTAATGCAAATGCTCTCGCCGGGTAGCAGCTGTGTTCGTTTAAGGGGCTTGCTTTTGCTTCTTTTGTTCGTTTGTGCCATTGCTCCAAGTTCTCCAAGTTCTTCACACTCCACGCTCTGCAGATCCTTCAGGCGCCTCAACATCTCTGAGTCCCTTTTCTCTCGGTTTCGTCTTCGGCGTCCTTCTTTGCTTCTCCTGCTTCTCCTGCTTCTTTTCCCGCCTTTCTACCAAGCCATTTTCTCGAGGTCTTTGTCACAATGAACCAGGAGGTCCAGGTCGACCAATTGCCCAATTTTAGTATGGATACCCATATGGGCATCTTATCTCAAGATCCAAATGGAAATCAGGTCAATCCAAACAACAATGTCAACTATGCTGACAGGTTCCCTGACTTTACTCAAGCTAACCAGGCTCACCAGGTTCAACAGGCAGTAGTAGCCCATGCACAAGCCCAAGCTCAGGCACAAGCACAGGCTCAGGCACAAGCTCAAGCTCAAGCTCAGGTCCAGGCTCAACAGCAACAGCATCACCAGTCACATCAACAACAACAACAACAACAGGTGAAACAGCTGCAACTGCTGCAACTGCTGCAGCATCTTCAAAATGTCAATACCTCTAATATGATTGCTAACAATTCCATGGTCAACAGCTCTCTTCCAAAAAAGAAAAGAAAAAGAGTATCTCAAGTATGGAAAGATTTTACTGAAAACTCCGATAATTCTGTAACTTGTAACATTTGTAAAACAAGAATTGAAAGATCTGGCTGTGAAACAACGAAGATGTTACGCCATCAAAGATTCCACAGAAAGGAATTAAACCAATCTTTGACCGATAATCTCAACTCTCCTAATGATAATGACCAAAATGGTGTTAGCTCAAATGATTTGGCAAATATTGATAATGTATTGAATAATCAAAATTCTCATTCTACTAGCACTCTTGGTTCCAATATTGGCACCGGTCTTAAAAACCTCCCTAATGGCCTTTCTAACAATCCAAATAGCCTGAATAATAACAATAACAACAATAATGCTGGAAACAATAACAACATTAATGCTATTAACAATAATAATAGTAACAACAATAACAGCAACAACAATAATAACAGAAACAATAATAGTCTTATCAGCCCTAACACCTCCGAACTTATCACTAATAGTATCAATGTTAACTCAAATGGAAATTCTTCTGATGATCAACTTTCCAAAAGACTAAAAAGAAAAAAACATTTAAACCAATCTCAATTTGAATCTCAATTATTCTCTAATAATTCAGACATTGTGTTTAAAAAACTTCAGTATGAAAAAGCAAATGATGCCTTGAGAGACTTAAAACTTTTAAAATTTATAAATGCCACTCAATTTTTTGAATTACAATCGATTATTTCAAATAATGATTGTTTTTTGTATTACCTAAATAATGATTCCATTCCTCTAAAGGAAAAATCTGAATTAATTTTGGAGTATTTTAATGAGAGGCAAGTCTCTCACCGTCAACTTACTTGATTTTTTTTTTTTTCCACTTTTATATTCATTGAAATCTAAATTAATACTGTATAATAATTAATAGTCTTTTCTTGTTTATGCGTATTCATATATAAATTTTTTCTCCTGGCACTTTTTTTATCTTTTATTTTTCAGTTTAGTTATTATTATTTTCAGTATCTCAATTATTTTAATTTAATTTAATTTAATTTCCCTTTATTTAATATGTTTTTCTAGTATATTGAACATCATTTCAGGATTAGAATTTCACTTTTATTTGTATTTTTTTTTTATATTTGTTTTGTTAAGAATATATAAATATGTAGTTGCTTTTCTAATAATATTATTAATCTTCATCCTTGTTTAAAGTAAAAATCTCAAAATATTCTTGACGACAATCAATAGCTATTTTTCTAACTTTTCTCTTTTTATCATCCAAAGATCTAACTAAATTCCTTATAATCCCCTCACTATATGGATATAACTCTCTAATTTCAATATTTTGGGTAAAGCCCTTCAAACACTTGATAGCAAAATATCTCACCTCTTCAGAATTATAGTTCACTTTGTTTTTTCCAGCTGATTTTTTGAATGGATCATCGGTGATACAATCAATTAATAATGAAACCAACACTGGCAAATGTTTCTTAATTAAATCCGGGCATTCTGAAATTGTTGAATCAATAGTCTTCAATGCTGCTACTTTTGCGTTTTTGTCATTCAATTTAATTGATTGCAATAATAAGGGAAAGATTTTATTTAAATGAATCCCAAAAATTGATGGCTCAACATATTTCAATATAAATGACAATGCAACCAAATAATTTATTTTTTCAAAATAACTCTCACCATTTATATTTGAATCAGAGGTTGGAATGCTTTCATAATTTTCAACAAGCTTTGGAATAATAAATTCAAACAACTTTTGTTTATACAATGATTTAATATTAATATTAAAAATTTTGCTCAGTCTTTTGGTTAAAAAAAGCTTTGGAGTTTCATTATTGGAATTTGAAATAAATTCATAGTTTTTAAATATAAAATCTTCATTCAACAAAATATCAAACAATTTACAACAAGGTAAGCTAATAAGTTTACACTTGCTAGATTTCTTTAACAATTCAATGAGATACCCAACATACTTAAGTGACGACGTATCATTTTTGATTAAAAGACCTTTTGTTATCCATGAATATAATTCCATTAGTTTTAATAACTTTAAAACATCCAAGTCATTTGGTTGTAGCTGATGTTTTGTTGAAATAATCTCAATTAATGTATTTATCTTTCCAGTTAATTCATCATATTTTAAATTAAAATAATCTTTAGATATTTCATTCATAGATGTTACTTTGAACCATTTATCAACTAAAAGTGAAATAGTTTTAAGATAGCCAAGTCGTTTATAAACTGACTTCTCAGGAACTTTTAAATAACAGGAAATTAAAAGATTCAGTATCTTTGTTAACGAAATATCATAATTTTTCTCATCTTCCAAATTTGGTATTTTAGTAGTTTTAAAATCAATTGAAGCTACCAAATTAGCAAAAATATTGATTGATTTTGAAGGTTTCTCAATCACATTAATTGCTTTAATGTTATCAATATTCATCATAAAAAAAATTGAAGGCCTTTGGTGTATAAAAATATTAAAGAAATCAATTAAAAGTGATTGATGATTAGTGATTTTACAATTCAAAATAATTAAAAAACTTATTCTGGAGCTCAATTCAATAAATTGATTGTTAGAAATATTTTTATAAGGTTTCAAAGTCAAAGTAATAAGCTTGGGTAAAAAAGAGTTTAAATAGGTATCCATCTTTATAAAAGTTCCAGTTTTTCTTTCATTTGCCAAAAAATTAGTTAGAGTATTATAAATGACATTAAGTAATAAAATAGCATAATTATAATTCTTTTTATTGTAATTAAGATTTTCATCATTGAGCAAGATAGAAATTCTGTTTAATAATCTTGTAAATAATAGATGTAGTAATTCATTGTTTTCGCTTGATAAAAGACTTAGAATTAATAGAATATCTTCCTTGGTTTTAAAATTAATTTTTCCCTTTATATTAATGCTTTGATCCGGAGTATCAGGCAATAAAGAAATTAAAAGTGGAAAAACAGTTTCAATAATTAACGAGGAGAGTCTGATATTATTAGAAATATAAACCAAAGAATTGATAATAGTTTTATAAACCTGTGAATCAGATTTGTATTGAGAAGTCAATAAAAGTTCAATAAAATATTGAACAAAACTCTTGTGTTCCTCTAAAGTTAAAAAGTCACTTAGAGACATTAATAAAGAGATTTTTTCTAAAGCTAAAGCTTTTAAAGATATTTCAATATCGGAAGATGATATCAATGCTTGTGATAATAATATGATTATATCATCTTTGAATTTAAATAACTCAATTGAGCCATCATTTATAATGGACAAATCGGAATCATTGAATAGAGTTTTATAGGAATTTAAAAAATAAGACAAATGACTTATAATTAATTTTTGTTTCACAACACTTAAGTTCTTATCAACTTGAGTAAATAATTGTGGTAAAGAATTTTTGATAATAAAATTAAAGGAAAATCGATCAACTTGAGCTAGTTCAGATAAAATTAAAAAAGACTGTTTAGATAATTTTTCATCAGGAGTTGTAATGTTTTTAGATAATTCGTTAAAAATGTGATTTAAAAAATTTAATTTAAATTCATCATTTTTGGAAAATTTCGATAAAATTGATTTAAAAAGATTTAAAATATTTAATATAGCATTTTTTTCATCTTGAGCTTCTTTTGTATATTTATCCAAGATATTCAAGTCATTGTATAGGATTTCGAATTTCAATGCATCCCAAATTTGAATCCAATTTTGATTAATAATTTCTATGGGGAATTTTTGGATTGATAGTTCTAAGACATTTAAAATATCTGATTTGACAACAGAAGAGGTGGTAGTTAATTTATCAAATAGATTTGGATACAAGTCATCAATTAAGATTGGGTTTGAGGTTAAAGAAGTCGATAATTGAAATTTTAGTTGATCTGAAGTGATTTTATAAGGATCATTCTTCGGGGTTTTGAAGGATATTGGAAAATAACAAAAAGTTACGTCAAATAGACTTTCCTTGAAGACATTTAAATTTTTGAAATTAAGAAGAATTAATTGAGAGATGTTAAAGGATAAAATAAGATTTCTTGGATCCTTTTCACCCGAGACCATACTAATGAAGGAATTGACAAATAAATCATTGAATCTAGAGATTGAGATAATTTTTTGTAAATATTTATCGAGAATAAGTTTTAAAATTTGAAAAGCTTGATAACGAATTGAAGCATTAAAATTTTTAGAGTTGTAGTTGTCATTAAAATTATTCAAGATTAATTCTGTGTTTGAAAAATTAAAGTTGTCCATTTTGATGAGAGAGTTTAGACTGATTAAGATGAATTTGAATGAGTTGATTTTTTCAAATTTTGATATGAAAAATTTTAACAAATGGTTGATTTCTGAAGGAGATAAAATTGAAGGATTTAAGGAAGACAAAGTGAGTAAGACAGAAGATAAGCAATTGATTGATTTCAATGCAATCAAATCCTGCTCGTTAGTTAAGTAGTCACCTAGATTTTGGACCAAGAATAATAATGATAGTTTTTTTGTTGCTAAAAGATTTGATAAATTTGAGATTGAGTCAATTGCAACTTGATCAGTATCTACATCATCGGATATCATGTAGTTATTGACAAGAAGCATTAAGTTTTTTGTACTGTAACTGGACATTATTGGTAATGGAATAAATTATGACAAAGAAATTTTATTAAAAGAATATAAGATGGATAACAAGTGGAAATTGATTGTCATTGAAAGATGAATAAAATAATAAAATAGTAGAAAAATAAAATCATAAAATATTAATTAAAGTCATCAAATAAAATTTACAAAAAGCTTACCCTAACCAGATGATATTAGCTAATAGAAACAATAATACTCATGATATTACATAATATGAATGTACAATGGTTATGCGGATGTAAACGGACTAGTATTGATATATACCCATATTGATGGATATGACAGAATATGCACAGAAATAACAACTTTCTGCATATTATTACAGTAAAATTATTTCATTGTATTTTGACCAAAATAAAGTGGTTGAAGGGCAGTAATTTAATATCAGCACTAAAGTAGGTGTCAAAAAAATAAATTAACCAAAAACCAGGTGAAGGATTCGCTTGCAAGTGCCATCAGAGAAATAAGGGGATATAAGTGAGATAGTTCCTCACTTGGTGTAGGATATATCAAGTATAGGGTTCAAAAGAAAGTGGCAGTTAGTAGCGGTTTGATCCTATGTATTATAACATAAAAAAGTACAAGTATATATAAGTGGATTATATTTGGAATAGCGGGGCTTGTAACGTGCAGAGGAAATTAATTGGAGAGTAGATTTGATTTTTCTGATTCTAGGGATTTAATTTTTTCTTTAATTTTAAGGATTTGGTCTTGAACTGTTTTGGTGGCGTTTTGTAGTCTAAAGATTTCTTCGTTTTCCAATTCTTCACTGTAGAGATATTTGTAGTCAGATTTGTTTTTGTGTAGGATTGAGCCCGGTTGGTTGACTAGGATTTTGAAAAAGGATTCATTTGGTTCATTGAAGATGATTTCGTCGTAGTTGACGGAGACGATTTCACTTGGATTTGATTTGTTTATGAATGATTTGTTGTTTATTAGAGAGTTTAGATTTGAGTTGTCGTAAGGGTGTAGGATTAGATGGTGGTATAGGGTTAAGTATTTTTCGTTTGAGTCTTGGATAAAGAAGATTTTGATGATAATTTCAAATTCACCCCAGCCTGTTTCAGTTATTTGAAAGGGAGGAGATTCGATTGTTCTTAGGGAGTTTGGGATGGTTTCGTGTAGTTTGAACTGGACTTTTTTGATTAGATTGCTTAGAGGATTTAGATTTTTTGTTGGATCAGATACAAAGACAGTCCATTGATGTGTGTGGTTTTCGGGAACGTTTGGAGGTTTTTTAGTATCTAGGCTTGTGAAGGGGATGGCTGTGTTGCCATATAATATAGGACGAGAGATTGAGATATTTTTAATTCTTTTTGAAGTCACTGAAGGCATGATATGAGAATAAAATTTGATAAGCAAGTGTAAAATGGAAATGAAAAATGGAGAATGGAAAATAGATAAGTAGATGGAAAATAAGAAACAGGTTTAAAAATCCCAAAAGGAAATGCAGTGAGTTTGAAAAAGGAAGATGTGCACGTGATGAAGATGAAAAATACCTTATCTTTTACAGCGCCTAGATGCCGAATTTTAATTAAATTGTTTTAAATTATTTTTTTTTGATCGTTTCATCTCTAGCTTTTGATTATCTGAAAAACTTAAATAATTAGCTGGGATAATTATTTAGATTTAGATTTTACACTATTGAATCTTGGGCAATATTTCAAATGAGGATGATGAATACAGTTTGGATCTACAAGAGCGAGAGCAAAGATGGTCAGGTTTTAAAATGACACTTTTCAGCATTGAACATATATTAAAAATAAGATATGTTAGTAATCATTTTAATGTGGATTTGATTTTGATTTTGATTAATTTTGATTAATTGATTTATTTTGATTGATTTTGATTAATTTTGATATTCATTTTTATTTTTACTTTCATTTTTATTTCTATTTTTATTTTCATTTTGATTGTAATTTTGAAGGATTTTTTTTCTTTTCTTTTCTTTAGAAGTTTTTGTTTTTTTTTGATATAAAAAATTATAAATATAAAAATTAAAATAAATGATAAATAAAATATCAAAATGCAAGTTTTTTAAGATTTATTGATTGAAATTAAGAGGAATATTGGATTAAATATTATAAATCAAGCATTTGAGGGAACTTATAATAATAAAGCAACACCGGCAGCAGCGACAGCACCTAATAAACCAACGTGGATGTTAGAGGCACCAGAGTCTTGCGAAGAAGAACCGTTGGTGATGTTGGATGTATTTAAAGCATTGACAGAAGCAATGGCGGCTAAAGAAGCGACGATGATTTGTTTGAATTGCATTTTTGGCAGATAGATATTTAAAATTTGATTAGAAAAGATAATAGATATAATTTAATATAGAGGCGAGAAGAAATAGTTGTTTAAAATAAACAAGAGATTGGGGGGAAACGAGTAGAGTAAGTAAAAATTAACAAGCGAGTGGACTGAACTAACTGAGTTGAAGAGAGAAAAGGAAAAGAAGAAAGGAAAGAGAAAAAAATTGGAGCGCTGTGGAAGGAGATATGAAGGATTTATATATGGAGGGAGAGGCCAAACAAAGTTGGATACAGCCCAAAAGATAGCAGCCCAGTGCACCCGCACGAAGCGGGAGACGCGGTAGGCGAGAAAAGCGGGCGAGCGCAGAGGGGACAAGAGGCCCTGTGGGAGCGGGACAGGGGGACGCTGCGAGCTGCCGGCATTGCCCAACGGAGGCAGATCGCGCGAGCAGGAATGACAGAAGAATGGGCGGTATGAGAGCGAAGAATAAAAGGGAATATATATGGGTGGAGGAAGAGCACACGAGCCTAGGATATAACCTGCTGGAGGGTTGCAGCAGCAAGATAGGCTAGACAGTCGAGAAGAGCGTCCACAAGGTGGTCTGCGCAGAGCTGGTTGGGCATGGGGCTCTTGGTACGAGCTCTGGTCGCACGAGAGGCATCCACCACTGCGATGTCTGCTAGCCTTAAGCCATCTTTGCCAAACAAAAACACTCTATTTTGGGGATAAACGCCACCACCCAAAGGGTCTAGAATGTTGAAGAACTTGGAGAACTGGCTTGCTGTGTCGTCGAGCACTGGAAACTTGAGGCACGAGTACTCGCTGAGAGAAATGTTAGATGTTACGCCTATGGTTCGCAAGTGTGGATATCTTTCGCCAAACCTCTCGTAATTGCTGTTGATTTCAAACAAGTGCTGGTTGTTGAAGGGACCGAAGAACACTATTAGTAATGGATTATTAACCACCGAATAACTGAATATTTCACTTCGCAAATCCACCTTGTCTATTGACTTATCTGCCAAAACACTAAATTTAAACCCGTCCTGCCTTTGCTTGAGATGATTGTACAACGAGATTAGATACGTCTTGTCCTCTTTCAATTCTTCCTGGCGGATTAAACTTGGCTTATGAACAAATTGGTTGTTTTTGCTTCTTTTGCTATCTTCAAACGTATAACTGGATGTCTCAAGGTCATTGTCTATCAAAACGTAGTTTTCCAACAGCATTGCAGCAGCAGAAGACGACTTGATGAGGGTTTTGTAATCCATATTAACATATTGGGCATCTCTGTCATTGCAAGAACTCTGGGACGTGGATATTGTTTGGAAGGATCTTTTTCTATTGACTGATGATTGCATCTTTTCTGGTTTTATTTTCTGTTGTATAGCGTAAGATAGGATAGTATAGGATAGTATAGGATAGTATATGATATAATAGAATAGTATAGTATAGTACAGGATAGAGTGAAATGCTACTGATCTTAGCTCTACAACTTTACATCTTCCTCCTTCTCATCTTCGATCACAATACACAGCAAATTCTAAAACTTTTCACAAAAGGCCCATCCCCAAAGGGTAAAACATAAACACACACACAAGAGACCACTGCTCTGGGTCATCGGCGCTGTCTCTCCGAAGACACCCCTTTGCTAACGCAACAAACAGCAGATTCACCATTCTCTGCCCGAGAAGTTCCCCGCATAAAACAAACATGTAGCAGCCGGCGCAACTCGGCATGCAGCCGTTTTCGGTTTTTAGCAATTTTTTCACTGGAGCGAAACGGCACGAAACGAGTCGAGAAGAGCTGCGATGCTCTTTCTCTTATTCTGCCTCCTCTGAGACACTTTCTTCTCCTGCCTCTGCTGCCTCTGCTTCTTCCCAGTGAACAACTGCTCACGCTGCGACACTGCTTCCACGTCAGTGCTCTTTTTTCTTCGACGGCTCTTTGCTTTCTCCACTCTTCTTCCCACCACTCCTGCTTCTCCGGATCTTCTGCTGCTTCCCCAGTATCCTCCCAAATCTTTTGATTCCATAAAAACCTCTTTCATCGAATAATATCTGTCCTATTATTCAGCCCACTTGCATCTTGATCCACAAAATACCTTTCATAAACCCCTGCTATATCCCCAATACCAAGCCTTCATCTTCATCTCCATCTTCACCACTTTTCCACACACCTATATTTATTCTTGATTTCTCAAAATGCGTAAATGCAAAATCTTTGTTGGTAACTCTCATCCAGAACTAGGCCAACTCATCTGCCAAAGACTAGGCACCCAACCTGCTTCATGTACCCTTAAAAAGTTTTCTAATGGCGAAACTTCTGTTCAAATTGGTGTTTCGGTTCGTGATGAAGACGTCTATATCATCCAATCCGGCTCAAATCAAATTAATGACCATATAATGGAACTACTAATCCTTATCAACGCCTGCAAAGGTGGCTCTGCCAACAAAATCACTGCTGTTATTCCTCAGTTTCCCTATGCAAAACAATCAAAAATGAAAAAACATCGAGGTGCAATAACTGCAAGAATGTTCGCCAATCTTCTCATCATGGCCGGTGCTGACCATGTTGTCTCCATGGATTTACATGCTGGCCAAATGCAAGGCTTTTTCTCAAAACCTGTTGATAACCTCTATGGTGCTCCAACTTTAGCTAGATGGATAAAACAAAACATCGACGACTTCCAAAATGCTGTCGTTGTATCCAAAAACCCAGGTGGCACCAAAAGAGTCACTGCCTTAGCTGATAGCTTGAAAATTAGATTTGCAATGATTCACACAGACAGAAGAAGATCCCAAGATATCTACTTGCAAAAACAAAAACAATTGGAATTGAAAAAAAAAAAATTGCTAGAGAAAAAAAGAAGACAATCTTCCGTCAAAAAACAAAACAAACCTGACCTATCGAACTTCTCCAATATCGCCATCGAGGAAATCGATGGTGACCAACAAGAATACGATAACATAATCCTAACAAACGAACTACAAACCGCTAGAGTCATCCAAGGCCATGTCGTCGACGATGATTATCCATCCATCGAAAACTCAGACACAGAATCAAACTACACCTCAATCTCCCAACCTTCTTCCTTACTATTGGATCAAAACAACCAAGGTAGCTATGCTCTTGGTGGTACCGTTGATGCTTCTATGAACTCAGATGACGATGATGATGAAGCTATAAACATCAAACAAGAAAAACTAATTACTCTTGTCGGCGATGTATCCAATAGAGTAGCAATCCTACTAGACGACATGATCGATAAGCCAACTTCCTTTATCGCTGCTGCTGAACATCTTAGAATGAATTGTGGTGCTAAAAAATGTTACGTTGTAGCAACTCACGGAATTTTTTTGGATGATTGCCTACCAAAATTGGAAAGTTGTAAATACATCGATAGAGTCGTTGTTACAAATACTTATCCAATTTCTTTAGAACAAAGAGCTAAAAACAAAAAACTCACTGTTATTGATGTTAGTGCCATCTTTGCTGAATGTATTAGAAGAGACCATTATGGTGAAAGTATTAGTGTTTTATTTGACAGTTTAGTTGCTTTATAATACACTCCTACTTTTTTTCTCTCTCTTTAAACTTTAATTTTAATTTTAATTTTCTAAAACTTTTTTACGCTTATTGTCTGTTTTTTCTATTCATTTTCTTAAAAATATCATCCAGTTTTCCTTCAATTTTCCCTAAATTTTTTTGTTTTTTATTTTTTTTATTTTTTTATTTTTTTTCTCAATTTTGATTATAAATAATGTTGTTTAAACTTATAAAGAAATTTATTTGATATATCTATATTCTTTTTTTTTTAACTTAGATAATTTCATGTATTGCAAAATCTGAAAATGAATTTCCCCATCCACCAATTCTATTCATTTGATTTTTTCTATATGCTATTATATTACAATCACTGAAATATTCACTTTCAATATCATTAATTTTCTTCTCCAATACTATTTTCTCTTCAATTTGATTAAATTCCGGGTTTTCATTCTTACTCTTATTTTTATTTTTATTTCTATTTCGGTTTTTCTTTTTTATTGCTTTTTTTCTATTCTCAACTACTGTGAATCCATCATCTTCTTTTCTATCATCTTCTTTATTATTTCCAGTATTAAAATTTTCTTTTGGCTTTTTCTCTTTGTTTAATAGATTTTTTTCAACCAAGTTACATATTTGGCAGAATTTAGGATACTTTTCAAAATACAACTTCCTCGAAATCATTTTCTCCGAATGAACAATAAATGAATTTCCTATCACTAATTTAGGCTCGCTTTTTATAATCATTTCTTCTATAACATTTATAGGACAATGAGGTAAATAATATATTCCTTTCATCTCTATAATCTTATTCTCATCTCTATTCCCATTGTCACTTTTAATAAATGGATCCTCAACATGTATTTTAAATCCTAATTTATTGGTCAAAAAATTCTCATCTAATTCAGTAAAAACAGGATCATATAATGAAATATTTTCGCTCTTAATATTAAACCTTTCCTTTATCAAAATCAATAATCCTAGTTGATACAAAATCACATCGCAATTAATAGAAACAGATCCCAATGCTAAACATCTAATAAAATCAATTTTCAATATTTTAAAACTATCAAAACTTTCCATAACTTCTTTAATAAAATTTGAAGTTTTCAAATATTTCACTTTTTCGTCCAACTTTTCACTTAAATTTATTACATTTTCTTGATTATTCTTGCAATAATCATTATATTTCTTAAATTTGAATGATTTTCTATTTTTTTTCTTATTTACTTGAATGAAGTTATCATCCATAGAATCATTGCTGGCCATTTTTAAGTTGACTGATAATTATCAAAAAAGCGATGAAAAAAACAATACACAATGTGAATTATTTTTGAAAATCAAAAAATTTTAAACCGAAAGGTGTTTCTTCAAACCAAGATAAACCCTTCTTATCAAAATTATATTACATTCAAAAACTGATGAATTATAAAACAAAAAAACTATGGATTCGAAATCTCATGCCTGACTTTTATCAAAGAATAATAATATACTGGCATAAACTAAATAATACGAAAAAGAGAAAAACAATCCAATGTAAATGAATAATTTAAAACAATAAAATAATTTAAATACAAAAACAAAAAACAAAACAAAAAACAAAAAGAAAAAAGAAAAAAAAAAGAAAACTAAATATTTTGAAATTTTTGTGAAGAAAGAAATTATGAAAATGAAATATGATCAAAAAATTGAAAAAATAGGTATGAAAAGAGATGAACTAAAAATCAATGATAATATTTTCCATGATAATAGATAAAAGAAAGCTTTATTGGGCCTATGCTTCATAGTAAAATTCACTTGTGAGGTTATTAAGTAGATCATAATTGTAAATATCTTTTTTATCTTCCAGAGGAGCATCAAAAGAATTTATGATTGCATTTTTTTGCAACAATTTATCTGCATAGAGAGATATACTATTGTTTATTTCGGTTTCATTGACCTTTAAATCCTTGAAAATCGAAGAATCTGTGACTTTTAAGTTAGCTAGTTGTGTGGTCTTTCTTGAATCAAATAAAACTTTGATATGTCGTAGAGTTTCGCTTGATAACTTCAACCTTTCACAATCTTTATCAACTAGTAATTTCAAGCCGTCGATAATAATCATCGTTGACTCTTTAGAGGTTGTATAAAACTGAAGTAAGACCTTTTTATTTTTATTTAATAATTCAACTTTTGTCAAAATATGACGGTTTGGAATAGTAACAAAATTTCTACTATTTTTTAGTAAGGGATTTCCAGTATAATCATTAGAATCGTACAATTTTAAAATGTCTGATTTGACATCAGCAATTTGATCTAAAAATAATATTTGGTCTTTATCTTTATTTAATTCTGGAAATCTAGATGTCTGTCTTTTAAACATTTTATAAATAAGGTAGTTCTTATTAGGAGCTAACATAATATAATATTTTTTAGGAAAATTCGTGTAATATTTTTCAAATACCCCTGGATTATCTTTGAGAACCCAATGACCTTTAAACATTTGTAGGATTCTTTGTTCTCTTATAAATCTCAAGATTTGAATATTTAGTTGTTTATCAAACATTGTGGTCTCTGATTCCCAAGTATTATAATGTAATTGTTTAATTTTATTTAATTGAATTTTTCTAATGGTTTCATAGTTAAATCTTGATAAAATTTGAATTATTCTTTTAATTTGAATTTTTCTTCTGGACACTGGGCTATAGTTTAACGCTGAATCTCTAATAGAGTGTGATCTTGATAATATGGAATCAATTTCTTTGAAACCTAATACTAATAATTCTAGTATTTTATCAATATCGTCATTACAAGCATTTGAACTTTCCCAGTAATTGAATGCATTAACAATGGATATTTGGAAGAATTCGTCCCAATATTTTGAGTAGTTTTTTAAGTTTTTAAAAGATTGCAAAGTATCTAAAGTATTAAAAAAATTAAAAGTTGAAAGATTATTTTCATTTTTATTTTTATTATTTTTATTATTTTTATTATTTTTATTATCATTTTTATTATCATTTTTATTATCATTTTTATTATCATTTTTATTATCATTTTTATTATTATTATTAACAGTGGCATTAGTATGGAAAACATAATTATTTAAAAGTAGAGATAAGTCTAAAGCAAATCTACAAATGGGGAAAAAATGTTTATCTAACTTGTCACTTGCAAAAATTAAATGTTGAGAGAATAATTTTTTGAAATTATCATTAGGGTTATTTAAAAACAAAATAGCATTAATTAGTTGGAGAAAAGAATAATTTTGTGATAAAAAGTCAATTGGATTTGAGGTAAAGCCAGAATTTAGATAGGTTTCGGAGTCCAGGAGTAACTTTTGATTTGGTTTGAATAAATTTGAAAGAGATGAATTATCTTTCGAGTTATTTTCGTTAGCATTGTTATTATTAGTATTACCATTATTACCATTATTTGAAGAGTTTGATATATAGTAGTTGCTTGAAAGATTTTTAATTTTAAAAGAATAAGATTTGATTAAATTTAACAAAGAGTTTATATAATGAGAATGTAATTTAATTTGGGGATTAATTTTGAGATTATTTAACAAATTGATTATTGAATTAAAAGTGTCATGAAATTGATCTATTAGTTCTAAAATCGCAGGATCGAAGATGGATTTGTAAAAGTAGTTTAATTTTTTGGAATCATTATCTAAATTTTTCAAGTCGTTATTGGTGATATCGGAAAACTGGTTATAGTTATAAGAGTTGATGTTATTAAATTGATTGAGAGTATCATTTGAGTTGTGATGAATTAAAACGGTGTTGTTAGGGTTTGTGATTTTAGGGCTATTTACTTTAGGGCTCGGGCTATTATCAGGACTGTTAATTTTGATTGTGATATTATTTAAAGAGGAAAAGTAATAATTTTTGATTGAATTTAAAGAGGATAATAGATTGTTTTCTTTAATTTTTTGATAGAGAAATACAGATACAATGGGGAAGTTTTTGAAAGATTTTTGAAAGATTAATATGATAAAGTTGATTGATTCCTTTATAAAGTCGTTGTCATTGGAGGATATCAAATTAATTGAGATGAATCTTATAAAGGAATAATTGTTTATGATTGAATCAAATAAATTTGAATCAAATAGGTTTTGTTCGTTATTGATTGAAATTGAGTTCAGGTCATTATTGTTATTACTACTATTATTATTACTAATAACATGACTAATGCTATTATTGATGTTATTAATGTTATTAATGTTATTGGTAATATTATTATTAGATTGATTATTGTTATTGTTATTGTTATTGTTATTGTTATTGTTATTGTTATTGTTATTGTTATTGTTATTGTTATTGTTATGACTATTATTTTGATAATAATTATAATTATAATATAAATTTGAGTTTGATATGGAGTTTGAGATTGAATTCGAAGATATAGAAGGCAAATAATTTGATTTATCAGTTGGAGAATTATAGTTATCAATTAATGAATCGTAATTTTCTAGGGAGTAATCGTCATCGTTTATGAAAGAATTGTTGATCAAGTCATTGTTAATGAAATCAGTATTATCATTTTCGACACAGGATAAGTTTAAGACTAGCGGGTTGTAAAGAGACGAGTCGTTATCGTCGTCGTTATCAATGTTGTCAATATTGATGGTGGCGTTTGTGGAATTGATAAGGTCTTTATTGATAATCTTTGTATTGTCAGCGTCAGTTTCTGGGTCTGGGCCGGTATCCGTATCTGTATCCGTATCTGTATCCGTATCGGCGTCAGTACCAGTGCCTGTATTGATGTCTGTATCTATGGTATTAAGATTGCGATTATTATTCTTATTTTTGGTACCGATATTTATGGAAATGTTGCTGTCTGCAGTATTGCTCTTTTTGTGGTTAATCTCACTGGGAAATAAAGAGCCATTTAGGAAAAAATTGAAGATTTTTATAATTGAAATGTACAATCTATAGGCAATTGAATTGATTGAGAATTTAACCGAGGAGATTTTGAATAACAAATTGGCTAGAAAGTGGAATAGGGTATTGAAAAATTGGTAATTGAATAAATTGACTAAATCGGAGGAAGAATTGATTAGTGGGAGAGATTTGGAGAGAATGAGTATGGAATTGAGCTGGTCGCTTGTGATTATATCGTTCAAGTTGTTCAAGATACTGGCATCGTTGGAGCCATTGGGGCTATTGGAGGAGTTTGGGTCATTGGAATTGGAGATGATATCTGAGGCTGGGTTGGAAAGGGTGTTGTTGGAGTCGAAAAAGGGGATGTCTGTGTTGATGATGGTGACCAACTGGTTGAGGATGATAAAGGAGGTTTTGGGATCCAACTGCTGGGCCACAAAGGTCTGGGAGGAAGCGTCAGAGAGCAAGTCACTAGAGACAGCAAGACCTAGGGGCTCGAGGGAATGGTGTCGGGAGAGGCTTCTGGTGCTGGTGGTGCTGGGGTCGAGCGAGCCGGCGTCGCGCACGTAATCTAGGCCTGCGTGATGGAAGCTGTGTCGGGGACCAGAGGCAGTGGAGAGGAAGGATTCGACGTACTTCTGGATCTTGCTCAAGTTGGCGGAGTAGAGCGACATGGCAGCACAGGCAGCACAGACACCACACGCACCACGAATCCTCACGCTAACAACAGCGTCTGCGCGCTCACGTGACAGCCGGGTAGCCCCGCGTCGGGAGCTACTTCGGCGTGCTGTCGGTGCTTCTCCTGCTTCTGCTGCTGCCGCTGCTTCTGCTGCTACTTCTGCGCCTGCTGCCTGTGCTGTCTATGCCGCCACCCTCACGCCCGTCCTTCCCTATGTGCTAACTGTCTAATGTACTCTGCTTGCTCTGCCTCCAGGTTGGTGCGCCCTGCTTCCAGCTTCCACTTTCCCTGCTTTTCCACCTCCTCTGCCTCCCACTCTTTCTTCAACCACAACCCTTTCTTCAGCGACCCTACCTACGATCTTCCTCCTCTCAAAGCTGCCACGCTTGCTGCTAAATCTGCAGAGTTGGCGGTCTCGGCCTCCAAAAAAATTGCTCGCGAGCAACAGATTAAAGATGAAATCAATTGTCTTGCTCGAAGGGCTATTCTCGAACGAAAACGTCTGATGGAAAATTCCGACAATTTCGATAATAGTGCTTCGTCAATAAAAAAAAGTTACTTCAAAGTCACAAACAAATACTACAAAAATCCTACCAGAATAGTCAGAAGAATCTCCGCAGAAGATGCTGAAAGACATGCTGAGCATGAAGCCAAAGTACGTGCCAGAATCTTCAAAATTTGTGCAGAACAAGTTAGAGCTAAATATGCTGCTATAGACAATCGAAAATATCTTTCTCTGAAAAAGTTCCTTAACAAATACAGTGGTCCTGTCCCTTTAAAGTATGCTCATTATAAACTCTTAATGAAGAAAAATATGTTTTCGGTTCCGGTTAAATCCATAATATCAAAGCTTCAGACTCAAAATCAGCTCTTGCGGCTTGAAGACTATTTGCACCTAATCTCGGTTTTGAATCAAAAGAAAAAATACCGGCTAATTGTTAATCTATATACCGCTTATTCAGCTTTTCCATACATTGCTCACAACATCGATGTCTTGTCTATATCCATTAAAGCCTTTTACAACGTTGAGGATTACGACTATATCTCAAACGTTTTATTCTCCTTGTACTCAAAATTAAATTTCGAAGATCTAGACTCAACTATCATCTACTATTGCTTAGATTCCTTTCTAATTCTAAGAAATCCAAACACTTTTATCACCTTTTATGCCGTCTTCTTAAAGTCAAACAACTCTTTCATTTCGGCTAAAACCAATAAACTTAAAAGAGATATCAATCTTTATATAAAAAAAAATAGGTCGAATTTTCCTCCTGACTTTTCTCCTCAAAACTCCATCAAAGATATATCTCAAAAGGTTTTCAAAGCTTACTCAAAATTATCAGTCCACAATAATTATGCTCTCATTTTTAAATTCTTGAAACTATCCCCAAATTTCAGACGTTTCTTTCGCTTAATTAACATTATGCAACCACTTAATAATCACTTCAGTCCCTCTACTTTTGCTCTACTTTATAACTATTTTCAAAATTATTCTCGCCTCAATGATAAAAACCAAGATTTTGAGTCGGCTGATATTCCCAATGACCTAGAATCAGAAAGGTTATCTAAATTATCTGAATTGAACGACATATTTTTAAATTTAATGCCCTCTCCAGTCGATCAAGCAATTTATAAAACTGAATTGCTAAAATTCAAACTCACTTCTTTTTTCAGAAATTCTCCAAAATTTAACCAATTAAGATATGATTTAACTCAAGATCAACTATCCACCTACAATAATAAAGAATATGATTTTTGGGAAAAAGTCCTCTCTATAAGAGCAAATATTTGGGAAAATTTCATGTCCACCGATGAATGGAAATTAATCCAAAAGAAAAATCAAAAAAAATTAGCCAATGTCTTTTCTCAAAATGCCAAAAATACTAAACAAAATAAAAATAAAAATAACAACAACAACAGCAGCAACAACAAAACCAATCAACACAATCAAAATGACAACAACAACAAGGTAATAATCCCAAGATATTCCCCCGTAGAATTAAACCACTTTTTAGCTGATATTCTATTATGTTTTGTTGATCGACTAGAATTCGAAAATATCCAAAGAATTCTAAATTTATTCAAAAAAGATCAAATCTACTTTTCTAAAAAATTCCTAGTTTACATATCCTATTATTTCAGAAACACCTCAAATTTTTCTGGTTATCTTACCTTTCTAAAAAATTCAACTAACATAAAAACAAACATAAACCCAAATTTAATACATCATCATCCCTTGACATTAACTTCGGATATTTTCGATTATTACTTTATGAAATCTAACGTTCCAAATTTCGATTTCGAGGTTCTTGTCGGTTTATACCAAGCTTTTATTAGATCTTATCCTACTTTAGCTTATCTAATCACTACTCGTTTGTTGGAATTCTTTGCAAGATTAAGAAGGAAAAATAAAAGCTTTATATCCTCTTACGAGATTAATAAATATGAAAGAAAATTAAGAAAACAAACTTTTACTCAAAGCAAAACTTCTCTATTTAAAAAGAAATCGGCCATTTATTATAACAACTCTCTTATACGTTCATTTAGAGAAACAAAATACAATGATGAACTAGATACAAGTTTTTTTGCTCCACCTCAGACAACTGCCTCAAGTCAAATTAAAACATTAAGGGCAACTGATTTACCTTCCTTTAAAAGATTGTTGCTTACCATGAAAGCCTTGCTTGCCATAAACAGATCCAAGTCTGCTTTTAAAGTGATCAAATTAATGAAAAAATTAAAATATCTTAATAATGAAAAAAATTTAGAACAACTTGATTTTGCATTGTTTCAAGAAAGTACTAACAGGGCGATTTTTGGTAAAATAATGACACTTAACCGGTTTAATACAGAAAGGGTAAACTGTCCAATTGATACAAGGTCAGCAATACAAAATCGAATGTACCAGACAGGAATCCGTTTAAATAGAAAGATGAAAGATTGGGAAAGAGAAGCAATTCGGTCAAGATATCGGACGTTTTTTAAGAAGATGCGTAGAAATTATATTGACTCAAAATTGGAAATTTTTAATATGAGGAGATTCAGATCAAGAATGTGTCTCATATTATCTCGAGAACGCAGGGTTCAGTCTAGTGCATCTTTAATAAAGAGAGTAGCGAGAGATGAATTTTGGGGCTTGCGAAAAAACTTTTATGGAAATCGTTACAGTGCAAAAGATGATGTTATAAATGAGCTTTATACTACTTTTGAAAGAAATTCAGCACATTTGGAATTTGTGGGTTATATTCGTTATGCCCGGTTATTTTTTTTTCATAATCAAATTGAAAAAGCTGAAGAGATTTTATTGGACTTATTGAAAAATAATGGTAATAAAAAAGGCAAATTTTTATTGAAAAGAACAGATATGTCAATGAATGAACAAGCAAATATTAATGCATATTATATTTTATTGATGAAAATCTTTATAAAAAAGCTTGAGTTTGAAAAATTAAGAAACCTATTTAAAGAAATTATAAAATTCAACAATCTAGATAATGAAGAGTTGTTTTATAATAAAAGGATTACTGAAGAAAATAAATATAATTTGTGCATCTCTACAGATTATACTTTTATAAAAGAAATTAAAAGAAATGTTTATAAGTTTTTTTTGGAAACTTTAAATGATATGTTAGTTCAAGAATATGGAAATAACAGAAGCATTCTCTCCATAATGCAAAAAATAAAAATTCCACTCTATGAAGATTTTTTGGAACAATTTGGACAACATAACCCACGAGTGATTGACCTGAATAGCATGCTTTATAGACAAGAGCAGTTTCACAGGTTCAAAAAGAAAGCAAAGGGAACCAGATTATTTTGTGAATTGGTGATTAGTGCTAGACTGAGAAGACTGACCATTGACTGTAGTTTCCAGTCAAGTGGGTTAAAAGACCATAGTTTCGATCCAAGTTTGTTAAAAGACTATGAAAAGCTTCAAAACTTACTCAAGGAGATTTCAATAACAATCAATTCATTCAAAGCATTTCTAAAGCTTCTTTTAGTCTGTTATGACTTTTCACGAAAAGAAGGCTTTTACTTGCTCAAGGATATGATGAACTTCCTTGATGAGTGGATTCTTGTCACAAAGGAAAATATTAGTCGAAAGAATAAAAGGATGGGTGCAAAAACACCAGTTGATGACAGATTCAGTGTTCCTAATTGTATTAATGTTCCAAAATAGAGACAGACATAGAGATAGACATAGAGATTGGTCGAGCAAAGCCTGTTCAATATTTTGTGCATCTTCCGACCAAATATAAAAGACAGCCTTGTAAATAACTTGTATATTACTTTCATTACATATCCATTTGTATATACGCTGATAATCACTTTCAATCAATTGTTTTGGTAATGGCCTCTTTTTCGAATGTTCTTAGTATTCCTATCAAGAAGTATTCCTACTCTGAAGACGAAACTCCTACGCCTTCAGGTTTGTTTGGCGCTTCGACAGCAAATTCAGCAAGTCCAGCAAACAGTGTGTTTGCCCACTACCCTTATCGCACTGATATCACTTTGGACTTTATTCCTTTAGTCGACTATGCAGCCATCAATAGCGAAAAGAACAACTCTCATTCAAAGGCACCTCAATTGAAGATCAAAGTTCTTTGGAAATCTGCTGTATTGGTTTGTTAACACTTTTGTGATTCAATTCAGTGCCGATTTTCTATCAGCGCTTAAATGAAAGTCTGTTTATAACTAACTAATTCAAATCAACTATGTACTACTTTACTTTTTTACAATGAATATTGCAGCAAGAGATCGATCTACAGCAGCTATATTTGAAATTTCAATGTTTTGCAAATAAATCCCAACCTCCAATTGTTGTCCTTGTTAAAAATTTGATTATTGGCTTTAAGTATCTTTCTTTTGACAAAAAATTTAACATCTTTACAAAAAAATTTCAAGTGGTGTTCAATTCAAAAGAAGATTATAAAAAAGCTGAATATTTACTAAAGGCAAACAATTTTTTTATTCATGATTTGAATGAAGAGCCCACAATTTTTAGTAAAGATAAAAATTTTGAGCCCAATTCTCAATCTCAATTTCAAATGAACCAAAATTATAATTATATCGATCAAACAAATACGCAATCAAATCAAAAAAACTTCAATCCAGTTAATAACAATGATATATCACACATAATTAATTTCAAAAACTCCAATGGTTATAATTTTCCAAATCAGTTATCTCCACAGATAAATGACAAAAAAACCATAAATCAAATCAGTATTAAATCTCATAATCAAAATCTCAAACAGTCCTTTAATTCTCAAAATCCTGAAATAAGTCTTCTCAATGATAATTTCTCGAGTACTATTCAAAATCACAAATCAAAATATTTCCAAAATTTCCAAAATTTAAATTCAAATTCAAATTCAAATTCAAATTCACCATTTGATAAACAATATCAAATTCAAGATGAACTTTCTTTTGCAAAATTACTCAAAGAAAAATTGGAGGATCCTGGTTTCAGAGAATTTTCTGAAAATGTTGAAAAAATGATTCTAAAGTTATGTATTAATATTGATAGAAATCAAAAGGAAACTTAAACCTAATTATCTCATCAATTAATTATTCATTTACTCGTTTATTTATTTTAGCTAATCAGTTAGCTATTTTTTCAATTTTTCTTATAAAATTTTGGTTTTTTTGGTTGTCTTTTAACGACACTTTTAAACAAATTATAACTCTTTCTTTAATAAACGGATTATATTCATCAATTATGCAATTTTCCAATAATATCTCTAAACCGTGCTCATTTCTTAGTGCTTCTTGGTTATCAAAATTATCAACAATTAACATTGTTATCAAGTCAACTATTAATGATTTTATCTGAGGAAAATTTTCATATTTAGTGATTTCATCATAGTTAAATTTTGGAATCTTTTCTTGAATTGAACTGATATTTTTTAAATTATTTTTAACTGAATTTATTTCCTCTAGACTAATCTTTGACTTTGGTTTGATATTCTTATGCAAAATTTGAAGAAATTTAATTAATTTATTGAAAATTTTATAGTTATTAACATATTTCACTGAGAAATCAAATGATACTAAAAGATTGGATAATTGTTGTAAAACCATTAATAATTTATGATATAATATCTTAATTTTAATATTATCATTTTTATCAAAATATCGAATGGTTTCATCTAAACAAGAACCAAATAAATCGGTTAAAAGTGTTAAAACGATGACTAAATCAAATTGAATTAGCGATCTATGAGAATAAGTCTCAATTATTATCTGGATCATCTCAAATAAAGCTAAAATATTTTTCTCATTTTCGGCTTTTTCTTGAGCACTCAAACCGTCCAAATTGCTTAAAACTTTTGAAAATCCCTCATGAATAATGATTTTTTTTAAGATTGACAATATAATCAAGTCTTCATCATTTTTCTCAGTAGTTAAATCAAAAAACTTTGATACCAAAACAAACAAAAAATTTAACAAGTGATTTGATTTTTTATAATTAAGTAAATATCCAACTATTTTGTTTATGTTCTCATCTTGTTTTGTTAATTTTGATGAGTTATCAGCAAAAAAGTTATTCAAATATATCAAAAATGGGGACAATATTTGAGGATTTTCAAAAATAAAACCATAATTCTCTGTTAGTTTAAATAAGTTTTTAATGATTAAAATATTTTTGTTTTCTTCTTTCTCATTTGATGAAACTCCTATTGCATCAATTGGATTACCAGAAATATTTGCCAATAATTGAAGCAGGGAAACTAAAAAATTTATCTGTACTTGATTGCTCAAATCAACTTCAATACAATTCAAGATAGAAAAAAGTTGGCTATGCACTATTAAATGCAAAGAAATTAAATCAATCACCTTTTTGGAAATAAAATCATCGTTGCAGATAGTAACCATTGAGTTTCGTATCAAGATTAGAACTCCTCTGAGGATCCTCAATTTGAGATTTATCACTTCAAAATCCTCTGTTTCTGCAGTTTTCTTGTTAATTTGATGGTTACCAGTATTTTGAAAATCATTTATTATATTTTTTTCAAGTATCAAAGTAAATATCTTCCATGTCTTGGATGATTTAAATAATGTTTCTTTTTTGGTCGTCGTTAAGCCTTTCAATAAACTGGAAAGATCTCTCAAACACAACTTCAAATCCAACACATCGCTAGAAGACAATGCTGACTCTACAGCAGATAAAACCGATATCTCTTGTGCTACTGACATTTCAGTTGATAGTTATTTGGATGGTCCTTTGGTCAACTGAAAAAAATCCGAATTTTTTGTATATTCGGGGTACTTCCGAATACAGTAAGATCCGAGCTGTGATTACCCGACCCATGCTTTTAGCAGCTCATAAATTGCACGTGATAAATGTACAATGCCGCACATAAACCATGATTAATGCATAAAAATGCTGGTAACTATTTTAAGCTTTGATTTTTTGCTTAAAAGCGGATGCTGATCCGTTCCGTGATAGTAAGTACGGTCAAAAAGAAAAAGAAAGCGAATAGTCGATTGTTTTTTCTAACGGTATTTCTAATATACAATGCATTGAGTGTTCTAAAAAACTATCTAACTCTTAGAATAATAAAGTATTTTAATAAGTGATCTTTATATGGTGGTATCTTTTGTGCTGTTGTTGGATAATAATAAAAAAATAAAGCAAATGCTTTTTTAACATGATAATTCAAGATCAATTAAAAAGAACAGGAGACTGGGAATAGGCCTAAACTCATTTAAATGATCAATATGAGGAAAAAAGTTATGAACAAAGAAAAAAAGGAGAAGTGAAAATAAGAAAAAAATAAAAAATGATCAGTCAAAAATAATTCAAAAAAATTTAAGTGATTAGCAAATTAAAGCGAATTCATAATACCTGCTGCATAAGCTAAGGACCAAGTTCTGCTTTCTCCATCATCAAGATAATTATCTGTGAATTCGTCAGAAGAAAAAAATTGATAGCTTGCGGTTGGGTCAAATAGCGCTTGATTCATTTTCAATATTCCTTTCCAGCCTGTACTTATTGAGTCTGCAACATTGCCAATGCCCGAATTCCATTCTTCTGATACAAAAGCAGGACTTCGAATTAATGATGAAACTGGTGTTATGGGCAACATATGAATACCGTGAATGTATTCTCTATTAGTTCCAAAATAAGTTGTGTGATCAACTTTATTGTCAAAAAGAATACCTGACACTTTATTGCCAATGAAGTTAGATGGTTCAACATAGTTATCACTTGTATAAAGCATATACATGTTCATTGATCTCTTCATGATTTGAAGCATCAAATCTCCTCTATATTGCATTGAGTGATCTCCGATAACCTGGCCCCATAATTTCATACCATAAGCAAAATTATAATCTTCCGAACTACTTTCTTGATTTTTACCATCAGTTGCTTCAAACAATCCTGAGGCCCATGAATGACCAGAAAACCAATCAAACATTCTAAATTTTGGGAAATAAGTATCATCCCAACTAGGATTTGCTACATCTCTAATCAAAGCATTGACCCAGTCTTTGTTTTCTTGAACCCATGTTCCATCACCAATAGCATTATCGACATATCCGATAACAGCTGCTGCATGAATATAGTAACCATAATGGAAATGGTGGTCATTATAAAAGGCTCCTCCAAAGTCAGTAGATGAATCTCCGTCTTGAGATGAAGTTGAGGTGACACCCTTCCAGAGTGTATCATACATCAATGGATAAAATTGACTATTATCTAAGAATACTTGGAAAACTGCTTTAAGTTGGTTTAAAGTTGAAAGAGTGAATTCGTTATCACCAATGATATCTTTAGCGACCAATAAGATGTAAGCATATTTATCAACATATTTGCCAGCAAAATATGTACTGAGATGGGCAACTGATTCAGTGATATCCCAGGCCATTTCATTGTTGGCAATTTCTGCTATTAGAGATATTTGCTCTGAATAATACGAAACTTCTTCACCAGTTGACATTAATCGAGACCAGGGAAGAAAACCGATATCTATGCTTTCTAAATATTCTTGCATTTCCAATACATCTGTTAGATAAGCGTACATAAGACCTTTAACGGTTGACATTAATGAGATGCCTGTTTCAGTTGAAGAAGTCATTTGTGTGAATGCTTCATAATGGTGAGGAAATGCGAATACCATGGGTAAATTTGAGATACTGTTTCCTTCTGTTTGATAGGTGAATCTATAGGTTCCATAAGAATTTGCATAATCTGCAGATACTTCACAATCGGAGATGTAGGTTCCAGCTGATTGATCATAAAAAGAGTCGTAGTCATTTGAAGAAGTTGATGGGGCCTTTGCTATTTGAATGACCAAGCCGTCAACAGCATACGGTGACCTTATGGCTTCATATGTTTCATCATAACTAAGCTCGAAATATGGATAGTTTGATATTGAAGAAGGAAAAGTAAGATAAATAAACCAAGAATAAGAATTGTATAGGGTTGCTCTATATTTTAGAATGTTTAAATCACTTAAAATAGTTGAAGGTTCTTGGAGTATAGTTTGGAAGCCAATTTGGGATTTAATAAAGGGGATATAATTACCATGATAGATTGCAGTTATGAAGCCTTGACCTTGTGCTAAAGGAATATCGATATAATTAGAAGAATCAGCAGAGGTGGATAATGATAGCATGAGAGACATATCTTTTATATTTGATAATTTTTTAATTATGTTTCCATTTTCAAAGGCATCAGCGGTTAAAACAATTGAAGCGATTTTAGCAGGATTGATATAATAGGAGGCAGCATTGTTGATGTTAATTGGGCCATAAGTGATTTGGTCTCTTTCAATATGAGATATTGACCAGCCATAGAAGTTTTGAAAAGTATTTTCTAACCAAAGTCCATAGGGATGAGTCCAAACCATATGGTTACCTTCACCGATAATTAGATTTGTGTAAAATTTATTTGTTCCAATTGGGATATCAGCATTATCGATGTTTTCATTTGGATAAATTGGCAATTGTTGTCTTGGAAAAATAGAAGGAGGATCAGAAGTGTCAATAACTTGAAATAAGTCGCCAGACCAATTTTTGTCAGTGTCTAGGACAGTAGAAGTTGGAACGATTGATTGTGATATTGAGGTAGAGGTGACTAAAGTTGTTGTTGTTATAGTTGATTGTGATGTTGAAGTTGAAGTGGATAGAGTGGTTGAGATGATTACTGATTCCGAAGTGGACGTCGTTGTTGATTCGGAAAGAGATTGGTTTGAGGAGACAGTTGAGGTTGAAGTTGAAGCGGATTCTGAAGTTGAGGTTGAAGTTGATATAATCAGGGATACAGATTCTGATTCTGAAGATGTGGTTGAAGTTGTTAAAACAATGGAGGTGACCAAGATTTCAGAGGATATTGTTGTCTCTACTACTGCGTTGGTTGAAGTTGTAACAGTTATGTTTGTTGATAAAGTTTGAGTTGAGATGGAGACGGATAAATCTGAAGAAGAGCCAGTAGCAGTGAATAATGGATCGGTTGAGTCAGTTGTGATAGTTGAAAAAATTGAACCAGTACAAGTTGAAGTAGCTGGACCAGTTGCACTATATAAAATCTTTGTTGAATTGGTGGATAGTGTTGAATCGGATAGGTTTGGAATAATAGACTGAGAAGAGTTGTAGGGTTGATGGGATTGAGTTAAGGTTTGGGATGATTGAGTTAAAGTTTGGAAGAATTGCGGGCTTGAGTGGTAAGATTTTGTAGTATGAGTATTGGTTTGATTGGTATTATGTTGAGTGGATTGATAAGACTTTGAGGAAGGTTGGATGATTTCAATGGGTCTTTCAGTTAGTTTAGTACATCTAGAACAGTTTTCGGTGGTTGTTTTAGCTGTTCGGGTAGATCTTGAACGTAAAGAGGCAAGATCAGAGGGATTTATTTGGATTGGGTTATAAGCATTATTGGAGTCATGATAATAATCATAATAGCCGTTTTGATTTGGATATAAAGAGGAATTTGATTGGGGAATATCGATAATTATAGGGTTATAACTTGGGTCATCAATGATGATTTTGGAGTAAGATGGGGATAGAACTGAAGTGATTTGAGATGCTGATTGAGTGGGTAAGGATGAATAGGTTGAAGTGACAATATAGGAACAGGATTGCGTGAGACCATTATCATTGAGCGAACAGGATGTTATGGTGATATAGTCTGTGGTAACATCAACAGTGGTGGTGACGACAAGTATTAGAGGATCTGGTGAGGAATGAGCCAATTGAAACCAGAACTGAAGGAGTATGAAGAGGAAGCAAACAATATTCATAATTAGATGCTATGATCGAGATTTAGCAGGGAATTAAGAAAAAAAAGAAAGGAAAGAGAAGAGAGGGTGAATTGAAAAACAAAAGTTTGAAAAAAGATTGAGATTAAGAGAAGTGAAAAGTGGGCAAACTCGATGGGAGATCTTTGTTGAGCTCAATTGTGTTGTTTTGAATAATAGAGTGATGATTTTGTTGGTGGTAACTAATGAAGTTGAACAGAGATTCAAAGACAGCAGTCGAACTGAAATGGATCCGAACAGGGCTCTTTGAGAAGTAAACGAGAGTTGGAGGGAAGGAAAAAGAGAGGGAAGAGAGGAAAAAGAGGAAAAAGAGGAAAGAGCTGAGGCAGATGAAAAAGATGAAAAAGAGAAAGAATTGAAAAAAAAGAGAAAAGGAAGCAGAAGAAGGAAGGGCATCGCTATTTATATTGGCGCTTAACAGTCGTTGCGGAGAAACGCACCGAACGAGCGCCCGGCCTCAACGCGCCGCAGAGCCTGGATTGCGGGTCTAGGCTTTTCGGCTGCGCGGTTTCGGCGCGCTGTTTCCCTGCGGCACGCACACCACAGCTGGGAACTTTGTTTCCACTGCGAAGCACTGCAGATGAGGTGAGAACCCTACCGTAGAAAGCTTTCCTGGCGCGTTTAGTTAGCGTCGGTTTTGCTACTCGCACTTCACTTTAGTCCAGATCCGGTAACATCACCACATTAGTCATTTGATGGCCTCGGTGGTGTGTGTGGCTATTTCTTTTTCGGTCGAGTATAACCGTTTCCTGGCCGCCAATGTCTTTGCCCTTAGTTTCAGCCCAGATTGCAGAATTGCTGCTTTTAACCATGTTGCAAACCATTCCAGTGAGTCCCAGCTTCTGCTTGAGAGAACCATCTCAATCGACCTGATTGATGGTTAGCTGATGAGATATTAACCTACTAATGCGGTTGCTATTAACTTACCGTTCAGGTAATACTAATTGGATTTGAAAACAACATCTGCATTAGATTCGTTTTACCAAATAAACTTAGCGCACAGAATTAAAAGACACAATTTTAAAATACTTCAAACGGTAACTTGCGTGGTTGTCTTTGTAGGAGTTATAACCTTTCTGAAGGTAATACCGTTGCAAATCTGGAATAATGCCAGTTGCCGGAGACTGCAAGTGCTCAGCCTCTCTGATTTGACGCAAGCTGTAGTGAAATGCAAAGTGTATACAAACGCCCGTGGTACGCGTGCCGGGCTCTTACACTCGGCAATCCACCGGCGAACGTGCTGTAGAATAATAACAAAATGTATCTCAGAACCCAGTCCCAAACCCGACACAAAACAATAGCTGCTAATAATAAACCCGAAAGAAATCTCTTGTGAATCCCTGCATAGCTGGATTAGGAGTCATCTCTTTCTCAATAAATCAGGAAGTTCGGATGTTTGATGTTGCAATTTATCATACACTGCTTGAGAAATGAAATTTATTGTTTATACAAAAGTAATCAAAACAAAATAAAATAAAGAAATAGAAACTATAATAACCAAAAACTGAATGGTGAAACATAAAAGCCAAACTGTTTGATACAAGCTAGCTGAAGAAAGTAAATAAATATAAAAGAACTGATAAAAAAACTGATAAAAACACTGATAATAGAGAATCTCTTAAATATGCAACTTTTTAATCTGCCATAAAAAATAAACTATCAATGGGAAACAAATTATAATATAATAATAATATAGTATAAGAATTTTATATTTTATATTTTATATTTTATATTTTATATTTTATATTTATGCTCTCATTTACTGAGAAAATTGGTTGTTTTAATTATGAAACACTTTGACATTTTTCAATAATTTTGGTGAGTCTTCTGTTGAATTGCTGCTCGAGTTAGTTATTGTTTTGTGCAATGAGCTTTTAATTGAATTATTAATTGAATTGATTGAGTTAATTGAGTTAATTGAACTAATTGAATTGATTGATTCAAATGTTTCAGTATTACTAAGGCCGATATGATTGATATCAGGATTAATATTACTAGTATTGACTTCGTCATTTAAGCCATTTTTGCCACCATCATCTAGGGTATCTAGAATATTATCTAAAGTGTTGTCTAGATTGTCATTATTATTATTTAAACCATTTTCTTGATCATGATCATGCGGCTTTTTATTGTCAAGATTGTTATTGAATCTATGAAGACTATTATTGTTCGATAGCGAGCTTTTAGTTTCATAGTATGAGTCTTCACTCTTTATCGTACCTTCTTCATTAGAATAATAATCGGAATAATCGTCGTCGTCATCGTCGTCATCTTCATCTTCATAATTATTGATGTTGTTAATATCGTCTTGGTTTTTACAGTCATTTTTATGAATATTAACATCGGGTTTTAATTTATTATAAGAACCCGCTTTTTTTTTATCATTATTATTAGTATTATCATTATCATTATCATTAGTATTAGTATTAGTATTAGTATTATTAGTATTATTATAAGGACATCTTAGAGGTGATTTGGTATAAGTTTTTGAAAGATTTGGCTTTAAAGATGGGGATACCTTTTTCTTTAGTAAATTATTCAATAAGTTTATCTTATTTTTATTGTTTTTACTCTTGTTTTTAATGTTATTATTATTATTGTTACTAGTACTAGTACTAGTACTATTAGTGTTGTTGTTGTTGTTGTTGTTGCTATTATTGTTTAGAGATTTATTAAAAATGTTGTTCATTAGAGGGGAATTAACAGAAAATGATCTCTTTTTTTTATAAATTCTATTATGAATTGGACTGAAAAAGTGAATTTTATTATCAATGATTAATGGTTTGGGGATTTGGTCATTATTTGGTATTTTTAGTACTGAATTATTCACAATGTTAATGTTATTGAGACTGGCATTAAAAGTAGGATTAGGATTAAGATCGAGGTTGAGATTGAGATTGTTTTCATTATCATCAAAATAGTATATTAAAGAGGATTTATATTTGCAGATTGAATCATTTGAGTTTAAATTGATGGTGTTTTCGCTACCAACAAATTCTATCAAAGTTTTATAATAATTATTAAGAACTTCCAATGATGATGCTATACCATTTTTATCAATGAGGTTTGTATTATTACTATTATTATTGTTATTGTTATTTTTATTGTTATTATTATTATTATTATTATTTTTTTTTTTATTATTATTTGTATTACTATTGAAGGATTTGATATTTTTAGGAACAACTTTCCAGTCTAGTTTTGATAAAAATTCAATTTCCAAGATGTTTAATTCGTTTATCGTTACACCTCCAATTTTTGCATAATGTTTGTTAGTGCAAAAGAAATCGCATAGACCCTTTGAGCCAATAGTTATAGCTGTTAATAAAAACCTATGGACCGTTAGGGAGTTTAGATTGAAATTAGGATAAACTGATGTTAATAAATCAATATAGTAGATTGAAGTTAGTAATATTGAATTTTCCAATGAATTATATTTGGTTAGCCGATTTAAATAATCGTAAACTGATATCAATGGGGGAGCTCTGGAATGAAATCTTGTCAAGTTTTGTGATGAAGGTAAAGGTAGCGAATCATTCATGTTGATTAGAGATATCAACATCCTTGATATCATGATTAACAAATCATCTTGAGAACAATCTTTGAAATTACTGGGTAATTTTTTTCTTAATTGAGTCGAGTGTGGTATATTACTCATATTTAAGATCAACTGAAAATCAAAAAAAAAAAGAACAAAAACCAAAACTAAAATAAAAAAAAAAACAGAAACTAAGAAAAATTAAATAATAGAAAAAAAATAAAAGCCTAGGAGGATATTAGGAAAATACAACAAGTTATAAGGGAAATAGTAGACAGTATTCGCAATTTCTGGAAAATTTTGATAGTGAAAGATGGATAATGAAAGATAAAAGAATAAGTGGTAACTGGATTAGTTGTGTAACAAAAAGAAAAGAAAGCAAAACAAAAGGAAAAGAAATCAGGTTTTACTCAATCCATGCCAGATACCCAGTGCTTCTGCTGCCTTTGCTGCGTTGCTTCCAGTTTCTGCTCCTGCCTCTGCTGCCTCTGCTGCTTCTGCCTCTGCTTCTGAGTGATGGATGATTTATATTCGTTAACAAAAGCAAGCCAGAAAAGTCAGAAAACTACAATTTACAGCGCACCGCTGCCACCCGGCGACGGACGCACGCCGCCGGCCGAGTTGCGGAATCCGAAGCGTGGCCATGTGGGCGCGGAGCACGCCACGTGTGAAACACGCCGCTCAGAACAATGTTCGCGGACAATCCCTGCTTGCTAAGAGCCGGCGCACGTGTGTTCTCCGCGGTCCATGCACAGCCACCGTGTTGTGCACGCTCCCAATCGAGCAGACGCTGTTTGACTAGATTAGGCAATCACTATTTAGGCAGTCACTATTTGGGGAGTTCTCAGTACAAATAATACACAACCTCCTCGTTGATGACGCTCAACTCCTTGAAGAGCTCCAAGTTCACGCTGAGATCGAAAATGCTTCTGCTTTTGGGGTCGAGGTAGCTCCCATCAATTACCACTGTGCTGAATTTCAACCTATGCTCCCTGTCGCTGATCTGCTTCAACACGTTCACAAATCGCGTGGGGGTAGCTATCAACACCAACCTTTCTTTGTCTTTCTTTGCCTCCTGTTTGTTATTCTGACTTTGCACAATCGAGTTCAACGATGCCACATCGTTCTTCAATTTGTTCTTAGATAGCAATTTCAAAGGCCTGCTGTTTCTCAACGATTTGATGCTTCGGACAATGTCACAGCACCGGATGTTGCTGGCTGCCAAAACCACCACCAACTTCTCCCTTTTGGCATACTTGTCGATAAATTGGCTATAATTGTCCAAGTTTCGTGCCAATGGTTCTGCAAATTCAGATGTGCTATGAAACGTTCTTTTATTGAAAAACTTCTCGCTGAGTTCCAATGTCGATAGCTCCTCATTTTTATTGTCTTGACTGATTTTCTTATTGAGATATTCACAGATGATTTCCTCGTTTTCTTTACAAATGTTTTTCTTCATGTTTTTTTCCTGATCAACTTTTTGTTTCTTTTTCAACTCAAGTTTTCCGTTTTTTCTTCTCCTTTTTTTAGTCGTCTTTTTATCATTTTCCACTCTTTTATTCTCTTTTTCTTTGTCTCCAATAGTTTTCTCGTTGTCGTCTATCACTTCTTCTGACGCTTCATGAACAATATCATCGAAACTGTATTCTAATCCATCATCCAATTCATCTGCTGCTGTTTTCATTTGGGTCATTTTTCCAATTCTCTCCTCATTCACTCAAAAAGAAAACCAGAATTGAAAATTAAAATAAAAAAATCAAAGCATTAAAATCAAATTTGATTTTCGACATTGAATTTTTTTTTATTTTTTTTTTAAGTTTTGTTACTGCATGAACTCCAGTAACGGGACGAAAACAAAACAAATCACACACTTGCTATCTCGTCCCCCGCTGCTTCTGAAACTTGCTGCTTTCCATCAAATCCCTCTCAAACTCAATAAATTCTTCATGATCCAAAAACTTTTTTCCCATTGAATACAAATTGTTATTAAAATTATATTCGTTTCTAAAACTAAAACTTTCTTTCTCGTTTTCGTTACCATCATCAGCACCAAAAACACCAGTATTATAAGCACCAAGAACACCAGTATTACAGCTATTATTCAATGTCAATAACCGGTTTCTCTTTAATAACAAAACTGCATCTTTAAAGTCAATAGTTTTCTTATTTTTGCAATGTCTGCTATATTCTCTTAAATCCTTAACTTGGTTTGAAATAAACTCCTCAGATATATCACTCAATCTATCCATTATCTCTTTATTAATCCGTTTTCTAGTTATTTTATTGCCATTACCACTCTGATTATCATTTAAAAAGAACTCAGATATATCTTTGATAAACCTCTTTGGAAGTAATGAATCTCTTAATAATTTCTCCTTGTCATTCAATTTGTTTCTTGAAATGCTCATCTGTCTATATCTATATTTACCTCCATTATCATCCTTACTATCATCCTCATTATCATGGATTTCATCAAAATTATCCATTAATTTCAAATTCTCATTTAGTGGGTATTCTTCATAATTATAATTATTAACATCACCATCACCATCACCATCACCATCACCATCACCATCACCATTACCATTACCATTACCATTACCATCACCATAACTATTGTTTTCAAAATCAATATTACTATTAAAGTTATTTTCTTCATCGGATAATATTCCTTCTGGCATTGCAATATCTGAAAATAGATGATCTTGATTCACTTCTGATTCCATTTCCATTCCATTAACATTGTTATCTTTATCTTTATCATTATTATTATTATTATCATTATTATTATCATCATCATCATTTTTCAAGTTCTTACTCATATCCATATCCATTTGCATATCAATTTCCATTGGAATGTCTTCTATAAATTCATTTTGATCATCTATATCATTTTTTGTAGAAAATTCAATTACATTTTCATTATTTAATCCATTGAAATCATCTCCATAATCACTATCATCACTATAATTATTCATACTTATATTATCTTTATCTTTATCATTATCATCATTTTCATTATCATCATTTTCATTATTAATCAAATTGGATAATCTTCTTGAAACTGACAACTTTCTTCTTATTTCAATTGTTTGGTTCAAAAATGACGAATCATTATCCAATTTTGATAAAGAGTGATCTACAATTACAAATTTCTGTTTTTTAATTCTCTTACTAACAATTCCAATATCCTCACTATCTTCTGTATCCTCACTATCTTCGTCACCTCCTAATGATTGTTTTGAGTGATTTAATGACTTATCTAATAATGGAGATGACTGTAATAATACAGGAGAAGTGAAATTTTCTATTTGCGATAAATCTATTGGTGATGATGGCAAATCTCTTATAAAAAATTCTTTATTTAAATTGCTTTTTCTATTTGAATTTTTATTTCCATTTCCATTTCCATTTCCATTTTCATTTTCATTTTCATTCTCGTTATCTCTTGAAATTTCTCCAGTATTTTCATTTGATAAGGAAAATTTCTGGTTGATTTCAACACTATCTTTGTTATTATTTTCAATAGTATTTTTTTTCTTATTGTTTGAAATGTTGCCCTTGAGAGTTCTTTTGTTTATATTTTCTGTAGATCTTTTGGATATTGAATTATTCACGTTATAGTTTTCAGACTCTTTATTCTTTTCTATAATTTCTTTGCCTTTCTGATGTTCCTTTTTTTCAATTATTATGATTCTTGATAGTATTCTTAAATCATTAATTGGTGATATTCTGTCTCTGTTTCGCTGTCTTCTGGTATTGGCACTGTTGTTTTTGTTTACTTCATTGTTTATGTTATTTATTCTTAGCAATTTCGATGACCGAGGTGTTCTGGGTGTTCTGGGTGTTCTGGGTGTTTTGGGTGTTTTGGGTATCTGAGTGCTCTGTAAAATAGAATTTCTTGTATAAAGTGTCAATGGATTTTTTCTTGTAGATCTTCGCTTTGAGGCTGTTCTGCTTCCTGTGTTTCTGTTGTGACTGTAGCCAACAGAAGCTCTTCGTGGTGTTCTGGGCTGTTTGACTGGTGATAGTTGGACGTGATCGGTTGTATGCTGCAAAATCTCTTTGAAGGACTGACGTCGGCTCGTTAGCGAGTTGGATATATATGATTCTGTCACCATTATGCCAAATTTACCCTTCTATATTCTCTTCAACAACGTAATTTTCGCAACTTTTCCTACAATCTTTACATTTTCTGAAGCTGTTTGGAGTTTGGTTGTTTTGATTTTTGTTTTGAATTTTTTGCTCGAAACCACCGCTGTGGGTTTGGGAAATTTTAAAAAAAATCTGGAAAAGTTTGAAATTTCTGGTTTTCTTTTGGATTGTTTAAATGATACTCCAACGAATGAAAATATTAAAACAACTACGACCAATGGCTTCTGTAAAATACTTTCCATTATCCTCCAGATCACCCAGCACAGGGGTTAAGCAACCAAAGGAAATTGCTTCGTTTTCCAGAAACATAAAACAGGAATACGAAAACAACGATTCTTGTCTAAGCTATTACTATTTTCCTGATCAAGAGGTCGAGAAACCAGCTAATGTTGATTTGAGCCATGGCTTTCAAAAGTTTAAAAAAATGGACGAAACTAAAGATGGCGACCTAGATGGTTTATTGAAGGCAATAATTGCTTACGAAAAAAAATACAATGCTGTCATTCCCAAAATTGATATTATCACTTTCCGAGGCCTCATGAGAAAAATCTTAACAATTCCTTATGGCAATGAATCGTTTGATTTCAATTTACTTTGCTTTGACAATCAATTGTTTATAAAATCTGACAAAGAGTCTGATATGAAAAGAAATGAACTTGAACAAAAAAGAATGCAAAAAAGAATAAATAAGAGTCATGGAAAAAAGATATCCAATCTAAGTGAAAAATTTGTGTATTCTGGTTATAAATTCGAAACGTTAACTACATTGAATAAACCTTGGTCGAAGTGCTCCAGAGATGAAATTGAAAAAAGATACAAAAAAGAAGTGAATAATATTGAACAATATGCTGTGGTAGTGAAAACTGGTATTGGTAAAAATAAAATGCTATTGTGTGGTGAAGTAGACTGTGTTTTTGATTACAAACCTCAAGCTTCAGATTTTGATGAAGACAATCCTTTGACACATTATGTTGAATTGAAAACTTCTAAAACTATTAATGACATTTCAGCTTATAACACTTTCAGAAAGAAATTGTTTAAAGCTTGGGCTCAATGTTTTTTAATCGGTATTCCAAAGATAATATATGGTTTCAGAGATGATCAGCTCAAATTAAAAGCCGTTGAAATGTTTAAAACAGAAGACGTTCCTGTTTTGATTAAGGCAGATCCACAAGAAAGAGGAAATCAAATAAGTTGCATTGATGCCATTAAATGGTATGGTGCTGCCATTGAATGGATTTGGGCCAATATTGATGTCAAGAATGAAAAAACAGTTTGGAGGTTATCTTACAATTTTGAAAACAAAACATTTAGTCTAAGGGAATTACCTGAAGAGAAAAGTTCTGAGATAATCAACAATTATGAAATTTTAACTAAAGAATTTGTGGATTGGAGACTTCAATTAAGATCAAATCAAAACTAGTTTCCAAATAAATAAGTGTATTAAAAATTTAATGGGGTTGTTTTTTTATTTGTTTTGTAATTCAATTTTTGCTATATAATTTATAAATATTAGGGGAGAAGGTGTTGTTTGTTTTTTCCTTTTCCGTTTTTAAAATTAAAAATTTTGATTTTGATTCATGAAATTCTGCTTTCTTCCTCATTATATTTTTTGATTAATTTAATCACCTTCAACCTCCATCTTGTTGAACTCAAAAATGAAGCATAATTCCAGGTAAGATTTTTCATTCCTTCTAATTTTCCATTTACTCCATTAAAAGTCTCGCTCATTGAACCATCATAATCCACATATTTTTGAATGACTTTTAAAAATGAATCGGAAAAATTCAATAACCCTTCAATTGTAACTTCAAAGTTTTTTGATCCATATTTAATAATATAATCCCCATTTTGGTCTAAATTTTTTATATCATTTCCATCAATTTGAAAATAGTTTTTAGTTATATACTTTTCAAATAAAGATTTATAATTTTTGCAGATTTTTATATCTTGCTTGTGTTTCAAAGTAATAAAAATATACTTATAAAATACTTCACTAAAATAAGAAGTGGATATGAATGCAGGATTAAAAACTCTTTCTTTTGTGTCTCGTCCAATAGCAATACCAGAATGAAGAATATCATTAATCTTATAGAGAGATTTAAAATCGTCAACCAACCTAAAAGCAGTATTTAACAACAAATGATCAGTTGCGTTAAAAGGAATTAAATTGTCGATATATGAGTTTTCACTTAGATTATTTTCATTTTCATTTTCATTATCTTTATCATTGATATTTATCCCAATATTATTTTCGTATCCCTCGTAATCATGAGATAATAAAGAAGCAATAATTATGGAACTATCAGTAGGGTTTCTATGTTTTTCAGACTGTAAGGGACTCTCTATAAGATAGGTTGAATTTGTTTGAATATAACCACTTTCATGCACAATAAATTCTTTTAAACAATCTGCATTACTAAATAAACTAATTGTGAAATCTTTTTCAAAGTTTAAACCACGAGAAAATTCACCACCAATAACCAAAGATTTCAACTGAATCAAAGAAGTGAATAAATGAAATCCCTTTACATTATCCCAAAGTCCATAAGATAAATCCTCCCATTTATCTAAAATATATTGCAAATCAGGTTTAACAACAGTAAAATAAATATCAGAAACCGTTGTATTGCTGGGCATATGAGCCAAATTGTCGTTGATTATTAGACCGTTGTTATACTTTTTAAGTAAATTAAGATATTTAATGATCGAAATAGATTTGAGAGCTATACTATCGGTTAATGGATTTTTTTTATCTAAACAATATTTAAAATTTTTTAATCTAGAATTTTTGGATTTCCCGTCATAAATTTCTTCATAATCCTTTTCGTTTGACTGGTTGGTTTTTTCTTGATAGAAATTATCAATAAATTGCTCGATAACGATAATCAATTCTCTGTAATTTGGGGAAAAATCCGAATCCTTTAAAATATCAATCAATGACAATATAGTAATAGAATTTTGTCTAACTACATGATAATAGTTAGGCTGCAAAGGATTGGAATTTGAAAAAATATCAAAATTAGTTTTATCAAATTGTCTTAAAATTCGATTGTAGGAAACTTCTCTTTCTTCAGTGATAAACAAATTCAAATCATTTCTTGAAACGTTTTGATAATGATATTGATTACAATTAACCAAAAAAACTAGGAAATTAAAACAATTGAGAAATATGAGAAATTTATTAAGCATTTTGAGTTGGAAGCAATTATCAGTTAACTATTAGATCTCAAACTCAATAAAAGATAGTTATTCCATTTTCAAACATTTGAATCTTTAAACAGCATAACCATATTAAAGCTAGTGAAAGCATTAAAATCACACAAACCACTAAAGCACACCAAACAGCACAAACAATAAAAGCAGCAAAAGCAGCAACTTCATCAGTTGTTCTAATTCAAAAATCAAAGCACAAAAATAATTTCCAAATTTGGAAATCAAATCCGTTGATGAAATATCCGGAAACCTCACAACGGATTCAAATCCGCAAACGATTTTTTTTTTCAAATTTTTTTTAAAGTTGAAATTTTTTAATTCGAAAGAATTAATTTTTGGAAATCAACAACATTACAGAAACATCATGGATAGGTCAAGGAGTAAAAAAGACAGCAAGAAAATAAAGTCTAGACACAAGGATAGTGCTTTGAAAAGTAGGCTGGAGTCAATTTCAAAGAAATCATCCAAAGACCCAAAAAATAGAAAATCCAAGTTGGAAAAGATAATAAAAGAAAAATATTCAAAGAAAAACGAGAAAAGCCAGAAATCTGAAAATGCAAAAAATGAAGATTTGGTAGAATTGTCCGAAGATGATAACAAAATAGATTCAAATGAAATAACTCAAGAAAGTGAAAAAATAAATAAGAAAGCCAACATTGACAAAGACATTGTAGATGACCATCAAGAAAAAATTGAAGAGGACAGTGATAGTGATGATAATAATGATAGTGAAGAGGAACAAGTTAGTCAAGAAAATGAAAAGAAACAGAAAGATAACCAAGATAATTCTATAATTATTGCTGATACAAAAAGCTTCCCAAAAACGTTTGTTGACTTAAAGTTATCCCCATTGACTTTAAAAGCAATAAATGAGATGGGGTTTACCACAATGACTGAAGTACAAGCAAGAACGATTCCACCATTACTAGCAGGAAAGGATGTTTTGGGAGCTGCCAAAACAGGTTCAGGAAAAACTTTGGCATTTTTGATTCCAGCTATTGAGCTTTTATATTCTTTAAAATTTAAGCCCAGAAATGGTACAGGTATAATAATAGTTTCACCCACAAGGGAATTGGCATTACAGATATTTGGTGTTGCAAGAGAATTGATGCAATTCCACTCGCAAACCTTTGGTATAGTGATTGGAGGTGCCAATAGAAGAGCAGAAGCTGAAAAATTGATAAAAGGTGTTAATCTTTTAATTGCAACCCCTGGAAGATTATTGGATCATTTACAAAATACAAAGGGATTTGTTTTCAAAAATTTAAAAGCATTAGTTATCGATGAAGCCGACAGAATTTTAGAAATTGGTTTTGAAGAGGAAATGAAACAAATCATCAAAATATTGCCAAATGAAAATAGACAAAGTATGTTGTTTTCCGCTACTCAAACTACCAAAGTTGATGATTTGGCAAGAGTTTCACTAAAAGCAGGTCCTCTTTACATTAATGTTGTTGGTGAAGATGATGTTGCTACTGCAAGCGGTTTAGAACAAGGTTATGTTGTGTGTGAATCTGACAAAAGATTTTTGTTGTTATTTTCTTTTTTAAAAAGAAATCAAAAGAAAAAGATTATTGTTTTTGTTTCTTCGTGTAATTCAGTAAACTATTATGGTGAATTACTCAATTATATCGATTTGCCAGTTTTGGATTTGCATGGTAAACAAAAGCAACAAAAGAGAACAAATACGTTTTTTGAGTTTTGTAACGCGAAAAAAGGTATTTTAGTTTGTACTGATGTTGCTGCTAGAGGTTTGGATATTCCAGCTGTTGATTGGATCATTCAATTTGACCCTCCAGATGATCCAAGAGACTATATTCATAGAGTGGGAAGAACTGCAAGAGGTTCAAGTGGAAAAGGGAAATCTTTGATGTTCTTGACCCCTTCTGAACTTGGGTTTTTAAGATATTTAAAACAGTCCAAAGTTCCATTAAATGAATATGAGTTTCCTACAGGAAAAATTGCCAATGTGCAAAGCCAATTAGAAAAATTGATTAGTAGCAATTATTTGCTCCATCAAAGTGCAAAGGATGGCTTTAGATCTTATTTACAAGCGTATGCTAGTCACCAGCTAAAACAAGTTTATAATATTGATAAATTAGATTTGAATAAAGTAGCAAAAAGTTTTGGATTCACATCACCTCCAAAGGTTAATATTACTTTAGGTGCAAGTTTGAAAAGTGAGAAAAAAAACAAAAAAAGAGGCAGATCTTCACATTAAAGACTTTATATGTTATTAATATTTATTAAATTAACTATATATTTTAAATATTGTGTGTAATAAATTTCTAATAAAAATACAGTTTAGCTAAAAATCAACAAAACAATAAACCCAAATAACCCCAATAACAATCAAATGCTTTTTTCTAAAAAATAACAAAAATAAAAATAAAAACAAAAACTAAAACAAAAATTGTTTATAAAAGAAAAATGCTTTATATATGCAGAAACTAAATAAACAGGAAAAGAGAAAGTCTTTTAAACAGAAAATAAAGGAATGTAAACATAAGACTCAAATTAACTAATAATTGAATGGACCTGGACGAGAAGGACGAACCGGTCTGGTCATTTCATCGATGGTTCCCAACACTTCTTCATGTTTTCTCAATTGCAATATCTGTTCGGATCTTGTTAATTTCCTAATACCTGTTCTTATTTCGATTTCTTTTCTTCTCTCAGCTTCTTCATCTTCTTGTTTTGCTTTTTCTTTTTCTTTAATCAACTGTTTAACTGATTTATCATGTTCAGCTTTTAGTTTTTTCAATTCTTTTTCAAATTCATCCAATGATTTGAACTTTGTCTTTTTGACTTCGTCTTTTCCCCTGTTAACCTCATTTAAATATTCAACAATATTCAGAGGAATTTTTCTAGTTAAGGATAATTCGACTATGTGAGGATTTTTTCTTTCTTCTAGGGAATACTTTAGTTTAATTTGTCTTCGATTTCTGTATGGAAATAATTGGGCAATTACGCCAAAATCTGTTCCCCATGTGGATAAAGCTCTGAAAAATAAAACGGTTTCATCCAAAGTCCATTTGTCATAGTAGGTATCCTTTGAGTATGATCTAGAATTGACCGAATTTTCAAATGGGTTGTCAGTTTCAACAATTCCTGATTTAAAAAGACTTCTATCTCTAGTGTTACGGTTGATGAGTGTACTCTCTTCATCAATATCTATTTCGCCGTCTTTTGATACTCTTAATTTGAAAGAAGAGGCTTCACCATCTTGAAGTTTTTCCTCTAGCCTCAATAAATCTTCAACAGCGTCTTTACTTTGTTGATTCAAATTAATTTTAGATTTGTCATCACCAAGTAATTGCTCGAGAGGGACTCTTTTTTCTCTTGCTTTTAATCTCAACTCTTTTCTCTCCTTTGCTGCAATTTGCTTTTTGGTGAATGCTTCGACGGCTAGTTCATAGTTATCAGATACTTTTCCGATTGGCATAACTTCTTTGCATAGATCACCCAAGCTGATGTTGTCAGCATCTAATGTGAACTTTTCCAATAACTTGTGGTTTACATGTTTCATGTCTTTTGAAATCTGATTAATATTTTTAATTATGAAACTTTCTTGAATGGAAATCATTTCAACAGTGATGTCTTTCTCTTTAACTTTGATCATTTTTTTTGATTTAGGATCTAGCAAAATGTCATATTTTCCGTCGTCTTCATCAGAGCCATTGGATTTATTTTGATTAACGATGTTCTGGAAATCGATATTTTTCTGGTATAACTGATTGATATCTTCATTGTTTTTAGTGTTAATAGAGGGATTCAATAGAGGAATTGAAAATTGAGTATTTTGTTGTTCTAGTTGTTCTAGTTGAATACTGGAATGCTCCATTGCTTTTTGAGCAATTTCTATTGAAATGGGAGCTGGCATTGAATCAATACTGTAGCCATAGTTTGAATTATTAGATTCAGAGAGAGTTCCATTATTCCTAGACTTTTTGATAGATAGATTAGAAAAAGAAGATTTTGAGGGCAATGATCTTTTCTTTCTTGGTTTTCTTGGAGTTTGAATTGGTAAAGGATTAACTTGAGGAATGTCAATTTTTGTAGGTTGAACATAGTAGCTTTCAGAAAACTCTGAATGTTCAGTATTATTACTGGACAAATTTGGATCAATATTAGAGGACTTTGTAATTTTTTCATTTGGACTAAAAGAAACAGTTTTTCTTCGAGGAAAATTGATCAGCGAACTGGATGAATCAGCTATATGTACACAGGAGCTGGGTCTTCTGGAAATAGCCTTTGGCTGAACACTATTTTCATAGGCTTCTGCAGTTGGTTTTAGTATTGAGTTGGTTGAGGTAGTTGTTAGTGAAGAAGATGACGAAGATGCTGATGACGAAGATGTTGGAGGAAGAGCAGGAGAGCTAAAAGCCTGAATTTTTGAACCAGCACCAGAAACAAGAGAATTCCTTCTATTGGTGTCTGGGCTCTGAATATTTTGTATGTTTTGTACATTTTGCACAGCAGGAGAAGTGCTCGAAGCTGGATGACTTAGCTTGTTTCTTCTGACGATTTTCGGAGCAAACCGAGCACCAGATTTGTCTGTGATAGAGAAAAAGCAGTTAGTAAAAGCAGTTCGCACAAAAATATTGAAAGTAGCCTGGGTACATACTGACAAAACTCATTGCAGCTACTATATCATCTAGATCAATATCTTCCAGATCAATATCACCTTCAACATCGCTTTTTTCAGTCATTGGTCTGAAATTTTTTTTTGGCCATAAAAAAAGGTAGCGGTTACCCGGACGGAACAAACAGAAAAAAGCGCGCATCAGGACTCGAACCGGTGTTATTTTCGCGTTTTTTTCACAAAGAGTATTGCTGCTTGTGCTGTTTATGCTGTTTATGCTGTTTGTGCTGTTTATGCTGCTGTTTACAGTTACAAACTCGCTCAGGCCCCATCACCATTTTGCGAGGTCGTCGATGGTATTTTGGATGTCAATTGCACACTTTTCTCTCATGTAAAAGATGGAGCAGTCGTTGTTCGAGCAGATTACTTTGTGTGTGAGAGACCCCTGGCATCTCTGGCACTGTGTCCATAGCTTGGAGAACTTGGATTCATACAAGTTGAGCTGGGCCACTTGTTCAGCAAATATCTGGTTTCCCTTATCCTCACAGTTCTCGCAAACAGGCCCATCGCAAGGACTTTTGCAGACTTTGCAAGTATTGACTTTCTTGGTGAATCTCATCAATCCACCTAATCCTCGGTTAGGTCCCCCAATCTTCGACATTGTCACCTTTCTGGTATGTGCACCAGTCAATAGTTGTTTGGCTTTGTTTTCGCCCATTATCGGTTCGAATATTCTCATCAATGGTTTCGATAATTGATTTTGTAAATAGTAATTTGAGTCGATAGCCAATCCGTTTTTCAAAACATATAATGGGTCCTCAGATTTCTCAAACGCTTTGGTTGACGATGATCTTATAATGACATATGCAACTCTATCACCAACTGAAGGTGCTGATCCTGGATCTCTTTCTCTCATCCTCTTTGCTAGTTCAGCATGGGCCTGTTTGCCTGCATACTCCGGTGCTAGTGTCTTGGTGATAACCAACTCCGACAAATCGACCTTATCCTGTAATAAATCTGCAATAATCTTTTTAACAAATTCTTCTGCAGCTTTAACATCTCTTTGGATTAATATCATTTCCAATATTTTCGTCATTACATTTGCAACCAACTTGCAATTATCTCTTCTCACGGTTTCAATTCCTTTAGTGTCAATTTTATCATACTTGTCTAATTTTGTCCAATATAACCCTGCATATCTTTTTTTATTAATTAGCAAGTATGGATAATAAACCTTTTCAAATTCTATTCGAATTGGTGCTTTGAACAATTTCTCATTGATCCAATCTGCTGCCTGTTGTCCCAATTCCATACATTGCTTCAAATCATCTAGTCCAAACTTAACCATAACAGAATCTGTATCGCCATAAATAACTTGTGCATCAGCTGGAAAATTATTTTCCTTGCAGAAATGTTCCTCAATCTCGTTTTTGGTTGCTTCAATCATTTCTCTACCAATGGCTGTGGTAGAAGATGAAATTGCAAGACATGGCAATTTCCCATTAGTAGCACCTGTAAACCCGTATACTGAATTGGCTGAAATTTTAAGAGCTAGTTGTCTACCATTCAAAACATCTTTAATAAATGGATTAGACTCTTTCTTTAAAGCAGCTTTAGCCCTTTTCCGTGCTGATAATAACTCATCTAAAATAGTTGGCAAGATTCCCTTTTTCAAATGCTCTTTTATAAAGCAATCGCCATTTGGTGTTTTATAATAATCTTTTCCTTCTTTTAATCCCAAAGAATTTATAGTCTGCTGAGTCACCAAAGTTGTGTAACATAGGTTATGTGAAATGATAATTGAGGGATAAAGTGAAGAAAAATCTAAAGTAGCAACCGGGTCTTCATGAAATCCTCTAACTGGCTCAATAACTGTTGCACCTTCATAGGTTTCCTCGTTTCCACCAGATGAGCTGAAATTGGGTATTACTATATCATGCTCAAGGGCTTTTCTGAATAATTGAGATAAAACTTTTATTTGTTGACCTCTTGATAACAAAAACGAAAAGGGCACACCCGTTACTCTTGCCATTTCTGTGTAATTAACTATACACATCATTTTTTGTAATAATCTCATTGGTAGCATTGCATCCTTTAAACAATAAACAGCTAATCTTCGTCTTGTCTCGGAATCACCATTCTGTAGATCTGTTATGATAGAATGATGAACATCTTCCTTTTGTTCTCCAAGAAAGACGGCAGAAACATTATTTAATTTATAGGATCTCATTTTAACTTCTCTTTGAAAATATTGATATAAATCAAATTGAATTCTTCCACCGATATTTGTCACTTTATTTTCTTTTGTCCCATAAGCTCTTGAAGAAAACGTTGAGTTTTTAACTTCTTGTTTTTGATGTCTAAGTCTACCAAAATATGGAAAGTCGGTGACACCTAAAGCAGTTGCTCTATTCAACAAGTACGGTATATCGAAATTTTGAGTGTTGTAACCAATTATTATATCTGGATCGACTTTAACCACAAAATCTCTCCAAGCTCTTAACATTTGTTGCTCAGTTTTATTTGATATAACGTCGCAGCCAACTATCGGTGAACATGTATTTAATGTGAAAACCGTATTAACAAATGGAACATTTTCACCAAATCTCGAAACCACATTGGCGATTTGGATCACTGAATCATATTCAGCTGTAGAGAAAATCCCCTTTCTATTTGAACATTCGATATCAAATGATAAAATTCTAAGAGGAGGTATTTTTGCCCATTCGCCTTCAGAAGGGTGGGCAATTAAATTTTTATAATGTATATGACATTCAATTTGACAGGTTGTTACTTTTTGGCTTTGGTTTGTAATCAAGATATAAGTTTCCTTAGGTAGAGTCAACCAACTCATTCCAGTTATTTTCGAGTCGACCATCATTCTTAGAGTATAAGAAATGTTATCATAAGTCATTGTAGTTCCAGGAAAATAATTTTGAAATTGAATTTGGCCTCTTTCGAAAGCGCCTCTCAATTTAGCAACAGTTTTTGCATGAGAGACGACAATTTTAAGGAATTGAGTTTTTTGGTTATCGTTATAGCTCCATACGGATTCTTTTAAATGGATCTCAATTTTTTGGACGTCATCAAATCCACTGTTATGTAAATGGTTGATTAAACTTTGAATGTGATCTTTTCTGAAATTGTTATCTGAGATTGGCACGTATAAATAATGTAGAAAGCCTGTAACGTTGCACATTATGCTATTGCCTTTTTTCGTTACACCAAAGAATCTTACACATGAAGAGCCATTAAAATCAGCTTCTTCAGCATCCAATTGAATAAAGCTTATATCATCATCTTTGGGGGATATAGATAGAGGAGGTCTTTCAACCGAGAGTTTTGAAGTACGAATCTGTTGTGCATTTTGGGTTAAAGCAATAAGCTCTTCTTCGAAAGTGGATAGCAATTTTTTAGCTTTCATTGTTTGATTTATTAGATGAAGATAAGTATGTTATGGGTATATTGTAAATACAGAGAGAGAAATGAAATGAAAAAAGAAGAAGGTAAGGAATGAGATAGAACTAGATCGAACAAATCAGATGGTATGCTTATTAACCCACAGACGTGTATTAAACACGAAAAGATAAAGTAAAAAAAAAAAATTGGAGAACGACAAACTTTAAAATGAAATAAAAATTAGAACACGAAAAAGCAATCGTAAAAATGATCGGAAAGGATGATTGGAAACACGTTTATACATTTCGTATTTACGATAAATACCCTCCGAAACGTGACTCAGATAATAAGTGGACCCGTGTGACTGGTCTTGGAGATAGCAATATATTACAGAAAAAGAGGAAATTACGTGGGAAGGGTGAGATAAGTAATTTTAAGTTTAATGCCGATAAGGAAATAAACAAGATATAAAGAGATGTGAAAAGATGTAAGATTATATTATATTATATTATATGATGTTAAAGTATATTAAAGTATATTAAAGTATATGTGTATGATATTAAAGAATTGAAGTAAATGTATAGAAAATGTAGAAAGTATGAGAAATGTAGGAAATAAATGACAGAGCAAAAGAAGATTTCAATAACAAGATATTAAGAAGATATTAGTAAGATAATTTTATTGGAGAAGAATTTAAAGAGGATTTATAATTATTAACCTTGAATTCTTTAATTATTGTTTTGGGCAAGGAGTTGTTATCTATTGAATCGATGTAAAAGGCCTTTAAATTTGGAAATAAAGTATTATAGTGATTTGAATAATCAAAGGGGGTGAACTCGAGATTTGATATTTTACTTTTCGATATATCAATGATTTCTAGTTTTTTCAAGTTAAGTATTTGAGACAAATCGATAATTGAGATGTAGTTGTTTTTAAGAATGAGATTTGATAAGTTGTTTAAGTTGTTTAGGTTTTGCAATTTTGAGATTAAATTCGAAGAAAGATCTAGGATTTTTAAATTAGACAAGTTGGATAGGTTTTCAATTTTGGAGATATTTGTGTTGACTAATTTCAAGATTTGTAGGTTTTTCAAGTCGGATAGATTGTCTATGTTTTTGATTAATACGTTATGACTTAGATTTAGGTATTGTAGATTGGATAGGCTGGATAGATTTTTGATTTCAGCTATACCATTATTTGATAAATCTAGGGATTGCAAATTAGATAGTTCAGACAAGTTGTCTATGATTAGTGATTCCAACCATCTTGAATTGAAATTGTAGTAATTAACAGATGATAGATTTAAAAACTTCAAGTTTTTCAAATGGTTTAGACCATTGATTGTCTTTAGACGATTTTTAGATAGATTTAGAGATGTCAATTTTGGGAAATTGGTCAAGGGGAAATCTGACAAGTCGTTGATCAAATTATTTGATAAATTGAGATAGGTTAGATTTCTGAAATTTGATTGCAATTGGTTATCGAAATTGGACAACTGGGAATTTAGAGTGAATTTTGATAGGAGAGCGCTTGAGTTGGGAAAGCAATTATTAATGAGAACATTTATTGAGGCGTCAAACTGCTGGTTAATGTTGTTATTAGCGCTTTTTTTGAGAAGCAATTTGGAAGATTTTTTGAAGATTATTTGCAAATGGGCGGCATTAGGAAAGTTGAATTGGGGTGGGAAGTTGTTTAAAGTGATTGAATCAGCTATACGGCTCAACAATTCGTTGTTTAGATTGATAGTGATGTGGTTAAAGAGGTGGAATTTTGGGTAAAAAAAAGGTTTAGACAATAAATCAAGCAAGTTTATTCTGATGGTGTCGATACATGATCGGTGTGCATTGTCGTTATAGATATTACGGACGGCTGATTTTATTTTTGTCTTCTTGAGCTTGCTGGCAGAAATGTTCAAGCTGTCGTAAAAATGGTTGTATTTGTTGTAGTCATGGTTGTAGTTTGTCATATGGACGCTCTGGTAGAAATAAAGACTGGCAATCTGGGAGACGAGAAAGGACTCGGATAAGGAGAGTAGCCAGAGCTTGGGCAAGGGCACCCTGCACAATACGTCGGTGAGAACATGGGGAGGAAGACAGGCAAGAGGATCAAGAGAGTTGCAGTGGACAGGCTCCATGGTGAAGAACAGGAAGCAGCGACAGAGGCAGAACATGAAGCAGCCCTCAGCAAAAAAACGAGGGAAAGTGGGCGAATTTATAGCGCTGGGCTTCCAGAGCAAGGCGGATAAGGTTTGCCCTCCATCATTTGATGCTTCTCCAAAGCGTGGTGGTCGACACAGAGTTTCTCCATTAGGCAGGCATTGCGCACACCGCCACACCAGAGCCCTGAGCAGGGCGTCACGTGGTGCCCCTCTTTGCAAATCCCAACTTTTACCAAAAATGGGAAATTTTGCAGCAGGAGCATATCTGGACTCCATCTGGGCTCCATCTCTCACTGCTGTTTCTTCTTCCTCAAGCCATGTCAAATCCTCGCCCCAAGCCCTGGGAAGTTTCTTCTGGTGCCTCTGCTGCTCGCTCCTCACCTCTGCTTGTGTCTCCGTCTGCCTCCAGCCTCACCGCTAACAATAACAATAACATTGCTGCCTCTTCCCCATCTTCCACCCCAACAAACTCAAATCAACTCCCCAACTCTCCTGCCTTGCCTGCTAAGTCTTCCCTCTCTGCTGCAGACTCTTCTGCCTTGCTCAACAACCGTCCTCGTTCCTACAGATCCAACGCTTTCACCAGCTCTCCCTACAACACCGGCTCCATGTACAGCTCCTCCATGTTGGGTGGTTATGGCAGCATGGGCTCCTACGGCTCCATGTATGGCTCTCTTGGTTCTGGCTACGGCTCCTATGGCTCCTACGGTTCCTACGGTGGAGCCTACAACGGCTACAACTCCATGTATGGCATGAACAACTTCAATAACCTCAACATGATGAACAACAACAACCAGGGCATTGCCCAGTCTACCCAGGCTACCTTTCAGTTGATCGAAAGTATGATCGGTGCATTTACCGGTTTTGCTCAGATCCTAGAGGCCACTTATATGGCCACCCATTCCAGTTTTTTCACAATGATCAATGTCGCTGAGCAATTCAGGCTCCTTAAGGATCTCCTTGTAAATGGCCTTGGTAATGTTTTTGGTATCTTTGCCCTATTCAAATATCTCAAATCCTTTTTAACAAAACTATCCGCTTTGAAACTAAACAAGAACTCTTTAAAACTAACCGTCAAAGAATTTCAAAACTTCTCCTCAAACGGTAGTAACAAATCTTCCAAAAATCTTTTCAACTCTTTTAATAATCCAAAGAAATTCCCAAACAATGCCATCTCAATAAAACCTCTACTTTTTTTCCTTTTATCTGTCTTCGGTTTGCCCTTTTTATTAAATAAACTAATCTCAAGACTAGCCGAGCAGCAAAGACTAAAAGCCCAAGAGCTAATGCTAATTCAAAATCCATCTGCTTTGCATCCAAATACTTTACCAAATCCATCCTCCCCTTCATCTTCTTCGTACTCAAACAACACCTCAAACACTAACCTGTCTTTCGACCCTTCAAACATCCAGTTTTGCAGGGCTCTCTACGATTTTAATCCTGAAAACCCTCTCATCGAATTACCCTTCAAAAAGGGTGATCTACTAGCCGTTTTAAACAAATCAGATTTATCTCAATCTCAATGGTGGAAATGTAGATCCAGAGATGGTAAATCAGGTTACGTTCCTTACAACTACTTGGAATTAATCCCAAGAGATTTATTCGATCATAAATCTACACCAAATCAAAATCAAAATCAAAATCAAGATCAAGATCAAAATATATCTGCAAAAATTCAAGGAATGCCAAATGATTCCTCAGATTTAAAAAACTCAAATACAAAACAATCCCAATCAATAAATTCATAAACTAAAATTTCATATCTCATCATTTATCATTTTACTTTTTGTTTACTCTTTTTCATCTTCTTTTTTAAATAATCTCTTTTTTCTAGTAGTTTCTTCGGTTCTTTCATCAACTGTCTTATAATCTTTCACACACTTCTTATATACCATTTAATATTCAAAACTAAAAATTTGTTGTTATTTTACCAAAAATACTTAAAAAAAAAAAATCAAAAACTAGAACTCACGTGATCCGGCTTTTCTTTTTGTCCCAATTAATAAATTTTTCAGAGATTTAAGATTCGGATCTTCTCATTTGATACTTCAATCGCACTCTAATTCCCATCGTTTTTATTCTTGTAAATACATTCCTACTCAATATTTCATTACACTAAATATCACAAACCTCCTATAAATACACACTCGCCCAACTTCCTCTATCATAAAATCCTCTTTCAACTTAACATGGCGGTTGGTTCTTTGAGGTACTTGATACCCCAATCCTTGGGACTTATCTCAAGGAAGTTAATCTCTCCATCAAATACTAACATATTATCTTCAAACATAATAAAATCGTCGATACTCAAATCCCCAAAGAGACTTTTCCACTCTTCTTTGTCAAACAAAACCTACGAAGAAGAAAAAGAAGTCCTTGATACATTACTCGAAAAATTACCTGAATCCGATAAAGAACATTTATCAAAATTACGTAATATTGGTATCTCGGCTCATATTGATTCTGGTAAAACAACCTTCACTGAAAGAGTCTTATTCTATACTGGTCGTATCAAACAAATTCATGAAGTTCGTGGTAATGATAAAGTCGGTGCCAAAATGGATCATATGGATCTCGAAAGAGAAAAGGGTATTACCATTCAATCTGCTGCTACTTATTGTTCCTGGGATAAAGATGATAAAAACTACCATTTCAATTTAATTGATACTCCTGGCCATATTGATTTCACTATCGAAGTTGAAAGAGCTTTAAGAGTTTTGGATGGTGCCGTTTTAGTTGTTTGTGCTGTTGCTGGTGTTCAATCTCAAACCGTTACGGTTGATCGTCAAATGCGTCGTTATAATGTTCCTAGAATCACTTTTATCAATAAAATGGATAGAGTTGGTGCTGATCCTTTCAGAGTCATTGATCAATTAAATAAAAAATTAAGAATCCCTGCTGCTGCTCTTCAAATTCCAATTGGTATGGAGTCAGATTTGCAAGGTGTTGTTAATATTATTGATAGAGTTGCATTGTATAGTGAGGGTTCTCAAGGTGAGAAAATTGTGCAAAAAGAAGTGCCTGCTGAATTAGTTGATTTAATGGAAGAGAAAAGAAGTTTGCTTATTGAGACTTTAGCTGATGTTGATGATGAAATTGCTGAAATTTTCCTTGATGAAAAAGTCCCATCTGTCGAACAAATTAAAGCTGCTATTCGTCGTTCCACTATTGCAAGGAAATTTACTCCTGTTTTAATGGGATCTGCTTTAGCCAATAGATCCGTTCAACCAGTTCTTGATGCTATTTGTGATTATTTACCTGATCCTTCGGAAGTTCTTAATAAGGCTCTTGATATCGATAATAATGAAACTTCAGTTAACTTGATTCCATCTTCAAAGGAACCTTTGGTGGCTTTAGCTTTCAAATTGGAAGAAGGAAATTATGGGCAATTAACTTACTTGAGAGTCTATCAAGGAAAACTTAAAAAGGGAGGCTATATTAAACACGTTAAGACCGGCAAAAAGATTAAGGTCTCTAGATTGGTGAGAATGCATTCAGAAGAAATGGAAGATGTTCCAGAAGTTGGATCTGGTGAAATTTGTGCAACTTTCGGTATTGACTGTAGTTCAGGGGATACATTTACTGATGGTATCAACTATTCAATGAGTTCAATGTACGTTCCAGACTCAGTTATTTCATTATCTATTAAAACCGATACAAAAGATTCTGCCAACTTTTCCAAAGCCGTTAGTAGATTTCAAAAAGAAGATCCAACATTTAGAGTTAATTATGATGTTGAATCGTCTCAAACCGTTATTTCTGGTATGGGTGAATTGCATTTGGAAGTTTATGTTGAAAGAATGAAAAGAGAATATAACGTTCATTGCACAACAGGAAAACCACAAGTTGCTTATAGAGAGGCTATTCTTGGGGCATCTCCATTCGATTATCTTCACAAAAGACAGAGTGGTGGTGCTGGTCAATATGCTAGAGTAGCTGGAGAAATTTCTTCACTTGTTGGTGAAAATCAATTTGAAACTAAAGTTGTTGGTGGCAAAATTCCAGACAAATTCCTTTTTGCTTGTGAAAAGGGTTTCAACGATGCTTGCGAAAAGGGTCCATTAATTGGCAGTAAAGTTTTGGGCTGTAAAATGATCATCAATGATGGTCAAATGCATATTGTTGATTCTTCAGAATTTTCCTTCAGAACCGCTACAATTGGTGCCTTCAAACAAGGTTTCTTAAACTCAAACCCAGTTGTTCTTGAGCCTATTATGCAACTTGCTGTTACCAGTCCAAACGAATTCCAAGGTAATGTTAACGGTTTACTAAATAAGTTGCTTGCAATTATCCAAGAAACCGAAAATGGACCAGACGAATTCACAATTTACGCTGAATGTTCTTTGAACTCGTTATTTGGTTTTGCAACTTCATTAAGAGCCTGCACACAAGGAAAAGGAGAATTTACGATGGAATTTAAAAACTATTCTCCAACCCCACCACAATTGCAAAAACAGCTTATTGCAGAATACCAGAAGAAGCTCCAGGCAAAAAAATAGGTCTGCTAAGGCTTGTTTTGAAGATTTAAATATGTAAAATGTAACATGTATATATATAACACTAATGTATGTATCGATTGAACTCATGCGTGTACTGCATGAAAGCTCAAGCGTATGCAGGCCTTTTGCTACAGCACGTGTCAATTCCTCGTGAGTGTGCCCCGTGGAAATAGGTCAATCTCTGCTGTTTATGCGTCATTCACGCCACAGTATGAAAAATCAACAATCCACCAAAGTCGAGATTTTTCTTTTGTCGAAATTGGTATTTTAATCAATGCTTTTTCATTCATCAGCTTTTTTTATTCATCAAAGTTATTTTCTTTTCTGTCTCAACCTCTGTAATCATGGGCTCAGACGATCTGGTCAAACACCACAGCGATTATACCAACTTTGATACCACGGACGCGTCAAAGCAGAGTGTTTTGTTTCAGGTGGTCGAAAACTACAGGGCTTTAGTGGACGACCAGAGAAATTGGGTTTGCAATTTGGCTAATGCTGCTTCCTTGATATGGGAAGCCTACCACAAGCTCAATGCTTCTGGCTTGTCGAAGGCTGATGTAAATTGGTCTGGTTTCTATGTGGTAGATAAGTTGGATACAAATCAATTGATTCTAGCTCCATTTCAAGGCAAAGTTGCCTGTCAAACCATTCCTATTGGAAAGGGTGTTTGTGGAAAAACTGCCTCAACTAAACAAACACAGTTGGTTCCTGATGTCAATAAGTTTCCAGGTCATATCGCTTGTGATGGAGAAACAAATAGCGAAATTGTGGTGCCTATACTATTGGATAATGAATTGAAGGGCGTATTAGATATAGATTCGTTAACACTAGAAGGCTTTGATGAAGTTGATGCAGATTTTTTACAAAAATTAGCTGACTTGATTGCAGCTACTTGTGACTGGTAAGTATTCCAAAAATAAATGTATACTTGTTCTCGTTTACTCTTTGCTATTCTATTCTGTATTTCTTTTGACAGTGTTAATAAAAGCTTGTTTCTTACTGAAAACAATTATTCTCAAACTATGAGACAAATATCCCTTTATATAACCGTCAACTATCCCATTGCCTAAAAGACATTCGGTGTTGTTTAATTCATCGGTTGTAAATCTGATTTCTGGATCAATTTCTGGCTCTTTTTCTTTTTGATTTTGCAATTTTTTCTCTCTCTTTGCCTCTCGATCATTCAAATAAAACTGCTTCTCATTATGATACTGCGAAAATTCCATTGCTTTCGTGAAATAGCCAATTGGTATTTGATAAATATTTTTAATTTCAAAACTTGTGGGATTTTTCACTATTATACTATATGAAACTTTGAATAACTTGAAAATTACAAATTTTCTTATTTTTTCAAATATTAAATAAAGATTTTTCTTTAATAGAAAATTTGTAATCTTATAAATAAAAGTATCAAACAATTTAATATTCCCGCTTTTAATAGCTCTGAATATTTGAAAGTAACATTTGCTGATTTCTAGTACTTTCTTGAATTTTTCTGCACTTTCATAGTCTTGTTTATCATCTTCGTTTTGAACTTGAAAAAGTTGAAATACCTTCTTACTAGGCATTAATTTATTTGTGTAAAACTTTATTGGAATTAATAAAAACAAAATAGATTTGATTTGGTGATAATCATTTTTCCTTGTCAATCTTAATGCAAGTGTCAATTTTTCATTAGCAGAATCAAATTTTCCATCATTTAATTTTAACCAGCCTGAATAATAAAGATAATTTATAGCGTGTGATTTGGGAATGGAATGAATAGAAGGCAATTGATCTTTTATCGACTCAATAGCCTTTTCTATGTTGCCGGATAAATGTGTTTGATCAAGTTTTAAATAAAACTTATAAATTAGAGCTGAGAAAAAGTGCACACCAATTTTTTTGGATTTTGACATATCCAACTCTCTATCATTCACACAAACTTTAAACACCTTAGTAAGAGTAGCTAGCGCTCTTTGCATTTTTAGTATCTTTGGGTGTGTTCTCACACTGAAAGGGTTGTTGCTGTTATGATAGCTGTATTTATTGTTTCGTTGGTTATTTTCATAGTCATCATCTACGTGTAAAGCCATATATTGTAACTCAAAAGCAACAGTGATTAATGTTGGTAATATCCAGTTGGATGAGCCCTTAGCACATTTACTTAAGGAATCTAATAGTTCGTTTTGACATTGAAACGTCAGCAGAGGAACTCCACGATTAAGAGCCTTCATCAAACTGAAATAGTTCACAATGACATCTTTCCATGTATCATAGCAATTAATTGCGTTTTTATTTAAAGACTGTAGCTCTAAGATCTCCTTTGGCGCATCATTCATGATCGAAAATCTTTCTTTTAGTAAGTCGCCATCTTCAGTAGCACTGGCTAGACCAATTGCATGAATTATTTCCATTATTACCCACAAATCACCCAAAAAAACCAGCTATTCACCCTAAATTAAAAATACAAAAGCACCAGTAGTATTTGATATGCTTTATTGTTTAGCGCTGAAGTTGCCAAATTGTTTTCTACTTCCAATTTCCGCCGGCTCTGAAACAGGGTAACGTTTTATCCGGCAAAGCTTTGTCCGCGAAAACCCGGTGTTTATGTAAGCTATTGGTAATGTTATCGCAGATTATATAAAACAGTGTTATATAAAACAGTGTTATATTATATTATAGAACAGCATTTAGGGCAGTGCACCTATATAGTCAAGTACTTATTCATGATTTCTGCTGCCAATTCATAATTCTCACTGAAATTGTATATCATAATAAGGTTATACGCTGTCTCTCTTTTTAGATCAAAGGTTGATGCATCTTCCTTATACTCGCTTGATTCTTTTTTGATAGCAGGTATTTCCATGGATAAAACCTTTTCGTAGAGCTCAACAGCAATAGAAGTCAACCCTATTAGATGAAACGTTCTTCCCAAGTTATATAGTGCTTCTTGATACTCAAATATCCCTTGGTCTTGTCGTATCTTGAAATATTCGATTATGTATGTGATTCCTTGGAGTATTTGCAAATGACGGTTGGTTGTCAATCTTTGCATTGCTCTATGAATATGGGCCAATCCATTTAACAAGCAAACCAATGGATCATTTGGAAACCTTTTGTATATCTTACTGAAATATCCCAAACTTGGTGCATAACTTTTTCCAGCGTATAACAACGCTCCATACAAAATGATTAAGTATGGGTTCTCTTCACTTATATCAAGATTCGAGTAATCATTTATAAGTTTTGCCTGGCCGTTAATCTCTTTCTTATATCTGACAGAATCCCAAGCTTTGATTTGTCTCAAAAAATATTTTTGATGGTTTAATGATATATATGTATCAATTGATTCTTGTCCCGACGGTAGGCATAATGAAAATAATCTATATGCATCTCTTGAAAATTGGTAATAATTCAAAACATGTCGTAAGTTTGTAACAATTAGCTCAAAATTATTTGTCATCAAACCCATCGACAATTCTACCAAACTCATTAACTTTCTATTTTTTTCATTTTGAAAAATCACTATGTTTTTTGCAATTTCTAATATCTCTAAAGATCTTTTATTTTTTTGAAACAGGCATAAAAACAATGAGTATTGCATAAATAGTTCGAACCATTCATCAAAACTTAATCCTCTAAACAGTTGTGCTTTCATGATTTCCTGCATATGATTATATTCAATATCAAATATACCCTTCGTTTTGATTGTATCAATTAACCCATCATGCATTTGTTGAATTTTGGCTAATCTCTCTTCAATATCTAAATGACCCTCTCTATACTTGATCATATTACCAAGATAATCTAGTTTTTCCTTGGGAATAAAATATTTAACATTCAAAAAATGTTCGATTAACTCGGAGCATAAATGAAGCCAGGCATCTGCTGCAATGGGATTTTTTTCATTCTCAACCGACGGATATAATCTTTTTAATCGGTTATATATTTCAACATTTTTAGCTGTTAGCTCTTTTTCTCTTTGCTCTTTCTCCTGTTCATTAAGCTTGCGTGGCTTTTGGCTCATTTTAATATTATCATTAATTATACCTCCTTTTTTGATCACAACTAGTTTTGGTGTTTCACCTTCTTTTTCGCGTGTTTTTTCCTCATTTGAATTGGTTTTTTCTCGAATTCTCTGCTGATTAATATCATCTAGCAAGGCCTTTGAACGTTCGTTATCCTCCAAATAGATATAAATCTCAGCTAATGCTAACTTTGCTTCAATATTTTCTGGATCAATCTCGATAACTGACTGATAAGCTGATATAGCTTGTTGATAATCATCTGTTTCTTGTAAACACTTAGCCAATTGCATTACTAATCCAACTGTATTAAATTCGTCAATGTATGACAATGGGGCAAAAATCTTTAGTGCTTCGGAATAAAGATAGTTATTTAGCAAAGCTTTTCCAACTTCAAGATTTAAATCAGACACATCTCTGGCATTTTGCTCCAAAAGAAATTCAAAATGTCTTAGAGCCTCTGGAATATCATTCAAATTTAATCTAAACAAACCAAATTTAACACGGATATCAATTGGTAAGATGTTTTCCCTATCCTTTAAGCTTTGTGGTAATGACATGTATTTTTGATTTGTAGACCTTCTAACATCAAACTCGGAATCGTTATCTACCAAGTCCCACCAAGTTTCATCATCTCTATTTTGAATCCACCTGGAGATTTGTTTACTTTTTTTCAACCCGATATCCCATGCAGTTAACTTGGAGTATAGTTCCATCAATATGTTTAGTTCAGACCAACCAAAGTTTGGAATAGAATCATTTTCCGCTTGCAACATAGCTCTATTTTGATTAAAAATGTTTAAATACATATCAATTGCTTCGTTGTTACGGTTTTGTTGGGAGTAAACAGAAGCGAGTTCTCTGATTATACTAGTTTCGGATGGAAATAATTCAAGGAGCTTTTGAAATCCATTTAAAGCCTTACCGAATTGACGTGTTTCTTTGTAAATTAAAGCACGATTATAAATTGCTTTATGGTCTTTTGGATCAGCCCATATTGCCCTTGTATAACAATGAATAGCCTGGCTATGAAAACCCAATTCCTTACTTAGTTCACCAACATTTGACCAGAACTGAGCATCTCTAGGATTATTTTGCGCAGCCACAAACCAGATATTACAGCAGCCCTCTAAATCACCTTTCTGTTTATAAATATCACCGATAGTTTTGTAAGCAGAGTAACATTTTGCATCAAGCTTAATTACATCCAAATATAGCTTTTCAGCCTTTTCCATATCACCTTGAACAAACGCTTCGTTGGCTTGAGATAACAACATACGGACTTCAGGCTCTAACTCTCTTTCTTTTCGTGGTCTTTGACCACTACCTCTAGCGTTTTTGGACTTTTTTTTACTTTTAACTTTAAAATTACCAGCACTTCTTAACATGTTCTTGAAAGAATCAGAATTTGGTGCAATAATCTCATCATCCGAATCATAAAAATCCGAATTGCCAGTGTTATCCATATCAAAATCGCTATCACCAAAATTTTCATTGCCATCACTTTTTTCGTCGTTGTTTTCTTCGATATTAGTATTATTGAGTATATTTTTTTTAATCTTATTCGTTGTTTTTCTCTTAGAAGTGTTTCCTGCATTTGTAGAGTTTAGATTCCCATCTGAAATATAATCACTGTCGTCATAAACATCATCATCGTCGTCGTCGTTGTCGCCAAATAATAAGCCATTGATAGATAAATTAGAGCGGGACGATGAATCCTTATCGTCGTCGTCATCATCACTTCGAATAAATCTTTGTATGGAATCAATGTTATCAAAAATCGCTTCTGGATTTTGATTACAATGGTTCTGAACATTTGATTGTGCTTTATTTCTCTCGCTTTGTTGGATTGGCACACTATTGTCTTCTGGTTGTTTTAATAGCTCAAATTCGTTGTCTGTTTCGCCAAATCCCGATCCGTCGTCTTCGTGAACTTCTTTGTATCTTCTTTTGATCGAGGTCCTCAACGACCTCCTTGTCTTTCTCCCACCCAGAGACATTGACACAGAAGAATTGACTGAATATCTTGATATCCTAATATCTTGATATCCTGATATCCAGGTCTGTTGGAGTTGTTTACTGTTTCTGTTTGGAGATGTGAGACCAACCCACAGATAAAGTTGCCATATTCTCGTGTGCAATTCTTATGACACATGATTTTATTAGGTAATCAAAGCAAGACTCAATTCAAAAGGGACTCGTCACAAATAGTGTTTCAGTTCTTGAAGCAGACCGCCCCAAGTTTAATAGAAATATCAATATATAGAGTAGGATTTTCAACAGGAATTAAAAGAAAAAAAGAACAAGAAAGAATAAGTTTTACAAAAGATTAGCTAAATACATATTATTCTACCATAAATAAGAGTTAATATAATCTGTAAATAACCAAATAACGGATTGTATTATAGCTACGATTGTAAGACTTATTACACTCGCACTCCACGTGAAATGTGCGTGATATCTTTCGCTTAATATATAAAGAATCATCTGGAAGCAGCAAGTAAGCTGGTAGATATCGTCTTCAAGATGGCTTCAACCAAGATCATTGTTACCAAAGCTCTAAATGATGACGAGCACCCCAAAACCAACTTGGATGAGGGCTTGTTAAGTGGTAGCAGCACCAATAACATCAAAAGAGACTTTCAGAGTGGCTCCAAACGTCATTTGGATCTCAAGATGGATCATGACCAAGATGTTCACAAAAGGGTTGCCAGACTAAGCATCACTGTCTCAAATAACGAAAAGAAAAACATTTTGCTATCGTTGTCATCTCCAAATAGTTATTCGGAAAGTGATTTGAAAAATGAGCTCAAAGATTCAAAAAAAACCTCTCACTTGGTTCATAAGCTCTCTTCAAAGCCCAAAGGAAGTCCGTCGAAGATATCCAAACACAAGAAACATCTTTCCAATTCTTCAAACAGATTTGGCTCCAAATCCAATAAACACACTCCTATTAGATCAAATTTGAGCTCAAAAGCAAAAGCAAAAGCAAAAACCGACATAAGTCCAGCTTTAGGTGGAAGCTTGAATACAAACGCAAACGCAAACTCAAGTTTAAATTCAGATTCAGATTCAGATTCAGAGTTGGCATTAAAGTCAAAAATGCCGTTTTTAAAACCTTTTGTCGTTGATTCTTCCCACAAGTCTCAAAAAAGGAGGAGATCAAGTATAAATATATCTAATTCTGCACAGTTTTCCCAAATTAAAAAAAAGAAATTTTTGAAACCAGCTTTAATGTCAATAAAATTCAGTGAATTCAATGCGAAGCAAAAAAAATTAACAGTGCCAGATTTAAGAGATTTGATTTTATATGTATTTCACGATTATTCTACAAATAAACTAAGTTGGATCAATATTACAAATCGATCTAAGATCAGAAACTTGGTATTCTTATTTGTTCCTGGTTTATCAGCTGATTTATTTACAAATTTGAGTGATTTTACCAAAACTTTTCAACCACAGAAAATTATCGGCAATTGTTCAATTGATAATCATTTGGATTTTTTCAGTGATAAGTTTGATTGTATATTTCCCACAGTTGCACCTGGCAATAGGGAATCTCTTTATTCCTCTTTTGCATCTTTGACTAATGTTCCTTTAACCAAAAAAGAAAAAAAAACATTAAAGACGTCTTCTGGACCAAAGAGAAAAATAACTCTATTTAATTTGCTAATGACTCATAATTTATTAGTTTCTCAAAACTATCCTATCCATTCAAAATTAGATAGAGGTGAGTCGTGTACTGGAAATTGGGTGGAAACAATAGATTTTGAACATCCTGGTTGTAAAACATTTGCAATGGATTGTGAAATGTGCGAGTCAGAAAATGGCAAAGTTTTAACAAGAATATCGCTTATTGATTATAATTACAATATAGTTTTTGATAGCTATGTCAAACCAAGCGAGCCAATTACTAATTATTTAACCGAATACTCTGGTATCACTGAGGAAATTTTGGAAAATGTGACTGTAACTTTAAAAGATGTTCAAGCTAAACTTTTATCGATTGTTTCTTCTAGTGATTTTTTGATTGGACACTCATTGGAAAGTGATTTGAATGTTCTTTTTATAAAGCATCCTTTGATAATTGATACTTCTGTAATTTATGAGCATCCCAAGGGGCCTCCTTCAAAGCCAAGCTTAAAATGGTTAGCATTAAAGTACTTGAATTCCAAGATTCAAATAGGTAACAAGGGACATTCTTCAATTGAAGATGCCAAAACCTGTATGTCACTAACCAGGCTAAAACTTCAGAATGGGATCAATTTCGGCATTAATATTGGTGATCAACAAACGATATTCAAAAGATTGAATTCCCAGACCAAAATCGGAAAGACATTAATATTGGATTATACATCGAATTACAAGTTTCAACATCCGTCGTGTAATGACGAGGTAATTCCAACAGTTACTGAAAACGAATTTGAGAAAAGGATTCAGTGTTTTAACGATGATGAGATAACTCAAAATATCGTAGATAACGCATCTAAATATCGTTTTATTCTTGGTAAATTAAGGGAATTGGAGTTTGGATTAAACTGGGTTGAAAAACCCAAAACTTTTAAACCTTCATCAAATACTGATACTAATGATTTTAATACAAATACTGATGACGAGCACGCTGAAAGTGGTAAAGACAATTCAGAAGATCGCATCCACGAAACACATTGTAAGAGATTGAATGCTAGATTGAAAAAAATTCACCAAAGCTTGCCTAGTTCATCGATGTTAATAATATGCTCTGGCAGTGGTGACACAAGAGATATGATTCAATTACAGAACCAGAAACGAGATTTTAATAACCAATTCAAAATAAAAAAGTTGTCAGAAATCTCTGCTACTTGGAATTCGCAAGATGCAGAAAATCTCAGAAAATATACAGTACAAGCAAGAGATGCTGTGACTTTTATTGGAATCAAAAAAGAGGATAACGAAAGTGTTTTAGACAGTGAAAATGAATAAGTGTATGATACAATGTGTATAATATTTTTTTTTTCTCCACGACGTTTGGATATTTATTAATTCAAGATTATGATGATGTGTAGTATCTCGAAGTTTGTTTTTTTCTATTTTTTTTAATAACTTCACAAATTATGGACCAAACCTTTGTTATTTATATAGGGGAAAGCGATATATAGAACCAATGTTGGCAGAAACTGCTGCATTGCTGCAAAGTTCACTCTGTGACTAAGCTTTGGAATTGAGTTTTTAAAGCTGATCTGAAATTTGAAAGACTCTTGAACCGCTTTTGAGCAACAGCTGCACTGATCAGAAGCCTCTCAGGCAGCAAAACCAGCAGACACCACTGTTCTTTTCTCTTTCCTGATGCACTGTTATATCTATTGTCCCTGCTCTGAGCCAGTGGGCCACAGACAGCCATCTCCTGAACATGAACATGGCTCGCCCAACGATAGCATACCCTCAAAGATAAACGACCCCAGCACCCTCTATCCTCTCTCCAACTTGTTGTTTTGCGATAACTGTCTAGCAGTTAGATGTCCCAAATGCATTGAACCAGAGGTTGTGTCGACATACTGCCCCAGCTGCTTGACCAACATCGACAATACTGACAGCACAAGTCGCACTCTTCTGGCAGGGCATTCAGGCTCGTCAATATCAAACTTCTGCAACAGAAACTGTTTCCAGTGTCCAATTTGCAACTCGAATTTGACCATCACAACCACATCTTCGTCGCCTACAACACCAGTCTCCCTTGGTGCTGTTTCTCCAACAAGCCCCAGTGTTTACAATTTCAAGTGCTCCTATTGCAGCTATAAGTATCAAACCATAAAGCCCAATCTCTCAATTTCTCTAACAGACCATATTCAACAGTGTTCAGATGATTCTCTCTCTAATTCATACTACAGAAAACTTAAATCAAACTACAGATCGCAAATTAAGCTTCAAAAAAGATTGTCCTTGATGAAATCTTTATCAGGCCAAAATATAAACCTATTATTGTCTGGCTTTTCATCCTTAAGAATCTCAGACTCGCTTAATTCCTTTTCGCTTGCTTCCTCGTCTTCCAATTCATCCTTTTTATCTCATTCTCTTATTGGCAGCAATACTAATGAAAGTCTTCACAATGGGTTTTCTGTCCAAAAGTTCGATGAGGAGCAAGACATAAATAATGCCAAATCAATTTCATTGCAAAAAGATTCAAGTAACTTACTATCATTAAACCAATTCAATAAATCACCCTCACAATTCATAGAATCTAATATCGAAAAGAATAAATTTATCTCAATTTCAGATTTACATCAAAACTCAAAAAATCTAAATTCGGACTTACTCCCACTACTCAAAAAACTCAAGGCGAAATTTTCTTACAAATGCAAAGCTTGTAAAAATTTATTAATAAAACCAGACGACGATATTAAATCCTTTAAATTTTACAAATCTCTAAATGCCTATGATTATTTACCCACAATGAAATTGATGAAAATTCCCAAAAAAATCAATTCCTATAATAAATTTCTAATAAATGGTAATGATAATGATAACTATAAATATGATAATAACTATAAACTAATTCCCAATTCCTTTTTAAGATATCTTTTGTTTTTCAGAAACGATTATTTATCCTACGAATTGGATATATCTATTTCAACTCACTCTGTTTCTAATAATATTTTCAAAACTGAAATATCTTTGCCTTGTTCACTTTTCACTTTGAACGGCAAGTATTCCCTAACAAAAAATACAAATAACAACAACAACAACAACAACAACAATAATAATAATAATAATAATAATAATAATAATAATAATAATAATAATAATAATAATAATAATAATAATAATGATCTTAATGACAATACTTTTTTGGAAAATAATGACGATTTAAATGACGATAGTTCTAAGATTTTACATAAATTGAATAAGATAGAAAACTTCATAAAAGGAATTCCATCTTTAGAATTAAATTCAAAATCATCCAAATTATCAATTTTGGAATTGTCTAATAGAAAAATTAAAAGAAAAAAACTTCAAGAATTGGATGATTTATCTTTGAGCCCAATCTCTGATTCATCTTTAGGCACCAAAAGGGAATTTTTGCTAAAAACCCCAGATACTCCAGTCTTGCCACTAAACGAAGATGAAAAAAACTTGGCTCCAAAAGCAACCAATGACAATGACACAAGTCTTTCTAAGAAATTTCCACAAAACTCTTTTTTCTCTTCATCCTCATCGCCAGATAAAGATGAATTTGAATTTTTTACATCTAATAATATGCCCTTTGATAGTGGTGATAATTGGTGCTGTATTCCATTAGACATACATTTGTCCAACTTTAGCCAATACAATTATCCATTGAAAGTGCCAATATTTGTTAGCATCAAAGTTATTAAAAAAACCATCTCAGATTTAAATTCCAGCGTTGAGTATGACAATAACAAAAAGGATCGATTTCCCGAAAATACATTTGGGTTTTGGGTGCTAGCTGACATTGGCCAAGTAAAAGTAAAATCGTAATCCATTGAAACAAGCATGATTAATAGCCTTGAATATAGAGCTATTATGCTAATTGTAGACTAAGCTATATATCATATATAAATCAGATCCGAGATGGTCTGATCTTTTTGTTTTTATTTGAAAACAAAAAAAACAAAAAAACAAATGCAAAGCAATTAAAAACAGAAATACGTTTGTTTTTTTTCAATTTTCAATTTTTTTTTTTTCATAAATTTTGCTTAATTATTTCTTCAGCAGTTAAATCACTTCTTATTCTGAATGGTCTTCCTCTCCAATCAATTGATTGACCACACATTGCATATATCCAAATTGGCAATGCCAAAGTTTCTCTTAATAGCCATATAGGCAACCATTGTTTTAGATTTCTATAGTGAGATGATTGACTACTTAAAACTGGATTGTAATCATCAGTGGAAAATCCATTATAATTATTACTGACAAAAAATGGGATTTCCTGTGAATAACGAGGATCATCTGCTCCAGAGTATTTTAGCAATATATGAAATTGAAAATAGTCGGTTAAAATCCAAAAAAAAATATGACAACAAAAATAAGTGTATGAGAAAAGATAATTTGACTTCAAAAACAAAACAGCGACTGAGAAGGATGCACCAATACCACTCACAAAGCATTCAGTGGTTGGTTCTAACAAGGTGGCAGCCAAAACCATATATTTACGAACTCTGAGCCATCTTGCTCTGCGTATGCAATATTTTTTCAAACTGGAAAATGCAGATAACGAGAAATTTTCCAAAGGCTGTATGACACAATCCCCCGAGAAAGCAGTTCTACCATGGATATTCCATAATGCTATCGCAATCATGTTATCTTCTCCAATGAATTTGGAAAAGTATCTGATACCATAACCAGGAAACTGAGAATAATAAGCAGCATCAGCTTTCAAGTCTCCAGATTGACCATTTGTCGAAGGAATGTGGCCCATTCCAATGTTTTGAACAGCTAAATCGATATCACTCTTTCTATATAGATTTGATTTCCCATTGACACATGGCGCCACCGAGACTTTATCAAAACCAGCATAGAACTTTGCATGAGAAGTCTTTAAAAACATTTCATCAGATTTCGATCCTAAATCATTGCTTGATTTCGAAATAAAAGAAATGCCCAACGGAAGATGATGGACCACTTTTACTTTGTTATTTTTTTTCGAAAATGAGAGAACAGATCTCATTAAACAGCCATTAGATGCCCACACATTTGAATCCATGACCCATATGATGTCAAATTTGGCCTTTAAAAACCCCTTAGCAAGATTATTGATCTTCGGATTGGGCCCAAAATGATCAGGATGGCTCGAATCTCCAATCAAAAGTCGAGACACAATCTTCGGATACTTTTTGATCAATTCTTGCACTATGGAGATGACAGGATCATTGGAGGATTCAACGCAAAAGATGATTTCAAACTTGTTCGAAGGGTAGGTTTGCAAAAAAGATGATTCGAGGCAATGAACGATCTCAGTGTCGATTCCTTTCAAGGGACGTATTATTGTGACTCCAGCAAGCAGTTCTGGGTCTGTCACAGCTGGTATTTTCTTGATCTGCCTGAAGGTGGTAAATATCTCAAAAACACCAGAGTAGGCTAACGTCAAAACCGCAAGATACCATACAAAAACAACCACAGCGAAGGCAATTACCAACACAGAGTAGCCAGAGTCGTTTGGAGACAGCGCCATGTTTCCTAGCAGCGTATGGCTTGGTGCTTCAAGTTGTTCTGTCAAGATTGGTGAGTATAACAGAGACTTGAGATCTCAAAACTGGGATGGTTTAAAAGTGCGAGATTTGAGATTTGAGATTTGATTCTGATCCAGCCGGTTAGAGCCCTAAGCTGGATCAGGGCTCGGATGTTTGTTTACAGAATTTTTCAGTGGGCGAAAACAACACAGACAGTGAACTCCTCTTCACCAGCTTCCTCTTCCTTTGCTATTCTACGTTGTTATCCAGCTGCACAAGACACCTATAGTTCAACATGGCCGATGTTCAAACTATTGTTTCTCTTCTTAACCTGTCTCTCAATCCTGCCACCGCCAACCAGTCTGAGAGGTCCTTGAAGTCGTTGGAGACCTCCATTCCCAGTTTTGCCATTATTCTTTTGGAGATTGTGGAAAATGCTGCTCTAGGTCTTAACACCAGATTGGCTGCTTCATTGTTTTTCAAAAACTTTATCAAGAGAAAATGGATTGATGAAAATGGCAACTACAAGCTAGACGTGAACCAGGTTCAACTAATCAAGTCCAAAATCGTTGGTTTAATGATCAACTTGACATCCTTTAAAAATTTGCAATTGCAAATTGCTGATTCAATCTCCATCATCGCTGATTCTGACTTTCCTCAAAACTGGACCAATTTAATTGATGATTTGGTTTCCAATTTAGTTAACAATGGCAACGATCCCAATATTGTTAATGGTGTTTTAATTGTTGCTCACTCAATCTTTAAAAAATGGCGGCCATTATTTAGATCTGATGACTTGTTTCTTGAGATCAAATTGGTTATAGAAAAATTTTCCCAGCCCTTTTTAGAATTATTTGTCAATACTGATAGATTGATTGATTTGACTCCTGATTCCAATATTTTATTACAAAATCTACTTTTGATTGTTAAAGTTTATTACGATTTCAATTGTCAAGACATTCCTGAGTTTTTTGAAGACAATATTAATGTTGGTATGAATTTATTACTTAAGTATCTCAAATTGGAGATTAGTGCTGATAATTATAATAATGAAGAAACTTTACTCAAAATAAAATCGTCAATCGTTGATTTGATTCAACTATATGTCAGCAGATATCAAGATGTTTTCAAGAAATCTCGCATCCAAGCATTTACTGAGATTGTTTATTCACTTTTAACTACAAAATTGACACTAGATGAAAAGTTTGATTTATTGACATCAAAATGTTTGTCATTTTTAACATCAGTTATTAAAATCTCGTCTTTATATAATAAAGTATTCAGTACTGACCAAGCATTAAATGAAATATTGTTTCAAATTATTTTACCTAATATTACTCTTCGAGAATACGATGAAGAGTTATTTGAAGATGATCCAATTGAATACATTAGAAGGGATTTAGAAGGGTCTGATTCAGATACTAGAAGAAGATCGTCTATTGATTTCTTAAGAGAGTTGAAAGATAAAGACGAAACTAAGATAACTGAAATTGTATTAAAATTCATCAATCAATTTTTATTGCAATATTCGCAAGATCCAATTAATAACTGGAAACAAAAGGATACAGCTAATAATCTATTCATTTCGTTAGCCGCAAAGGGATCAATTACAAATGTTGGAATAACCTCAACAAACTTATTGGTTGATATTGTTCAATTTTTTTCAGATAATATTGCATCGGATTTAACATCAACTAACTGTCATCCAATTTTAAAAGTTGATGCAGTTAAATACATTTACTTGTTTAGAAATCAATTAACAAAACAACAATTTATTGAAATCTTTCCAATATTAACCAAACTTTTACTAGATGAAAATTATATTGTTTACTCATACACGGCAATTACAATTGAGAAAATTTTATCGTTAAGAACCTCATCAATAAATAACAATATCAACAATAATATTGCCAGTGGTGCTGGTAATAATGGAAACGATGAACCAATTTTCAGTAAAAATGATATCAAACCAATTGGAGAAGAGTTGATAAACAATTTATTTACATTAATATTGAAGAATTATTTCACACCCGAAAAATTGGCAGAAAACGAGTATTTAATGAAATGTTTAATGAGGGTGTTATTGGTTTGTGAAGATAATTTTTCAAATAATGAGGAATATGTTAATATGATATTAAATCAACTAATAAGTATCATTGAGATAATTGGAACTAATCCATCGAATCCTAAGTTTACACATTATTCATTTGAAGCAATAGCGGCAGTTATATTACGAAATTGTGGGCAATATAAAGAAAAAATAGGAAAGTTTATGGATTTAATTATACCCAAGTTTTTAACATTATTGGGAAGAGAAGTGTTTGAGTTTATTCCGTATGTATTTCAAATTTTGTGCCAATTGTTGGAGTTATATTCGGATGATGGTAGTTATGATAAAGAGTTGCCAAACTATTATAGAAATCTTATCAAACCAATATTGTCACCAAGCATTTGGGAATACCGAGGAAATATTCCAGCAATTTCCAGACTCATTGTTGATATTATTGAAGTTGATGGAAATGTGTTTGATGATAATTTAGTTGGATTATTGGGAGTGTTTCAAAAATTGATTTCGTCGGTGGTCAATGATAAATATGGGTTTGATATTTTGGAGAGTATTTTACTTCATATTAAGTTGAATAGATTGCAACCATATATTGAGGAGATTGCAAGAATTTTGTTGACTCGATTACAAAATGGGAAAACTGAGCAATATGTTAAGAGATTTGTTTTATTTTTGGCCACTTTGAGTATATATGATGAAGATTATGAAAATGAATACGGGCAAGAGAAAGGAAGCGCACAAGTAAAGAATGGAAATGGAAATGATATTAATAATAATAATAATGATAATAATAATAATGATAATAATAATAATAATAATAATAATAATAATAATAATAATAATAATAATAATAATAATAATAATAATAATAATATTGGAAAGAGAAATAAGTTGAAAAAAGTAAATGTATTAGGAGGAAAATTTGTAATTAAATTTATTGATCAAATTCAAGATGGATTGTTTGGGAATATTTACGAAGCGTTTATTTTTAAATCATTGGTTAATATCACAAATAACTTAAAGGAACGAAAGATTATTTTGGTTGGGATAATTAAGTTAATTTGCAAAAATGCGGAATTTATTGAAGGAAAATACAACAAGTTTTTTATAAAGACATTGGATAAGTTGATTGATATTGGGTATAAGTCTGAGTTCAACAAATTGGGTGAAAATAATGAAAATAGGATGAGTAACGAAATTGATATATCAGAATATGTATTTGGTTCTAGTTTTTCCAAGTTGGTTATTGTTGGGAATAAGAGGGTCGACCCAGTCCCTGAGATTAATAATACAAACGGAGCTGTTTTTTTTATTATCAAGACATTGAAAAGACTTGATGATAATAGTGGGAATTTCATTTATTCACAAGTTGTTCCCAAATTGTCTATGGAGTCCCAAAGAATTTTGAATAGTGGCAATATGAATTATTAGGGAATAAGATTTTAATAATTATTAGAATAGAATAGCATAGAAGAGAATATTCCATTCTATTCTAAGAATTGAGTTAGTAAGCATGTAAATGGGATGCAAATGAGATGCAAATTGCATACAAATGGTATGCAAGTGGCATGCAAAAATTAAGTAATGGGTATTAAATAGTTATTTCATGGTTATATATGAGATATGAGAGATATATAATAAAATATGAAATCAATATGAAATAATGGATACCAAGTGAGATAAAGCCAATGTAAAAAGAAATTGTATAAGGTACTGTGAAATTTGAATTATTGGGTAGTGGAATTTAACATAAGAGACAAAAATCGGAATGATTTTATTTAAGACAAGAGCTGAATAAAATTTCGAGCAAGAAAAACGAGCAAATAAAGAAACAAATACACTGGGACAATAAAGTAAAAAGGTAAAAAGGTAATTGTTGAAAGTAAAACTAAAAAAGTGACACTTGAGAAAGTTGGTTTGAAAGTTAAATCCTCATGCCTATGACAACAGAGTTTCAGATTCAGGTTGGGCGAGATGTAAAAGAAACCAAAATTACTTATGAAAACCCATCTTGAGGCTTGAATCATGAGGAAGGTGAGTTTGGCTTGTGGCCAGCTTAGAAACGATAGCCGAGCTGCGTCAAACTGGCCACAAAAGAGTGAAAAAGTCTAAATAAGGCTATTTTCTAACTGTCTATATGTATCTATCATCAGCATCTACTCATATCTCATCTTACACAGAGGCATGTTTTGGCTGTTGCGATGCTGCTCTGGGTTGAGTCTCAATGGGGCAAGCTATGGCGGGATGAGGCTGCTCGAAAAGAGAAAGTCACAAATAAAAGCCAGAAGACAGGAGTCTTTTCCAGCGCAGCACAATGCAACAAAACTCTGGTTGCTGCGGCCTCCAGTTAACAACCACCAATCAGCAGTCGCTGTTGTATGTGGCAGCAAAGCGCTTGAATCTCTCGGAATGAAACACAATCCGGAAGCCTCGGGTCTCCTTAGCGACGGCCTGCTTCGGTGCGGCAAGGGAGAAGTTACCTGGCCGCAGGCCCTGCGCGTATGGGGAAGGAGCACCCGTGCTGAGGTCTGGATGCTGAGCAAGATAGAAAGCAACCCACCTCCACAGCACGTGCAGAAATAGGTGTGAACGTGTGTGCATGATCCGTGCGGTTGGTGCGTAAGGTCCGAAGTATTTCTCACCACGCAGCAGGAGAAAATACTGGGGAAGTGATGCTGGAGCTGGGGCAGCCTATTCCAAACCCAATTGGCCCCAATTGGAGGTGCTTCCTTTCCAGTCTGCAGAAAAAAGCTGGTTCTACCCAGAAAATAGATGCAATTTGTCTCCAGAGGCACCACACTTTCCACTGCTATAAAAGACCACTGTTTTCTCTCTTGCTCACTTTTCTCTCTTTCTCTGCACACCACTTTTGCTGTACCAGCTCTATTGTCTCCTCAAAAGACCCTCCCTCCCAAAAAAAAACAAAACCTATCCAAAAAAACAGTTTATCCCCTAACTAATCTAATTTATTATTCATATTCGACTTAATTGAATTCAGTTTGTCTCAATTCGATATTCCCATCCCTATATTTGTTTATATCTTTAGCCAAATTACCCTAATCCAATTCTTTAGGTTCCCTGCTCAATCCCCAAGAACCAAGTAATGATGGCTGAAATCCTAGGTTCTGCAGTTTTCACCTTTGTTTTCACAAAGATAATGGACAGTAGCTACTACTCCCACTCTTCCAAAAAACTATCCAAAGAGCTCAAAAACGAAATCACCCAACAAATCCAAAAGGCCAACAATGACCTCGAATCGCAGATTGTTTCCAAACACGAGACAATCAAGAAAAAAAATGCCCAGGTTATTCAATTGGCTCAAGACTTGAAAAAAATCCAAGAAAAGTCCAATCACCTAGTCTTTGAAAACGACACCTTCAAAAAGACGAACCAATTGCTCGAAGACCAGTTGAAGTCCTCGGAAAAGAACAAGTTGCAATTGACTGAAAAATTGTCCAAACTCAACCAAAACTCAACCAAGTTGTCCAACAAATCTGCAACCAACGACTCCAAGTTCTCCCAACCCAGCACCAAAAACGACAGCTCCCACAATCTCAAGTTCATCCACCAAATCACCTCCAACATCGACTCTCCCATCACTCTCTCCAAACACGACTTTATCTCCCACTCGGAATCAGGCTCGGAAGCAAACTCTACCCTCGGCGTTACCGAGGTAAGACACGTCTCCTTGAACCACGAAAGGGATACTCTCTCGACCCAACTTTCCGCTTTGAAATCCGAGATCAATTCCGTCCAGGCCGAAATCAACGAGAAAAATGCCCTATTGTTAGAGTCCTCTTCCAAACTCACCTCTTCCATTTTGAAGATAAATGACTTAAAACTCAACATAGACAAAAACGAAAAGCTAATTTCAGATCTCAAAGCAAACTCAAACTCAAACTCAAACTCAAACTCAAACTCAAACTCAAATGCTGTTTCTGATTCCTCTGATTCCTTTGAGTCCTCTGAGCCCTCTGATTCTCTCATATCCTCAACATACCTAATCCTTTCAAGTCTCAAGAACTCTCTTCAATCCGAATCTCAGCTTAACTCAAATTTGAAATCTTCAATAGATTCTCAAAAAGCACAAATCGCCACTTTATCAACTTCCTTATCCAAACTCAACGACGACTTCCTCCTCAAATCGCAGCAGTTATCAACTCTAAACTCATCCTTCAACGATTCAGATTACAAACCTTATGTCTTTGAAGACGAAATTAATGGTTACCTCGAAAAGGCAATCAACAAAAGTCAGCAACTATCCAAAAACAACGACTCCCTAACCCTACAAATTAACCAACTAAATGCCCAATTATCAAACCTATCCTTTGAAATCCAACAAAAAAAATTACTAAACGACGATTTAAACAAAATTATTCAACAGTCAAATCAACACATCTCCTCTTTAAACAACAACATTCAGTCCCTAAAAGACCTCCATAAAATCGAATTATCAAATGTCACAACAAACTTCCAAAAGAAACTACAAGCCACGTCTGATCAAATTTCTAAACTAGAAAAGGATCTATCAACTAAGAACTCCCTAATATCTAGCTTGAAATCCTACTTAAGCCCCAATTTAAAGAAAAATGATTTCGACCAAAACATTAAAATTCAGTCAAACTCTATTGACAAAAATATCCTACTTCGTGACATCGAAATTGATGAATTGAAAAATACTCTAAACTTTATCGCTTCAAAAAACTCTTCTTCATTAAACAACTCTACTTTATCTCAAATCTCAAACACAAATCTTCATTCAGATTTTTTAAATTCTTTTTCTTCCAACGACTTCTACATCTCCTACTTGAAACAAATTGAATCCAAAATCGAAAATCAACAAGATACTATTCAAAAGCTAATTGATAACAAAGATGAAAAATTCATCAACGACCAATTCAAACAAATAAAATCTTCAAAAGACAGCAATTCAAATTCTTGTGTTCAAAACTCTCTAAACTTTGAATTCAAAGCCTCCCAAAGACTCGTTCTCGATGTCATCGAATTGTTAAACTTGACTAAATCTTCAATATCCAGCATTGAAAATGAAATAACTTATAAATTAATTCAATCAAAAGCCATTAAACAACATTACGAAGACTTTATAATTTCAAACAAAGATCCTGAATGTATTCACCAATCCCTAGTTTCTTCAAATACTTCTTCAATCTTGATTCAATGGTTCACTGAAATTATAAACGCCATTACTTTTATTACAAACCCTAACCTAGAATTTGAAAAGAATTCAAACTTTTCAACTCTATCAAATATCTTAAATTTCAATCTTGATAAATCTCTAATTCAAAATACACAACTTCAAAAATTACAATCCGATTGCCGCAACTCCTTTAAATACCTATATGAACACATTAAAAATATTAACATCAAAAACCGCAAAGCTCCTTCTATTGATGACAACAAATCCCAAATTGATTTTAAAAAGCATATTTTCGAATTGTCAAAACAAATTGATGACTTCAAATCAAACTTTGACGAAAAGAAATTAGACAACTCAAAATTAATCCAATTAAAAGAACAATTAACAATAGCAAATCTCGATCTTCAAAAGTACAAAAAGGAAAACAAAATCCTTCTTTCAAAATTAGATTTATTAGAAAACAATTCAAGATCAATCACCAAAAATGGCTCAGATAACAGTGTCAATAAAAACAATGAAATCGCTCGTTTGAAACAAAAATACGAAAAAGAACTATCAGATGCAATCAAAAGAGCAGATTCATTAGTAATTATAAACAATGCTCACGATACAAAAATTAAATCAATCAGAAAAGAATACACTCAACAAATAATGTCCCTAAAAAAAGAAATTGAACAAGTAAAACAACAAACAGAAACTACAAAAAATAATGAAATTAAAGAATATCGTACCAGAATCACCGAATTGACCAAGAAGATTGACATCTTGACCAAGAACGTCAGTATCGAAGACAAAAGTGAGATCCAGAAAATCACCATCAACTACGAATCAAAGATTTCTGAATTGAACAAGAAGATCACTGAATTGACCAGCACTAAGGTTGACATTACTAAGACTTCTGAGTACAAGAAAGTCATCAGCAGCTACGAATCAAAGATTTCTGAATTGAACAAGAAGATCGAATCTGACAGATCCATCAGCACATCATCTGACAAATCTGAAATTAAGAAGATCACCGTTGGTTATGAAACCAAGATTGCTGAATTGACAAAGAAGA